AACTTTACTTCTCTAACTTAAGTCGTAAAATAACTATTAGAAACTACTCGAAACTTTAAAAGAAATAAGAATAATAGCGAAATAGCTCTAGATAATAGAGTTATTTTCCTAGTTTAGTCTAGAAATAAATCTTAAAGTTTAAGATACTCTAGAATCGCGAAGAAAGAATTATAATAGAATATATCTAGTCTCGCTAGGAATATATCTCGCTATATCTAGAAGAAAATAATAATCTTTATATATATATATAAAAAAGAATTATAATAGAAAAATTATATTAATATATAAATAATTATAAGAGAAAACTACTATATAATAGGAAGGAGAAAGAGCGATCTCTAGGGATATATCTAGTATATAGCGAAGAATATTACTAGAGAATCCTAAAAATTACGGTTTCTTATAGACTAATATAATCTAATTATAAGTATCTATAATTAATAAGAAAAAGAGTCGCTATTATAAAGATAAAAGTATTAATAATACTAAGGGAAAGTTATAAGAGATTATAACTAGAAAAGAGCGAGAAATAAATAACGCTTCGTACTATCTAGATATTACGAAGAGCCTAACTAAGAAGAGAAGTATAAGAGATTATAACTAGAAAGAAATAGGAAATAAACTATATTTTATACTATCTAAGTACTAATAAAAAGTCTAATTAAGGAGAAGATTATAAGAAATCGCGACTAGAAGAGAAAGAAAAATAAAGAATATCTTATACTATTTAGAGACTAATAAAGAGCTCGAAGTCTAACTCTAGAATATCGTTATAAACCGTCTCTAGAAGACCTAAATAATCTAACTCTTAATTATTATAATAAAATCCTAGTATATATAGTCTATCTATCTATTTATCTAGTTATAAGTCGTTTTATTTACTTTCGTACTATTCTATCTATACTTTTACCGTAGAGACTAAGAAGAGATCAAGAGAAACTAATTATAACTAGAAATTATAAGAGATAAAGATTATTAACTTCGCGCGCGCTAATATAAAAATAACTAGTTTTCTTCGATTTAGAATCACTTATAATCGCCTTCTTAACGCGAGAAAGAGTAATATTAAAAGATAATATATACTTCTTTCTTTTATTTTACGTAAATTAAGTCTCTTTAGAGTACTTATAAGAGATTATAAACTATCTACGACTTTTATAAAGCTTCTTCTTAGTATCGAACTACTTAATATATATAATAATCTTATCTAAAAGAGTTATTTAAGTTAGTATAGTTCCGAATAGTAATAAAAAATTAATATCTATACTAAAAAGTATAATAATAATTAGCTCTCTTTAACTAATAGATATAATAACTATAAGCTATTATATAATTAGTATAAATATAACTAGTTACGACTAGAAATATATACTATTATAGAGTAATCTAACTATAGATATATAAGTCCTAAACTTACTTTAGAAATTAATATATTTAATATAAGCTAAGTAATAATTAGTTACGACTAATATTAATAGAAATTAACTTATTCTTATTATTTAACGTTCTCTTCTTCTAAATAAGATATATCTCGTCCTCGAAGAGACGCGAATCTAGTAAAGATAGATTAGTAAGATTATAATAGATTATAAAGAGAACTTATTTATCTATTACTTTACTAGAACTTTATCTTATTATTAAAATTACGCTAATCGATAATAGTTTAGACATTAGGAAAACCCTTCGTAATCGTTAATAATCTCCTAAACTAAAAAGAAAGTAAAAATATCTAGAGAATAGTATAATTACGACTAGAAAAGCGAATATATAACTCTTTACGAGATATAATAAAGATTTTAGGAAATAATTAGTTACGAATAGTTTAGGAAAGTAATAATAAAAAGAGAAAAATAATAAAGAAGAGGAAATAAAAAAGACGAAAGGTCTCGATAATAAATTATATAGAGAAGATAGCGATAATCGCTAAGAATAAAGCTAATAGTAAAGACTATTAGAAGAAATATAAAAGAATACCGATAATAATACTTCTTAAGATATTCGCTAGCGATAATAACTAGTATTTACTATAATAAGATAGTTACGACCTAGTATCTATCTTTACTCTAACTATATACTATAACTACGCGTAATCGCTCGTAACTACGCTATATATTACGATCGATATCTCTCCTAGATATATTATTTAGAGAATAAGGAAGAGAGAAAATAAAGTAAGGAAGATATCTTATATTTATCGAAATAATTCGGAGATATCTATAACGGTACGTAACGAAACGGTACGAAGAAGAACCTACTAAGATAAGGAAAAGATAATAGATTTTATACTCTAGAGGGTTTTCTCTATTTACTATAAATAGTATCTCGATATAAGCTATATAGCTTCTAGGAGTAGGAATAAAAAAAAAAAATAAAAAAAAATATAATTAAGTTATCTATTAAGTTCTAAACTATAATATCTTTTAGTATTAACTAAGCTTAATCTTAATATCTTAATAGCGAAGATAGTTTCTATACTAGATTAGATTTATTCTAAGGATATTAGTTCGATAGAGATAGATTAACTAGAAATAGATTAAAACTATACTATCTAGATTATAATCTCTAAAATCCCTACTATATAAATATATCTATCTTTCCTAGAGATATTCTAGATAGTTAGAAGTTATTCTACTAGCTAATATAAGATAGTTTAGTAACTAGATCTCTCTCTAGTTATTTCTAATTCCGCTATCTTAATATATTAAATATATATAGAATTAGTTATTATATAATTCTAGAGCTTTCCTAATACTACTCTAGCTTTTAAATTCTCTATCGTAGAACTTAAACTTTATTTAATAATAGGATTATCTCTTCTTTATACTATATCTTAATCTAGAGAAATTTATAAATAAATAAATAATTATATATTATTATAACGATAAGTTTAAACTACGGAGATATATTCCGTCTTAGTAGTATATAAGTCGGGAAAAGACCTAGTCTCGAGTTATTAGCTACTATCGTTAATATAAACTCGTATAAAGTCTAGACTAATACTAGACTATTATAATATATAATATTAGACTCTCGCTAATATAGTAAGTTTTCTTCTAACTATTAAAATCTATTAGCTAACTTATTTAGATATCTATCTCTCTTCGCTAATATCTACTATAGATTTTCTAACTATTATTTATAATATTAAATTTATTTTATTAATTCTTACTCTTTATATTAATCTAGAGTTTCTTATAAAGAAACTATATTCGGACTATAAGCTAGTTTCTTCTCTAGAAAGATTAGCGAAATAGCTACGCTAATATTCTAAATAAAGAGTCTCTTAAAATCTACTTTTACTTAAGTAGTTAGAGATAAAGAAATAGATTTATTTAGTAAAGAAGTAGATTTATTTAGTAAGAAAATAAATCTATTTACGCTATAGAAGTCTTTTAACTTCTAGATCTATATTATCGGAATATTAACTAGCTTATATCTTATCGCTATCTTCGATTTAAATAGCGAATATCGTTTAAGTTATAATTTAGATTAACTAACTCTAGTCTCTTCTACTTCTCTCTTTTAGACTAGTAAAGATTAACTTAATCTCTTAAATACGCTAAAATATAGTATTTCTATAATTATATTCTTTTAAGCTAGTTATAATTTAGATTATAATATCTTCTTTAATATATCTATTTTAGCTATTATCGTAGTTAAGATCGATCTCTTCTTAAACGAAGAGTTTCGAATCCTTAAACTATAACGAACTAGCTACGAGATAGATTCCTATTAAGATATAGATTATTAATTCTCTTTAAAGACTATAATAATAGAGATATTAGTCGAGATATAACTTAATATATTATTTAAGATCGTTCTTAATATTAAATCTATTATTAATCTAGTATTAAAATAATCTATTTATATCGTAAAATTCTTAGATAGTTCTATTAGATATTTATATTTCTATTCTCTAGAAAAATACTCTCTAATCTTATCTCGAGTTTAGATAATCTTATTTCCTAAGAGATCTAGATAAACTATTATCTTAGCGTTTTCTATATCTCTTTTAGAAATATATTAATAGAAAACTTTTATATTTAGATCTCTTCGATATTTATCTAGCTCTAGTAGAAATATAATATCGAATAGAAACTATTTCTTAATATAATAGATAAAGTCTCGTTAAGATAGAATTATTCTAATAACTTCTCGAAGAAAGACTTAAGTCTAGCTCTTAGAGTTTACTTTAATTATTTACTTAATTAATAAAAGTTCTTATAAGATAGTCTATTTAATAGTAAAGTATAAAGATTCTCCTTCTTTAGTTATAAAGTTAGATTCTAGAAAGATTTTATCTAGATTCCCTAGGATAGAGACTTCTAACGGTTACTTTAACGAAATAATACTAATAATTATCTTTTAATATCTCTTAATTATTTCTACTTTCGCGTTAACTAAAGGAATTCTTATAGATATTATACTTCTAAAAGTCGCTATAGAAGAGTATTATTAGGATAGATCGATCGCGAAATAGAGTAATTAAGCGATCTAGAACGTAGAAAGTAAAGATATAGGATATATAGGAGAATAACTCGAAAAGAGCTAATAAATTTATAAAAGGAGAAAAGATAGATAGAAAGATAGATTAGAAGGTAGATTATTATCGAAAGAGAAGAAGAGGAGGGATATTCGATAGTATCTAGGAAGGTTTAGACTAAGTCGATAAGAGCTTAGTTCTAGATAGTTAGAGACTTAGATTAAAGTTCTAGCTATCGTACCTTGTCGATTAGCGATAGACTATAGGTCGCTACCTATTAGTAGTCGAATTAAAAACTATAAAAAATAGCTAGAAATAAGAGCGTTACTACTATCTATTATAGGTATGAAAGGATCTCTCTAAATACTTATTATTCTATCTCTAAGCGACCTACGCTCCGGCTATCTAGAGGTAAAACGGTGCCAAGGCGCTATCCCTTGGCTAGGTAGTGGCTAGGTCGTGGGCAGGCACGGCCTGCCACAACTCGCTACGCGCTCGTTTATATTCAAGACGGTGATCAGGTGTTGGGCTCTGAAGGGCTTGGCGCGGCTGGCAGCACTAGAGCAGTCTTGATCAAGTCCTTGATCTCTCGCCCGTTCAGCTGCTCCTTGGCAAGTTCATCAAAGTCACTGTCGCCGATAGACGTGACCCCGGGTCCAAGTTTCTGGATGAAGCTGACCCAAACTTTTCGGTGGGAAGGCACGTCTGGATCGTGGTATGGAAGGACAAGATCGAGCCTCGATTTGGATGCAGGATCAATGACGCTGAGCCGATTCGTGGTCAAGAACATCAATCCTTGATAGTGTTCTAGCCGATGATGGAAGACTATGTAGATCAGTTGATGGTTCGCGACCACGACGATCATGATGCACGGTGAGCAAACATACTGGAAACGAGCTCGTTACGATCCAAGCTGTTACAATACCTCGCCTCAAGGAAGACATCGGCCTCGTCAAGCAACAGGATCGCATCCCACAGTTGACAGCACTCGAGGGCCTTCGAAAGACCGGCCTCGATTTTTTCAGGCGAGATACCAAGATCGCTGGCACTCACAATGTATAGAGGTACGTGCGACTTTCCGGCCACTTGGAACGTCAACCACTCAAGGGACGGTAAGAATGCACTGCAGATTGGTGAGCGGGATGATGTCGCCCTTTCTGCCAGGATTCTTGTCTTGATCTCTGGGAGCCTTCTCCACCTTTTCAGACGTCGTATCACTCGGAGGCCTTCCGACTCGTCTGACCAGCCTGTGGACGGCCCGGGGAGGAGTGGAAGACGAGCTGTCGCTATCTTTATCTTCTGAAATCATCGCATTCATTTTTGAGAGACTCTGAGCATCCCGCTCCTAGGTCGCATGAAGGCCATTTCTAACACTCTTCTACTTTTATCCCTCATCCTATCGGTTCTATACCTACCGGAGCGAACGCTGGCCTCCTTTAGTGCGTAAAAGGCTATGCCCACGACTATTATTTCTGCGTCTCCTTTGTACCTGGTCTTAGGCTATATATAGTAGTTAGGTCTACCTATGTAAGCGGAGTTAGTAGACTGTTAGGCTACGGGACTTCTCCTCTAGGGGCCGCACCATTAGGAGACGATGGTCGTTCCTCACAATACTTTTGCTTTAGTTTAACTATAAGCGGGTCAGCCTCGATCAGTAGAGGATGGTACTACCCTTACTCACCTTCGGCTCACGCGCAAGTCGGCTCGCTGGATAAGTAGCCACCCTCGATGTATCGATTGGTTGGCGTGGCGGGATACGATGCCCTCGGCATTACAAATGACGAGATTTCATGGGGAAACCCCCGCGGACAATGCTACGGCGTGCCGAGCCCGCCCTACATATGTAGACCTTGTAGCCTTACGAGACGTTGTTGCGCAAAACCGATACCTCAAGAGATCCAGACTCGAGCACGATCATACATAAGTAGTCTCTGGTACTTCTCATGGAGGTGCCTTCGACTGCCGTCTCGCGCAGTGTCACGCGCCAACCTTCCGGCACCAGATCAAAGCCGAGGACACGGTCGACCCGGGCCTGTCGCAGGTGTCGTCTTCGGAAAGTAAGATGCAATGCGGGTGTTAGCGGCCCTCCCTGCTCGAATTGCTGTCTTGACCGTGCAGAGTGTATCTTTTTGGAAGGCAACTCGCTACCCAGGTAAGGGTCCGACGTCCTGCACTTCTTCTTTCGTGGTCCAACACAAGCGCCGAAGGGAGCTCCCCTCGGTGTGGGCGCGCTTGGCCTAGTGGCACAACTGGCTAATAGAATGCCCTTCAGCCATGGCAACCACCAAGAACAAGACTCTTCCATGCCGTTGGATGCAATAGGGAATCAAAAAGTCCTGCCTTTCTGGGTCCAGCCGCCCACGAGATCCGAGCCTGACCAGTTTGAACTCGATGGCCTTCTTCGATGTGACTGCTATCACGTCCCGTCGGTAGAGTCTATGAAGGAAGTTCTCGATGCTTATTCTGAATTTGTTCACCCAACCATGCCGCTTCTGGATGTCGACGAGCTTCACTCCACAATCACGGTCAGACCAACCGTCGCGGGCGTTGCAAAAGGGACGCGTGTCAGTCTTCTCCTGGTACAAGCGTTGCTTTTCGCCACTAGTCCTGTAAGTACATGGCAAAACGCAGTGCTCCCCGAACAGGTTCGCCGGACCCAAAAATGTCATGTGTCACTGACGACCTGTCTCACAGTTCCTCGCAGATTCAACGTTGCAGACACTTGGCTACGATTCTGGCGCTGCTGCTCAACGGGCCTTCTATCAACGCGCCGAGCTACTATACAGCCATAACACGGAGAAAGATCCCGTTGCAATATTACAGTCTCTGCTTCTAATGAGCTACCGTGTCCGGACACCAGACAACGAGAAAAGTGCAATATACTGGAGCAGACTGGCCGCCACACATGCACAAACGACGGACATAACAGGGATGATCAAGCGGTCGTCCGAAGGACGCTACCGAAGTCTTCTGCGGAGGCTGTGGTGGTGTTGTCTACTGAGGGAGAGCTTGGTTGGGCTCGGATCACGGCTTCCTACTATCTTATCTACCGACTCTGAGAGTCCCAGTCCACTCACGGCGGAAGACTTTCCGTCAAGTACGGACATAAATCTGCATTCTACATTTGCACCTCAAAACAGTGGCGGCGATGTTGCTTACACCGGTGGTGTTGACCGTTCACAAGGAAGAAAGGACATTTGCACGATTCAGCTGATCACTATAGAGCTTTCGAGACTCTCTGTGTGGATATCGAAATTGCTGTCCATTGATCGCTCTACAGCGGCTTTGGTGGGCCTGGTACCCTGCATCAGTGGCCAAGAAGACCAGAAGATTGACTGTTGGAGACGGCTGGTTGAAAAAACATGCGCAGCGGGCTTGAAAGAGTGGTTAAATGCACTTCCTGCAGAAGCGCGCTTCTCCACCGCTGAAGTCACAGGCAGCACGCCTTCTGCCTGTGTCACGGCAAATCGGATCATGTTGTACATGGTCTTTCAAGCAGCAGCAAGTTTTCTCTACCGTCGCCAAGCCGTCCACGCTGCCTCACTAGTAGACTCGCCCATCACTTGTTCTCCAAAGGACCCGTTGAGACATGCAGCAAGAAGACTCCGACGTGCTGCTCAGGAGATTGCCAGCGCCTCCAAGATCATGATTGGTCAAGGTCTTACCAAGTATATGCAACCACACGGGTTAGTTTTAGTCCTCCCTTGAACATACCGGGTGTTGTGGAAAAAGGCGTTACTGACATCAGGTGACAAAGGGTGTCGGTCATGCTATCATCGATATCTGTTCTTCTTGTCGACGTCAGGGACCGGTCGAAAGCCGCAAATGCCGCTGTCGCTGTAAGAACATGCCTTGATGTCTTGCAGGCTATGGCTCGAAACCATGATGGAGTCCAGCGCGTATATGAGGCCTTCGCACCCTTGATCGAACATACTTTCGCACAACTTGCACCACGGGAGCATGATGAGGACTTTGTACACGGCAACGGTAATGGCGAAGACTTGCATCATCCCTTCAGTGCAACCCCCGTCCCCGACACTCAGACGCTAGACTTCCACGACCCTTGGAATGTCGGGTGGCCATGGGATAGCTTTCAACCAGGCGAGATCCACCACCAAAATGAGGCACTGTTGGGCTTTGATATTTCAGTGGGAGGCTCCAATCCTGGACAAGGTTTCGAGAATATTCCCGATTTATGGTTTCCCGACGATGGAGCAGAAGGGAACTTGATAAGACATGACGAATTCCTATTCTGAATGATTGGTTGGTCCGAGTGACTCATGAGTTCGCCCCAATTGAGAGACAAGATTATGTGACTCTTGCTGATTGATGCTGGAGTTTTGAGTCAGGAAAGGAGCGAGAGAGCTGATAAGGTCATGGTATAGCCATATTTCAGGCAACTGTGCTTGTCTTGTTTGCTTCCGAATGTATTTCTATAACCCACGTCTGAGTGATGTTATGATCTCGATTCCACGGATGCTAGCTTTAAAGGTCTGCCCTATCTCAGCCAGAGCTTGAATGCACAAGAGAACATCCTCCTGTACTGTCCTTTCGGGTCGGCTGCTGCGCCATGGTCGCGTGTCTGGCGTTCCTGATCTCGGAGAAGGCATGTAACTGTGAGAGGCTTGGATCATGCCTGCAGTGGTGACAATGGGTATGAGTTGAATGTGAGGCGAACGTAGAGTGAATTGTCGTCGGTATAAGTTAAGAAGACAGCAGATGTCGGCGGCGGACTCGGTGCAAACTTGTCGCGCCATATTGCCTTCAAGGTAGTCGCTAGCGGTCTGAATATTGTCTGGAACCACGACGCACAGGAAGGGACGGTAGAGCAGGATTCGTGCTAGGTGATATTGCATACTGTGCCAAACAGAGGCGGAGAGTCAGTGTATGGGAGGTCGGCCGTCTGCGACCGGACGTCGCTCTGGGAGATGAAGGAAACGGGTAGGACGTCAAGTCAAGTCGCACTTACTGGAGCAGTAAGATCGCAGAAGCATGTTTAGATGTTGCAATTTCCTGATCGTGATCCATCTCTACCGTGTCGACTCTCAAGGGCTTTGGTAGCGAAGTCATCCAGTCATCGAGGACTTTGCTCATGGTATTGATGAAAATTTCAGGGGTAGTATCATCTGCATCTCGCATTCCATGCTGCCTGTAATTGGGACTATTCGTAAGCAACGACCGCAGGGTTATGGGCACAGAAGCTTATTGAGTTAGCTTACGGGGATGCTCGAATAGCTTCCATGATTCTCAGAAGCTGATACAGGTAGTGGGGAATACCCATTGCCCTGGACTGCGCTTCCAGATCTCTTAATGAATCCAGTCCCTGGCGCTGAAAATTTTCCCACAGCAGCTCGTCTGTTTTCGTCAAAATGTGCTTATTCCCACGGTCCACGGCCAGTTTGCTCAACAACGACGGTCTTCCCGTGTACATGGCCCATAACCTGAGAGCCGCGTCAGTGGAGAGATTACAAATTGCAAGCTCGAGATCTAGTCCCAGGTGGACCAGCCCTCCAAAGGCTGGCCATAATAGTTCGACTCAAACTCACATGTTGGATGAAAAGCTCGCCCGAAAGAGCTCGCTCCGAGACCGTTGGAGGGCATCCGACTGATATCCTGGGCCAGCTACGCGCTGACCACGGGACAAGTCAGGGCAGAGACCCAAGTCAATGAGAAGGTGAATATTCATTCCTGAACTCCTCATCAGCAGTTATTTTCAACTGAGCGATCGCCTAGAGTTTCAGGAATACACACCGGCATAAACCCATCCTGTGTTTACCCGTGTCAGCCAGAAAGCAATAGGGCAATACATTTCATGGACAGATCTTACCTCTGGAGTCTAGCCCACGTCCGAATTCGTAGGCTGCAAGCAGTAGCGTCGATTGGGCAGTGGCGAGGCATGGGGAGTCCATTTCCACGTCTAGGTATACCCTTGCACGTAGAGCGAAGAACTCGGCCGGCTCTTGGTGCTTGAGTGAAGCATGAGCGCCATTCTGCTGGCTGTAGCATGCACCTAGTGCTAGGCTGCTTCTGTCAGGTCTCGCTGTCTCTCGTGGAGGGGTGGAAGTTTTACATTGCATTTCGCAACGCAGGTGAATAGAGCTCGGTCGCTTCACCTGAGTTGAAAGCTGCCTTTGCTGCCATGTAGTCATGTTCGATGACCTCGTGGCTAAGTGGATTGTGCCAGGTAAAATACTGCTTGGTAAGCCACTCTTCTTGTTCTGGATCATCTGGCCATTCAAGACCGGCCTGCTGGATGGCATGGTTTCCGTCCTTGAGCACACAGCGAATGCTCGGGCGGAACATCGAGGAAGACCAATCGTGAAGCATGGCTATGTTGCTGGATGATCCAAAGTAACGCTGGCTTCCGTCCTCGGCAACAATCAATCTGCCGGGGGAATTTGCTAACATTCTAAGGGGATCGGTGTTATCAGGACATGACCTTTGTGGCAATATCGCATTGCCAGCTATCGACACGGGCGTTTCCAAGGCTGCTGATTGCCCCTGCGAACGTCTTGGGGATGACTTCGCGAAGTTCCTATCCGGTGGGACGTCTTTTGGCTGGGATTCGTTAAAGGACGAAAGGCCCTCCACTGGACTCTGCCAACTACTGGGGAAAGCCATCTCCATCCCTTCCGACGTTGTCTCGGATCTATCAGTCGAGCTGGATGCGTCATCATTATGGCCAGGTTCCACTGTATCGGCTTCAACAAGGCTCCGTGACTCGGCCAAGTTCATCCAGTAGTCGAGGAATGGGCCCGTATCCCCTCCCAAGTTGCTGGAGGGAGTTGTTCCTGTGCGTGGCCGAATCGTTGAATCATGGTCGCTCTGGCGTTCGCGGCCTTGCCAGTCTGGACGCTGTTGCGTCTGTATCACAGAAGAGGGGCCTGCAATCGCGGGAGATGGTGGGTTCTCTGGCGCAGAATGGGACGAGAGCATACGTCTTACCGCCGACGACTCTCTCCTGTGTCCGGTTGCCGATGGTCAGCGCCCTTGAGGCTAGGTTTGCGCAAGTGTAACGGCACGATTGACTCCTTTACACTCACCTCCTTCTGTCTTTGCCATACAGACAATCGGTGTCGTAGAGTCGGCAGTTGGAACAAGTCGGCCGCGCATTGTCGCACTTGAAAGGAACAGTAAGTGAATGACCTTTTCGGCCCTGGAATTCAGTACTTGCCTTGCTTTTCCGTCTCCTACATTGCATGCACGCAATAGACCTATGACGCTGCCGCCGCCCCGTAAATTCTACAGCTATACTATTGTCCATCGAGAGCCACCATCAGGCAGCCCTACAGCTGAAGCTAGGCCTTGATTCTTTATAATTCTTCTCTCAACCGTAAATTGTACAAAGCCGAGGCTGGACAAGGAAACCCTATGTGGCAAGACCGGACTAAGCCAGCCCCACGAGCATCTCGGTAACCCGATCACTAGTCGAACAGATGAAGCTGGCTGAGTCTGTAAGAGAAGGGTGGCCACGCTCAACGACCTGGGAGTGGAAGAGCTTTCTGAATAGCCTCCTCAGGGATCTTTGTGCACAAGGCACAAACGGACAAAGAACAATGCGGGGAAAAGTCCACCTATTCTGGCGTGACCTCAACCCAATGGGTATTGGGCTCCCGCTATGGAGGACCATGAATGATGTGCGGGGAACGAGGGATTCCCAGAGGCCCAGGCCCAAATTCCGGAATAGGTTCGACTCTCCTGGCTTGACCTAATTCTAAATGACGATGGTATGTTGATGATGTATGGTTTCAGGTCATGGCCTGGAGGATTACAACCACGTTAGAAAGCCAAAGTATGAAACGTTCAATTTGCTCTCTACATCAACTGCGGAACCATGGAAGCGACCAGAGTGTTTCGTACGAATGACTGGCAATGCCTACTATGCCCAAGGTTTCAAGCGACAGGCTTGGATGCCCCGAGCGACGTTGTACACAGCAACTCTGTTCTAGTCCTTGTTATAGCGTTTAGTGAATAATGTGGGAACATCCATGAACCTGGGAAAGAGTCAGCAGTCCGTTCAACAGTGATTGAATCAGAGTCGGCTTACTTTGAACGGAGATAGTCAGCGACACCCTTGCTAAAGTTGTCCAGGCGAGATGATGAACAAACTCCACGACCAAGGATTCCGTAGATGACAAAATGCACCGCGAAAATGCCTGGCATCTCTACACGCTCCAGATGGTATTCATCCTTCCAATCATCGCCGAGGATTCTGATCATCTCCTTCTTGGACAATGCGGAACGCAGCCAGTCATACTCATCCTGCTGTTGTACCCAAAAGCCAACATTCGCATTTGCGCCTTTGTCACCACTCCTGGCATAGACAACTTGTCCCATGGGGACATTCACGGTTGGGCCGAACTGTTCCAAAGGCACAGGGTCCTTCGTATCGTAGTCGAGTGAAGGAAGGAGCTCTTCAACAACAGTGACGTTGCCGGCTTCGATTATCGTTTCAGGCTTAAGAATCGTAGCAGTTTCATGGAGGGAGCTCTGCGGAATGAGCGCCGGGAAGTATGCCAGATAAGGCTTGGGAACCGCTGTACGGATGTCTAAAGGCGTATGCATACCTGTTCATGATCAGTATTCATCGAGCTCTCCGTGCAAGCAGGGCTCTCTCACCGGAGTAGTGCTGCATGCTTGTCTCAGTCCACGCCTCGAAGACTTGCCGAACAACAGCTTCATCTTCGGACTGTGCAAACACTCTGCAGACTGCAGTGCCGCTCTCCTGGCTCCTGGGATTTGCCTCTGGAACTCCTAGATGCTGGAATTGAAGCTCGTCGAATTGGTCCTCACGAATTGCCCTGCGTTTCAAGATCCACTTGATCTGCGCTTCGAGAAGTCTCCATTTGGCTTTAACCTCCTCGTGTGTCCCAGTTGCGCCGAAAATCCATTCAGCTTGATAACCCCCAATGTAGAAGAGTGCGAGTTTCGTAGTAGGGGGTGGTGGGTGGCCCTTGACACCGCTAACACGCACCCTGTTGGGTCCTTCTTGTACCATGATAATGTCTTGCAAGTCGGCCTTGACATCGCTGTTTAGGTAAATGTTGCCTTGAATTTCGTACAGGAGCTGTGCTCGAGCTGTGTCGACAGTAACAAATCCTTTGAGTTGTTCGTGCTTCGTCAAGACAAAGGTCCCGTCGTGTTCGATCTCCACAATGGGATAACCCAAGTTCACCAAATCTTCGGTTTCAAACTTGGTGAAACCACAGAAGTTACCTCCCGTTGAGTAGCAAGCACATTCGATGAGATCTGAGTTCAAGTCAGTTGTTGCTCCATTGGCTGTCCTGGAAGACCACTTACGTCCAGCAACAAAAGCCCCGGCCAGTTTGTCAAATTCATGCTCCGACCAGTTGTGCCACCATGCTGCCAAACCGACCGCAGGGCTCGCATCAGCGACACGACCAGTAATTACAATGTCAGCTCCTGCTCGTAAAGCAGCAGTGATACCCCGGGCGCCCAGGTATGCATGTGCCGAAATAATCTCTTTTTGGGTATCGAGGAAAGAGTGGGTTGCTTTGTTAAGCTTGACTCTTGCCCGATTTGAGTCCAGGTGTGAATAAGTCGAGGTGCTGAAAATCTCACCCAGCCGAGAAAGCACATTATCTCCTTGGACATACGAGACCTTGAGACTGTAATTATTTTCATCCACCTAGAGGTCAGGCCATGAGCGCTCGAATGGTTCGCGGGCTGAACAGCATACCTTGGATTGCACGAGTTCGGCGAGTCCCTTCGGGTTTATGGCGCCACCATTCACGACGATCTTCAATCTTTTTTCATTGGCAACTTGTATGGTCTGCAGGAGTCCGTCCTCGCAGGTACGCTCCCAGCCCGGGTGTTGCGATGATTTATGGGCGAGGGCATTCGATGCCAGGTTGAACTCCGCAAGGTAATCGCCCGTGATTGCATCGACGTCTCCAGTTGTAGCCTGCTCTAACATCTTATACCCAGGGTCGGCTTGTCGCTGTGAGTGTCTTTCTTCGACTGTTCAGGACAACAAATACTTACGATTTGCTCCACTGCAATTCGCTATGCAAATTGCGCGTTTATGACCTATTGATCCCATCCTGGAAAGTGCTATCTGTTCTGACTGAATGTACTGCGGATGCGTCAAGAGAGAATACCTTCACTAGACAATATCCTGGAAGGTGCTCTGATTTATCTTTACTAATTACATAGCTGTCTCTGACTACCGGGACGCGTTCCTCAGTACAATGTATTCCAGCCTACTCATCCGAGGGGTATCCAAGGGACCCCTCATGGCTTCTCTCAACCTCCAAAGAGTCCCTCGGAATGATCCAACACTGGTACGAACTATATCCGGAAGGCATGCGGGTCGCCTTAACCGTAAGAGGAATTCCGCGGATATGCGGGATGGATCCGAACCAGCAAAAGCCTCCTTGGAGCTGAATTGCACCAAAGGGCGCTAAACGTCGGAAAGCCTTGCCTAGGGGGGTTGAGTGGATTTACGACCAGAAACTCGCCTGCGGCCAACACAATTTCAAAGAACATGGGACGGCATGGTCATAAGCCATACAGTAAAGATCCACCTAGTCTCGAGGCCACAGTCAAATTCACATGATGGAGACCCTCGGCTGGAACACCAGGAAGCGGGTATTCCGTTTCGTGTGGAGAAATCCGGGGAAATTGCTTGTTGCCCTAGACTCCTCGGTGTCTAAAGAAATGAATACAACAGCTTTATTAGCTACCTTGTCGCATCCTCCGTGAACTCATCGCTATCGCTTTACAGAGAAGATGTCTTCCACCATGAAGCGCCAGCCGGTCACCGTCTACAATGTCGCCATTCTTTTCTTCGTCTCCCTGGGGTCCATGTCCTTTGGATGGGCAGCGTCCATCATCTCGACAACGTTGGGTATGCACCTTTATAAAGCCTTCCGCGGCGATACTGTGAATTGACGTCCTCGACAGCTCAGCCGTCGTTCCTGGCATACTTTCAACTTGACACGCGTCCCGACGGAACCGATCTGATTTCAACGATGAATGGCCTGTTCCAGGCTGGAGCAGTAATTGGCTCTTTGGCCGTGTCGCCGGTCGCTGATCGATGGGGTCGAAAGGCCGCTCTTGCTTCTGTAAGGCAAGACCTGTGTTGTCTAAGCTCAGCGAAGACTAACACGTCTCATAGTCCGCAATCATCATCATCATCTCCGGCGCATGTCTCGCAGGCAGCACAAGCGTTGCCATGTTTATCGGTATGATCCCGAAGCTAGTGGCGATGTGGGCAAAGCAGGCCATGCTGACCGAAATTGAAAGTCTTCCGCTTCTTCTCGGGCTTAGGGTCGTATATGATTCTTACAGCCACCACAGTACGTTCGGTCTATCCCTTTGGGCCCGTCCTTTTCGGGTCCTGAATCCTTGATACTTACATTTGTCGATAGATATGGATGAGCGAAGTCGTTCCCCCAGCATATCGTGGCGCACTCATGGACATAAGTGCGTTTGGTTTTGAGCTCGGCTACACGTCGTCCACCTGGGTTGGATTTGGGTTTTACTTCTGGAAAAGCAAGAGCGGAGACGAATGGAGGCCTCCTCTTGCACTGCAATGCTTGTGGCCACTCATACTTCTGCTTGGGCTACCCTGGGTACCCGAAAGCCCGAGGTATTTGATCCTGAAAGATCGCGTTGAGGAGGCACAGAAAGTCCTTGAGCGCCTTCATCACCGGCCCGGTGATCCTGACTTGTCGTTTGCACGCACCGAGCTCTACCAGATTCGAAAACAAATTGCCATCGACAGAACGCTACCAAGTTCTTGGATTGATATGTTCCGCAAACCTTCATACCGGAAACGCACGCTCTTCGCGCTGGGAACTATTGGCATTGTCCAATGTTCAGGGGTCCTGGTGATCAACAGTAGGTCCCGCAGTCGAATATTTGATGAGTTACTTTGGTCTGACCTGTTGACAGATTATGGGCCGTCATTGTATTCGGCGTTGGGGTTCTCCACCGCTCAGCAGCTCCTCTACCAGTGTGGGTGGATCACCATGTCTCTCGGGTTGGCGACAATGGCCATGCCGCTGATCGACATGTTTCCACGGCCAAGATATTTCAGTTTCGGCATCGCATTTTGCATGGCTTGCCTGATTGTGGAGGCTGCGATCATTTCCAACTTTGGTACGACTTTGACAAACCATGCCGCTCTTCGAGCCGGGGTTGCCATGTTTTTCGTGTATCAGATAGGGTACTGCGTCTTTCTCGACAGTAAGCCAGACTTCTCATCTATGATTGCTTCGTCTGCTGACAGAATCGTCAACCAGGTATATCGTTCACCTACGTGACCGAGCTCTTCCCCACCCATCTACGGGCAAAAGGTGCGAGCATGGGAATTGCCATGCTCGCCTTGATGAATATCATCTGGCTTCAAGCTGCTCCCACCGCGTTCGAGTAAGTTCTCCGTCATCATTGCTGGAGTGTGTCTCAATCTAATGGACTTTGTTAGGAATATTGGCTGGAAGTTCTATCTCTGCTTCATCATCCCATGCAGCCTGGGGGGATTGCTGATACTCTTCAAATGGCCTGATACTAGGGGCCTGCCACTGGAGGAAGTGGCGGCTCTTTTCGGCGACGCCGACGAGGTAGCTGTATATCAACGAGAGATTGAGTTCGACGGTGGCACGCATACAGTGATCGACCACCACAACGAGAAGGGCGCAATCGGAGTTGCAGTAGAACAGGAAGATGTAGGCCGCCGCGAAGAAACTTCTAGTGGAGCTGCGATCTAGTCAGATGGAGAGAAATCGCTTACTCTATAAGAATAACTATAGTATAGCGATACCAGGCAGCTACAGGTATAGATTATTCCTTGATAGTATACCTTGACTAGGACTAAGTATAAGGAGAGGGAAGTTTCTTCTGCGAAGAGCGCACGGTAGTTAAGTAAAGGCTAGGGTCACGTGCTAGCCTCGCTTGGCGGTTCGTGACAATAATTAAGAGGTGAGCGGTGTTTATGTAAAAGCGGCGTAGGCTGGGTGAGTGTCGAGGTGCCAAGAGACTTTCTTGGGGCTCAGCCTTGTGGCCTAGCCTTGTGGCCTGGCCGTGAACTGCAAGACGCGTGCAAACGCGATAGAAACCTCAATCCTTCGTCCGACTTCCAGCAAGTAGGGCCTATCTACGAAATACTAGGCACTTCAACGGTCTGTCCCAACTGGGGGCTGTACCTACCGAAAAGCGAAGAGCAGAAATCGAAGGAGTTCTGTCCTAAAAGCTCCACCAGCATCCACGTTTCGCACCCCAGATCCTTTTCTCTCGAAACTGCGACCCAACAGTTGGGTGTCGCGCGACCGATTCATTATTTGCAGGAAGAGGTGACTTTGGATCCGACACAAGAGAGGGTGCTACATAACCGCATGGTGCAATGAATGAAACTCCGCGACTGCGGTCGGCTTTTCCTACCACTCCACGAACAGACCCTCGACGCCAAACCTTCAACAACAATGGACGCCCGGCTCTGGGCTCACCCCCTTCTCCCTTTCCTCCGAGACCATCACCGATAACCCGACCTGTGAGAGCTCCTCCTGAGACGGCGGGAGCCTCCACGCCACTGATACCGACAGAGATCGTTGATGTTCCGTCCCAAAGATTCTACGTTTTTGCGTTTTATGTTGCCTTGACCGCCTGGAGGCTGTACAACTCCTACAATGTGGAAAATGATCTGGATTCGACATGGCTTTTTCTCAAATGGGTGGGGATCGATGCTGCCTTCTTCGTGGCGCTACCGGCGTTTAAGATACCCTGGCTGGAGTTCTCATTTCCCACCACGTTCACACTATGGTTGCTGCATGCCATTGCAAATGCTTTCTTAATGTACAAGATTCCGATCCCGCTCCTGACATGGTTAGGGGCGCTGGTTAAGGTGGCCTATGATCGGGAACTTTCGATCTCAGAACACCGAGTCAAACCGGCCGACATTCTACACAACTCCTCGATCATCTTGGGGAAACAGATTATTCATATCCTTCCAGAGGGTTCTGCCATTCTTAATCCCGAGAAGAAGGCGTTTTGCATTGATGCCTCTCGGCCTTCGGTCGAAATACCCATTCAGATCAACCAGACGACGCCTATTTCTATTGAGCTTCAACGGTATGACCTTGACACAGACGAGGTCGAGACGATCATCATCAGCAGCAAACAAGCTAGGCAATTGAAAAAACATGCAGACAGCGGCCACCACAAGTCTGACACAAATACGCCGCGGACTCTGCATTACCCGGTGTCGAAGGCAGGTCTGTACCAGTTACATCGCGTTATTGACACCACAAAGCTGGAAGTGCGGAAACGGAGCTTCGACACGGCAGTTGTGCAGTGCCCGTTGGCGAGCATCTCGACACGGTCCGAGGACAGATGCACGGGAGAGCTGAGCAACGTCGCTTTGCAGGTCACAGGCGTCCCACCATTCAAAGTCAAATACAGCAAGACTGTCAATCACAAGCAGTTCAGTTCCATTGTCCAGAACGTGCAGCCCCAACTGGATTTCGACACGGTCCCTGGCGATGAGACTTCAAGTGTCGTCCTCGATCCAAGGCGGCCACATATGGGATGGACGAAGTCCACAACTGAATCATTCGAGATCAACGAATCTCTGCACCAGAATGGAAGTCATTCTTACACCATTGAAGAAGTGGAAGATGGCCTGGGGAACAAGGTGGTCTACGATGCGAGCAAACCAAAGGACCTTCATGCTCCGCGGGTTCAGAGTTTGACTGTGCACAACAGACCTCGAGTTACATTGGGAGGCCTTAACTCAGATCGCGTTCTTCGAGTCCGCGAAGGCAGTGCGGTTCATCTTCCTGTTCGAATTCAACACGTGGACACGTTGCATTCGTCAGACTGGCCGCTGATTGTGAAATACAGCTTCGTCTCAGATGACGAGGGGGAAAATGTCCAGTCCGAAGACTATGTGCACAAGATGATGGACAGTCACTACATGCCTATAATCGGGGAGCCTGGGAAATATAGCCTCGATTCTGTCGAAAGCCAGCATTGTCATGGGGAGGTTGTTGAGCCTTCGTCATGCCTACTCGTGAACCCTCCTAAACCCGGTCTCAGTATGGAGTCCGAGGACGTTTTCGATAAATGCGCCGGTAATCCAATTGGCATGTATGTCAACTTCGACTTTACAGGCACGCCGCCTTTCAAAGTGAGATATACGATGAGCCACCGGGGTACAGCTCATCCGAAAGTGCAAGAATTCTCCGGTATGCGCGGTCAGATGGAATTCCGTGAAAGAGCAGCTGGCTCTTACGTCTACACAATCCATGAGATCGAAGATCAAGTCTACGGCAGTGTGTCACTGAAAGACCAAAATCTTGTCCTCCAGCAGGACATCAAGCCGCCGGCGTCGGCCATATTTTTGGGAGACAATCGTCCTGTCAAGGCGTGTCTCGGCTCGCCCGTGTCAGTACCAGTCAGACTTGCAGGTCAAGGACCATGGGATCTAGATTACGAACTGGTACATGCCGGCAAAAGAAAGAAGCACCACATCCACTCCGAGGAGGAGCTATGCACGATTGAGCTTCCCCCGTTGGCCGAAGGAGGGGCCTATTCTGTCGTATTGACAGGAGTCCAAGACAAATCTCGATGTCGCACGACGTTGCAAGAGGAACGGAAGATAGAGGTCAGACAAGAGCAACCGCGAGCTGCATTCGGCGACATCGACGGCAAACGATCGATCTCAGCGCTAGACGGCAAGCCAGTCAAGCTACCTTTGCGACTGAAAGGCTTCGCGCCATGGGCGGTCAGGCTGCAGAATCTGGACGACGGGTCTGATTCATTTGAGAAGATATTCAAGGACGCAAACGCCGAAATCTCGGTCGACCTGCCAGGTACTTATGAGATCGTCTCTGTTCATGACAGTTGCCCAGGCGTGGTTGATTCGAAAGCGAACAAATTTCAAGTGAGCTGGCTACCCCGACCGACCTTATCAATCAGAGATCCAGCCATCGGGAAAGAAGGATTGAAGGGCTTCCGCAAACCTGCAGTTTGTCAAGGCGACGAATCTATTCTGGCCCTTGGGCTCACTGGCAGCCCACCGTTTCACCTTAAATACCAACAGAGATTCGAGCCGGTCAAAGGGCCTGCTGCAATCAGCAACAAACCCGTTACCTTTGCCGGTAGCAGCGCGCAGATCAATCTTGATACCAGCAAAGCCGGAGAATATTCCTATGCCTTTAGCGAACTTGGCGATGCGCGCTACTCTTCCGACAAGAAGGGATTCAGTCCGATTGTTCTTTCCCAGCAAGTCTATCCTCTACCGTCAGCCAAGTTCAGCCAAGCCGGGAAGACTTATGGCTATTGCAAACACGATCCGACCTTCACAAACAGCGCCGAGGCCGAGACTGAAAACATACCGATCACCTTCACGGGCACGCCCCCTTTCAGCGTTGAAATTGCCATTATTCACCATGGCGTATCAAACCGCCCTGAGATCGTCCGTCAGAAGGACATCCCCACACGCAGCTACTCATGGCCACTTTCGCGAGCCACCCTCGACCTAGGCACACATACAGTCTCTATTCGCTCTGTGAAGGACGCTCTCGGCTGCGAATCAATCCTCGACTCGGACCCGTCCGCCGTGCGCATCCATGTCTCATCGCCTCCGGCCATCATCCCGCTCGAGTCCCAGGAACACTACTGTGTAGGCGAGCACGTCTCTTTCTCCCTGAGCGGCCAAGCCCCCTTCGACGTCTTCTACAACTTCCAGAACCGGGAACGAAAAGCGCGTGTCTCCGGTAATGAGTTCAGACGACTCGCTGAGTCACCGGGAGAATTTTTTATCACGGGTGTCAGTGATTCAGCAATGGGCAATAACAAATGCCGAGCAAGGAAGGATATCAGAAAAGTCATCCATCCGTATCCGACGGTGGAGATTGGTAAAGGAAAGACGGTGATTAGCGATATTCATGAAGGAGGGGAGGTGGACATACTGTTTACGTTCACAGGGACACCACCTTTCGAGTTCACGTAAGTATCTCCTGTTCCCTCTCTCCCAAACACTGTGCCCAAGCCTACGGGCATTCTGGAAGAGATATACTGACTTTTCGATGATGCGAATCCAGATATACCCGCACCGAAAATCTCAGAAAAGGCACGGGCAAACAACCACGCGTTCTCGAAACGCGCCACGACACGTCGGATGAATTTAGCAAGATGATCCGCGCCAGCGACGAGGGTATCTATGAAGTCGTGAGCATCAAGGATCGATTCTGCTCATACACAAAACCCAGTCACAAGGCTGCCGGCAGTGGCGGCGGTCAGAAGTTGTTGACCTACTGAAAACGCCACTGCTACGAGCCACCCGTCTAACGTCGCTCTTTCCTTTTAACCTCGACTGTTCTCGGGGAAGCATGAAACCGTCTTCGAAGAAGCTGTGTTTGGGTCGTTGAATGGCAGTTAGTCGAGAAGGCAGTCACTACGGTTTTCACACTGGATGTACAAAACGCGCATTGACACCAGACAAGGGGCGCCACGGCCGACTTTGCTGTCCTGCGGGGTTTTTTTAATACCTCTGCGGGTCAATCGATACCGGGTGTCGGGCCTCCAGGCAAGATCTCTCACATATCTTATGATATGTTGAGTCGGGCCGGGTTTTGCCCCATGTCCTTGAAGGCCCTTGGATCGTTACTTCCAATCCTCATTCTATCCTCCGACCCCACCCCTACCCAACCTACGTTGCGAGATTTCTGAGCGAGAGCGAGGGGCGAGAGCAAAGGGCGGCGAGAATCGAGGCGTTTCTGCGCACACACCACATGTACCACCAACGATTACAGACTAATTTCAAGCATGGCCAGGGCAGGCAGGGGATGGTAAAACACGGGGATTTTCTTTACTAGCTCGATCGATTGGGAGGCACCACGGCGGCTGGATTATTAGCTTTACTGTCAGGCAATTACCTAGTTACTTTAGTTGGTTCATTGGGTTCATTGGGTCGGAATCGCGAGAGCTTTGGGACGTTGTTCAATCAGCATGACCGGTCGGGGATAGGGTCTGTTTGGTATACCACATCGTCAGGGCTGTTGAAGAGGGCAGCGCAGGGCAGGGGAGAACTAGTAAAATCAAGCAAGATCGGAAGAAGATATCTTTTTTTTTTCCGGAGGAAAGAGGGCAATTTTCTCATTGAGCGCGCGATACGACCAAGTGTGAGATTGAGGTGCACCGGGAGAAGACCTAGTTAGGTGAACACACAAAAGCCTTGAATGTCACCTCATCTGGTCCGCTCTGTGCTGAGCTGCCCTGACGAACTTGTCTAGCCGTTTCAATTCCCCCAGTAACCAGAACTGCCACAGTTCTTTCATTGCAGGCAGGATGACTTCATTCAGCCTCTTTTGGCCGGTCATCTGTTCACTGTGGGATCCATTCGCAATCCTTGTCGGTCTGGTTCTGTTGCGTTGGTGTATCTTTGCCCGTGACAAATTATACAACAAACATTCGGGATGTTCGGGCTATCGGCTTTCCTCCTATTTTTTTTGTCTTTTTCTTGATTTTTGTGCGTGTGAGAGTGGTTCTCAGATCTGCTTGCATCTGTCAAGCGGTGGCTTTCCCGTTTCTAGCACAAGGGAAGCATAGTGCAGAATGTCCGCTGTCGGATTGAAGTGGGTTCGATGGCAGATAATTGTTTGTTTGTTAAAGAACATTGATGGCAGGTCCCAGCGATGAGCCGCACTGAGTGACATGAACTTGTCAGGGAGAGGTAAGAGCGGAAGGATAACAATGGGAGTAGTGCTTTGGTGCGTGAGTAGTGATGCATGGGATCAGGGACGGGATGTCGATATTCTTGAGTAGGTCGTGGTGTGTCCTGGATTTAAGTGTCGTTTCTGCGGGAGTAAAGAACAGTATGTCCAGCTGTTCGCTGAGTGCGGTGTTGATTGAATATGCGCCAGGCGTATTGATGATTAGGTCATTCTGTAAGACTGGTGTCGAGACTGTTGTCGAAGTGGATAGAGTTAAACAGGATGAGTATCGAGTATCGAGTTTCATGACAGTGATAGGAGGAGTCGTCGTGTGGCTGGTATGTCCGAGATCTGAAGGAGAGAAATGCAAATAGCCAAGCAACGCCATGCAGATCTACAATCCGTGTAGGAACCTGCACTGACCTGCACCGAAACTTTTGCGCCAGTCGTCTCCATGACTCCAAATAGAACGTGGCTCTTTCAAGACATGCAATGTCATAAGCCATAAAATCCCGAGGCTTGCTCGGCAGAAGAGCCGTTAGCCTTCCATCCGTCCGTGGCAATCCATCCAGAAAACACCCATCCCAAGAAAGAGGTAGAAACTGTACCAACACTGTTGTACAGATCTGATAGCAAGGAAAACCACATGAGCCAGCCATAACTGAAAACTCCCAGCTTGCGCATGTCGCATGTCATAGACCTTCGTGCCATGGAAATGAAGAAAACGCCGAAAAAAAGGAAATTGGGAGGGAAACCGCAGCTAGATCACAGTCCAAATCTCAAACTAGTGAGCGATTTGACCCAGAGGTGCTGCTGCTGGCTGCTGAGGATGACCGCCGCGGCCTCGAGCACCTTGACCTCGGCCTCGCCCACGGTATCCCCCACGTCCTTGGTTGTTGTATTGTTGGCCATATCCATTCGACTGATTCTGTGGTCTTCGAACCTGCTGGTATTGACCGTTGGTGTTGGTAGCATTGTTGTTTGCGCTGGTGTTTGCGGTGGCATTTGCATTGGACGCGTTCGACCTCGCAGTCTGCGCTGGAGGAGGCATGGCGCGTGGAATCAATTCAGGGTTGTCATATACATACAGACTCTTGTCGATTGATGGGGGAATGGGTTGGATCTCTGTGCCCAGCTCTTGTTCGATCTTGTACAGATTGAAACGATCATCCCAATTGATCAAGTTGATAGCGAGACCACGGTGACCGAATCGCCCAGAACGCCCAATGCGATGAAGGTAGGTTTCGGCATTTTTGGGGAAATCGAAGTTGATGACCACATTGACAGCTTGAATATCAATACCACGAGTGAGGAGATCCGAACACACCAGATTTCGACAGACACCGGCACGGAAGTCATGGAAGACCTTGTTGCGGTTCTGCTGCAACATCTTGGCGTGAGAGTAGAAGCACGAATACCCCAGTTCTGTAATTTTCTTTGCAAGAAGCTCGACCCGGTTTGTAGAATTGCAGAAGATGATGGACTGGTTGATTTGTAGCTTTGAGAATAATGTGTTGAGACAGTGGACTTTCTGCTTCTCCTCGACAAAAGCGTAGTATTGCGTTATACCACGCAAAGTCAGTTCGTCCATGAGGTTGATTTCGTAGGGATTTCGCATGTGTTTGTCTTTGAACGACTTGACTATCATTGGAAAGGTGGCGCTGAAGAGCATGACCTGTCGGTCTTTCGGGTGGAAGGAAAGGAGCTGCTCAATGACGACTGTGAACTCCGGGGAGAGCAGCTTGTCGGCTTCATCCATGACAAATATAGGGCATTCGGACAAGTCTGCAACACCTTTGCTTGCGAGGTCGAGGATTCTCCCGGGGGTACCGACAATGATGTGTACTGTTTCGCCTAATCTGATGATATCGTCTTTGAGTCCGGTACCACCTGTGGTAACCATGACGTTGATGCCCAAGTGCTTTCCCAGGGTCTTGCAGACCTGAGATGTTTGTAAAGCCAGTTCTCGAGTGGGGACAAGGATCAGCGCTTGGGTCTTTGGGTTTTTGGGGTTGATTCGTTCCAGGGTAGGAATGACAAAGGCTGCCGTCTTGCCGGTTCCATTCTTTGCTCGGGCCAGAATGTCTCGACCGGTAAGAGCAACAGGTATAGTTTCTTCTTGGATCGGGGAGGGTTTCTCGAATCCGGCTTCGAATATGCCCATCATCAGTTCACGCTTGATGTAGAAATCTTCAAAATCCAGGCCCTTTGTAGCGGTCACATCTTCAGTCTGGTGCCTGGTATCTTTTGCTGGGAGGTTGAGGGAGTCTTTCCAATTCGACTCGTCTGCGCCATCGTTCAAAGAGGCTTTGTTGAGCTGTGCTGCTAAAGCGTCTGTCATTTTGGGAGAGGTTTGGAAGATCAGGTGTTGGAGGGGGCAATGAGATGTTGTTTTTGCTAGCAGCAGATCGGTATGTCGACAACAAAGTGGCTTAAGTCAGGGAGATTCTTTAGTGCCTGGAGAGGAGGCTTGAGAGAGGATAGAGAACAGATCGAGGGCAGAGGCAGGATTGTCTGTCGCGGGGTGTCACTTGATTGTGGTGGGTTGGAATCTGTCGCTCTTTGCGTGCAATTGACTTCAACCTGTGTCGAGAGGGTAGTAAGGTTCTTTGAAAGAATCAGAGGTCGTCTAGTAGCGGCTTTGCCCCGTGCAAGTAGAGTATTCGAGGTGTTCAATGAGTTCTGGTGCTCGAGTCGAGTGAACAAGTGGGAGGGCAAGTTCTTTGTGCCTTGTCCGCGACTGCACAGCGCAGCCCAGCGCCAAGACCAAGGCATAAACCAAATCTTGCCGTTTTAGGCAACATGCTTTGTTCCAATGACTTCGATTCCGATTCTACCATTCATGGATGCCATTCAGCCCCCATTCACATGCGCCACGGCTAAGGCACAATACTTGCTATATCCATGAACCAAAGCGTCAACAATGAGGACTCCTCAGACTGAATGACACAACATAGTTGTCCCAGCCCACCGATCGGCAGCAAAACCGAACCGTGGATCCCATTTTCCAGCCCAAGTGCACCGGACTCCATGCTGATCGCGGAGGCAATCCTCCAGAACTCCACCACCGTCGCTCTCAGTTACATAGACAAGTGCAACTTGATGGACAGGCTCCTGGTCCCCTCGGACCCTTGCAAGAACAACTGGTCAACGTAAGCTGTTTGATACACGCTAGAAATCAACTTCACTGCGCACCTTCCTCTCACACACGGCAAGACACACCCACAGTTCCTTGTCTTTGCAGTGTTCACCGCAGGACCTTGGTCATAGTCCAAGACCCCAAGATTGCTGTCCTCTGGAAGAAGAAAAGTCACCATGCGGGACAGATTTGGATCCCACGTCGGATGAAGGTGACGCAACGTTGGCAGTGACCGCGACAGATGCGTCTTTCTCGAGCTCTTGCTGTCGTGAGGCATGTCCATACTCGCAGAAGGATGAATTACCGACCAAAGATTCGAGGGTTGAAAGGGTGTTGAATCCAAAGTCCTGCGTGTATAATGTTGCTCTGCCTAAGGATGTATCGTCATGTGGAAGAGAAGAAAGGTGCGAGGCCTTGTGCAGCCGGCCAGATAGTCGCTGGACGTTTGCTGAGGCTCACCGAGTGATGGCTTCCCCAACAGACGGGACAGCGGCCACGAGAACAAGACGGCAGTCACACAACTCCCCATCGAAATTTTGACACGAGACACCACGGTCTTGTCTGTGCAGCTTGAATGGATAACCACCTTCAGGCACATGCTATCCAGAATCACGACGTTGCCATGTTGCCCGAGAATCGGAGGAAGCCGAGTCGATAACATTCGGTGAAGAGTCGAAGGTTACACAGAGTCAGGTGAGTCCAGGAGGTCTCGGACATGAGCCAAAACCCATGATGTGACCCGCATAATGGCCCTTGCGTATTAACAGCGCATCATATTGAAGCAGTCCAAAGAGCAGCCGTGGCTCATAGCGCATGGCAGTCAGCCGATTCGAGCATGTGTAAACATTGAGGGTTCGATAGCAGCACAAGTCAGCACAACCTTTCGTGTTTGTCACACGTCAACCTCAACTTGTTGTAATCTCAATGTGAACAAAATGCAATTTTGCGTCCGGCTCGACTCAGTCACGTCCAGTGCCGCAGTGGCTCAACCCGACCAGATGAGCATCTCGGCACTTCTCTGTACTCATATTCACAACGACCCTGACAAGATTCAGCGATCATGCTGGAGCAAGTACCAGCCTGGTTTGGCCCCTTTCTGGGGGAGCAACCCTACAGACGTTAGCATCTATGCACAAGGTGCAACGCCTCCTAACTTACTCAATAGCGCAGACATCTGGAGCTCTTTTGATGTCAGATTTGGTGCCTGGGCTGATAAGAATGAATTGCCCGCCACTGCTGTGCCTGGCTCCATCGATCAACAAGTTGACACTGGTGGTCCTGTTGACCGCATCCATGAAAACGTCGAATTCGTCGAGACATCGAATCGGGACACCCATCGCATCCCAAATCGAGAGCAACAGACAGATCTGGGAAAATGACTTCTCTCCACCAGACAGAGTCTTCGCGCTCCGCCCGGTTCCGTCACGTCTCGTAATATCGGGCTCGACGGCGATGTCCATCTCCTTCTTTCTGTGATCGATGTGGAGCCTTCCACGGAAGCCCCTCTCGCTGAGCTTGTGAATAAACCCTGCCCTTGATCTAGCTGTAATATGACCTCTGAATAGCACCCATCGCCTTCTTCGCTCTGCCAGGGACCTTGTCAGTTGCGCTTGCAGAGATTCCAACGAACTCATTTCGCTCTCAGCCGCCTTGTATGCCTTGGAACATTTCGATGCCTCGGCGGCTATGTCGTTCCGATCACCGACCTGGGCTTGATACTTGCGATAATCTGCCGATAGCTTCTCATGTTTCTTGTTCAGGGTTTCATATGTTTCGCCTTCGGGAAGGTTGACCCGCTCGCATACCTGCCGTGCTTGGTCTTGGAAGCTCGCAATCTTTTCATCCATTTCCTGCATCTTCCGTTCCAGCGCGCCACGGTCGGCTCGTGCGTCTTCGATCATAGCAATAGCCCTATTTTTCTCATGCAGCTCATGCGCACGTTTCTTGCTGGCCTTCTGAGCGGCTGACTGGGCCTTATCGGCGATAGCTTCAGCCTCTTTGATGCGCTCGTCCAATTCGTTGCACTTTAGAGTCGCCTCGCGAAGTCTCTTAGTTTGCTCGTCAAGGGCAATGACCGAGTCTTGAAAAGAGCTCTCGTGAATGGCCTTTTGCTCCTCAGCCTCGCTTAAGGACTGGCGCAAGGCTTCAAGCTTTCCACCTTCAACGCTGTCGTCCTTGATGGCCTCCTTCAACCGTTCGACATTGTCTTCCGCTTGCTGTGCTGCGATTTCAAGTTCTCTCTTTCTGGCGCCATGCCGCTTGAGGGCCTGTTTTGCTTTGATATGCCGATCCTGGGCACTGCGGTGTTCGTGCTCTGCACGTAGACGCTGGGCTTTGCAGTCAGCAAGTACATCTTGTTGCCGTTTGATTGCTTCGTCAATATCCGTCCTCATCCTTGGATTACCGATAAATTCGTGTACCGGGTCTTGCGCTGCCCGGCCGTTTCGATAAGACAAGACAGCGCCTTTCACCTTGCTGCCTGGGCTGAAGCAATAGCACCGTTTAACATTGCGCAGAGGCGACGCCTCTGAATAGAGTGCTTTCGACGCTTCGGTCATATCTGGAATGAGGATGCTCTGCTCAATCTGGTTGGAGATCACGAGCTGTTTCCTGACGGCCTCGTTGTCGATTTCCAACACACTCAAGACAGTGTCGAATCGGGAATCCGGAAGATGTGGCCCGATGTTTAGTGGGAGGCTGTTTGCAATGAAGATAGGCAGAACACACTGAGTCCGTCGCATGATGCTGCTCAATAGATTTTCGTCCCGCTTGCTGCTCACTATGAATCCCGAAAGTGCGCTGCCGAAGGACTTCTCCAAGATTGAAGACCAATCCGGTTTCAACAACTTAACATGCTTCCCTAGAGGTCCCACAGGAGCGTCCTGAAACCCTTTTTCCTGGCGCAAGGCTCGTAAAAGTTCATGCATTTTGGGGTGAAAAGCGACGTCTTGAGAGTTGCGGTTCTCTACCAGGCGCTTGAGGTTGTTGTCCAAGTCGGTAACTCTCCGTTCCTCGTTCTTCTTCGCTTCTCCAGTTTCGCTCTCGAGCCTTTGCATTCTCTCAATTTCCTCAACGAGTGTTTGTCTTTGGTCCAGGTGATCCTGCAACTCCCCTTCCGCTCTTCTAACTGCTTCTTTAGCCTCGTCGAGTTCGTTGATGCGGCGAGCAGCTCCTCCCCCATCGAGCTCGGCCAGCCTTTGCACCTCTTGTTCGATAGCTACCTTCTGCTGTGTGATGGTTCTGTCAGCACTGACCAAGGCGTCGCGGATCTGTCGTTGCTCGGCCGCCACTCCCGAATAGTCCTTCTTCAGATCCTGCTGTTGCGCCTGCAGCTCGTTCTTCTCGTCTTTGAGGCGTTGAATAGCTGTATTTGCTGTGTTATACCTCTCCGTTGCGGCAGCTGCAACTGCATCGGCTTCCTGGTAGGCGGCGTCGAGCTCTTCAGCCTTGGCTTCTGCGGCCGCAATCTTGGCATCCGCCTCCCGAAGCTCTTTGACATACTCATCTCGAATGTCCTCCTGAATCGCGACTTGGGCCCATGTCAGCTGTCGGCGATAGTCTCGCAGCCTGTCACGCATAGCCTCATATCGATCGGATAGTGCAAGCTTGTTCGCCGCGCTGTCGGCTTTCCCTTTGAGGACTTTCAGATCTGGGGCTCTGGCGGCGATCTTTGCACTGATATTGTCGAGCTGCTCTTCGATGAGTCGGTAGTCCTGATCAAGCTGTTCAAGTTGAACGCCCTTCATAAAGAACTTGTACTTTTCCACAGGACTCGAGCTGGCAATGAACTGACGCGCCTGGTCTTGCGACAGGACCGCCATGGGGTTTTCGATTTGCAACATCATATGATCGCAAATTTCTTCAAGGTCAGACTTTCGTGTAGAGATGATGCGGCCTTTTTCCGACTTCAGCTTGAACCCAGTGCTACCAGTGCGCGAGATATGGCGTTCCACTTGAATTGTCTTCCCATACACCTCGGGCATGTATGCATTTTCACCTTGGTTTTTTAGCCTGCAGATGATGGTAGCGTGGTCTGTTCCTTCCTTGATGAAATTTTGGAGGCGGGCACCTCGATTCGTTGCTGAAGCCTTCCCTCCTAGACACAGGACGATGGCTGTCAGGATCGCACTCTTTCCGCTACCATTTTTGCCGCAGATGAAGTTGATCAGTGGGCCAAGCTCGTAACTCATGTCCTCGTGACACATGAAGTTCTTGAGCTGGACTCCCTCCAGAATCCCGTACTCCGCGGGCTCATTGTCCACGCCTTCTCTGCTTCTGGCCTCGATGGCCTGGGTGGCTAAGAGCAAAGCCTCGTCGTCTTCTTCGTCGCCATCGGAACTGATCTCGGAAGGAGGAGTGCTGGCGTCTTCGGAATCGGCTCGATCGCTCGAAGTATCACGGGGCACCGAAGACTCGTCGCTCGTCCGCCTTCTCTTGTTCTAGCTTCTTGTTAGCATTGGCAAGCGTTATAACCCAACGGAAGTACCCTACAGAGGAGCGGCGGGGTGGCGATGGCTCTTGACCAGTTTCGCTGTCATCGTCGTCATCGTGAATGGCCGGGCGTTTGTGGGACGCCATTACAGCGCATTCATTTAGGCGAGACTGCTCGTTGAAGAGTGGTGATGCGTAGGGAATGAAGACGCTGGAATTAGAAATGGGCAACTTTGGAGTCGCAGGCTGCCAGTGCCAGACGCGGGCGCGCTTGCCGTTTCACGCGTTTGGCGTTAGCGACTCGGAGTTTGATAGCCGGCAAAACTCCGGCTGTGAAGTCATAAACCCGATGTCGCAGGAAAGCCCTTGGGCCCTCCACAGCATTTCACAGTTCTTTTCACTTTGTACTCAACTATAGCTTTGCACAGACTGGAGGCCTGCCTTGACAGCACAGTCTCTTCGAGAGAATGGCATCAACCTCAGCTAAAGATGGGGACAAGTCGAAACCCAAGGTATGCAGGACTCCCATGTACTCGCAAAGCCTAGCGAAAATAGCACTGATACACATCTCCCAACAGCCGAGTGCGCTGCGCTCAATAATAGCTGGCTCGACAGCTGGGGCGGTCGAGATTGCTATAACATACCCCTTTGATCTCCTCAAGACAAGGTCGCAGCTCAACCGCCGATTACCAGACTCCCAAAAACTCCCGTGGCCTCCCTTCCCCTCGAAAGAATGGTACACTGGGTGCACGACTGCGATCATAGGGAATTCGGTCAAGGCAGGCGTCCGATTCCTTGCTTTTGACACATATAAGCATCTGCTGTCAGACGATGATGGTCAAATATCTGGGCCGCGAACCGTCGCCGCGGGGTTTGGTGCTGGAGTCACAGAATCATTACTGGCAGTAACCCCGTCAGAGTCGATAAAAACACAACTGGTGGACGACAGGAAACGGGCGCAGCCAAGAATGCGTGGCTTCATCCATGGTTCCATGGTCATCGCCCGGGAAAAAGGCATCAGAGGCTTTTTTCAAGGATTCGTACCCACGACAGCACGACAAGCCGCCAACAGTGCGGTCCGATTCAGTACCTACACGAGCCTCAAGCAATTCGCCGAGGGCTATGTTGCACCGGGGGAAAAGCTGGGATCTCTGACAACTTTCGCCCTGGGAGGTATCGCTGGCATCGTCACCGTCTACACCACCATGCCTCTTGATACAGTCAAAACCCGGATGCAGAGTTTGGAGGCGAGGCAAGTATACAAGAACACATTTCACTGCGCCGCGTCAATCTATAAGAACGAAGGCATACTAACCTTTTGGTCTGGTGCACTACCACGACTGGGCCGTCTCACTCTGAGTGGCGGTATTGTCTTTACGATGTGAGTGACAGTCTCCTCTGAGAAGGCTATGGGAGAAAGCATTCTGACTATAATCAATTCAGGTATGAAAAAACGATGCAGCTCCTAGACGTCGCAGATCCCGACAGAAAGTACATTTAATGGAGCATGAGGAATCTGGGCTCTTTGGAACGAAAAAGCTTGAGTGATTTGGACGTCTGCACAGAATTTCAAGGTTGGCATCTATAAAAGTGGGAAGATAAAGCGTGTCTTTGAAGCAGAGCTTGTTCCTCCCTTGATGACCTTTTTGGTATGGGCATCTGTGAGATAATCTCAGAAAAAAAGTGGCAACTTGCAGATACAGATTGGCCTTGAGGCTAGTGATTGGCAGTCTTGTTTATCAATGATACCCAATATACACATCTACAACACAAGCCGCCTCGTTGACTTGTCACTCACTCTTTGACCTTGATCTCCCTGACGAGACCTTCTCCCAACCTCGCCATCTCCGCCAGCACTCCATCCCTGTTGAACACACACATGTCCTTTCCTTGTTCAGCCTCTCCCTCAGGTTTGACAGGCACGCTCGACCAGCCCAATCTGACCCGCCACTCCTTCCGCCCCAAAACGGCCGGCCGCCACAGTCCCGCAATGACCGGTCGTCCACCACCATAGCGGTCGTAGAAGAACAGGGCAGCCGACCCGAATGCGTGGTTGAGGTCACTCAGATACAGTTCGACGGGGTCGTAGCCGATCGAGTCGACGTCCAGACTCTCGGCGATCTGGAGGTTCTTGAACTCTGCTTCGCCTCCTCCAGCGACTCCGGACTTGGCTTTGGACCGTTTGGCCTTGAGACCACCAGCGCCACCGCGAAGTACGACCGAGTGTTTCAAGTGAATCAGAAAATCAAAATCTCCCAGCGGGCTCTCGAAGAGGCCGTTCCACTCGTCTTCCGTCATGCTGGTACCCTTGCGCTCGATCAGTCCGATCGCTGCGCGAGCCAATGCGGTGAGTCGACCCGCGACTACGCGCGGAGGGTGGCCGTTGACGGTCCACACGGACCCGGTCGTGTCGACGTTCGTGCCCACGAACCAGACGACGTTGTTCATCTGTGGATCCAACTTCCTCCACGCCTCGAAACGGGTTTGGATCTCCGCGATTCGTGCGGCGGTCAAGGAGTCTTGCGAGACACTCACATCGATCATTAACGGTGAGTATGCCCAGTCCCATCTCGAAAAGAAGTGTAGGCATCGCAGGAACGCCGTCGTTGCAGACCCCGGTGCACTCCACGGCGCGGGCTGGAGGAAGATATGAGCGGCGATGAGTTCAAGGATTTCCTCGGGGATATGTTCGTGAAGGAGGAGATGGGATGACACCCATTTCTTCAGCAGGCGGATTGTACTTGACAGAGGTGGAAACCGGGTGATCAGGTTGCGAATCGCTGTCGTATGAATCGGTTTTGCCTGGAAGTCGCGTTTGTATGTAGCGAGAGCCAATGCGAGGGAGTCTCTAAGGGCGCCATGCAGTGATTTGTCCGCTAAGGCAGTCTGGATGAGGTGAGCTTCCCGATCATGGTAAATTCGCGCTCGGAAGCAGGTTGGACTGATTCCAGGGGCCGGCGAAGGATAAATAATGTCCAGGAACGAAGTATTGAAGTAGCCCGTGCTGGCAGACTCTGTGTTTTCAATTCCTACCCGGGTAGCGAGACCTGGATCGTTTGAGCTCAGCAGCTCGGAAAGTTTAAGAAGGAAAGCAATTTTGGTATATTGGATGGCTGGGAGAGAGTCTGGCCATCTTGTGGAGGAGTCAAACTGGACAATGATCTCGATGGGAGACGAAGTTAATGGGAGCAATGGATGGAGCGTAGAGCTCGAACGTAGCGCAGCGTCCGCGGGAGAAATTGAGCGGATGGGCAGAGGAAGGCCTTCGAGATTGTGCAGACTGGACGTCAAGGTCTGGAACGTCGAGTTGATAGCACGAAAAGCCTCCTTGATCGTAAAGCCTGATGTGTGGTTGCTGTCCTCCAAGACGCTGGACTCTAGATTCCGTCTCCTGATTGCGAGCGAGCTCGGCGGCAACTTGAAATGTAGAGCTGCGAGATGGGCGATGATTTGTACCGTCGCCGGCCGGTCTCCTGTCCAGACTAGACTTTCAGATATGCTACCGTCCTTGAATCGGCGCAACTCTGCCTTTTCGCCCCAGAACTCGCGGAATTCGGTAGCTTCTTCCTGTTCATCGGCGGATGGGCCGCGGTCGACAAGGCGGTCGACATTCTCCGGGTTAGTGAGCAACGCAACTTGCAGCTCCAGATCCTCTTCTTGGGGAGGTGGGTCCTTGTTCAGTGGCCAGCCTGAATCTGGGGGAAGCTTGAAGTCGACCAAAGTAATCCTGTCACCCAGTCCTTTTTGCAGGACTTTGTGCATTCTTTGCACGAGTTGTCGCTGATCTGCAGGAGTCCTGATCCGGTCACCAGATATTTTAACAGAATACATCTCGTCGTACTGCAGTAACGGTACTGCGACATTCAGCACAAACGTTGCGTCGAACCCGTCCTGGTTGCGAGAATTGAGCGCCGCCAAGGAGACTTGAGCGTGGTGACGCAGGGATGCATATGACCAAGGAGACATCTTGTAGAGGATGTTGACACCCGTCTCTCCGTCGTAGAGAACTGGGACGTCCGAGCGCGGGAGCTCGAAATTCGCACCATTGAGAAGCATGGGTTCCTGCAGATCTCTTCCACCCAGGATCTGGAGCATAGCCTTGAAGAATTGTATGCTGCTGTACTGTTTGGAGAACAATGGATGGCCGCGATGACCTCCTGTCCGCGTTAACAGTGCGCATACCACGGTCCACTCCAAAAAGCCGAACCCTCCTGAGCGGGCGGAACTGGAAAATCCTCGTTGTCGAAGCCAGAGTTGGCCAATCCGGCATGCTTCATCAAAGGACGGACTCCTCGTCGATCGGATGAGTTGGTCAAAGGCTGAAATGGATGCCGCGTACCGAATGGCACTGTTGTAGAACGGAGAAGCTGTGCCACTTTGTTCTTTGCTTCCTAGCATTTCTTGCCTAAGACAATTCTTCGAAGGTAGTGTCTTTGCTATGGGTATCGAATGGTTATTGAAACCCACAGCAATCTGGAACTTAAATTTTGATAGACCTGTGTCCTTAGCAACGAGATCAATGACCGGTAAGAGATCGATGTCGTGCTTGTGTGCAAAGGAGATACTGAAGTCAAGTTCTTCATTGTTCTTGATTGCGGAAGCAATGCAAGCAAGGTAGAATGCAGCCTTGTGGCATACCCTGTTGTTGAGATAGTCCTTCTCCTGCAAGATGCCATCGGGTACAATAGCTGTGATCTCTATGGCATTCTCATCCTTCAGACTCAGACTCCATGGTAGAGCGCCACCGACCAGGACTTGCTTTGGAGGTACAAAGCTGAACTTGTAGTTTGTATCTTTCGATGGCTGTGGCTGCGGAAACGGAATGCTTATTCCTTGTTTCCGAAGCGACTTTACAGCATCCGTTGCATTGATAGGCGGAACGTCCTGTATGTCTTTGATAAGTGATACCAGCTTGTTTGAGAGAGAGCTCCATTTAGATCGGAGGTTGTCATAGTTTGGCGTCACTTCGGCGTCCAGATCAGCTACTTGGAGTCCTAGAATAGCTGATTTGTTGATGCCCCCAGTCGGCAGCACAGCAGGCTTCGCAGCTGGTTTCTGGGGTGGTCCCTTTGAGGCAAGACCATTCCTTGAGAGGTTGTGTGAACCATCGCCGCCGTCATCGGGACTAGGAGAAGCTTCGGTGAGGTGAACATCATCCTCTTGCAAATCGTGGCTGAGCTTCCGCCTCTTTGCGGAATATCGTCCATCCGGCATATTCTCGATCGACATGTCGGAGCGCTCGTTAGGTGTGTCCTCTCAAGGTGCCCAGAACATGATCAAGGAGTGGGTGAGAGAGTATCAGGTGCTGATGATTACCACCGCATATGTTTGACTATGCCAGCCGGACTGGTTTGTATTAGGACCATACGCAAAGATTTTGAGAAGTTCATGATCAACTCGTTGCAGTGCCAGTGATCGGCCCAAAACTTTTTTGATGCCAAGGCTTAGGAAATCGCCTCCCGCCTCAGCCCCGAATAGGAAACAAGTAGATGCCGCCCTGATAATCCATCCCCGACTTGAGCAAGTCTCCACCACCCATCGTCGAAGGTGCCAAGAGTGCCTCGTACAAGCGTCTGGTGCGGATAGAGTTTGCCGCCGCTTTCCTTTAGAAGCAAGTTTTAGTATTCGAAACGTTCTACCGACAATCTGAGGCTGGGAAGCAAGATCTTTTGGGAATAGACATCAAAGTCCCTAAGCTTTGTCTACGAAACACTCCGCAGCAGCCCTGTTAATGACATCCCATAAGCCTTGCATTTGACATCTGTCGTCGCAAGTCTCTCGAAAGGGAAACTAATCATAAGACCTCCGAAGTCGGAAAGAAAAATCTCTCTAGCACCGAGTGACTCCTACACATTGCCTCCCACCCATACAGTTTTGAGGACGAAAACATTCAGACACAAAATCTGCGAGCGAGTCTGTCGTCATGCTTGCAGCGGTCGGGCAACCAGTGCCCAACACCGCTCATGCAGTCAGTGTCTCTCTACCGTCATGGGCAGCCACGGTGGGTTACGAAGAAGGGCAGGATTGGGTCATGTCCAAAATGGAGACCGGCTACCCCAGGTTCTTCATTCATCTGACCATCCAAGAACTCCAAAGGGAGATCTTGAAGCTTTATGGCAGATCTGGGGAAAGTGTCATGCTCTTCCCGTCCATCGCCACTGCGAAAAGGTGTCAGAGGTTCTTCTATGACAAGGTCGAGGGGTTAGACACGAGTTCCATTCGAACTTTGCAATTGGAACCGGTAGTCGACAAACAAAGAAGACACGAGACGGCCTTCTCTGGACTGGCATGTGTTTTCTTTCCTAAGGACTACTTTGGCGTCGCGAAGCAAGTGTGGCAGCACACCGGAGATGGAATATCCAGCCGCCGCGGAGAGTTCTGCTTGAAAGCATTGAAAGACGGTATACTCCAACCCGAGACAGCACAAACAAAACCGAAAACAGACGACATGCTATTCACAAAAGGATTCACAAAAGGCCCTCGACGATATCAACGACCAGCATCTCGGAATGGAGCGGTTCACGACAGCACCGTCCCCATTGAACCAGTCGTTAGCGAAGCAACCAATGACGGCGAAGACAAAGACTTCCCGCAATTCGTAGAGGAGCGGTTCGGCCGCAATCTCAACGTCAAACTTGCCCAGCAGGCGAAACTAGCGATTCGCCGCAGGATCAGTGGATGTCTGACAGACGACGTAGATTTGGATCAGGCATTGGCCGAATCTCCGAACGACTGTAATAGCAGACAAACCGGGCTGTCGCAAGACGACGTCTATCTCTACCCCTGTGGAATGTCGTCCATCTTCAACACGCACCGGATCCTCCTAGCCAACGCCGAGGCCAAGGGACAAACGCTCAGAAAGAGTATTTGCTTCGGCTTCCCTTACATCGACACCCTCAAGATTCTTGAGAAGTGGGGCCCAGGGTGTCTCTTTTATGGACTTGGGAGTTCAGCCTGCCTAGACGACCTCGAGCGGCGTCTGAGATCTGGCGAGCGGTATCTAGCTCTGTTCACAGAGTTCCCGAGCAACCCTCTCCTCAATTCACCCGACCTTCAACGCATCCGCGCGTTAGCGGACAAGTACGACTTCGCAGTTGTCGTCGACGAAACCGTCGGCAACTTCACCAATATCGACGTCCTCAGCCGAGCAGACGTGGTGGTTAGCAGCCTGACCAAACTGTTCAGCGGTGACAGCAACGTCATGGGCGGCAGTGCCGTCCTGAATCCCCAGAGCAAATGGTACACCGACCTCAAACACACGATGTCCCGTGAGTACGAGGACAATTACTGGGCTGAAGATGCCGTGTTCATGGAACGCAACTCGCGCGACTTCATCTCCCGAAGTGAGCGCATGAACACGAATGCCGAAGCGATTACGACGATCTTGCAGAACTGCCCGTTCGTCAAGCAGGTCTACTATCCGAAATGCAGCCCCAGCCGGCCCAACTACGAGGCCTGTCGCACCCCGAGTGGTGGGTACGGCGGCTTGCTCTCTGTGACATTCCACCACCCCAAGCAGGCGGTCGCGTTCTTCGACGCTCTCGAAGTCCAGAAGGGTCCAAGCTTGGGCACGAATTTCACCCTCGCCTGTCCTTATACGATCCTTGCGCACTACACGGAATTGGACTGGACGGCACAATGGGGAGTGGAGGCGGATCTGGTTCGATTGAGCGTCGGATTGGAAGAGCCCCAAGAGCTGACGGGTAAGGTAAAACGGGCATTGAAAGCAGCCGAGGACGTGAAGGTATAGGCCGCCTTCCCCTTGGTCGGCAGGGTGCAAGTCAGGGGTTATCTGGGCCATGGCTGTTCAACTCAGCCATTTGCCTCTTCTTGGGCTATGAAAAGAAGATTTTCGGACAAATCTGGCGGGATCATTCGCGTAAAAATGATTGATAATATACCGTTTGGAGACTTTCGCCGATACCTACCTAGGTAGATTAGGTGGTGTGTTCTGTACAAGGTGTTCAAGGAGTGCGAGGCTGGAGCATACAGGCTGCGCTGTGCCCCGCACGGCGGGTTTCGTTTCCGCTCCAGCACAAACCCTGCAAACGATGGGCCTCGTGCTTCCCCCGCGAATCAACGTCATACGATCCACGATTATTGCTCAGGCGATTTCACTTTTTGTTCCTCTCGACGAGTTTACTGGTTTGGTCGATCTCTTCTACTTGACTTATTGCAACCAAGTGACACCATTCTTCATCTTGTTGCGTTTATAAAACCGAGCTCAGCCTTCCGAGTCCCGGTCTGTCTCGTTGTTGAATGCGCCTTGCGCCTCTCTCAAACCGACTCCTCTGTGCCGGCACTGCGATCCTAGTTCTAGCCGCCGTCGTCCAAATCTCCGACTTCTCCAGCATCACTCAGCACATCCCGTTCCTAGTCTCGCTGACTCCTCCTCCGACCAGGATGGCGTGGCGCTGCTCCGGGCGTTCCAACGCGGAGCTGATCCAGAACCTGTTCAACGCGGGCATCATCCAAGCGCCGCGGGTGCGCGATTCCATGAAGTCGGTCGACCGCGCACACTACTGCCCTTCGTCCCCGCAAGCCGCGTACGAGGACTCGCCGCAACCGATCGGGTACTCTGCGACCATCTCGGCGCCGCACATGCACGCCGCCGCGTGCGAATCGCTCTTGCCGTTCATGCCCGAGAACAAAGGCGCAAAAGTGCTGGACATCGGTTCGGGGAGTGGATATCTGACACACGTGCTGGCGAACCTCGTCTGCGGATCCGACGGCAAAGGGGACGGCAAGGTCGTGGGCATCGACCACATCAAAGGACTCGTGGACATGTCGAGGGAAAACATGCAACGGAGCGCAGAAGGCCGGTACCTGCTCGAGTCCGGCAAGGTCGAGCTCATCACGGGCGACGGCCGCAAGGGGTACCCCGAAGGCGGACCCTACGACGCCATCCACGTCGGCGCCGCCGCGAGCGAAATGCACCAGACGCTCATCGAGCAGTTGAACAAGCCCGGCAGGATGTTCATCCCCGTCGAAGACGTCGACGGCTGGGGCTCCCAGTGGATTTGGGTCGTGGACAAGGACAAGGACGGCAAGGTCACCAAGAAAAAGGACATGGGCGTCAGATACGTGCCCTTGACGGACGCCCCCGGCCCGGCTTGACAATCACGGAAACTGCGAGACTGGTGGCACAATCTTTGGAGAACCAGATAGGGAAGTTTCGATGGTATTCTGTGTTAAAGTGACGAGGCCATTATTGATGATGTATTATCGCTACGCTCCCCGACTCGAAATCTCGGGGACGAAGAGTTTTGTATAACAAACGAAGACCATGACTGGAAATTGGCTCATAGACATAGCGCGATGCCCCATGCGATTGGCAGGATAGGCCAGGGTGGTTTGATGCTCTGCGCATGATTCAAGCGTGTGCCACAGTCTGGTCACGCAGGGTTCAGGACTAATACGAGATTGACACGATAAGAATCTTCTTCTTCTTCATGCCCATTCACTATTCTGCAGAGCGTTTTATAGCTGGTAGTCTTGGTGAGCACTGAGACGTATCTCGCTCCACTTCCACCCTGCGCAGTCCGCAACGCTTGAGGTGCCCTCGTCTATCTGAAATAATGAGGGCTTACTTTGCCTCAACCATGGGCTCTTCGGCCACATAGTGCAGATATGCGCCTAGGAGCTTCGTTCCCTCGATGTAGTTCCTCCGATCCAGCTTCTCATTGATACTGTGCGCCGCGTCGGTGGAACTGCCCATGGGCAACAAGAGCACGTTCTTCCCCGTGGCCTGCTCGAAGGTGATGGTGACGGGGATCGAGCCTCCTTCCCTAGTCATGTCGGGCTCCACACCAAAGACCTCCTTGACGGCCTTGGAGGCGGCGGAAAAGTTCCAGTGCTTTGGAGAAGCGACCCACCATTTACCCTCGTGCTGGCAGTAGACGTCCAGGGTGTTTTTCGAGTTGAGCTTGGCGAACTCGTCGCGGATGTACTTGTAGACGCACTCATTGACCTTTGCCGACTCCATGTCCGGCACGGTGCGGATGGAGAACTTGCCAATGACTTTGGCGGGGATGACCGTTTTGGCTCCCGGGGCAGCGAAGGCGCCCTCGACGCCGTGGATCGAGAGTGAAGGATAGCGCCAGCGGGCCATCAGCGTGTTTTCCTTGTCGGAGAAGATGGCCGTCTGAGAGCCTAGGGATTCGTACAGATTGTCCATGGTGTAGGCGATAGGGCCGTAGAGGGCCTTTTCCTCCTCGGTGAGCGGAGCGACCATCTCGTTGATGCCGGGGATCAGGATCTTCCCGCGGTTATCGACGAGCTTGCTTAGAATGAGCGCCAGGTCGGTCATGGGCTCTTGGGCCGTGCCGCCGAACACTCCGGAATGGAGGTCCTGTCCTGGTCCGGAGATGGCGATGGAGTAGTAGTTGCATCCTCGCAGGCCGTAGGTAAGACAAGGTTTCTCTGTTCCCAGCCAGTAGTTATCGGAGATGCAGACGGCGTCGGCGTCCTTGAAGAACTTCTTGGCTTCGGCGTTGATGAAGTCGTCGAGCCCTTCGGAGCCGTACTCTTCCATACCCTCGAAACAGCAGAGCAGATTGACGGGGAAGTCGACACCTGCCTTCTGGTGCGCTTCGATAGCGTTCAGCCAGCCTAACACGGGTCCCTTGTCGTCAGTGCTGCCACGCCCGTACATGCGACCTTTGTCGTCGATGGTCAACTCGAAGGGCTTTGTGGCCCACCCGTCCTCAATAAGCGCGGGTTGTACATCATAATGTCCGTAGACCAAAATGGTGCGCTTGTTCTTGTCGTTTCCGTAGCGGGCAATGACAACTGGAGGAAGGTCGAGGTGTTCCTTGCCTGGCTGTTTTCCTAGCGGGCGTTGTTGCACCTCCGCTCCCAGGGCTTCGAGCTCAGAAGCCAGAAATTGTCCCATCTATTGCTCTTTCAGCGGCTTCCTAGCAAAGCTACTTCTTTTAATCACCTACTCGGACGACATCTTTTCTTCTTTCCTCATCTGCTGATACGGAGGGGATAGCCACGGCCTTTCGCAGTCCTGGTGGGAGTCATGGTCAGCACCCCGCGGTCATTGAAGTTGCACTGGCTCCTTACGGTCAATGAAGGAGTCGGCGAGTTCATCCACTCTGGAGGTTGTTAGCACGCTACAAAAAGTGAGAATCCTGCAGCCTACTTCTTGAAATAAGGCTCTAGCTGCGGTGCCATCTTGTCGTCAGAGATGTGGCCGTAGTAATCTCGAGTGCTGGAAGGAAGTCTCAATGCGCGCAGGAATGGGTAAGGAGGATAAGCTGAGGGGCGAGTTAAAGACGCAGTCCTGAAGAATCTACGGAGGCCTGTCGAAGAGTAACGACCTGTGCGAAATGTGTGGAGCATGTGTTGGCAGGCTGGTTGCCTCTTGACTGCGCGGGATGTGGTTTGGAGGGTGTGATTGATAGAATTTGGAGATCTCCGCATTGCAAAACACGACTGAAAATTGTACAAGATTGTAACCCCCTGGCAATGGTGCTGTCTACTTTGAAAGAGGGAAAGAAAAACACCTGCACACAGGTCCTGTTTCTCTCTCATATCATACATAGCTTCAGGCATCTCTATACCAGCGTTCCTTTCTAATCTGTCTATCCTCGCGTGCCTCCCTTCTCTTCTTGCCCCAATTCGACTTGACAATCTCGGTCACCATTTTCTGCTCTTTGCCCTTTTCTGGGGCTAGCCCTTCGACGACCATATGTGTAAAGACTGGAGAGCAGTCAAACTTCTTTGACAACCGACTGACGCTCCATTGCGTGGGGTCTGTCCTCCTCAGTTCCCTCATCTCTTCCAAGTCTTTCTCCACAAGGTGATATCGTTTCCCCGTCTGCCGCGGGATGGCCGGTAGCTGCTGGGCCGACTGCAAGTGTGACTGTTGGGTTTCAGGGTCTGAGAACACTTTTCTGCGGTCGTTTTTAGGCAGGAAGATATTGGGCGTGTGATAGACATTGGGCATGCTTGGGGGAGGATTGTAGATGATATGGTCGTGTAGCTCGGTCTTGGAGGGGAGGAAGTCCGGATCTGGCTTGATATTAAGCCTGGATCTTGTTCGCCTGTAGGAAGATTGATGGCGGCGGAAAGAGGGTTGGAGGATCTGAGCGCAGAGCGTGTAGAACCGCGAAGACGCGGTCGACGGTGCCGGGAAAAGGGTCATCGACTGCATATTGACAAAGAGAAATGCTCTCTGTACTGGCAAATGTCCGAACAGAGAAGACGTTGACCCTCTTGTAGCTGATCCGCCGAAGCCTGGTCTCAATGCTTTCTGATGAGAATTGGTTTTTCTTCGCTTGACAACTCGAGGCTACCGTCGCTGCGGCATGCTCCCGAACAGCGCACTTGTTCTCCGCGCACCGTAGGAGTATTGAGCTGCACGTCTCCCAAACCTCGACGACGCCCAGGTAGGTCGAGTTGCCGGAAAGATCAATTGTGCTGTGCAGGGGCAAAGGATCAGCAGCTCGCGCGCAGTCCAAGCTTGGCCAGTAGTACGAGGTCGTAGTGGTGGCTTGGCAGGCTCAGATTATTAGCTCATGGGCTTGCGAGGGTTGTTCCACTTGTCACAAGACATGGGCGGTGCTGGTGGTGGTGGTGATGCGTCCCTTGGGTGTCCCTGAAACTGCAGGTGCTGCCAAAAGCGGGAGCCTAAAGTGTTTGAGGGGCCACCCAAAGGCCAGCTGGGTGGGCACTTCGGTGGCTTCCACCGCGCTTTATTGGGCTCTTCAGGGCTGGTCTAGGCGAGGCACGCTTGTGATGATGGAGGCTTGCGAGCCCAATTGGACAGTCGACACACAATGCCACTGATGTGCCCTCCCTGTGCCTCCCTGATGCTCCGAAACATGCACCAATTGTGCTAATCTTTGTCCAAGGAACATCTTCCATCCCTCCCCTAGTGCATACCGACTACGTACTTGCCTACTTGCCGTCTCCTCCCAGGTTTCCTTTCTCAACAACGAAACCAAATCGATCGCCATCCTCACTCTCACCTCTTCTCCCACCCGCACCACCAACGCACATACTTTCGTTGCACAGAGCATCCGTCACAATTGTTGTCCCGAGAACAACCCTCCGCACAATCAAGTCAATCTGCATTCCACTCTGTGTATCCTCTCTCCAGCACCAGCTGCACTCCATCTTGCGTCTACAAGTCTCCGTGCCGCAACCGCGTGAGACCTGGCGCAAGTGCTTCTACCACTGTCTGAAATCACCTCACGTTTGAATCTATTTTAAGAGTCACTCTCTGGTTTCTTGTCTACAATATGTTGTGCCTCCGGCGCCTTTTCTAAACGCATGTCACATTTATCGACGGCCTATTTTCTCTATCTTGACCTGGTATTCTGGGTCAGCCCCGACTTGGGAACATTGAATATTCGCATCACTTAAATTGCAACATAACAGTCAGTCGTCATGTCGTCGAAAGAACCATCTGTCAATGACAAAGTCAGTGCCAGTACCGAATCCAGGGACTCGGCCGCTCCTCTGCTGAGAGACTCCCCTGCTCTACCCTCCGGAGCGCAGACCTCTACATCGACCGTCGAAGAAACCTTTACCAAACCGCGGAAGAGAGACTTCTGGAAGTTGGGAAAGAAGCCGGAAGAAGACAAGCAGCATGCAAAGGGGAAAGCCAACGCTACCTCGATATCCGCTTCTTCCACTGCCAGTCCCTCCTTTGGGTTGAATCCGGCATCACCCATCAGATCCCCAGACTCTATCGGTGGCTCGGTATCACCGCACAGAGGCTCTATGGCTCATCCATATGGTATTCCGGGCTCCCCGGGCTACGGGGCGAGCAACTCGTCTCCTCGACCGCACTCACCTGCGTCGTCCATGATCTTTGAGCGGAATGTCCAGGAAGAGATCGCCCTTCCTGAAAAATCCCCGCATTTGCCTACTCATGTCCTAATTGAAAATCACATTGCGCCCGCTTTGGATGCATCTGCGGAGGCCATCACGAACGAAAAGCTTGACCCGGACACGGTGGAGATCGTCACTCACGCAACGCATCAGCCTGCTGCTGTGACAATCTCCGGGCTTGGAGCCGATCATTCTCTGGCTTCCTCAGTGCAGGAAGATTTTCCTGCATCTTTGGCGCATCGGCAAGATGCGGACACGGGGTCAAATTATGGCTCCTTGGACTCGACCGATGTGCGGCGCCTGAGTTTCATCTCCTTCGCTGATGTTGTCCACGGCGAACAGGAGCTGGGAGATGTGCGCCGCGACTCGACCCATCTATCAGGGCATCCGTCCCTCGTCCCGGCTCGCTCACCATCTCCTATCCGATCGCCCACCTCTTCGGCGGCATTTGGAACATCACCTCCCACCAGCGTCACCGCCTCTGTGAAGGGATTTGAAACATCCCCAAACCGAGCCCCAAAGGGCACTGGGAGCCCACTGCCGGGACAGAGCTCACCACTGGCAGCTGGAAATGAAATCAACGTCGAAACAATGCGACAAGCTCTCCGGAGGACTGGGAGCGGAGATCTGAGCCATTTCCGCAGCCCGCCAGCCAGCGCGGTGGGCAACGATGATGGCACGTATGAGCGACCCTTCAGATGAGTATATGCGACAATGAGACGACGAGCAGACAAGTATGAGGTGACATGATCTACGCGGGCGCATATCATGTTGGAAGTTATACATGCCGAGAAGGAGTGTGTGGATATCTGCGACAGGTAATATGACTGTTTCTTAGACACTGACCTTCTCCAGGAAGGCAGGCGTCTTTTCATTTCTTTAGGACACTAGATACCACCTTTTGCTGAATGACTATGAGTTCCTGCCGCCTGCAAGAGAGACCATGATTTGGTCGAGTTTCGATTCATTCTACATAAGTAATGCATTTCCGGGGTCTCTGTATTGGCTCCGTGCAAGGTCGGCCTTGGCAGTGAGTGCACTGACTATACACACCATGCAACTCTCTTCTTTAGTTCAATGCCCCACACTCATGGCAGCGTTCTGCGTCGCGAGGAACTTTGAACCATCTGACGTGCTTGCGGAAAATGTGTTCGATTGCGCAATATATTAACACAGAACACTTCATCATTTCAATGGAATACGCCTTGTTCCTGTGTGGACCTCCCAACGACGGTTCACAATCTTGTATCTGGAATCTGGGACCTCCAGTGCCACAGCTCATAATACAGAAGCGAAGGTCGTCACATCAGACTTCCTGGATACCATCAGCGCCCTCTGTCAGACCAAAGCTCCAGGAATATCCCAAACTAAGATCAGACATGGCCATTTTCTGTGCCCCCGGGGACTGGTTTGAGCTTTGCAAGAACTATTTCGACTCCCTTTAATATACTCTCCAACCTGGCAGCTGCAGTGTCTAGCACATCGTCTGAAGGCGTAACAAGAGGTTTGTTGATTCTGCAACACACGATCAGCGAAATCCGCAGAGGTATGGGGACAGGCGCAGCATACGCCTCTTGGTCGTCCACAAAGCTCCCGACATGGGCAAGATCCCAGTCTCGGTTGAGAGCACGTTCGGTTCCTTCTCCTAAGCCTTCATTCCATACAACTATATGTGAGTGATCCTCCCTTCTTGAGTCGTCAAGGAAGTATCTTCGGTTGCTTGATGGGCGCCATCCTTCCTGGGCATGGACTGACAAGGGGTATCCATCTGGTCACGATGGAGCAAAGAGTCTTGCGTAGGATCCTGTCTGATACATGAAAGGGTGGTGGTTGTGCTTGCCCTTGATGAGGAGACGACGCACTTTGCGGACTCTCCAAGTAAGGTGCGTGACAACTTGGGTCTCTCCACGAGTCTTGGATATTGCTCTGGGTTTGAGGGACGTGTGGATTGCTCCCGGCTCTCCCCAAACATCTCGGGGACTTGGGCTTCTGGTGTATTGACATTGACGACCAAAATTTCTGGGACGAAGAATTCGTTTGAATTCATGATGTCTGCTTACTGTGAAGTGTCTTTGGGACTGTACCTGTATATGAGACACACTGGAGATGGAAGGATACCTCTGAGAATGAAGAGAAAAGGAACTGCTGAGCATTTTTGCTGCGAGGGAATGCGTTCTGATGGAGTACTTATATTCTGTGACCAAAAGACCAACCTCATCTGACCCCGTCTGCCACTGTTTCAACATGCTGTTTGCTCCAATATTCGCAACGACTTTTGATTACACCTTTTGTTGTTGAAGGTATGGCAACGACGATGGCATTGATACGTGAAGCCCAAAGTGGACTAGGTCCTATGCCAACGACATTTTGCCCTTTCGGACGCTAACACACCTCGGGCAAGTAGGTGGGTACGAGTATTACCAAAGGTTCACGTTCCACGGTTCGCGAACCAAGGTACGGTCGAATCAAAGAGGCTGACGACGAAATGGAAAGGCAGCCGCTAAATGAAACTGGAAAAGGCGACCTGGCGAGAGCCGCATCATCGCACCAACCACCTGCAGGAAGCCACGGTGGAGAACCGCAATTCAGAGCCGCACTTCAGAGCCGCGCCACGAGCCTCTGGCGACTGGCGCTGTTGTTCGACGCACATTCTAACGCGCCTTTACAATTGTTTGGCAAATTGACGGAAGGAAACACTTCCATTGGTGAGCGCCCGATGATGGCGGCCATCATTTGCCAAAGCATTTTTGCTGCAGCCCGAGGCTTGTCACGAGGAGACCCCCTTTCCAGAACCCCTGCCACGCCTCAAGCCAATCCTTAGGATTCCTTTCCACAATCAGCATCTTGGGGGTTCAATTCCAAGGATCAGAACGCGCAGCAGGAGTCCAAGCGCCTGGAAACGCTACGGCTATCCCCTTGAGCCTTTTGAGAGTGGTGACTGGCAAAGCAAAAGTTGACCGCGAGACATGACCCAACCTCTACGTGACGATTTCCTCTGCCAGGACCTTCTCTCCTTCGGATGTCGTCGCGGCCTCGGTTCCGTCAGATTGTGTTGTTCGATCTAGGAGGCGAGTCGCAAGGACACACTACACCCAACCGCACCTTGCCTAGGGCTCATCTTCTGCCACTCGCACTGTTCCCTCATTTGTCTCATGTTAGGACTGCCTTGGGGGTTGGCCTTGTCACTGGACTCATCATGACAGAACACATGTGGAATTTGGCTCATGGATGCCTCGATGTCCGGCCAGTGCACTAGCTGCTCCGCCGTAAAACACAGTCTTCAGGAGCAGAAGAACGTGGGTTGACGCCTTGTGACCCTCTTCCACAGTCTCCCCTTGACAATGACGATTGGTGCCTTCATCAAGTCTACCCACACAGCAAGGTATAGACTGCATCAAAGAAACCCTCGGTTTCTTCGTCGTGCCTTTCTCCGCTCGCCTCTTTGAGGGTCTCCTCCGGTGGCGTCAGGTCGTCACCCTCCAGGACCGCCACCAGCAGCAAAGCCCCGAATATGGTCATGAGCGCGCAAATGGCCAGCCACGCGAAGACTCTGGCAAACGAGACCTCGGCGAGCTGTCTCGACACGCTGGGGATCGCGGTGAAGACCCGTCCCTTCTGGTCCTCGTCAAAGGAGTCATGGTACATGTCCCACGCGGCAAGGAACGCCTGACGCATCAGCAGCTCGAGGTAGCCGTCGATGTTGTCGAACGTGGGCAAGAGCGTCGAGTTCATGACGGCGATCATGGTCATCAGGTCCGGCAGCAGCCACACGGCTTCCTGAGCCCATGGGTTTTCTACGAAGACAACCTCGTCCAGCGGCGTCTGGTCCTCGACGACACGGTTGGAAATATACTTGCTCCAGGGCTGACCGTAACGCCCGCGGTGAAGTTGATCCGGCCGATGAAGTAGCAGTTCCCATTTGTCGAGTCGCCCCAGTTCAGGAGATAGCGACCCAAGTGATCCACGCTTCCAAAAATTGTGGGGTCGAGCGCCGAACAAGGGGGATCCTGGTTCGCCACGCGCTTGACCATCATGCCTACCGTCTGCATCTTGCTGAAGATGGTCGGGGCTGGCTTGCTGTACCAGTCCTGCGACTTGTTCCACCCGATGTAGTCGTCAAAGACCACGGCTGTTCCGGGGCGATAGTACGACGATGGCGGGTCATCGACGATGCTGAGACTGCTCGAGTCAGCGACATAGACCCATTCTGCACGGGGCACGTCATAATCAGCCTTGTACCACTCGAGGCTGTGGATTCGGATGCAAGGGATTGTGGCCTTGAGGAGGGTTGAGTTTGCGCCCACCGTGTCGTGGCTCTGCACCACATGCCGGCACCCGTTACCTGTCAACGACGTTCCGTTCGGCGCCACGGTTGTCTGGTCGCTCCACACCAAGCTCGCGTAGCCGGCTGCGGTGCGCAGGTATGGCTTGCGGTCAAGACCAAAGGGCTCAAAGGGATAGTTGTACCATTTCCAGCCGCCAAAGTCCGCCGTACTGTCGACGGCGGCGACAGAAACTCTCGCGTCGGGCTCGGATACGGGGGTCGACGTCCAGTTCACCGCGCCCGTGATGATGGGGGCGATGAAGGTCTGGACGGCAGTGATGAGCAGTGCAACAGAGATGACCCATTGACGAGGATTCTTGGGCAAGCCGGAGTGAGGGCGAAGCCACGGCGGCAGTTTCCATCGCACCATCCAGCTGACCTCTTTGGTCTTTTGGGGGGTTGTGGTGGTCTTTGGATCTGGGGTCGTGGATAGCAAATAATGGCCACAGGCCCACACGGTGAGCGTCGACCACGCCCCAACCAGAAGCTTGACGACAACCAGGACGGCCGAGACTATTGTTGTGACGTCTGCTACACGCAGGATCAACTTGCCATCGACGTACGTGGCATGGCTGGCAGAGTCATCGTCGAGGGCTTCATACCCGTTAATAGCGAGGGCAATGCTCAGGGCGAGAGCAATGCATACGGCCAGGTGGGAGAGGAGAATCACCCAGGCCTTGACCTTGGGCGGCAATCTGAGCTTGGACTTTGATTTGGGATCAGCAGCAGTGCTGTTAGTATTTGCTCCTTGCTGGCTGGTGAGCTTCTCGGGCGGCAAGGGCGTCGTCGCGGGTGTCACTGTGGGCACCGGCCCGGGTTTTTGCGCAGACATCTGGTGAATCGGGGACTGATGATACGGGTAGTTATCACATTGTTCACGAGAGGTTTTGGAACCCAGGAGAAAATGGGACAGCCACGAGGTAGGGCATCACATATGAAATTCGGTGCAATCCAGCACACTGCTCGAGTCATTTCCCTCTTTTTTTTTTAAAGAGAACCTCTGGCGCAGCGCATGGGATCCATACCATTATGAACCATCCCGACCAGTGAGTGTGGCGTGGCGGGGTGGTTGGTGGGACATCGACTCTGTCCTGTACGGCTGAAGGCTTTACGCAGTACTTTTCTTCAGACAGATCGAAAAAAAAAGAAATGCTAGGCCGTTGCTTGTCCGTTTTCGAAGAGGAATCCGGGCTGTCCCGGCATTACAGGGCACCAGAGGAAAAGACTATCGCCTCGTCAGAAGTGCCCCATCCCAATAATGGCTACCGAGTGCTCCGTACGTTGCTGAGCTGGCACTGGTACTACTGTTATTGATCTCGCTTCTCGGATGGACTTGTCAGGAAACGCCGTGGGATCGCAGGCTTTGGCCCGGAGGTATTGCTCCTAGAGTCGTAGGGGGTATGGGATGTGACGGTACTGTACGTAAAGAACCCAGCCTATTCTGTCGCGGTGGTTGCTTCCTAATGGCCTCATTAGCCCTTCTCAACAAGCGACAACTCACCAAACCTCGCTTAAATACCTGCCTGATTTACGAGTGACCCTCCCTTCCCTGTACGCAGACCACAGCGGCGTTGCGGGAATGAACCCTTTTAATGCTACCGACCCTCCACACCGGAAAAGACGCTCCGTGGGATCTAGGATAGGAGTATATATATATATAGTGAGCCGGATAGATTGCAAGAGAGAGAGAGAGAGAGAGAGAGAGCACCGCCTAAGAGGGCATTGCAACATGCTGGAGGATCATCTGGCCGCGCATCTGGCCCCTAGTTAAACCCTCGACAAGAACGACAGCCTGGGCTGAGTATCATATGGGGCACCCGGTCTCGAGGACATGAAAGGATGAACCACGGAGAGAGGAAACCCTCACGGCGACGCGACATAACAGTATTCTACCACTGTTCTCCGTATCGAGAACATCGATCCAGCATCAAAGATGTTCAGACAGTTGACGCCGGTAGGTAGCGTCCCTCAAGTCTGGTCATTGACTCTATCGATTGTCGATTGATAAAACGCAAACATCGGAGACCAATTGGTGAAACTCGCCGCATAGACTTCCTGACAAGGTTAGAATCATACGCGTTGCTCCTGGGTGCTGGGACTTGTAAAGAGGTGCTTATGGAGATCCCGCGTTCTTGGCTCGAGGGAAGCGGGGATGGTAGGAGGCCTATTCGGACTTGACGTTTCAGCTGACGGTAGGAGATGAAGGGACATTATCAGATGATCTACAGTACCTCGATCCGACGTACACCACCCATCAACTATCACATCTGCTTACACTGATTAATACACCCTGAGAACCCTCTTCTTCTTGGGACTCGAGATATCCAAGGGTCTCGAGCTGTCAAGCAGAGAAGAAACGAGCAGTGCATCGATACAACTGGTGCCAGGGGCTTCACCACAATCATCTCATAGCCAACCCATCTAGAAAGAAGACAATGGCAATCCAATCGACTCTCGACTCCATCACCTCCAACCCTATCTCGTCACTCAGAACCCTCATTTCCGAGTCCCTCCTCAACCCTCTCCTCACGGGCTCTCTACTGCTCTACATCCGCCGCAACCCATCACTCCTACACAACCTCCCCTGGCCACCCGCAATGACCACCATCAAGCTACTCCCCATCCACCTGCCCCTAGGAATCCCCAACAGCATCACCCTCCGCACAACACCGCCGCTCAAGACGCTAAAGTACCTCTTCGCGATCGGGCTGGTCGTGCAGGTCAACCGGATCCTGAACCGCTTGGCCCTGAACTACTGGCACGTCCGGAAACAAGGTGAGGCGTGGGACTTTGCGGGAGAAGGCAAGGAGACTATCCTGGTGACGGGCGGGTGTTCGGGCTTCGGGAGGGAGATGGTCAAGATGTTCGCCGCGGGGACGAGGGCGAATATCGTCGTGTTGGATGTGCAGGAGTTGCCCGACGATATCAAGGATCGTAAGTTTTACACTCGTCTACTAAGCATGCATCCCCCTTTCCCTTTCCCGTTCCCGGTATATGGCTCAAGGGACGAACCTATCCATACATCTCTACACACACACACGCGGTGATGCCCTACTGACTCCCCTCCCCTCCCCTCCCAATCTAGTCCCCCGTCTCTCCTACTTTCAAGCGGACCTGACCTCCCCATCCTCCATCACCTCCGCCGTGGACCTCATCTGCCGCGACCCGTCTCAGACGCCGACGGTGCTCATCAACAACGCGGGGATCGCGCAGGCGCACACGATCCTGGAGACGACCGACGCCTGGCTCGACAAGATCTTCCGCGTCAACCTGCTCAGCCACTTCACGCTGATCCGTTTGCTGTTGCCGAAGATGATGGCGCGGCGGAAGGGGCATATTGTGAGCATTGCGAGTGTAAGCCCCCTTTTTTTATCCCCCCACTGGCCATTCTTCTACCGTGAAAGGGGGGTGTTTCCCGTACCCGTTCGTCGTCCCTCCCTCTTTCTCTCCTAACCCGCAGGGGCTAATATATACAATGTAATACGGTGTGTGTATAGATGGCAAGCTACACGGGCACGGCCTCGCTGGGCGACTACAGCGCGACCAAAGCCGGCGTGCTCTCCCTGCACGAGTCGCTGGTCGCCGAACTGGCCACCCGCCACGCCTCGCAGGGCGGCCACTGCATCCAAGCCTCGATCGTGCACCCGATGTGGGCGCGCACGCCCCTGGTCGGCTCGTGGGAGAAGGAACTGGCCCGCTCCCGCGCCCCAGTCCTCGAGCCCACCGAGGTCGCTTCTCGAGTCGTCGCGCAGGTCCTGCGCGCGCGGAGCGGGAGCGTCTTTGTGCCCGAGAAGTTCTGGGTCGGGGCCTTGTTGAGGGCCATGCCGGACTGGGTTGGTGTCAAGTCCAGGATCGATACTGCAAACGCCACCGCGAGGGCTTCCTAGGGTAGGTTGGGAGACGTGGGGGATTTTGTGCATGGTTTTTTTTTTCTTCGTTTCCAAGGTGGGTGGGTGGGTTGGTCGAACGACGTGGATCGATCTTTAACTTGCTTGAAAGACCTATGGCACAGGGGGACGCGCATAAGCACACACACATATGTACATGGCGGGGCATGGATGGATGAGCGATGTTTTGGAACCAAAATACGATATATCGAGTAATATATACTAGTCACAGGATTCGGCAAAAAGTGAATTTCCTTCTGTTGCCAACATTTCTTGCCCCAACCATGGTCTCCTTCGTTCCTCGTTTGGTCGTCGTTCATCGTCACATAATAAAAGACCTAGGTTTCGACTTTTGTTTTGGCACTTTTGGCTCCCTCTGTTAAGACTCTCTCAACATGATCCAATACATCTCTCTCCTTCTTCGCCATCATATGGATGGACAGAGAGCAGCTTGCTAGATAGATAAATATACCAAAACATGCCGACTTGCGAGCTTCAGATCAAAACAGACAGTGAATAAGAAAGCAAAGACCAATCAGTGGAACTGCGTCTCCGTGACGCCCTTGCCCATGGCACTGGTACTGCTGACTCCGCCAGTGACCATCTTGAGCATGTTGTCAATATAGTTGGCACCGCTCCACTTCTGGTGGGTGACAACGTCGACTTTGTTGTCCATCTCGGGCTCCTGGATGAGTTCGCCGTAGGCACGCATGCCGCGCTTGGCGAAGGCCTTGGCGAAGGTGTCGGAAATGAGGGCGGTCGAGTGCAGGCCAGCGAGGGTGATGAATTGCCAGCAATAACCCAGTTCGGCGAGGCGCTGGATGTACGTCTCTTGCTCGGAGGACGACATGGCTTTCTTCCAGTTGAAGGACGGTGAGAGGTTGTATGCGAGTCTGGTAAGAAACACATTGTTAGTTGGATTCTCTTCGTCTCTGGCCAATTCAAGGGATTCAGCTGTGACTTACTTTTGCTCCGGCCACACGGCGTGTACGCCCTCGGCAAACTCCAGAGCTTGGGCGTAATCTGGCAACTTGCTCTCCATCCAGATCATATCCGCATATGGTGCATAGGCAATTGCCCTGTTCACCGCGCATTGGCACCCTCCCTGGTATCTATAGTACCCTTCTCTCGTCCGGGGAGCATCCCAGTCCCAGTAGATATCCACACCGGTCAACCCCTTGGCGATGGCACGGCATTCACTGTTGGATTTGCCCTTGGAGGCGGTCTTGTATTTCTCAATAAGGGCCGCCTTGTCCACGTGGACGCCAGCGTTAATGGCGTCAATCACGGCGTCGTCAAACAACTTGATGCCAGCCTGGGCGGTCCAGCTGTCTTCGATGGCTTGGAGTTCATCACCATTCTTGCCGGCTTGTTCGGCCGCGACCATGAGATCGTTGAGCGGCTGAAGGTTGGCGTTGGTGGAACCCAGAATGAAGGGGTGGTCGCGGAAGTCGATGGTCGTGGTGATCAGGGTCGCGGCCTCCGAGTCGGTACGAGCCACGGCAAGCAAGTCGACACCCATAATGTCGGCCTGGGCGCGGATGGCCACTAGACGGTTGATGTGCTCGGAGATGGGGACGAGCACTTTGCCAGCCATGTGGCCGCACTTCTTTGTTCCCGGAGCTTGGTCCTCAATGTGGATGCCGGCGGCGCCTTTCTCGACAAACAGTTTTGTGAGTTTCATGACGGCCGTGAGGCCTCCGTGGCCGGTGTCTGCGTCGGCAATGATGGGCCGGAGATAATCCACGTTGGCCACCTGGCCACGCTTGTCCTTGGGGGTGGTGAGACGCTCTTCTCGCTGCTTGCGGTCGTGGAACAGCTGGGCCATGAAAAGATGTTGGACCTTATTGGGGACGGTGTTCATGGGGTAATCGGCCAGATCGGGGGAAGGCTCGTCGGTAGAGGAAGCGGTGGAGGAAGATTGCCAGCCAGAGACGTAGACAGTGTCCAGGTACTTGTTCATCTGGGTCAGCATGGTGGGTTCGAGGCAGCCATAGGTCGCGGAGGCGGTCTTGGTCTGTACGAGCTAGGTCAGTGGCAGCTCTTGTCAAGGAGGAGACTGATTAATATTGCCTACCGCAAAACGGTGCTCAACAAGCTTCCACAGTTTCTTGGACATGTCGTTGGCTGGGTACTGGATCTTGATGGTGCCTCGCTTCTGCACAATCTGCTCGGCTGTGTAGGGTCGTTTGGTATATCGCCATCTGGAGTCAGTCCACCACTTCTTGACAGCTTCTACGTCTTGCAGGTATAGCTGCTCTTCCTGGTCGAGAGAAGACATTTTGAACGAGTCAACCACCTTTTTGAGGGCAGACGTCATAAAGGAAGAGCACACAAGCTTTCAGTGGTCGCAATGGATGATGCTCCCACGACAATGCAGCACAGGCCCAGAGGTATTGAGGCCTAGACGGAGTGAGAAGGAAGGGTATATACAGAGAAACTCAAGGTCTGGAGAGGGAGGATTGAAGGGGAAGAGGGCGAGGCACGAGCATTAAGTAAAAAAGCACAAGCCAGGGCAAAGGGAAGCTTGGGGTCAAGGCTCGGAAGTGGTTCGACTGGTGCATCGGCGTCGAGCATTACAATGGGTGGATCCCAGATGATTCAGATGGCAAAAAAACCTGGAGTCCCGGCGTCGCAGGCTAAGGCTTTGCCGCTTGAGGCCGGGATGCAGGCAGCCAGAAGGAAAAGGGATTGGCTGCCAGCAGGAAAAGCGCGGAGTGAGCGTGTCGATACCCAGTGTCATAGCACCAGAAGTGTGCCAGATGGGGGAGTTGGTGGTGTCCCTGACTCCCTGGCGTCGCTGGTGTCGGTGCAGGATCGGCCTCTTGTGGGGGAGAGTCGCTGATTGGCATGTGGCCATGACGTTGGTCCATGAAACTCCGTTCACCCGCCATTTGTCGACAGAGTGCCCGGATTGGAAGAGGAAGAGGAAGAGGGGAAGCCGCCATTGTCTCGGTGTGTAGAAGCTGTGTAGAAGCCTCAGAGGAAAACATCCTTCTTTCTGCCATCTCTTCGTTGCTGTACTATCGCCATTGATGAGCTGCTCAACACAGGTGGTGAGTGGCATGCCATGACCCATGACCAAGAATGACGCCGTGGGGCATGATGCCTCGGCAAGAAGCCACCAAAAGGCCCAGATCAATGTCACGTGAGGGGCCCAGCTGCAGAGCCCGGCAATTGCCAGGCCATCGTGATCCTCCACGCATGCCACAGGCGCGAGAAACACTCGGAAGCCTCGTCAGGCCACAAGCGCAGCACGCCGATTGGCCGACTGTCTGCTTCTTCGATTCCTGAGTACTTACCTAGGTACTCCTATGAGATGCCTGGAACGTCTAGGTCAATTGTCACACTCTAATCCTTTGTTGGTGCTTGTACCGTTTGCAGCTACTCATACTCTTTCAGCTCGGCGAGTGCCTTGACAATGGCTCCTCCTTTCCCGCAGCTGCGTTAAAAACTAGAGGCTACCTAGCTACCTACCTAGGTAGGTACGTATGCCAACAATTCCTCCTCAGGTTCTTCACCCTGCCTAATGACCCCTCCCCCTCAACCACGCCCGCCCAAAGAACAATCGATGGAACAAACGCCGCCGAATGCAATCTCGAGGCCCGGTGCTCTCATGCTCGCTAACCATGTACAATCTCCTTCTTTCGCGTAATGCCTTCTAAGTCTATTCCGCCGAATAGATGATGCATCAAGAAACGTATCCACCGACTCGCTTGCCGGAAATGCCACAAAACAAACAATCAACCCGGCCAGCATCAGGACTGAGACCTTAGTTGGCCCTTCTTCATAGCGATTCCAGGCTCGAACTGGCCACCGCCTCGTCAGACGAGTCTTGTCTCGATTCGTCCGATCCTTCTTGAATGGTATCTTCGACCGCGCCAAGCTTGATCTCGGTCGCTTTTGCAAATGTCTCGTATGGCGTGAGGGTGCCGAGGGCGCGCTTCATGTGCATCGGAATAACCGACAATCCATACACGTAGCTGGCATTGACCCAGCCGAACCTGAACATCATCAGCAATGGGGCGGACCACAAATGGGGAATCAGAAAGAATACTCACCCTTCCCGCGGCACGCCCTTGAAGTCGGCACCTTGGTTGCCATATTCAGCCTCGACCTTGTGCGGGTCCAGCTCTCGAGTCACGTTGTACTTCTCCACCACCACCCCGTTGAAGTCGACAAATGCCTTGGTAACCATGTACAGCCATTTGTACGCCAGTCGCTGCGCTTCCTCAATGTACCCATATCGTTTGAAGCCTCCCCATGCCAGCATCTGCTGAGGAGCCCATCCGAACGGATAGTCCCATTGCCGGTTGGGTCGATCCAGGCCTACTTCTCCGCGAGACTCCTCAGTCCCCGACACCAGCCCTCCAAAGCAATCGAACTTGGGCAGAGCGTTGAGCACCAGCGCAGCCGCTTGTTTGGGAGACGCACACCCTGCCCACATCGCCCAGAAGGTGGTTGCAGTCTCATAGGTTGTGCGCTGCTTCCGCACCGTGTCGTAGTCAAAGTACATGCCCTTGGCTTCGTTCCACATGTACTTGTCAATGCGGGCCTTGCGCAGTCGTGCTCGGCGATCCCACGTTGCCGACGTCTCGAACCCTTCTTTGCGGTTGGCCTCGGTCTGAAACTCGGTGGGAATGCTCAAGCGATCTTTGAAATGAATCCGAATGCACCAGGAAATGTCGATTTCGTACTTGTACAGCAGCGAATTCAGATCGATCGTGGCCAGGTTCGCCGCACACCCTTCCAATCGGTACGATGTGTCGTGGCCAGATTCGCGGACGGCACGGTCATGCAAAAAGTATTCATCCAGCTCCGGCTCGTGCACCTTTTCACTGTTATATGCCTCGACAAACTCGGAAAACGTCATCCCGTGCTTTTTGGCATACGGTGTCAAAATGTGCACAAAGTGAGACGCCTCGGTCTCCGGCGGTACACCAAGACCATCGGGCCGGTATCGTGACAACCCAGTTCCTGGATCATAACGAGGCGCCGACATCCATACGTTGTAGTATTCCTTGATGGCTGCTCGGATGGCTAAGCGCAAGAAGTCCAGGGCCCCCGGTTCGTGCTTGATCTTGTCATAGACCTTCATAGCCATGTCGGTCAGGAAGGGCGGTTGTGATCGAGTGAGGTAGTACGAACGGTTGGCGTTCAAAATCTTGCCATAATGCTTGATACAGAAGGCGAAGTTCAGCACCATGGACTTGGCCAGGTCCGCTCGCCCATTCTCAAGCAGACCCAGGGACTCCATGTAGCTATCCCACCCGTAAAGCTCATTGAAACGTCCTCCAGGAACGACAAATGGTTCCCCCTTGAGTGTCTCTTGTCCATTGACCATCTCTTTCCTCATAGCCAGGGCTAGAATGCCAGGGGCACTATTGAGCCCTCGCACGTATTCTGCGGTGATGGGACCTTCGGGAAGCCACCGGACGTCCAGTCGCATGTCGGGACGGTCTTTGGCAACCTGGGTGTAGTATTCAAACTGCTCCGGGCAGCCCGAGGGAATATAGATGCGAGGCCTGGGATCGGCAGTCCAGTCTTTGGGATCGCGTCCTGCTTTTTCGATTGTGGCTGCGTCCAGGCACCGGGTCAGATTGTCCCAGAACTCATCCCGGATGCGGCGCGAAAGGCGATCGACGGGGTTTTCACTCAATCGAGAGCGGTGTATCTTGACCACCTTCTTGCCCAAATCTTTGGCCAGCGTCAATTCTTGGAGGAGGTTGCTGATCATGTAATTTCCACGAACTTCGGCCGATCGGTAGCCTGCAGAGGCCAATGTGCCCAAGCTGATGTGCTGCGTGGGGGTCAGCTTCTGGCAATGTGCAGGAGCGGCTTCGGCCTACCTTGGGACCGTTATCTTCTATTGTGATTTGTTGGTTCCTGTCCACGTCTTCCTGGTCCAAAAGAGCCTCCAAGGTTTCGTCGACGTTTACCAATAACTCCTGGTTCTTTTGGGTGTGCTCATCTGCAATGACCATGTATCAGCCACCTTTTTCCGGTCTGTGACGACGAACGACATTTGAGGGGGATCCTGGACGTACCGTGACTTGTCCTCCGTGCGGGATAGTTGCCCTTGAACGCCTCGAGAGCATTTTCGCGAGTGGCCTTGATGTACTGTCGACAGCGGGTCAGCAGGGGCGCGGACAGAATAGGGGGACTGGTAACCGACTGAAGTGACGGCTCTGTTTCGTGAGCCCAGGAGTTGACGTCTCACGGCTTCCTCATCGTAGTAGACAGACGGCGAGGAATAAGGATCTCGGCGCTCAAGAGATGAACTCCGTCGACGGTGGTGGTGCGACGCATTTGGCAAGCTCATGACCAGTGACTTCAAGTCTCTTTGTATCTTTTTGAATTGGGGGTTGGGTTTTTTCAGAAAAGAGTGTGCAAGAAGCCGTTAATGTTTTGTGCTTGTGCGTGTGAAGACTGTGGAAAAGGCAGCCGGACGGTCAGTGGTCAACCGCGGTTAATTATCAAGGGTATTTCCCAAGATAGATGTTGCAGACAACGAGAGGGACGGAGATTGGAGGCTTTGGGCGATATGACAGGGGCGATGATGTCGACTTTTCAGAGCTCGGACCCGCTGAAATCTCCAAATCCTACAGGGCTGTAGGCGGTTTGGTGGCCGCACCCGGGGTAAAGGGTGAGTCTTGGTCACAGCTTTTTAGGTCGCTGAATCCGGCTGTGCCGAGTCAATCTCTTTCCGAGCACACGACCAGCAAAAGAGAGTAAGGATAAGGAAAGCGTCGAGAGAAGGGTCAGCTGGACGAGGTGTGAGGTGTGAGGTGTGAGGCGCGGGATGAGAGAAGGAGAGGCGGATGAGGGATTTGTGGTGGTGGTCGGTGTTGGACAGGGGTGAATGGACAGTGAAGAGGTGGTTGTTTTGTCGTGTTGTTCTCTTAGTTGCTCGTTCCTGCCCCGTGAACAATATTAATTAATTGACTGAAAGTGGAAAGAAGGAAAGCGGCAGCGGCAGCAGCCAGGGTCTGTTGAAGCAACCTGTGTCCGGCGTGTGGGCAGTCGCAGGTCAGGTGGACAGTTATGGCCACAACAAACGAAGCCGACTATTTTTATGGCTGGCTAGCTGGGTCGAGGGTTTCTCTTTTTCCTCCTTTGTGTCTCTTTCCTCCCTCTTGAACCCAGTCGACTACTTAGACAGAGTCTCGGAGTACGTAGATTGGTCTCGATGAGAAGGTTAGTCAGGGTTGCCTCGAAAATTTTTCACTCATAGCCGGCGATCAATGCAAGAATTGCTTTTGGTCCAGACTGCCAACTCCAATGCGCTGCGAGTGTGCTATCTGCTTTGTGTTAGCGACCGTGGAGTTGAACCAGGGGTCCTGTGGGGGTCCGCAGGTGCGATAGTAGAATTGGGATATCGCACCGCCGCCGTTATCAAGCCTCTGATGTACGAGACATTGGAGACGGATTCGACGGATGATGGGATTCTACTACCTAGTACTAGGAGGCCCTCGGAGTCCGTTCGAGGTCTTCTTCCAAATATGTCCACAGACCCTGCAGTGTGACTTGTCCCAGACTCATCCTTGCATCGACTACCTGGGTACCTAGGTAATTACACTGACCCCCAAATTCTGTGGCATGTCACACACGGGATCGACAATAATGGCGACCTACTACGCGTACGCGGGTCGGTCCTCGACTCCTCGTGTGCCCAGTCAGACTGATCGTCAACGTATCGTATCCCCTCGCCCAAGTTGCGACATGCTGACTTCCGCCGTCATCCTATGATCTTGATCTTTCATCTTCATCAGCCTCAGCCTTGTTGAACCTCTTAGACTCGGTACCGGCCCCATATCCATACGAGTAGCTCTCTGCCTAAGGTAGGATACCTACCTAAGTAGGGATTCCCCAGTCCAAGCTTCAGCCCTCCATCGCTTGCTTAGCCTTCCGTGTAACCACGTTTCCCTGAACCCCTGGGATGGGGGCGAACCAATCGCTCCCACTACTAGTACCTGCTGTGCGAGTTGGTACCTTTCCACCCACATCCCACTGCGGTTTTCGCCATCCGTATTGCAGCTGCATCCGGCCCGACCGCGTTCCTGCAGGGCCCATCCAAGCACTAGTCACTTATTGTATGTAGTCGCCCGCCAACCACCTTGATGGAAAGAAAACGCTATCAAAAGATATACCCGGTCCAAGATCTGCATCCGGGGTGCAGATACGGAGTACGGAGTATTTGCCATCTGGCACCAGACCGATGGATGTAACCATGTCGCCGGATACTTTTTACTACATGGGACATAGCTCTTTGCAATGCGGTGAGTTGGTACCCGGAAGATCCTCGCTGCCGCGTACCACCAAAATACGACTGGTTATGGCACTCTCCTCAACGCCTTGCAGAGCAGACCCGCCTACCGCCTAGACTGCCATGCCTGCCAAGTCCATGCAAGACTCACGTCTGTCCTGCTCGGAGGGACACACCCGCCCACACCAGCCGCACCAACTGCGCGCCGTCCCTTGGGCTTCCCTCTCTAGATATTTGCCACTTTCCCTCTCATCTTCCCATTCCCACACCCCCGCTCCGACCTTGACACGCTTCTTGACTTTCTTCTTGACTACACCTCCTATGCCCTCGATCTCTTGCTGGAGATATCCAGGCTTGTTGCTGCCATAGGCCGAATCTGGAGTGCCGACTCGGCTGAGGCTGTTCCTGTCCGCCTCGGACGCATCATGCACTTTACCCTCAGAGCAATCAATCTCCACCCAGCAGATGGCTTTGCCGCTCGTCTCCAGGCAATCCTCCCCACGGCCGCATTTTTGGGCTTGGTTCCCCAATCCCAAACCTGTACCTAAGCCGTCGCCAATATGCGTCGAATACCGAGAACGCCAGGTCCACACTCTCTTGTAAGTGGTGTCGGCCGCCCGCAGGCTCTGGCCGCAGGGGGCACACAAAAAGACCCCACGAGTCTCGCAGGTGCAGGGACCTCGAAGAAACGCAGAAGAAGTAAAACAACGGTCCGAGCTGGTGTTCGACTCGTGATTCTCCAGGCCCGCGATAGTGCCCATTGTGGATGAGTTGGAAGCAGACCGCTCAGATCGCATCGAACTCGCACTAGATATTGGAGCACCATCGCTGGCATCGTCGGCAGAGCCAATGGCTTGCAGATGCGCTTCGATTGGAGCGTCGAGACAGGTCTTGCAAAGTCGGCGAAAGCGGTCCTTTAGTCTCACAGTGCTGGGAGATTTGGCGGCACAGTTACGGCACACGACCGTTCCACATCGGCGACATGGAGCCACCAAATCTCGAGCACAAGAGCTGATCTTGCTGGAAAGGCCCATTGATGCATAGAGACCCCCAGGACGCTGAGGTGGCCAGCCTCCTGCGATAGCTTCGGCTGTTGCCTGCATCTGCGAGATTGCAGGGGCTCGAAGCAGGCCTGTACTCCCAGAGGCGTCTTCAGTATAGGATCTGTCTCTTTGTGCCAGAAGTGCTTCAACTAGCACCGGTCTTCCATCATGAATGCAACGCAGGGACTGAGACTTGAGTTGATGGGCATACTGTGTAAGGCCATTGTGGACACTTCGACAAGTTGCGGCGAGAGCGTGCAGATCATTGAGATCTAGATGGGAGGACAGAGACAGGGCAATACTAATAGACCCAGAGGTTAGTACGTAGAGAGGGTCATGTGGCCATGTGTCTGCGCCTACGGATAGCACGTCAATGCGGTAGCCAGTTTGTTGGGTGTCGACGACAGTACTTGTACGTTGTCGATGCCGGAAATCCTGCTCGCTCCATTGGGTCCTCCATTGACGGCATGTTTCAGCTGATTTTGGTGGGATGATGCTCCCTTGTCGGGGCTAGACGAGCAGTCGTCGTCATCAAGATCGAAGAACACTGCCATGTCGCCATTTGAGTCTGGAGTGAAAGGATGGACAGAGCGGAAGCCCCGCAAGGTAAACAAAAGATAACCAGTAACAAGGAATGCTGAATGAAATGAAGTCGGGATGGACGAGGACAGAAGGATAGAGACCTTGTGACGCAGTAGATGAGGCACGATGATTGTTGAAACTGCGGAGAGGGGATAGTTGCGGCGGTTGAACTGCACCAGCGGTGTTCGCTACACGTCGAGGAATGAGGGGCCCCCAGAGCGAGGCAGATGATGGTGGTGCGTCACGACTCGGGGGGCCAACGAACCACAGATTGGGCACAAGGAGCCTAACCATAGTCTAGGCTTTGCCAGCCTGGTTTTGGTTAGCATGGGCATGTTCCCGCAAAGCAAAAAGGGAGCTGGGTTTTGTAGAGAACTCATCACTCTAAGAGAGGGTATTCGTTCTGATCTCTGTGCAGCCAGATATCTCTTGCGGCCTCCCCTGTGGATTATTGAACATACAATTGAAACGATATTCACAAGCTCCTTTTCGCCATCGATGCGAGCTGAAACTCAAGCTAGCTTGTGATGAGAATTTGGTGAGAGCTGAACCGAGGCATCTCTAAAATTATATGGGCTGCATACGAATCGTCTCGTCCGCCCTCGCTGAACTCGAAGATTAAGAACCCTTCTATCTTCCTTGTCGTCAAGATCTGATCTTGGCTGAGGTTCTTCTTCAGCGGCAACAAGTTTAGATATCTCTGGAAAAACGTGCACTCAGATCAAGATGACTTCGGTCCAACTCCCTCCGTTCAATAACACGCCAGTCGAGCAGATCCCTTCCCTCGTCTCCAGGCTTCGAAACACATTCTTCTCCCAGAAGACGCGCCCTGCCGAGTTCCGAATCAAGCAACTGCGCAAGCTGTACTGGGCAATCGCCGACCACGAAAAAGAGCTCTTGGAGGCACTATCGCGGGATCTGGGTAAAGGCTCGTTCGAAGCATTCACTGGGGAGATCAATTGGGTCCAGAACGATATCGTCTTCACGACTCAAAATATAGAGAAGTGGATGAAGGATGAGAAGCCCGCCGATATCGCCTTCTCGAATCGCCTGGTCAACCCGAAAATCCGTAAGGATCCCCTGGGTGTAGTGCTTGTAATTGGGTAAGTGACCTTAACCCGCCTCGAAAAATCATTCATGCAGCTGACATCACTTCAAGTGCTTTCAACTTTCCCGTGAATTTGTCCTTTGGCCCTATGATTGGAGCCATTGCGGCAGGAAATACTGTCGTTTTGAAGCCTTCGGAGCAGTCACCTCACAGTGCCGCAGTCATGCAAAAAATCATTGAGACGGCGCTTGATCCTGATTGCTATGCTTGCGTCCAGGGTGCTATCCCCGAAACTTCAGCATTGCTGGAGCAGAAGTGGGATAAAATCTTCTTTACTGGGTCTGCCCGCACAGCCAAGATCATCGCCCAGGCAGCGGCAAAGAACCTGACTCCAGTCGCCCTAGAGTTGGGTGGACGGAATCCTGCAATCGTGACCAAGAAGGCGGATATGCGCCTGGTAGCTCGACGGCTGCTGTGGTCCAAGACCATGAACGCGGGTCAGATTTGTATCAGTCAAAACTGCATCCTGGCCGATAGGGAAGTTGTCCCGACTCTGATCGCCGAGCTGAAAACGGCTATCCAAGAATTCTTCCCGGAAGGTGCCAAGAAGAGCGCCGACTACTCCAGGATAGTCAACATCAACTCATTCAATCGCATCAAGAAGATGCTCGACAACACCTCGGGCAGGATTGCTATTGGCGGAACCATGGATGCGGACCAGCTCTTCATTGAGCCGACCGTTATCGAAGTCACAGATCCCAAGGACTCGCTGCTGGTAGAAGAGTCTTTTGGACCTCTGATCCCCATCTTGCCCGTCGACAACCTTGATCAAGCCATCAGCATTGCCAATGAGCTCCATGAGACCCCATTGGGCGTGTACGCCTTTGGATCCAAGGCCGAGACTGATAAAGTCTTAGCAGGCACGCGCTCTGGCGGTGCGAGCATCAACGATGGCTTCTTCCACGGCATCATACCGAACTTACCTTTCGGTGGGGTGGGCGACTCGGGCACTGGTGCATACCGCGGCAAAGCCTCATTCGACTGCTTTACACATCGTCGATCAATCACATATACACCAAGCTGGATGGAAAGCTTGTTGGCAGTGAGATACCCTCCTTTTGCCGGAACTGGCAAGCTGGCACAGTTCAACAAGATGGGACTGCTGAAGCCCGACTTTGATCGAAATGGCAATCGAAAGATAGGGGTTCTGTGGTACTTGCTCACGCTGGGAGCCGGCAGTATATCGGGAGGTGCGTTTAGAGCAGTCTTGTTTGCGGGCATTTGCGTCGCCTTGAAGGCCTTCGTGGATGGGAAGACACTGACCGTCAGCAAATAAGGGCGGAAATCGTGAATTATTCCATCGCAGCGGGACGGCTCGGATAATCACCACGAGATAGCAACATCCGGAGGAGACAGATCTGACTCCATCTCATATGCATGACACAGTAATACTTTATGACAGGCTTCCTTGTCAGCCGGTCCGGTTCGTTAATGAGCCAGCTTGTGGGGAGGTGTTCTTGATAGATCAGGCTGGGCGGGTCGGGCGAGGCTGGCCCCTTGGCGTGTTGGCACGTCGTTATCGATAAGCCTACCTAGGTAGAGACTGGGCACCGCCACAGAGCCTAGAGCCACCGAACTGCCCGAGCCACCACGGCAAAAATGTACCCAAGCCAGCTAGCTTACTCACAGCAAATGCTGCCTCTGCTAGGCTTGCAGGGTCCAACGTGCGCGTCATCCACAGAATCAGGGCCGCCCCAACGAGGTTACCGAGCTGCTTCGTCCATCCCGCATGGATTTCCCATACCACGACCACCTTCTCCTGCTTGGGATTGGATGGTTTTTTCGCAGCCACCGACTTCCACCCACCCCTGCAACCCCTACGAGCATCTTGTTGGCATTATTCTTCCAGACAAAGGCCCTCGAGTCTCCCCCCTCCAAGAACCTGACCTCTCATTCTTATCCATTCCACCACAAGACAGTCGCTCCTTGAACTCTAGTCCCTCCAAGACCTCACCGGCGGCCAAAGTGCGCACGCGAGTTCTTTCCCAGAGCCTACGAGTAAAAAGATTCCCAAGGCTCATATCATGACCTCTACCTCGAATACACCTTTTGCTACACCTGCGACCTCTAATCCCAACACCAGACCGGGCACGCCTAGTCCTTCGACCCCTCCTACGGGAGGCACTGTTCCTGCCGATAATGATCTGCGAGATGATAGCTCAAAGCTAAGAACATTCCTGAGCCTGTTGAAGAAGTACGTCACTGCTATAAACAAAACATTGCCAGCTTTCGGCTGGGTGGGTTGTCCTTGCACGTTCCAAAAGTTGGGCTGACTCGGTTGGGCGTGAACCAGGTTTATCGGTGTCTCAGATATCGCAAATGTTCGCTTTTCACTGCCTGCACAGTTAATAGAGCCAATACCGAATCTAGGTATGTGCAGCAGGAGCCGCTGTCAAGGGCCAGAGGTGCTGATAGCATACAGAATACTGGCACTACTTGGATAGGCCGGAGACGTTCGTAAGGTAAGGCTGCGTTGCTTTGAAGGCACCTTATCTTTCCAACATGTCCTGACAGACTTTTGCAGTATAGGAAGATCAAATGAGCCCCTCGGTCGCATGTTGGAAGTCCTACGCTTTTGGTTCACCAAAGATCTGGTTTGTGAAGTGCCTTTCACCGTCTTCCCGGTGGCTGAGGCTGAAAGAGAGAGCAGAAATACGTGAAGGGCAAGCCTTGCAAACCCTATAATTCGACGCTGGGAGAATTCTTCAGAGTACGTTTCAACCCGTCTCACTTTCTCCCGGTCCTCTACACAGATGACTCTCCAAACAATATGACCTCCGTCTAACGCAACGTCTCCCCCCATCTAGTGCCAGTGGGAAATCATTGCAGACGCCCCGCCTATATCCAACCCTTCCAAAGCACCGCCTCAGCCCTCCGTCGACCCTACAGAGACGCAAGCTAACGGCAACACTGGCGAGAAGCCAGTCCGAATATCATTTCTGACTGAACAGACTTCCCACCACCCTCCCGTCTCAGCATATTGGTATGAATGCCCTTCTCGTGGCATCATTGCCCGAGGCTACGACCAAATCTCTGCCAAGTTCACAGGCACCTCTGTTCGTGTGGTCCCGGGTGTCTTCAACCGGGGTATATTCATCACGCTCACACAGCGGGACAATGAGGAATACCAACTCGCCCATCCGGCCGCCTCCCTAGGGGGTCTACTTCGGGGTTCGCTGTACATCTCGGTCGCGGACACATGTTCGATTATCTGTCCGCAGACGAGGCTGAAATGCCTCCTCACATACGTGGAGGAATCCTGGTTTGGTAAAGCGCAGAACCGGGTCCACGGTCTCATTTTCCGCTATGACCCGTCTGACGACAAATACACGCGCGTCAAGGACGTTCCAGACAAGGATATCCTGGTGAAGCTTGAGGGATGCTGGCAAGAACAAATCTTCTACACGATCCCGAACAGCGCAGCGGTCAAGGAGACCCCCAACATTGAACCAACTTCCGACAAGCAACTCCTCATTGACCTACAACCTTTGTTCCCGGTGCCCAAGTCATGTCCCCCACCACACGAGCAATTGCCGCATGAGTCTCGCACGTTCTGGGCCGACGTCACGACCGCCATCAACGAAAAGCGCTACTCGGACGCAACGAGAATGAAACAGGACTTGGAGCAAGCCCAGAGAGACAAAGCTGCCAAGCGAAAAGACTTGAATGTCGAGTTCAAGCCAAGGTTCTTCACGGCCCCCACCGAGCCGAACGGAAAGCCAGAGTTGACCAAGTACGGGAAGGACACACTGGCTGGCCTGGAGAAGAAAGAATATGGCATCGACTTTGTGCCGGAGCCAGGGATTGATGCAGACACATAGAGTGTAAAAGCGGGGGTTTGCGAGGATGGCCCTGGTTCTGGGTCGGAAAGACAGAAGAGATGGAAGAGACGGAGAATGTCGTCAAGGAATAGATCAACAGAGTCATATGAGAGTGTATATACAGGTTAGCGGAATCACAGTTGGATCATGAACATGGAGTATACCTGTATGCTCCCAAGGATGGCTGACGAATCAATATCGGGCACGGGATCTAGATGGAGGTCCCGTACAAGTGCCTACGGCTGGACAAGACACCACTGGAGGTGGTCGTCTCAGGCACAAGGGCGCATTCAATAATACGCAACGGTTTGGGGCGGATATGATCTGGGATTGGGATCTGGAATCTGGAATCTGGAATCTGGGGGCAAGAGGCGCTTTTCCATGAAATGATAGATTGATTACCTAGGCATCTGCTTGTACAAAGGAATATGAGCACGGCATCATTTATGGGGCGTACAGGCTCTTGTTTGTTATGTCACTTTACTGTAGAGAGTACTGAATATACTTTACTCCCACATCCCCCCCGGAGCGCAGTTTCGCAAACTTGGGAGAAGACGTCGTGACGAGGTGGGCGTCATTCGCGTGCCCCTAAGGCCAACCAGCTCCAGCGCCAGCTCCAGGCCAGATTGGGTCGGGTCCAGCAAGATTTGTAGATAAGCCGGGAGACAGATCCAAGGGAGCTGGGGATGACATCTAGACCCAGCGGCAAGAGTGTAGAGAGTCATTGAACCATAACATCCTGGACCGACGTGCGGTTGTCCATGACAAAATGGTGGTGACCTGGGTGCTTGCAGGCCCCGATGCAGTCGATCTCGTCTGGCTATATAGTATTAGTAGGACGAATGCTCGTTCCGCTCTTTCTCGCTCCTTCACTCTGAGAGATTCTCAAACATGTTACTGCTTGCGACAAGTAATATGAGCAAATCCCAACACGCGTGGTATGCGCGGACACCTCGCCTTGATGTCAATCCTGTGCGTCGATGCAAGACCGCAAAGACCCATCAATCGGGGTCCTCTTGGTGCTCCCGTCGATATTGAGCTGTTTCTCGGCAACTGCAGAGGACATCATCCATGTAGTGGGCGAATACCAGCATGGCTTCATCTGCTGACCACCGCAGTAGAGCGGGTGGCAGGAATTCTCCTCGAAGTTGGGAGATCAGCGGGTTGGAGGAAGTCAGGGTGAAGCAGCGACGCATGGGGTAAAGAGAACATACACTTCCGCACCCTACAAGTACCTTTATATCCTATGCATCTTTCCCTTGGCCTGAGGACTGATACGGCCACTGTCGAGAGTTTGCTGCTCCCGCAGTCGTGGTCAGGGCCATAAGCTGAGAAGGCTCGTTTGTCGTCTTCCATGTACCCTTGTACCTATTCTGTGGAGATCCTTAAAAGCAGCTTCTCGCTGTTTTGCGAAAAGTGGCCTGTTCGAGGCCCATGAGTACATGGAGTGAATCCGAATACGATGCACGCGAGTTTGCCCCTATGTGCTCCGTACCTCCTTGATGCGTCTCATTTCTCCCGTGCCGCGTGGGAGAGACGCCGGTGCCCTGCAGATGCATCTCTGGGGCTTGGCTCATGCTGGCACTGACCATATGCTTGTTGTACCGCTCCAAGGTGTGCTTCTAGAATCATGGGTTCAGACATGCTCTAACGTTTCTTCACGTCCAAGCTAGGCCTCGAGCAGACGCGAAACTCAAACAGATCCCCCAGCTATGAAACTGTCAACACAAAGACTTGACCCTTACCATCATGTACCTGCAGGTACCTACGCGTTGCTCTGGTCAGGGGCTTGCATCTAGCCAGCATAGGTAGTTCCAACACGGTGCCCGACGCTGTTCCCCTTGCAGTAATGGGATATTCAGCGTCAATTGGCCGGATCAGAACGGAGGTTCGAGGGGCGTGTTTCTGAACGTGGTCTCCGTCTGTCTCCGGCCAAGATGGAGCATGCAGATCTGCCGCGAAAAGAATTGTGGACTGATGTGGCGCCCACTCTGAAGGTGAAGGGGCATGACTCGTAGGCGCAAAGAGATTTTCTCGCGCAATTGTCTGAACCTGTCGCAAAGGCTGAGAAAACGGCGCTGTCCTGAAACACTGGCGTCAAAAAAAGGGGTTTCCCGTCGGACAATGCAAGCACGTGATTGACTGTCCTTGTGCCGTTTCCGGAATTGCAAGGATCAACAAGGTTGAGTCGGGTCCTGGAGATTCATGGATTATTTGTCACTTGTGCTCGTGGGAATTGGAGCTTCTGCGCTCTAGAGTCGACCTGTTCAGTTCGATGCAGGAGAAAGGGGTACTGGGTTCTTTCGACATGGACAGTGAGGAGGATGAGGAACCGGGCTTTCGTCTTTTCGGGGGCATGGATGTGGTAAAGGAATGCCGAAGAAATAACCTTGTACCGAGCATTCTCTGATGACATGTTTGGTCGGCGACTGGCTCGCGTCCAAGGTGGACAAGCATGCGGCCACGCATCATCTCGCCAGAGATCAAGGGCTGATCGGCGAGTGGGTCATTACCCATCTTCGGCAAGCACACGGTAGAGCTGAAGTACCGGTAAAATTGTCAGTGCAATGATTGACGAGACCACTTCTTCGAGGATAGGTGGAAATTGCAGAATTGCTCGAGGGGAGAAGGTGATGATCGCAAACCTTCGTAAACTGCGTAGTTTTGTCCCGCAATTCAACCGGGGTAGCATCCACTGTATGAAGTTCCACTGTATGGAGTAGCTCCGTACTTATCAAGGATGTGATGAGCATACCTTGTCATCCGGTTCATCCACCTTCAGCCGCACCTCAGGATCTGCATCCTTCAATCCCTCAGTGATGCTCCTCGAAGGAATTGTCGTACCTCTTTGGAAGTCATCAAATACCTTGACCGACAGATGACTGAAGCGTTCCGAGGCTGACGCCACAGTTGCCAGCCACTGATATCGGAAGATGACCGGGATCAAGGTGCCAAGCCACAGCGGGCTATACGCTTCATCGTGGCGAGTGTTGCGAAAGTACCTCGTTAGAGTGGCTGATGGGGCAAATCCTTCCCGCACTTACGGCTTCGCACCAAAGCAAGTAAGCTACGGAAAAGGAGCAAAGGGTGGTAAGAAAGAGGACGCCGATCTAACAACGGTGATCTGCATGAAAGCCGGGGTTTATCGGTGTCGCAAGGAGTTTGTAGAGCAGCAAAGACCGATGGTCACCAGAAGGTTGTGTTGTAAAGAGCAAGAACCCGGGGGCGAATCGTTCCTGCAGTAGGTCCTCAGCTGAACATGGTGTTCGCGAACCACCATCGATGCCGTCTTTTCGATTGCACAATCGTTCATCGATGCCAAAGGCTTTGCGCGTCAACTCCTGGTCCTCGTCGGGGAGCCGTTCTACGACGGACCCATTCGCCGAGCGGGTTGCAACTTGGTGATACTCGGCGAAGGTCTTCGGGCAATACCAAAAACCCTGGCGATGTCATTTCTTCTGGGCTCCTCCTGGCCTGTGTCGCCTGCCAGTGCACTATGTTCTATCGATGGCAGATTGATTCCAAAATGGCTGTCCATTCAGAATGTGTATGATGGCAGCAACCAAAACTTACGAAGGCGTCGCCCAACCCTCCCTCCCCAGGATGTCCCTTGCGGGCAGTTAGTGCGACAGAGTGACGGCATCAGCGAGGTGGAGTACCTCGTAGAATAATACCGGGTAGGTTAGAGGATCGGAAGACGGAGAATTCATCGTGCGATAGGGTTACGAAGCTGGAATTCCGCCAAACAGAAGCCGAGCTCGAGATGCCAGGTACGCAGATGATCATCCTCTAAAATCACAGATATGGAAGAAGATGGCGAGCATGTTCCTCGCGCTCGGCGTTTAGACGGGGTGTGGTGTGTTGAAGCATGGATGGGGAGGGTGCACTACTCGTACTTGATGGACAGGACCGTCGACTGAGCGCTCGCTTCTGTTGTTTGGTGTTTTAGTGCTCAGGTAAGGCAGACTCGTCTAAACAACAGAGGAACTATTCTTATCTCGGTTAGCGGATGACTTTTAGACCATCCAGGGTGGATCCCTGTGGGTGAGGCTTGGCCGGTGTCTGGTTGGCCAGTGTTTCAAGCTAGTCCCGTGATAGTATAAGCAAGGTCTTTAGATAGTAGCAACCGCCTTAGTTTTGGGTTAGTGTGATCGGCCTGCGCCGCACTCGCGATAGAAACCGCTAAGTGTCGAGGTGTGTTGGGTTTCCGTGCTATTCAAGGATGACGCCGACCGTGTGCAGCCCAATCAGCAGCGGGCTCCGCTTGTTGGCCTCAGGTACCACTCCATGCTGCTGCTGCTGTGCATCTCTCACGCGAACAGTGACCAGCATCTGACGGCCCATCTCACCACTTGCTGCACCCGCCTGGAGCTAAGACCTCACGGATGACGGGTTGATGAGGCTATGACTGGCGGGTGGACTCATGCTAGCGTCCGTCCTGCCGTTACTCGATCCACCCGCTCGGTCCCCTCCCTCTCCAAAAGTTCCCATCTTCTCTTTCTAACCCTCCGGCCTCGTGGAAATGGGAAGCTCCCTCTCCACCAGCCCGAGAACGAGCCTACACACCCTCCTGGCCGTTCTTGTTACCAGCAATGAGCCCCATGCCACAAGGGCGAGTAGGCTTCCATCCTAGTCAGCATTATCCACCGTGCTATCATTGCGCTGTCCAATCGCTTCTCCGGCGTTCCTTGATCAGACGCTCTATATTTTGACTGGGACCGGCCACGCTTGGCCCAAAAGCCTCATGCACAGGACACAGCCGCTCCGCTCTCGGCCGTTCTATTGGAGCAGGAGGCTCTATACCTCGCTTGCCTCTCTTACACCCGCCTCTCCAAAAAGTTATGGTAACTAATTTCACCCTGGCTCCTGCGTCCAAATTCATTTCCATGCTTTCCACTTTGGAACCACTTTCTGCTCGCGTTTTTTCTAGTATTCCCTTAGGTGCCCTGTCTCCATTCTTGGGGACAAGAATAACCTCCGGCCTATCTGGTCCTACACCTGGGACCTGCCCTTCGCCCCGCCACGTGCCTCCGGCCTCCAATACACAACTCAGCCCTGCCGATAGGTCCTGGAAACTCTCTAATCCTCCTAGCCTCTCCCCTTCTTTCCACCATCAAGTCGTCATTTCCCTCATCACACCTACCCTCCCTCCAGAAACCCATGCCAAAGTCTCCATTTCCTCAAACAAGCTTAATCTTTACTTGAGGCTCAGAAGGGGGCGGAGGCTTCCAAGCATTTCAACGACTCCACCGTGAAACATTTGGCGCAGGCCTCTTGGTCACTTCGTATACTCTTATATCTTCTATACAATATCCTTTTTCTCCATCATGGCCCCAAAACAGCGTTCCCAAACTCCTCGACAACCTGGCGTCGCCAATCCCTCCGAGTCATTCCTTCACCAACAGCAGGCCACGACTACATTCTTTTCAGACCAACCAGACCAACCGGCCAAAGATCGCCGCCGCCGGCAGAGAGACAGCCCGCGGCCCATATCTTCCGCTCAGTCGCCTTCTCAGGAAGACACGATTGCCTTGAGCCGATCCCCTATAGTATCCGACTCGCCTGCCTCACCCGTCGAAGGTGCAGCTCAAGGTTTCTCTTCTCGTCGTGAAAGCTCTTCCACCATGAGGACATCATCCGTTTCTCTCGACATGGTGCCGACGTGTACACCAACAGGCCGAATCAGCAAGGCAAAGAAAGGCAAACGTGTTCACGCTTGTGAGTTTCCTGGTTGTGGAAAGGTAAGTTTCGCCCGTTAGGCGTCATGACCCCCAAATTCCAGGCCCCAACATTCGGGCTCACGACGCCCCTCTCCCACAGGATCAACCTGGCTAACGGTGGTCATCAGGTCTTCACTCGGGCAGAGCACAGAAGGTAAGTCTGACTACTACTGGGCCGCTCGTTTGCTTCTCGGAAGCATTGTAATCTCCTCCTCTTCTAACAACCACCAGGAGGCATGAATTGAATCACAACCCTGAAGCACTCTTCCCCTGCACTCGCCCTGGATGTCGAAAGGCATTTCATCGAATGGATCTGCTCCAACGTCATCAGGAGAGACAGTAAGTCCGCCCATGAGTTTCGAGAGAACAGGAGTGCTAACGCCCCTGCGCAGTGATTTGGAGAGCGCAGCTGATGCTACCGCCTCTGGACACATGAACCAGATGGCACAGGTATCAGTCACGTCTGAACCTTCTTCTGTGATGCCCGCTCCTGTCATGACCAGTCCTCAAGCCGATCGAAGTGCTCCGAGGTCCTCTTCTGGAGGGCTCTCCATCGGTTCTTTAGTTCATCCCCAGCAGCAAGACTACCGTTACGGCATGGGAACACCAGCATTTAACGGGTTTCCGCAACGACCTATGCATTACTTGCCTGGCTATAACTCTGCGGACGATTCTATTTTCTATACCCCTGAAAGCAGTCAATCTCCTGTTTCTGAATACTATGGCCGGTACCCGCACCGCCAGAGCATCTCTTCCTCTTCCTCCGTAGCTGCTTTCGATCCCAGCGCGGCCTCACCCATGATCGCCGGAACAATGCCAGGTCCCTGGGTGCCTTCTTCAGGACCTCCCAGCATCCTTCCCTCGACAATGCTTGATGATGGAACTTATCTTCCCGTATGTGCCCCTTTTCATTGGATTGGTGCGTATACTGAAGCTGATCAGTCTCCTGCAGACTCTACCATACCAATACCCCTCTCCGACCTGGATGGAATCGAATGGTCTGTCATACGAAGAGAATTATCAAATGCCTCTGGACTTCAGTCAGGAAATGCCTCAACCAGTATATCCGACACTATAAGGTGGGATTGCCTGGATCTCTACTGGCAGTACTTCCACCCTTCCTATCCCCTTATCCACAGACCCAGCTTTCTACCCACAAAACCGAGTCCCCTCTTGGCTAGTGCAATGCTGGCGATAGGATCACAATACGACAGCCGACCAGACGCAAAACTATACTCCTTGACCTTGTTGGAGATTGCCACGAAGCTTTTGAGAAGACGAGACAACATCACCAGTCGGTCCAGGCTGGCGGACTTGCAGACCGTTTTCCTTCTTGAGATTTTGAGCAAATTCTGTGCGAGGCGAGTAGAAGTGGAGATGTCTGCTAGGTTTCGATCACTGTTTGCAAGCCTCGATCAGGCCAGACGGACTCTGGCAACCGATCCCCTGGCAGTCTTGAGGACTCTTCCTAAGGAGCGGACGACAGACGACATTCAAAGGGCCCATAAATTCTGGCTGGAGCACGAAACCCGGCGACGAATTCTGCAAGCATGTACCGTGTTGGATCTCCAGCAAGTGGTCTTGTTCGAACAGCCAGCCACGATTGTCCATCACGAGCGCCCTAGAAGAGCAGGTCCCAATGGACTTCGACTGAACGTCTCTCTGCCCTGTTCAGAGGAGCTTTGGGAGACCAGCCCGATCGAAGAGTGGATAGAGATGGCTTCCGGCTCTGCTACATCGCCTTCGTCCAGCAAGGCCCGGCCTTCTGGCCCCGAGCCAGCGTTCTCCTCGGGTCTGGACTATTTCCAGATCCAAGTCAGCTTGGCTGCCAACCAGGGTCTTCCTCTCGATCAGCTCCTGCCTCGGAACGACCAGACTGGGGAATCCACATCTCGTCTCATTTTCAACCGCCACGCTCGGGACATGGCCAAGAACGCACCTATCCGGCAGCTACTCGTGGTCAGCGGTGAATCTTGGATCATTGGGAAGAAGCTTGAGAACGAGGCCGAGTTCCAAGACGCCAAACGAAACCTGAGAGTCTGGATCGACTCGAACCGTGAGAGCCGGGTCGCGCTCTGGCACGCAACGCAACTGATCCGCAGCCGGGCCAAATTCTCGACTTCAGATCCTACAAACACCGAACTCTCTGTTTCCTTCCATGATACCCACATGCTGCATGAGCCGTGGGCGTTCTATCTGGCCGCCCTCGTTTGTTGGGCGTATGGATTTTCTGCATCGACAATGGCCGAGAACAGTGGGCATGCCTCGGGGGCTGCTTCGGCCACCAGCGAGCCCACTTCGAACCCTTCACGCAGTTCCAGCTTGTCTTCGGCGCATCCGACTCTCCTTGACTCGCATGAAGCGGCATATAGCATGCGGGAATATTTGCAAAACACCAACGTCAAAACTGTCGACGACTTGTTACGCTTGGACCCACAGGTGTTTGGACGGATGAATGGTCTTCTCGAAATCGTTCGACTTCACAAGGTCTCACTTTTCCTCGGTGGCCTCATGAATGAAGCCGAACGGGTATTGTATCGACTCGTGGAGGGACGCAGTCGACTGTCACACTTCTAGAGCGGAGGCGACTTTGTGTTTTCTGGGTATGTTTCCCATTATTTGTCTATGGTAAACTTTTGGGGTTTGGTTTCCCTGTCACGACCATGATGTTTTAACGACCTTTACGAGGATGTGAATTTTGTTCTGCTATTTGATACCACATTTTGGGGTGACGAGAGACTAAGGAGTAGCACTTTTTGCTGGGGGATATAGTCATGGGGAACATTTGGGCGTTCAGGGTGAGAATTCGGCACAGTGACCATTTGGTTGCCTTTCTCGTGGCGTACTTTGGCGTACGAGTACCTACAACAGAGGCTTTTGCATATTGTCGCAAGGAAGCGAACGGGAACAAAAGATGCACTACTGGAGCACGGGGCATTGACCAGCAAGCGAGAAAGATTTGTCAATATTTGGATCGACAGTGTGTCCACCACACGGAGTTAAGTCACTATCAATCAATTTACCTGCCAATTTCCAACCCAAATCCTCTCCCGATTCATCTTCCGTCGACTTATTATCGTTTTAAATTGATCGAACGAGAGGGTCTTCTCATGCGAGGGCCGAGTAACGAGATCTTCACCGTCGCGGCATTGGGAACGCCTTTAGCGGTCGGAAATCAGACGCCTACGACCCAAAGCTTGGAGACCGATAAACGCGAACGAACGAGCCTACCGGGGAGTGGCCTGTGGGGAAGTTCAAGGGGGCATCCGCCTCCTCGTACGCGGTAGCAAGATGATCGACCGCCCAACAGGACGTGCCTGGCCTGCTACTAAATTTGGGATGGAGCCGGATGATGTACTAGGTGCATAGTGCGAGATTTTGAGGGGCTGAGCCTCGTCTCAGCCATCAGCCACACTTGTGCCGATTAAAAGGTACATATGTACCTGGCCTGGGAGGGAAACGGGAGAAGAAGTAAAACACTGCCTTGGAGATGCTTCGAGAAGCTTTGACGTTGTACTGTGCCGTGTACGGAGTAGTAGCATGCATGTCTTGTCCCTATCATTAACCCTCTTTGCTGCTAATGCTGGCCGTACTGAGAACTGATGGACTCGTCCTTTTACTGGCCGTAGAGCCGCCCTCCCTGCACCTCCGCCCCTGACCATGACTATGACTACCTATAACTCGGGCACACACGGCCCCCAACCCCCTCTACGAAACGGCTGTGGCACAGGCAGGAATAAAAGAAGAAAAAGAAGGTGCAGTAGTACCAGTACCCAGTAGAGTAGTAAGTAATGCATAAGCAACTGCAAAAATATTGAATCCCAAAAACACCGACCAACCATTGTTGAGCGTGGCAGCCATGGTCATAGCACAAACCAAAAGCAAAGGGCCTCCGTGAGCGTAGGAGCCTAAAACTCACCGGTGACAACAAATGGAAAACGAAACTCCAACAACCTCGTTTCTTCTGTTGTCCCTGCTACTACCTCGCACTCCTACCGTAGGTACCGACGCATGGCTCGAGCCCCCCCTCATTGCTCGTTTAGAGCGGGCTCATCCTCCCCATTCCAACCTCCATTATTTCGACCAGCGGGGAGGGACTAACGGCCAAGTTGCGAGCAATCAACTGCCATCACACCACCGCCAACCACTCCGACTTCGTTGCTGGATTGGTGCTCCCCGAATCTGAAACGTTGGAACGAAAACAAAGAAATAAAGAACGGCACGCGGGCATGAGATACCTAGGTACTAGCCCAGGGTATACATATACGAGCAACCGGTACGAGGTCCCCTGTACTCCTACTTCGGACCAGGGGTCTGCTCATTCGCTCGCTCCACTTTGCAGCTAACGAGTTACGAGTTCTCATTCGAACGGGAAACGGCTCGGGAAATACACGCAGGGGACGCCTGGAACTGCTGCCCGCGACGAAGGGGAGTCCTCGTAGCGAAGTGCCCGCACTCCTACAACTTTATCATCTCGGCAACGAGTGGCCTCAGGAGTCAGGACCTTTGCTTGCTTGCCTCTGGCACCGCACGATTGCTGACTAGAGCAATCACAACAATACGATCTCACAGACCAACAACAACCCTTGGCGCAAATCATCTCGGCGGACTACGCCACGGGGTTTCAGATCATCAACGTGTGCCGCTGTGGATCATTGCTGGGTTTTTTTTCGAAAGCATTCGAGCCGAAAAAGAAAACGGGCAGTGAGGATGGGGATGGTCCCTACATCCCATCGCTTGCTTGCGTCTGTTTTCTTCTATCTTTCCCAGGAATATTACTTCGTACTCTGTGACTTTGTTCTTCAAAACGGAATGTGTTTACGAGTGACGACTTCGCAAACTCGGCTAGTATCGCGAAGAATAACAAGCATTCGATGATGCCTCCTGACGGGCATTTTTTAATCACTCTTGGACGGTAGGCCAGGGAAAGGAGAAATCGTGCCTCGCACTGGATCTCTTGCTCCTCATCTTCTCTGGGCCTGGCTGGTCTGGACGAGCCATTTGAGCAGGATTTCTGTACAGATCATGTTTCTCGTTGCTTTGTCTGAGCCACGACCCAGACCCGCCTCAATGCCCCTGGTCAAAGAGCAAGAGATTCTTGAAACGCCTTCCCTATCTTCCCACAAACAGTCGCCCTCTGAGCAGTGGTACCTTTTGGCTGCTAGATCAAAGCGAAAGCAACGCCAGAACCTTCCAGACTGCGACTGGAGATCACAGACACCGGGTTCAAAGGTGGTCCAGTGCAGTTTCGAGGAAAGAGGTATACCAGATCATCTCAAACTCCCCTCGACCGTCACGGCAGGGTTGGTCGATGGATCACTGGCACCAAGAGTTCGTCCGTCCAAAGGTTCTAACAGCTGTTCGTTTGCGTGCCTGCTGCTCAGTGTTTGAAGGAACCCGCATCCTATGCTATATCCCTGACCTATGCACTCGATCGAAGCCCACTAGGCAGGCGATACCAGTGCTTCCGTCACTCTCGTCGCGACTTCCTTGGTATATTCTCGGCCACACTGTACAGAACCTGATGCCACGGTGTCCCGTTTTTTTCTTTCCTCTGCGCTTGTCGCATGCCATATTTCGAGGCAGCATTTCATTCTATGGCTTTGATGAGCTCCTCTCTCGAGATCACCTTGGACCTCCTCGAGACATTCATCTTTGCCTGCGAAGACTCAGGGTCTGGCCAGATCGATCTTGTGGCTCTGGATGCACGAGTAACGAGTATGAGTACTCGAACAGGAACGGCCCACGGCACCGGGCGTTTACCCCTAAAGGCCCCTCGTACTTTATCGAGGCTGAAGAATCACAATCACAGCCTGACCGAAGCATTCATGGACGCCCTGACACCAGTTGCCACTGCGTATCCCTGTCAAAGGTCCAACGCTAACATTGAGCAATTATGGATCTGGCCCAGTGATTTGCAGATCTGGACGGAACGCCTTAGCGACAACGCACCCCTCAGAGATCGACCTGGACCACTTGTACGCTGCGTATTCAATCTCGATGGATACTTCATACCAATTAGCCTTGGGGCCAGGAGGGTCCGATGGAGCTACTCGTATGTGGCGGCCACTCAGATCCACAGCCTTCTCCTGCCGGTGTGCTCGTATATTTGTGAAAAGGGTTCAACCTTTGGGACACACAGCTGCGGTGAAACAGACTAGAGGGTGGAACTGGTACTGGTAGGGTGCCTGAGTGGCGCAAACGGGTTTCGTTGTCAATGCCATCCTGTCTTTTGCTTCTTTCAGGAAACACATTCAGATTCACTGCTACCGTCTTCTGGACTGTCGTCCATCAGTTGCGCTTGGCGACGACTACCCCCGCTGCAGTCAGTTGCACGCCTTGGGGCAGCCTTCCATTGCAAACACCAGCAGGACCTCTACACACTGAAGAGACCTCACCTTGCCTCATCGAGTGCAAAGGGGCGTCGTGCGTGCTCGTCTCAATGCCGACCTTGATGTTCTCTGCCCTCTTTCTCGTTCTCATACCACGCCTGGCCTCGGCGACATGCTATTGGCAAAATAGCACGCTGGCTCCTGATGATCCATACTCAATAGCCCCTGACGACACGGCGTGTTTCCCGGATCAAGAGAACTCGGCTTGTTGCGGGACAGGATGGACGTGTCTCTCAGACGGAGTGTGTTATATTGAGCAAGATGGGAACAGTTACTATTACCGGGGCACATGCACAGATCGCACCTGGGACAGTCAGCAATGCCCCGGATGGTGCTTTGCTCAGAGTAGGTGGCAGGGCTCTCCATTGACTTAGTCTTCCTTCTTCCCAAAGGCTTTGCTGGTAATAGGAAATGCTGAGTTTGGGTGCTCGCAGATGCCAACACGTCAATACCTTTACTTAAATGTGACACAGCACAAGACTGGGTAAGTCCCCCTCGGTCTATCCGGTTGTCGTGACTCCACCAACAGTCCAGCACTAACGAATGCCGACAGTACTGTTGCCCAGGAGATTCTGAGTGTAGCTGTGACACGGGAAAGGATGCGATCAAGCTTGGGGATACCCAACCGAGTACAGTCACCGTTATTGGAAGCACCAGTTGGCCCGGGATTTCGTCTACCACCACCCCCTTCGTCCAGACAAGCCCTCTCGTGGCCAATGGCACCAGCACAAGCGAATCCGGCGGACTCACTCAGAGCACTAGCAGCACTCAGACCACTAGTACCAGCACGAGTTCTACCACCAGCGGAAGTGCTGCAGCAGCATCTGCGACATCAAGCACACCTGCACCATCCAAGGGTGGCGGGTCGAGCAACACGGGGCTTGCGGCAGGACTGGGGGCTGGGTTGGGAGCGGCGGCAGTGATCATAGGCGTCCTTGTCTTCTTCTTGATTCGCAAGAGACGTCGTAGCAGTGGTGCAGTTGGGGACAGCGGTCTCCTCGACCATCACCAGATGATGCAAAAGCCATTCTCCATGGCATCTCAACCCGCGTCTCCTTACCCGCCGGCGGAAGCACCGACCCTTCCCCAGTACCGCCGGCCTGAATTGGCAGGGGCTGGGGAATACGACAGGGCAGAGATGCCAGCCGGACAGAACGGAGACGGGCTCCACCACCGACGGAGTACAGAACGGGCTGAACTTGGTCCGTGATCCGTGACACACGTCAAGCGACGCATAGTAGGGCAACCTGATGACGGAAGGTATATAATGGGGGAAAGGAGGAAGGACAATGTCAAGAGAAATGATGTCTGCTATGGATCTTGGATGTCACATGTCGAAGCCAGGAAGATCCGGCTGGGAGGGAAGGCTGTGGCAAAGCTGGGGAGGCGACATGCATGCAGCCGGTCATCATGCTTTTCTGTCTCAGCCACTCAGTCATGTCATGTTGTGGATGACATGTACATGTATACTCGTACTCCATCTGGACGGCGAAGTCTAGATCGTCCCTGCTGCTGCTGCTGCTGCTCCTTGCTCCCGGCATCACGGAAGGGGCCACAAGAGGCGACGCGTATCAGGCAATGATACATACCTACCTAGGTACCTAACCGAGATCCTTTGGGTGACCAAGTGAGGACTCGTACCTAATATTCTCCCGCGCCGGATCCTCGTCCTCGCTCCGTTTTTCCCCTCCTTCACGGGTCATGCATGCATGGAAGGTTCTTGGTCGCTCTAGTTGCACTCATTAGCTCTGTAACTACCTAGGTAGGCGATTGCCTGTCCGGGACAGAGGCAATATTTTCTTCCTGGTCGCCAAAACTGCGTATTGACATCCTACTACGTTGTGTTCTTCTCTTCTTCTCTCTTGTCTTGTACTTCCGTAGCGCTCTGGTGAACACACGTTGGTCTTTATGTCTCATTTGAGGGTACTCCCTTTTCTCCGATAAAGAAATTCTCGATGGATGGAGGGGCAAAGCGAGGAAAACCAAGACGCCATAGCTGGCATGATGCATAATGTCGCATGGTGTGTCAGCAACGGACCAGACACTCATTGGGTCGCCATGCCAGAGGCCCATTGAAGCCATTGAAGCCGTCGAAAACACCTCCCACCCACCCTCCTCGCTGCATGCCCGTGAGTGGCTCCAAGAGCAAACATGCCCCGGCCTGGTCCCATGAAGACGATGCGCTCCAAAGGTTCAGGAGGATGGAATGCTTTGCTAAGTTTCGCGTAACCACCACGGCCCTTTATCTCTGCCTTTTCCCTTCGACTTTTCCCTCCTTTATAAAGGGCGCGCAGAGTTCCCGTCTTCCTCTTTTGGTCCCCATCCTCTGGTTCTCTCTCTGGAATTCCTGATCGTCTCTCGACCAGCGCCTCATCCGCTGCGCTGTTTTGTCTTTTGAATCGTCGAAGAAAGGAGCGGGACAAAAAAAAGCCCTCATCAAAGAATCCATTACATTCTGCGGTGGCGGAATTGCGAAGGTCACCTGAACCTTTCCCATAGAGCCTCCCCTCAGTGGCCGTGGTCCTACATCTTCCGACCCAGACCCAGTCGCATCTCAGTATAGGGGGATCTGGTATAGGAAAGCGGCGCTCTTTGACCAGAGGGCGGAGACAGCCAGTCGAAAATTCCCGCTTTCGACAAGAAGTTGATCAGGTACAAATAGAGAGACCAATCTAAGCACAGACACAATGTCGTCTCCCTCCGCCTCAGAAGAAACCCTCTCGCCCACGACGACGCGGTCCTCGACCAAGTCCAACATGAAGATCTCGATGCCGCCCCCACCGTCGGCCTTTGTGCACCCCAGCCCCGCATACATCATCGCGCCGACGCCGTCACCGACCCAAAACCCCAACGACGGGTCGTGGCATCCTCAGGACCACTCTCACCACCACATCCACATCGCGACGCCGCACCCCTTGGCCGCCGCCGCCAACTTCCTGGACAAACACGTCCCGCTGTTCGCCAAGCACCACGCCGAGTTCGCGACGCAGCACGAGATCCGCGCCGCCAAGCGCGAAGCCCGTCACAGCCTGGTCGAGTCGCCCATCCCGGAGATGGACGCCGAGAGCGTCATGTCCGCCAACGGGGGAGCCGTCGGCGCCGCCATCCACAGCGCTACCGTCATGGGGACAGCCGCCGCCCTGGGCGAGCCGTCCCAGCACGCCCTCGACCCGGCCGCCTGGAACGAGGTGCTGGCCAAGCGCGAGGCCGCCCGCTTGCGATCCGGCTCCAACATGACCCGCACTGGCGCGGACTTCTCGCACGACATCGCGAGCGACTCCGAGTCCAAGACCTCTGGCTCGCCGGCCATCACCCCCTAGGAGGAATTCAACTCGATCTCTCATGGAATCGAGCGGATGGGCAAGAATTCATTGAATCTGCTTTTCCTTTCTCATTGAGCGTACCTTTGTTGCGGCGGCGGCGACTGTGTGGGACTCGTCTGTGGAACGCGGTTTTCTTTCCCAGCCCGTTCGCAAGAACCCGCGCACCTCAATTGATCTATACTCTTACTATGACGACAACACTTCACCTCGACCGGCGGTTTAAACCATCATGGTCTCATCGAGCAATCGAGAATTTCACCTACCGATCGATGGCACAAAGACAGGCACATTGACCCATCCCATCCATCTATTTATCCTATCTGTTCATATATCCATTCAATCCATCCCTCACTCGACCATTACCAAAAAACCCCATTACCACGAGACCAACGAAACAACCCCGAAGAGAAGAGACCAAACGAAGACGAACGGTATAACGAAGCGACATGGCATGAATCAATCCCTCGCTATCCAAGGCTGGAAGTGTGCGCACCAACTGGCCACCATTTTTTCTTTGTTACCGGGCACTTGATATGGTGTTGCGGGGTTGAGGGGGGAGAGGTTTATTCATGCTGCGTGTGTATGTATGTGCCTTGTACACACGGACGGAGTAACCGGTTTCCGAATTTTCTTTCCCAAGAAAGACAACGATGCTGCCACTTCAGGGCGTGTATAGTCTGCCTGTCTATCTACTGCTGCCTTCTTATCTATTCATCCATCCCAACGGACCGTTCAAACAGCCTATTTGCTTCTCCCGGCACCGCCTCCCTTTTTCCTTCTCTTTTGCCAAATGAACGAACGAACGGGCCAGGGGGGCAGGACCAGGGTCACTGAGAGAGAGATAAGATAGTATATCTAATCTATTGACCGTTTTACCTACCTATCTACCTACCTAGCTGCATACATCCATACATACGAATCTAGCCCAAGAGAGCAGAAATCACCAAAAAAAAAAGATATTGAACATCAAGAAACTGGAATACAAGGCATGAACATGGAACATCACCGTGATAGTATATACTTGGAAGATAAAAGACGATGAATCTCACTCGCAATGCCCGGCATAGATAGGCTCACTACATTTCGAGGAAGCCACCGCAAAAAGGAGGAAGGGAGTATGTGTCCATGGTCGCCAATTGGGGTCAATTTACAGGACCACATGACATATCTAGGCGCATAACATACATATACCTCGAAGCCTCGTCTCAAACACATCGAAAGCTTGTTTAGTGTAGTTACAGACTGCGACCTTGGAAGGAAAGGCTGGCTATCCAGAATCACAACTCTGCCAGGACGACGTGACCCGTTCACTAAGCACAGAACACGCCTGCCGAGTACCTAGGTTTCATAGCCTCGTGCAATTCATTACATTCTTCATGATATGTTCCACTAGCACACGCCTGAGGAGCCTTGTGAACATGTCACGCCTCCGTCTCCACCACCCTATATCCCTCTTGGATCTTCCTCGTAATGTCCTCATTCTTGTGCTGAAGCAATGACAGCGCGTATGCTGTGTCGTCCCATTGACGCTTATTCGCGCACCGGTTCAGACGAGCTGCCAGTTTTTCAGCCAGATTTTTGGCGTGTTTGTCCTATTTGGCACACAAGTCAGTTGAGAGGATCAGGGAGAGTCTCATCCCGTTGTTGATATTGGTTGAATGAAGAGGACACCATAGACGTTGCAGCACAGCAGCGGCGCGATGTAATGGGTGCACACGTACCTTCTCAATAAAGCCACACAAAAACTTCAAAATCCTCTTGACTGCTTCCTCCTCCATAACGCCACCCTCCAGAGGCCCTTCTTGAGTGAGCACACTGAACATGTCGACGAACTGATTGTACACAGCATTGTCCTTGGTGGCCAATTCGGTAAAGAACATGCGTGCTAGATCTGCGATCTTCTTATCTGCATCTTCAAGACATTTGGCCATTTCTCCCAACTGACCCTTGACCTTGACCTGTCCTGCCAAGATGAGGAATGTCAATGTCATCAGACAGGTTCGTTTCACACTTTCATCCGCGTCGTTCAGCCGCCGGTAGAGGAAGTCGGTGTTTTCATCAATGAGATGGTTGAAGCAGACTGCCATGTCGCCCAACGCAATCACAGCGTTGGAGCGGACAATAGGGTCGGTGGATCGTTCCAGGATGGTGATCAGGAGCGGCAAGTTTTTCTCGCAGTACTCACTACTCACGCACATGAGCTTGGCCAGGCACAGCGTCGCCTGAGCTTGGAGGTTTCGATCCTTATAAGCTGTATTGTTGGCGCAAATTTCCGTTACCAGGGGACCAAAATTCGCGAGCAATGAATGTGACCCGTAGAGCAACTCCCGTTCCCGAATATGCACAATCGCCTCGGTGAAGTCATCTTCGGTCGTGCCGCCGATCAAGTCGAGCTCGTCCTTTTCTTCCTCTTTCTGTTTCTCTGCAAGGACCTCTTCTGCGGCAGTTCTCTTCCGCTGGGCTGGCGTAGGAGCTGATGACTTGTCGGGAGAAGAATTGGCCACTGGCTTGTTCTTTTCTTGGTCCTGTTTCCGTCGCTTGAAGTCGAGTTCACATAACTCCAGATGCACGATTTGCTTAACGGCTATGTGGCCGACAGCAAACAACAGCTGTGAGAGTGCAATCGAGGGCTTCTCCTGCTTGGTTTCGGTAGGTACTGGCTCATGCGGTTCGGCCTCTGGGTTTGTAACTTGCTCTTCCCCGTCAATGTCCATTGCATCGGGTTCCGGAGAGGGCGTCCTGGATAGCGACGACAGGTCTTTCGTCTGCTGAAAGACAAGGCGAGTCTTCTGTCTAAGCACTTCAGAGCATAGAACATCTGGATGATCTGAGAGTACGTAAATGGCGCTGATGGCTTGTTCCGCCATCCCATACCAGTCTTTGCTTGCCGAAGTGGTCAGGAGGATCGATGCCAGCATACGCAGAACCTCATGGTTGTTGGACATCTTCGAAAGACCGGCAGAAGCAGTCTTTTCTTGCACCTTCTTTGTAGTTGGTATCATGCGTCGGAGGGCAACGCAGGTGAATTTGGCGAGCACGAAATCTGTTCGGCCTAGTTGTCCGAGACCGACTCGTAACATCGTGTCGATTTCCTTCACCACGACCTCTGGGCTTGCGAGAGCAATCATTCCGAGCACGATGATGGCACCCCTCCTCTGTGCCCTGGAGATTTCCTTGTTGACGCCGTACACCTGCCATAACTTGGCAATTACTAACTCGGAAATGTGACCGGCCTTAAACATAGTGCTCAGCAGCTGTTCAAGCGAGGTCAATTCTGCAGGTGTGGCACCGAATGTCAAGCTGATCATGTTTCTAGCGACGAAATTGGCCGCATCATTCGTGCTGAACATATCGGGGGCATCAAAGAAGAGACTTTTGTAGTTGTCGATTAGATGAGCCTGGACTCCTTTGCCCTCATCACTGTTTCCTTTAGTCCAGATCAACCGCATCATTCGGCGAATGCCCTTTCGCGCAGTCTCAACCTTGAATGCGTCAATCGTGACGAAGAAGTCCATCACATCGATAACTTCCGACTTGTTAGGTGACGACAACAACTGAACTGCGATCTCCGAGGCGTCGTGAATGGTCTCGATAAATTTGAGCGCCTCGAGATAATATTTTCGAGTCAGTTGGAGTTTGCCGATTACCTCAGACGTTGCGGCTTCTTCTTGCGCCTTCTTTACTGCAGCAATCTTCTCTTCCTCAGTCATCTCCTGGGGTTCTTCTTCGGCCTGAGTAGCATCGTCAAGAAGATCTTGGTCAACCTGCTCTTCGCCTGCAGCTGTGCGCGCCATTCCAGGAGACTCGGGTGGGGGCTTCAGAGCGTCTAATTGCGATTCCACTGCCTCGAGTCTTTCTGTCCACTCCTTGTGTGAAAGCTGGCCGCCGTGCATTAGGCTGAATGGGTGCGAAGAAACCAGCTTCCTCAGCAGCTTGATAGCGTTCCGCCGAACGTTACTGCTTTTGTCCTGGAGACTCTGCATGGCAAGTTCGGAAGCATTCTGTCTCCTCTTAGGAAACTTCTGCTCTAAATCACATATCTTGGTGAGGACTTGCATTGCCCGTACTCTGCAGAAAGGTGCTGTGTCAAGAAACCGTTGTTCGAGGGTGTCGAAGAAAGCATTGATCTGTATCTTGGTGGTTTCAGTTTTCTCTTCTTGTCTGCTTAGATCTGCAAGCAGGTTTCCGCAGACTTCAATCACCGCACATCGTAAGGTATGTGCCTCGCTGTCAAGGAATTTGGCCAGCAGGCCCATCTCTTTGATTACAAGTCTTGGTTCAAGCTCCGAGAGTTTGATGATAAAGGCGGAAACCGACTTTGGCCCTTTGTTGTCGTTTTGACTGAATTCCTTTGCGGCCAACTCCCTGAGAATCTCGGCAGACAGCTGAGGGTAGTCGTACTGTTCGGACAGGATGTGGAGAAACTCGGCCATCGGTTCTGACAAATGCTCAAAGTATGTGAGGTTTTGGACAATCGAGGTCTGTGCCCCAAGAGCATGACCATGATGCTTCACCGCGACACAGAGCACTTTGAAGCAAAACATGCGGACAGCTGTAATCTTGACCCTGGTCTCGCTCTCCATGATCAAGTAGATAGATCTCGTAAATAGATTGATGAATGTGTCGCGATCAGAGGTTGTCTGGAAGATGCGATTCAGCTTGAGCTTCATCACCCGACACATGACATCCATTGCACTCTGGATCTGATCGGAAGAATCCCAGGAATTGTCTTTGGCAGCTGATTTTGATTTTGCCCCTTTCCCACCTCTTCTTGCTGGCGCCGCGCTCGACTTTTCCTGTGCTTTGGCTTCGACGGCGGATACGGCCCATTGAAGAAGGAATGCGTACATTTCCAGCAAGCGTTTATGTTGTGGCAGAGTCTCTTGTTCGTCATTTTCGATGTCCTGATTTGCAATGTCTGCGGTGGTCGATAGTCCAGAAACGATCAAAGTGAGGACCTTACCCAGAGATTGGGTAGACAGGACGGATGAATGCCTAGGTACACGAAATCGTCAGCAAAAGCGGCCCTGGGATACTTGGTAATGGAGCGAAAGAAGGAAGCGCACTTTAACAAAAATTGTAAGGTATCGAATGTCGAGCTTCTGAGCAGTGCTTCCGGGTTCTCCGTGATCAAGTCTATTACTGAGTCCAATGCACTGTCCACCGACCCCGGTGAAAGGCTGTCGGGATCATTTTCGCAGTCGATCAATTCTGGGCTCGCTTCAGGCGTGGCGATAGTCATCACATCGCTGAGGTAAAGTTTTAGAGATTCATTGATGTCGAAATCAACTTGGTCCTCCATATTTGCTGTGATGAATTGTCCGGAGTTGAGGATGTGGTTGTTAAGACTGGCGCATGTGTTCTGTAGACGTTGTCAGGGCGGCAGTAAACGTTGTGGGACATTCACAAACGCATTGCAGCAGTGTCCACCACGTTGAAAAGGTCAGTGTTGCCACCTCGTCACTGTCAATAACAACAAAGTCAGAGCCAAAGACCAGATAATAATGCGACCACCTTTGCGACCATCCGACGGTTCGTGGTTGTTGGCTTCGCGATTAGATTTATTGACGAATTTCCTGTTTAGTGCTGGCGGATGTGCCTAGGTGATGCCCCACATACAAACACGAGCCCGGGACGAGCACCATGAAATTGGCCACGAGTGCCAGAGGCGTCCTCAAAAGCCTACGGTCCAAACAGACCAACCTACAGTCAACAAAGACCTCAAAGGCACCGTTGTCGCGTTATCATGTCTTGCTAAGCGACTCCGGGGTGGGAGACACGCCTACGAAGGAAGCTGAATCCGAGTCTGCGTCAACGCGTCACCGGGAGAAGGCACGGCGGCCCGCAGCAGGGATCCAAGGGAAGGAAGTGAGAGAGTGTTTCGACCAAGGCAACATGGGGCACACTCCGATCGCCATTCACGAGGATGCACAAGAACAGCTTCGTGGTGGTGAAGAAGAGGCGGACAACATGGTGCAGTGCCAGGCGGAAGACGAGGACTCTCTAAATGAATCCTTTTCAGACGACTCAGACGAGAGCGACGACGAAGTCAACGAGAGTGTAGTCGATGACATGCGCAGACTCGAAGAAAGCTTCAGAGGCATCTCCCAGAGGTACCGACTCATCAACCGCATTGGCGAAGGTATTCACATCATCCCCGGCATGTCGTTGCCCTTGCTGACCTCTACATTGCAGGCACCTTTTCCACTGTATACAAGGCCGAAGAGCTTGTTCAGCCGGACGAGCTAGGTCAAGAGAATGAAGATCCTACGAACGAGTCCTCATCCGAAGGGCCCCCTTCTAAGAGGCGGAAAACAAGCGCTGCGTCTGGCACGGTCAGTAGACCACGAAGGAAGGGTCTGCTTGTCGCATTGAAGAAGATCTATGTGACATCTTCACCTCACCGCATCATGAACGAGCTGGAGCTTCTACACGAATTACGCCACTCGCAATACATCTGTCCACTGTTGACAGCCTTCCGTCATCTCGACCAGGTCGTGGCGGTACTCCCATACTTTAAGCACCTCGACTTTCGCTTGTACTATCGAGACTTCCTTATCAATGACATGCGGCACTACTTTCGTTGTCTCTTCAACGGTCTGGCTCATGTTCACAAGGCGGGAATCCTGCATCGCGACATCAAGCCCACTAATTTCCTCTACGACCACACTAGGAGGTTTGGTGTCTTGGTCGACTTTGGCCTGGCTGAGAGGCAAGGGACCGACTGGCAACCATGCCTCTGTACGGAGTCAAGGGAGAGAAGACGAGATAGATTTATCAACTCATATGCCGTGCAGGCTCTGCAGTCCACTACGGAGCAGATGTCGACTGGGTATCCTAAGAATGACAGCCGACCATCTCGAAGGGCAAACAGAGCAGGGACCCGGGGGTTTCGAGCGCCCGAAGTCTTGTTGAAATGCACCTCCCAAACCACCAAAATCGATATCTGGTCAGCCGGCGTGATCCTCCTCACCCTTCTGGCACGACGATTTCCATTCTTCAATAGCGCTGATGATGTTGATGCCATGATCGAAATGGCTTCGATATTTGGCCGGAAGAAGATGCAATCGGTTGCAGCTATGCATGGCCAGCTCTTTGAAACCAACATCGAGACCATCGGCGAACGGGGTTTTACTTTTGAAAAGATCATCATCTGGGCAAGTTGTCGCGAGAAAGAGCAAGACACTCTTCGACCAGGAGAAGCTCAAGCAGTGGCATTTCTGCACGGGCTCCTCGAACTCGATGCTGGCAAACGGTGGTCGGCGAGAGAGGCATTGCAACACGAATTCCTCACGGCACCCGTCGAGGACGAGGAGGAGCGAGCCGAGAGAGAAGCGCAAGAAGCAATTGACGAAGAGGCGAGAGGAGCACGTCGGTGATTTGAGATGAATGATGGCCACAGGCCTGACCTCTGGTATCTGCACATATGTGTGTTTGTTGATGCATTCGAAAGCTGGCGAAAAGGTCGGAGCTTTGTATTACTAGCATCTTATACCCCCACGGCATAGGCATGGCTTTGCGCTTCGTTTGTTGAGTTTTCCGGCATGGTCAGAGGGCGCCTTGTTGGGTTTTGTGCAATAAAAAAGATATGCAAAGAGAAAAAGGTCTGAGTGTTTACAGGTACATCATGACAACCCATAAAAACGTTAGTTCTTGGTACAAAGTCTGCTAATTAGAATATTCCAAAGATGAGATACTTTAAAATTGCGTCCACAAGGGTCTCTTGGTTCCTTGTTTTATTTCGACCGTCAATCGAGGGAGCATGCCGTATATAGTGATTCTCCAGGTAGATGACAGTGTTAACCAAGGAGTGAAAAAGTCCTCGGGTCAAGTTACGGGCAAAAGACGAGGCTGCCAGGGTTTGTCAAAGCGGATATTCCCGTCGCCGACATCGCCATCATCATCGTCATCACAGTAGTTGCTCAATGAGGCAGGGTCCTTTTACTTCTCTCAAAAGGGATTGTAAATGAGATAAATTCATGTTATTATGACTGCCACATCTCCATCAAAACTCCTAACATCTTTAGTCTGGCTGAGATCGAGCAGTGGCACCTTCTGCCGTCTTTGCCCTTCTGGACCACCTGCTGCATGCTTCGGATTAATATCGTCGCCAGTCGAGCTATTAGTACACTGCGGAGGCAACAGAGGTATCAGCTTTCGAGGTCCTTCTCGACCTCGACCCCTGGAGCTAGGCCAAGACCATACTCTGCATGTCGGCAGCATCAGCCCCAGTTATCTCCAAAGGCGACAACATCGTCAAACACCCCGCGATATAGGATGGCAATGTCGATGTCAACGTCAACAGCACCATCAACTTCGACCTCAGCTTCCTCAAGCGCACAGACGGCGACGTCTCGACAGAGACAGCGAGAACCAAAGCGGTTCGCGCCGCTGAATCCCAATGCCGAGGAGGGTCATGGTCTTCCAAAGCTAAAGGGCATAATTTTTGACATGGACGGGACGCTATGGTGAGTCTACATGCTGTGCTTTTGCCGAGCGTGACTCTAATCGAATCATTACTCTCTGCCGCCAGTCTTCCTCAGAACTACATGTTCCGGGAAATGCGTGAGGCGTTGGGAATTCCCAGATCCGTTGACATACTGGACCACATCCGTTCGCTCTCCAATGAACCCGACAACCCCGCCGCCGCCAGCAGCAGTGACTTCGGTCCAGAACCAGGGCTAGGACAACATCCTCACTCGACAATCAACCCTTTCCAACTGCCCTCGGAAGAAATGCTGTCCCCTTTCAGTGACAAAATCCCCGATCCGCCCCCTCTATCACCGCAAGCTCGCGCCGTTGGCAAAATCCAAGCCATCGAGCGCAACGCCATGTCCTCACAACGTCCGCAACCGGGACTGCAGGCGCTCATGGACTACCTCACTCGGCGAGGCGTGAGAAAGGCCCTCTGCACGAGGAATTTCCCTGCCCCCGTGCATCATTTGCTGAGTAACTACCTACCAGAAGAAAAGTTCGACCCCATCATCACTAGGGAGACCGAGGGCGTGGAACCCAAGCCGAGCCCAGAAGGGTTGTGGATGATCGCTCAGTCTTGGGGCTTGGATAAGGATATTGAGACGGGCGAAGTTCAACAGTCTGTCCAGAATGTGGGTGGTGAGCTTGACCCTCTGGAATTGGCCAGGAGATATCTGGGTTCTGGCTTGATCATGGTCGGTGACAGTATAGACGACATGGCAGCGGGTTGGAGAGCTGGGGCGGCCACGGTACTGTTGGCCCAAGATGAGAACCAGGAGTTAGTGAAGCACGAGTATACAGGCCTGAGCATCAGACGGCTTGATGAACTGATAGATATCCTAGAGAATGGATTCGCGGAGAGCGCAGAGACATAGACCCAGAGAGCGGTGATTCCAATAGGTGGAGATTTTCGTGGGAATGAGGACGATCCTTGGAGTTTGAGATCCGCACACACCGTTATGCACAGTGTGAATGGCGGTCCAAGCGTGCTCCGTACCTGGGGTACGCTGACATGCGACGCAGGAGCAGTAGTCTGCTGTGTTCCAAGCGACGTCGCACAGCCCGCCAAATATATTCAGGGCGCTATTTCCCCTCTCCTCCCATAATATCTTCTATCGCACCTGGGGGGCTCGCGGTATGGGAGAAGACTTCAGCAGCAGTAGTCTGGCGCACGTGGAAAAGGCTCCTCGTACAATGTTGCCATGTTAAAACCAATGTAGCACAACATCCAGCATCCGTAGCGCAACACACATTCAAGTCATCCGTATTTATAACGTGCATAAATGATGGCTGGGACAGAGCACTCGATTGGCAGGATGGTAGCTGATGTGTTGGCAAGCTGGAGAGGGACACCTCTCCACGCCCCTCAGAGTGACGAATCGAAAGGCGGCATGGAAGTCGCTGCAAGCCTGAAACTGTTTGTCACAAGCGGTCACCCGTACAACCGAAAAGATTGTTTTCCTGGGAGCCTCTAACATCATCGGGATCAAGCCATGGGCGCTGGGTGGAGCCGACGGCGGTAAAGGCCCGTAACCTTTAGTTAGAAACGTCGCGGCCCATCATCCATGATTTTGGCCATTTGTCCAGCCAACCGCTTCCTCGGAAATCCCTTTCGCTTGTTTTTCCTATTCCCTCCTTTTCAGAGTGCTTTGTATAGTCCATTTTTGGCGACAAATTCAGGCGGTCAACGACTCAGCAGAGAAAGAGATAGGAATGGGTGACGGTATCGACGGGTGACTTTGCAGCTATCCATGCATGCATAGGCAATGGCCAATTGACGTTCCAGAGAGCGAACAACGCTGCCGACGGAAAGATACTACACACAGTAGTTGTGCGTTCTGCCGGACAGAAACCTGATATTCCTGGCATCTTACCTGGCTAGATCTCCGGGTTCTTGATAGATCTGTGCAAGGGTGCAACAATGGCCTGCTCTCTCTACCTGGATGCTCGATGTTCGGCACTAAGCCGGCGGTTTGGAACCGACCATCGCTGCGATTATTATAAGCATAAATGAAAAACACGGGAGAGAGCTTTTGATACTCCGGTGGGAACAAAATACGGAGTCTTGGACCAGTAAACAAGACCCATGTGTTCGTTCCCGGGGAATTTTTATCAAGATAGCTACCTAGGTAGGTAGGCTGATATCAGGGTGGAGAAGCGGAAGTGAGCGTGAAGGAAAGGCCCATGCCTCGAGTGATGAACCAATAACGGTGGCGAGAGCATCGGTGGCGTGTGCTTTCAACCCTGACTGGCCCGGGGGCGGGCCTGTTAAACACTGTTTTTCTATGGCGGCACACCTGGGAAAAAAGGTCCGACGACTAATTGGGGCCTAAAGGTAGGCTTGTGAGGCCCGGGTTCTCTAGGCTCTTGGTTACCCTCCGCCTCCCCCAATCCACCCAGCAAAAGCATCTTACCTGCACCTACCTAAGTGTTCGGTACGTATTGCTGCACCCGCTGGCTGCGCCGCATCCCTCTCTGTACAGCTTTCAGCCCAACTCCACCGCTTTTGCTTCAACAAACTTTTCCTCGTCGTGCTGTGCTCTGCAGCGAATGTTGTCTTGTCAAACAGAGATGATAACTATGAGCGTTACAAGCTTATTCTGATCATGTTAATTGCTACTTGAAATTGTCTCATTGAGATCCTGCCCTGTCACCGTCACCTGCGCCCGCCGCACCACGACCTCACCCAGCCTCACAATTATTCGCCCGCGACCAACGACCACTATCACCTGTTTGTGCCTTGACTGACTGACGATCCCTTACCGGTCAAAACAAGATCTGCTTCGCCGTTATCGACCCTACTGTTGACAAGGGCACACGCGAAACCCTCAAAAGTCCTCGGTTTCCTAACAACCCTGTTCGAAAATCCTCGCAACGAACCTCCTCCACCAACCATGACCGCTCCTAAGCTGCTTACAAGACCATAGCCAGTCGACCTTGAGGGCACATGCGCATCGAACCCTGCGTATGTGCTCCATGTCCCGACGAACTTGAGGTCGCTTCGAGATGGGCTTTTCGAGTCGACGCCCACCTCTGCCTGCGGCCACAGAGTCATCTTTAGGACCTGCCGACGAAACTGGTCCCGGTACGGATCTTGGGACAGATCTCTCTCGACGAAGCGAAAAGACCTCCGAGACAATCCCTGACGACGGAAGCCCGATCACCATTACCCCGGCCCCTAAGCGCACGATTGGAAAACTAGCAAAGTCTGGTCAACAGTCTCAGACTTCGCTACTTATCGAGTTATTTGAAGGAGGTAAAACATCCGAACCAGGACAGAGGCGACCCAGCTTACGAGTTCGCTATACACCATCCCACTCCCGGAAAAATAGAGACAAGGGGGAGCGTCACATCCTGGTCACCGAGTCTCCGACGGCGAGGAGGCCTTCCCTTAGCCACCGCATTTCACTTGGAGGAAACGAGACTCTTGCGCCAAACGTCATTGAAGGCAGCATCAGCTCCTTGGATACCGGCGACGACTTCAGGCCTACCGTCCCCGTCGAAATTGAAGTCTTACAGGACGGAGATAGTGACAGGTCCGTTTTGAGTCCGCCGCCCGAGACCAGGTCCATCATCCCAGAGTCAGACATTTCGTCTATGCCAGCAGAGAGCTCTCTGGGACCCAATCCACCTATCAACATGTCGCCTGCCAGCCAGAGTGTCAGTATCACTCGAGGTATGTCGTCTGAAGGAGCTTCGTTGAAACCACCTGTCATTCCGGCTGATCGCAATCTGAGCAATGAGCGTATCACACAAAAAGTCATCGAAAAGCTGAGCAATAAACCACGAGTGTCGAGCAGTGGAAAGCGTCATCATAGCAGTCACAGTGGAACTCGGAGCAGCGTGAGCAGAGAAACGGAATCGATGCACAATGAACCGCGAATCCGAGTCACAAAAAACGTAGATGACGATTCCCTGCATAGCAACACCGGGTCCAGTATGGTCAGTGGCTCTCAATTGTCTGCAGACCCGCGGGCAGCAGACCAACGATCGGCCCGCTCAGGAACATCAAACGTCTCGGTCACGAATAATCCGAAACTACTTCAATCGGTAGAAGATGCCATCAAAAGGCTTATATTGCCTGAGCTCAACGAATTGCGCCGGAACCAGAAGCATACCCACCGATCACGCCAGGATAAATATAGCAATCCTTCGGACGTGTCTTCAAGTACTCTATCACGAGAGGACAGGACGCATCGCAGATCATCGGGGAGCAAATCAAAGCGTCGAGTTAGTCGAGACTCTGAATCTGGTGCGCCTTCAGATTCGTCTCGCCGTCATAGACGTCACAAGACCGTCGACTACGATTCACCTTCAGAGCACAGTTACGAGCCATCCGAGTCTTTCGACAGTCTGGGCAACGAGAAGAAGTTACGCAAGCATTCGAAAAGCCGTCATGCCCGCGACGTCGCCGCTGGGGCCGTCGGAGCTGCAGCCCTAACCGCTGCGGCTCTGAAGTCGCACGATTCGGGATCGAGCCTGGAATATTCGGAGCATCGCAGACGGCGGAGAAGCAAAAGCCGTAGCAGCCGCAGTGCAAGCTATACTGAGAAAGAGGATGTTTTCCAAAAACACCAAGTGCCGCCTATGCCATTCGTCAGCGAAATTGGTACCGATCTCACTCGAAGCTCACTCAAATCCTCAAATGACGGACGCGCCGAGACACCAACGCGCCGTGAGGTGCGTGAAGTGATACGCGGATCTCCTTTTGAACTTTCCTCGCCAGCGTCTCAAGCGACGCCAACTTCGAATGCTCTCGATTTGAAACGGGGACTTGGTACCCACCATGGTAACTTCTCGGAGCACGATTTGTCGGCCCATGACTTGTCAGCCAAGAAAGAAGTGTTCGATGAGGGCACTGTTGACAAGCCGCATGATACAGAGGAGCTGGATTTCGCTACTCACGGATTTGCAGCTCTGACAGATCCGGAAAGGGCTCGTCAATATGAAAGAAATCTCCATCAGCAGCATCCCATCAGGCGGGGCCTCAGTCCAATACAGAGCGTTGCCAGTTATGCGACTACAGAACCCAATCGCAACTCCTTGATGCAGCCACGCAGCTCAGACTCCTTACATTCACCGGGTAAAAATATCCGTATGGATGACCAAGTCTCAGTCTCGTCCCTCTCTTCAGCGCCTAGCACTGACCTGGCTCGCTCAAGACGACCTCATGGAATGAGTTTGGAGAGCCGGAGCGAGATCATGAATCAACATGTGAACTCCCTCGATAGCACCCCTCGCCAAGTGGATCAACACGCTTTGAGTGAACACCACCTCGAAGACGACAGCTATCATGATTCGCCATACATCGACAAAGTAATTGCAGGCCAACAAGTTGTCGCTAAAGGCATTGGGGCAACAGCGCAGTACATTGATGAATCGTCCGGTATCGAGTCTGCAGTCGCATCACTAGTTGAACCTTCTCTCCTCTCCGCCGATTATTCGTATTCACCCCGCCACAGTCAGGCAGACTCACTAGGCGCTCGTGAGATCGCCAGTCCTCCGTTATCCCACCATGATCATGTGTCAAGGCACAGTGGCAGCCCGCTGAAACGGCAAATTTCGAATCAAAGCGAGAGCGTACACGGGCTCGCTCCAGAACCAGTGGCTCTGATGTCGTCCCCCCAACAGAGTCCTGCTCGCTCAATTGAACATTTGGAGCAAGCCTCCGCCAACTCAGTCCAGCCAGCACCTCTTGCTACTAGTAACGTGCCCAGCGGCCCAGTAGAACGTTCACCTGAGTCGGACATCACCACCAATCCATCTATCATCCGAGGTCCGATCGGCGGCCTTGCGCAGGGCAACACTGAGCATTGGCCTTATGATCCAACACCTCCACACTCTCGAGGCGACCTGGTACTTCCGCCGGTGAGTCGCGATATTGGTTCAGCTGGGGCAGATCTTATCCCTGAAGCCTTGTCCATCAACCGTGACCACGATCTGGATCCAAAACGTGACCTCTATGTACAGCCTCAGCCTCTATCAACCCCTCTGGGAGCTAAGGACGAGGGTTACGAGACCGGAGCGAACGTACCATCACCGGCTTTGTATTCCCAAGAGCCAGGGGCCCGAGACAACACCTTTACACCAGAAGTGCCAATCGACAATGCTCCTCTCACTGACGACCCCTTCACTACGCAGCGGGATCAGTACGTCAGTGGACTTTCGCATGGAATGTCGCCTATGTATGATAGTGCAACGGGCCGCGGCCGCGATAATATCCAGTCCAAAGATATTGTGGCTCTCATGGATCATCTGACAATGCGCGACGCCCAACGATACGCAAGAGACACGGAAATCCTTGTGACGCTGGTTCGCAGCGCCGCAGAAGTGCGCAACTCGTTTGAGGATATGAAAAAGTTCATTGCAGAACAGGACGATCTTATCATGGACACTGCTGACAAACAACATGAAAGAACGCAAAAGGTTATTGGGGGGCCGCGACCACAACCCACATCTGCTCCTCGCCCGACGATGTCGGCTACTTCCGAGGAGGACATGCCTTTGAAGCGCCGCAATGTTTTCCAACGTGCGCTTCGAGGGCTTGGAGCTAAAAACTCGCAAGAACTGCAGAACATTGAGGCCATGTTGATGCGGCTTTTGGATGAAGTTGAGGCACTGAGGGCGTCGCAGCCTCCAGCCGTTGCAAGAGATCAGCCTAGATCTACCAGCTTAGCCTCTGCAGATAACGCTCGTGCTCCTACAGACACAGGATATGAGCCAGAGGGCCAAGCAGGGACCTCGTCAACAGGGGATCGTTCTGGATTCTTTTCGAACAATTCCTCTCGCCAAGCGGATTATCGCAACTACAACGTACATCGAGATTCCGGTAACCGAGTGAGCACGGTCATGGAGGGCGATGAGGAATACGACGATTATGGGGACCATCTCGGCGGAGCTCCAGCTGGAAATGCACAAGTCGTCAGCCACACGCCGCTGGACACGCCTCCAAGGAATGATCTAGTCCGACAAGCCAGAGGAGGTTCCGTTCCTTTGAATACTCCACCTCGGACGCAGGACCAAAACACGGGATCGCTAAGCCACGAGAACACACCTCACCTTTCCGCGGGAGACGCGTCTGGACGGAAACACAAGTCTTTCGCATCTTCGTTTATTCCAAAAATGGTCTCTCGGTGGTCCAAGACTACCGCATCTTCTGCCGATAATTTCCGGATGAGTCAACAACGAGTGAGACCCGATTCTGAACACTCTCGGTCAGGATCCAATCTCGGAGATTACGAATTCGAGCATGATCCTCAGGGTAATGACCGTCTTCGCTCGAATACTTCATTCCAACGAGATCAGTACGACGATGTAGAGAACCGACCTCCATCTCCTCTAGTCCCAAGCCAGTTGACGGACAACCCCAAGTATCAAGCTCACAGAAACAGCATCAATCTTCAGCATCCACAACCTAGACAAGGACCGTCAGGTCGCTTCCAATCTCGTTTGGAATCCGAAGCACAGCTCTATAATAATGAACAAATCTCGCCAACCTCGCAGACTTCATCTCAGTGGGAGACGCATTCGGGACTGCAGCCGAACCATCACACAACTATCTCCTATGGAGGACACCTTAGTCCTATCTCCGACTCACCCTACACTGCAGAGCCAGGCCAACTACATGACAACACAAGCATCCGATCAGGAAGCTCTCATGGCCCGCCTCGGCCGCCAAAGATCCCCAACGACGAGCCTTTGGTGCCGCAACGTCCACCCAAGGTTATGATGAGTCCCACATCCAATCGACAGCAGACCTACGTCGATCATGTTGCCGCAGCAAGGGCGGGAAGCCCAGCATTTGATAAGGTACGTTGGAGACACCCACGTTTCAGTTTTTGGTGATACTAACAGGGTTGCAGTCTCCCGTAGCGGCACTTAGATCTCCACAGAGTCAGGCGCGAAAGCCCTCAGGGCCGAGACCCCTTGCCGGATCTGGTGGATCGAAGGGTGATTTGAATGCCGTCAAAAGAACAAGATTCAGAGGTAGTCCAAACCAGATTGATAGCGAGGACGAGGCCACTGCGGCATATTGAGTGTTATGTTTGGTCCTTAATGGTAGTGAATTTCTTTGAGCGCGCAATGTGAGCGGTTGACACGAATGCATTAGAGAGGCGTACAGGAATGGTCTCCCTTCCCATGCTAATGCCAAACAGCGGGATCGAGGGTGGTCGCCGCTAGGCTGATCGGCATTACCAAAGTGATTGGTACAAGCGACCTGCCCCAATGAAGGAGTTGGAAAATACGAGCTCGACAGTAACAGCGATGTTGGTGATGACGGACCTACCACCTGGGCTGAGATATGATACCATACATTTTCGTTTCGCATTGGGCTGTGCCCCGAGCGAGAAAAAAAAAGGATACGTAATGTCGATATAAGGAAATCAAAAAGAAGAAGGGGAAGGGTTGGAGCCTTTTTATCCGTTTCGTTATTTTCTCCTGGCTCCACCTGGCCTACTTCAACTCTGTTTTCGGGCTGTTGGTACTCGGTATTGTGTAATATGCCTCTTTAACGTCGTTTTCGGGGGCACCGTACCGAGTCGTCTACGTCTAGAGATTTCCAGGTAGTGTGCGCGAGGCTATCGACGAGGCTGCGCGGATCAGGGGAAAAGTCTAGTGCCCTGTACTCCGTCCAGTGCTTCCGCGAGTGAGGAAGGAATTAATTATATCCCTGGCGGGACTCTGTCTCTCTCGGAAGGATGTGAATGAAATGTGGCGCGTGTGGGATGTTGTATGCACATATAGATTATCGAGTGTTGTTGCACATCATGCTGGCTCCCTGTCGTAGAGACATAGGTCCTACGATCCCGTGTGAAGGGAGCTTGTGGCTAGCTATAGTGACGTAGATGTATTCCACTTGGGAGTTCCTTTCCCTCCTACGACGGAGAAGCCTCCATAGAATGCGTGGAGAGAGACAGAGGGGTTTTCATGTGTTGGAATGTAAAACTTAGGATTGGATCACGGCTTTCACTCATCCCGAGAATGGAGCCACTGATCTAGACGCACCTGAGCAGAGATGCAACAACTCTCTGCAATAATCACTCCAGCTCCGCAGCCCCTTCCGCAGTGACTTTTCTGTCCATAGCCAGCCCGCCCGCCTATTGAGCACTGTCTAAGAGTCTTGATCCACTTCGTTCTGCGGGGTGTTATGGAGGCTTTTCACTTCATCACCCCCCTCGGTAATAGTAGACCGCTGTCATATGTCGAGATTGAAGTAGACCTCAGATCATCAGGAGCACTTTTCTGTTCTGACGTGGGTGTGCCAGGCACATTTGTCTGCCTTCGTGATGTCTTCCAGACTTCGTTGTCCAAGGACGTGCATATGCTCTATGAGGTCCACGGCGAATTCACCGTTTACCTTGACCTTGTCTGTAAAGTCCTTGACTGTGGCACAAGTGTCGCTGCGCATACCGTGATCACGCACCAAAAGAGCGCACATCGTCATGACGAGGTGTTTCATGCTACCGTGAATCTCATCGTGAAGCTCGCGAAAGACCGAGAACAAGGGTATCTCCTTGGGACGAAAAGCCGCGAACAAGTTGATGAGATGGTTGGCCCAATCTTCCATTCCAAGCTCCGTAGCAAGCAAATAAGAGTCGAATACCCGCCGATTGGCGGCGGAAGCATCCTGCCCTTCGAGATGTGATACTTCGTGGATGTCTTCGGGCAGCTCTTTGTAATACAGCCAGCGCACCAACTGCTCCCCAGTAGTCTGCGAATGTTCTGGAAAACGCAGTATCCTAACGCTCGTCTCCTGCGGAGAAACAGCATCAAGCTCATCCTCGAAATACGGAATCTCAAGAAGCATGTCTCTATGGATTGAGAGTTTGTGTGTTTCAGAGAGGAACCAGAGAGCAACGACTGGAGAGGTAAAGGAGGTGCTGAACATGATCAGCCGTCTCGACTCTGAGTATGAAGCAAGCTCTGTCGAAGATGTCTTCTTACCATGTTTTTGGGATCAAAGCTTCTGATTTTGCTTTAGATCGTGGTCCCAGCACCAGTGATGGCTTTGCATCACCGAAGAGCTTCTTTTGCACACCTTTCCAGGCGTCATGAGCTGATATACGAGAGCTCAGACGAAGTGCGGTAGCCAACCCGTCATAGTCGACCTAAAAGGTGGTCAGATTAGCTGGAGGAGGATAGAACGGGTAGTTGAAATAATATAAGTTGGTGGTGGTAGGCAAGCGAGGAGCTTACCTCGACATTGGGCTGTGCGCCGGGCTTCAGATTGCTGAGGAAGGCAATTAAGACGTCTTGCTCGTGAGAGGTCAGCTTCGACAAGATCTTGTTCTGAGCACCTTCTGACATGGCGGCGATCGAATAGGCAAAGAGACACAGTGTCTTTGAGAGTTTGGAATCTGCCAATCTTGCAGAAGGTTTGTCAAGCGAAGGTAATGGCTTGTAGTATTGAGGTTTGTGAGTTCTTCTACGAAGAGAAGGAGAAGAAGCCCAAGGTTCTTTGGCTTACCACTTTGATCTATTGCTAATTCACTTACAGCAGAGACCTTGGCGAGGTGTTGGCTCAATTTCGGTGCAAGGCCATTATTGTGTCTTTTCATATCTCACTTGAGCCTTACCATCCACCGACCTCATCCCAAATCGAATCTTATTGAGGCCCTCTTACGACTTCCCCAGCGGATTCCGGACTGCCCAGGTCGCTATCGATACATTTGGCTAAGGAGATAAAAGTTAGGCCTGCTGCGGCAGGTCCAGGATCAAGAGGCCATGCTAGGAGGGACGTAGGGTCTCGAACCCTCGGTACTCAAGAGCACGATAACAGCATCTTTCTGCAAGCCCGCGAGCAAAGGATCTGCGGAGTCGACTTTCCTGATTGCAGCGAGTGCAGCAGCTCCACAAGGGCCAGCATTAACGCCGTGGGCGTGCAGATACTGTACAGATCCATGACATTCCAAATCTGTGATTGTGATGCTGACATCGACCGCTTCGGAGAGGATGGGCCACGAGATGGGCGAGACAGTCCCACAATTCATACCATTCATGACCGTTGCTGATGTCTCGATTGTGCTCCATTTGCTGGATTTGAGGTTTTCATGCAGACATGCAGCGGTCTTGGGCTCCACTGCCACAACACGAATTTGCCTGCCACTAGACTTGCAGAAGGCGGCAACAGAGTGACCCAGAGAGCCAACGCCAATTGGAGTGACAATGACGGTCGCTTCCAGCTTTTGTGCTCTGAGTTGCTGCTCAACTTCAGCCAGAAGTGTTGAGTAGCCTTCCACGATCCAGGCCGGGATTTGTTCGTATCCATCGAAGGCATTGTCTTGAATGAGAAGACCACTTGGCGCCTGCTGTGATTCCTGGAAGGCCATGGAGACGGCATCATCGTAGTTACCCGAGAGAACCGTGACTTCAGCACCTTCACTTTCGATCTTTTGACAAGTCTCACGGTCAGCAAATCTGGACATGAAGATCCGCACCGGGATGTCCAGTATCTTGCCCATTCGTGCAACAGCCCGGCCGTGGTTTCCTTCGGTGGCCGCAAAGAGTATGGTCGCCGATTTCCTCGCTGCTTCGGAAACGTCTTCAAGAGTCGAGTCAAGCCCAAGTCCATGCTTCTCGGCAATCGCACGAAAAGTGCCCCATGAAGCACCGAGGATTTTGAACGACGGCAACCCAAGCCGGCTGCTTTCATCTTTAACGAAGATTGCTTTAACGTTCAGCTCCTTCGCGAGGTCACCTAGAGGCACGAGCGAGGTCTCTCTATATCCTGGGAGGCGTTTGTGGAAAGCCTGAGCGAGGCTTATATCTGTATCGTACGTGTGCGTCCATGTTCTAGCTCGCGGATTCGTATAGATCGACGAGTTAGACATGGTGTTTTTGGTCAGATCAAAACACGCCGTCTTCAATTGATAAGTTAGGAGGTATTCTGAAGCTTATCTTGGAGTGTCACTTGTATCAGAGAGCTACAGTAGTCACCCCCTGTAGCAGCGTTTTGAAGATTTCGGCGGCAGAGCTGGGGCGTTGTGGTAGGGCGCGAGATACTGCTTCGGCGGCATCCGTTTCTGCCAGCCATCCCCATGCGCACCTTCAAACAAGAGCTGGTCGTAGGCGCTGCGTTCCCACTTGCAGGTCAACTATTACTGAGGACTTGATTCGTTAATAAGTGTTGACCGATACCTGCGATCGATTCCACCAATTCACCATTACAGTGGCAAGAGTGGAAGCAATCGGCGGCTTCGGATTCGCAAAAACGTTGATGCGTGTCAACCAATGACATCTGCCATCAAGCGGCTTGTCCAAGGCTGCAGCAATGACGGTCCGAAGAGGATTAAAGCTTCTTTGAATCTTGAGCTATTCCGACTCAGAGGTCGACTGCCAGCCAGCCACCTGGCTTGCCACTATTGGCCGCCTCATTGCAAAGGCTACACACTCTGCCAGCAAATCCAGAAGATGTGACCCCTGCAGCTCTCAGCACTGCGTGCACGCCACCCTGCTCGTCAGTCCACGAGAGTGGATGCCACTTGCGCATATTAGTGATTGGCTCTTGACACTTCTCGCGGCCCAAGCGCACTAACTCTTGGTGTTGGGTCATCTGAAGCGGTTGTCGTTGATTAAGTCAAGAAGCCTGCCATGGCTGTGGATGAGGTGAAGAGGAGGAAGACTCATCGACACAAACATGGTGATACTGAAATGCCAACATCCCGCAAGCGGCCCCAGGATGACAGTGCGACATCAAAACCACCCGCCACCGCTACTAGCCACCCCGATATCGATGCCGTTAGAAAAGCCAGACTCGCATTCCTAGCCAAACCTCCCGAAGAAGGACGAAAAGTTATGAAGTACGAGTATGTGAAACGTACGAAGGCGTCGCAAGGAGATGAAGAGAAGGAAAAGCGCCATACGGCTACACGAGTACCACTTCCAAGCCGGGAGGTTCGCAAGCCCGAGCGGCGCTCCACCGCGCGCACAGACAATAATCGAAGACGCCCAGCGCAAGATGATAGTGAAGATGAATACGTTTATGCGAGGACCGAAAGAGCGTCGGGCGCAGGTACAAGCGCAACGCAACCGGAGAAACCGCCGGCCCAGAGAACGAAATCCCAAATTCAGACTCCCAAAAAGACAGAAGTGCCGCGGAAACCACTAGAACGGCGGTACACGGAGCCAGCGAGGAGGAAGGAGGTGTATGTCTTCGAGGAGTAGGTTTCAATCTTTCGTCATCGTGCTTAAAAAGCTGACCACATGTTACAGAGCACCTTGCGCAGGAGACGAGTCGCTGCCGCTACCACGTCGAATGTCGGGCCTGGTCGAGAAATCGCAAAAGTCCGAGTCCAAGAGAAGTACCACAACGGCAAAACCAAAGGCTGATGTGGGCGTCGCAAAATCCTCCGAGCCCGCGGGAACGCCTAAGAAAGGGCCGGTTTTGTTGAGCGGACTTCTGCCACCTAAACCTGCACAGCAAAGAAAAGTCTCGTGCCTAACGTGCGGTGATGATGAGATCCCGATAGCGCAATCTGCTCTACTACCCTGCAAGCACCGCATGTGCAATACATGCCTCAAGCGGATTTTCAAGATGTCCGTTACCGATCCTGCACACATGCCCCCCCGGTGCTGCACCGATCAGCATATTGCACTTAAGCATGTCGAGAAATTGTTCGATAACGAATGGAAGGAAAATTGGAACCGCAAATATCAAGAATACCAAACCAAAAATCGAGTGTATTGTCCAAGTCGGAAGTGCGGCGCCTGGATCAAACCAAAGTATATCACGATAGAAAATGGGCGTAAAGTGGGACGTTGTAAGCAATGCAAAACAAAAGTATGCCCGATGTGTTCTCGGAAGATGCATACAACGCGCGAATGCCCCAAGGATCCGGAAACAAAAGCCTTCATCGAAGCAGCGAAGGAGAAGGGTTGGCAAAGGTGCTACAGCTGTCACGCCATGGTTGAGTTAAAGGAAGGCTGCAATCATATGACATGCCGCTGCACCGCTGAGTTCTGTATGGTGTGCGGTCTGAAGTGGAAATCCTGCGACTGTCCCTGGTTCAACTACGAGGCTGTTGATGGACACTTGGGTGATCCTGTTCGATATCAACAAGAAATGGACAGACGCCGGGACCAGGTCAACCGCGATGAAGCGCTCGCTCGACGCATGCAGCAAATGGGTTTAGGCGACGATGCTGACGGCCAAGCTGCGCGCATGTTTGGGCTGGGGAACGGAGCGAACCACCACATGAACCAGAATTTCATCCAGCAAGCGCGGGAAGCGCTGACGGCAAACTACGCACAAGCGGGACAGGCCGCTATGGGCCTATTGAATGGCTTCGTGAGGGGTCGAGAAAACCCCTTGCCTGGCATGCCCATGGAGATGGAGCAAATGCTGGAAATGCTCGGCCAAGGAGGTAACATGCGTGATCCAGCAGAAGGTGGTAACCCAGCACGAAGGGCAGGGCGACGAGGGACAAATAGGCGAAGACAGGCTCGGCCCGACGAGGCAGGTGAGCTCCCCGGGCCGATGGCAAGAGGAGAAGAAAGACGAATTCAAGATTGGGCTAATGACGGGGCTTGATAAGACGGGGACTGGTTCTTGTTGAGTTAACGACTAAGGTGACGACTGGGCTCATGACCATGGTTTTCAATGTGGACGGGTAGGCGGGGACATGGATGGGCGTTTTCCGCGGTGGTGGTCTTTGGCTTCTGGATACCCACAGGCAGGGGGGTTGTGGTGTTGGAATGTCGACGGGGTCAACGGGACCACAAGAAAGCTTTCAGGATCTATCATGGGGTGGTGTATATGGCTGACCGGGCCTGACGCTCAGGGGGCCCTTACAGGACGACATACTAGGTGATCGATGTAACTACTTTGACAAGTGCAATGACTCTGAGATTCAATGGCAAGTTTCACTTTCGGTGCAAAGAAAACAAACTTTTTATTTCGTGACTGAGTCCTGACTTGCGTTCCGTAGACCGTGGGCAGAATATCCATAGAGCGGGATGTGGAGTTTACAAATCGTCAAAGACTGACATAACACATGTTCACGTTTGTGATATCCTTGCTCTCCACCTCTCTCGATAATTCTTATTTCAGGTCATTGAACAGACTCTCCAACTCCCTCGCCACCGCATCGCCAACCTCGACGGTTGAGCTTTCTCCACCGATATCCTTGGTGACGATGCCCTTCTCGATGACGATCTTGACGGCCTGCTCGACAAGTAGACTCTGCCTGGGCATGTTCAGACTATATAACAACATCATAGCTACGCTCAAGATGGCGGCGACGGGATTAATGATGCCTTTTCCTGCAATGTCTGGGGCGGAGCCGTGGATCGGTTCGTAGATGCCGTTGCACAGGCCTTTGCCGTCGGGGACGCCGCTGAGACTGGCGCTGGGGAGTAAGCCTAGACTTCCCGGGATGACCGAGGCCTCGTCGGAGATGATGTCGCCGAACAGGTTTGACGTGACGATGACGCCGTTCAAGGCGCGCGGGTTCTTGACCATGATCATGGCGGCCGAGTCGATCAGGTGGTGTTCGAATTGGAGCTGGGGGAATTCCTTCTGCATGGTCTCCGTGACGACGCGGCGCCACAGACGGGATGTCGCGAGCACGTTGGCCTTGTCGAGACTCCATACTTTGGAGGGTGGGTTCTTTGCGAGGGCGAGGTAGGCGGCCAGTCGGGTGATGCGCTCGATCTCCTTTCTCGAGTACGGTTCGCGGTCCTCGGCAAATTCGTTCTCGCCGTCTTCCGGGTTGCCCTCGACGCGGTCACCAAAGTAGATGCCACCGGTCAACTCGCGGACGATCATGAAGTCGGTTCCCTGGCAGACCTCTTCTTTGAGCGGGGAACGCGAGGCAAGGCTGGGAGAAGCGAAGAAACAGGGCCGTAGGTTGCCAAAGGTGCCCATCTCCTTGCGCAGTTTGAGGAGGCCTTGCTCCGGCCGGACCTTGCCCACGCCATATTTGGGACCACCGATGGCGCCGAGGAGCACGGCGTGGGCGGATTTGGCGGCTTTAAGGGCGTCGTCCGTCAACGGGATGCCGTGGGCGTCAATCGAGCACTGGTGACGATGACAGATGTCAGTTGCAAAGGTGACTTCATACAACCCAGGTCCAATGGTGTTGTTGAAAATGATTGCACACTTACTCCTCCCAGCAGGTGGTCTTGGAAGTTGAATTTGACATCCTTTGAGCACTTCTCGACCACCTTGAGGGCCTTTACAGCCTCCTTGGTAACCTGGAGTCATCGAACCTTTTAGTCAAGATTCCTTCCACCCTTGAGCACAACGTACCTCAGGACCTGCATAGTCGCCAGCAAAGACGACGATATTGTATGTGGGCATGTTGTCGCTTTAGACTTCTCTGTGCAGGTCATTAATGTGTGTTATACTTCTGAGTTTGCTACAGGACATGTGAAGGAACGAGGCTTCGGTCAGACTGGAAAAAGGTGGGGGCCGATATCGGGGTCTCACGTGGTGCACGGCCTCGGGGAGCAGCTTGTCTGACAATGACATTTCATTATTATTATCTTTGGAGCCTGCCACCGGCACCTGGGTGACTGGCGTTGTGTACCTGTGTGCGTGGTGCCGACGAGTCAGTCGTCGCCATCAGCCAGAATGGCGGGCCTCAGTCTGTTATCTCCTCGATCCCAGAAACGTCAATGACGGGCTTTCCCATCAAATGGCTGACAGTCGATGCCGCTTCAGGCACCATGCATACTCCTCCAGCCAGTCGGCGCGGGGAGTCTCCAAGACGCGGGAGCAAGCCCCTGCATGTTACATTCGACAGACATGATCCGCGCGGGATCTTGATCGAGTCAAGAGTGACGTGCCTAACCAGGCAGCATCTTTCTGGACAGGCACACAGGCACATATCAATCCTCAAAGAGCCACACCTCCAAGCTCTCACTTCACAATGAGCCATTATCGAGGTAGTAGTCTTAAATGACAATGGCTTACTTTGTGTCCAACAGTTCAGACTCACTGTTCGGTCCCGCGTATGAGGGTCCATTCAGGAGCTTTGACTTCACAGTTCTCTTCGAAGACACCATTCTCACTATCCTTCCTGCTACCCTCTTCCTCATTTCCGCCACGGCAAGGGCAGCATGGCTGACGACCAAACCGAACAAGGTCACCACCTCCTTCAGCCGCTTGACCAAGCTTGTGAGATGCTTCTCAGCAGAACTGGACAAGCAGACTTGCTTACATCTCTCAGGTCCTTCTGTCTGCTTTTGTCACAGTGCAACTGGCGGTGCTTCTTGCCCGGGCAACAAATTCGGAAACAGCAACAAAGGCTTCTGTCGCTGCAGCCGCCCTGGACTTCGCGGCTTGCTGCGTGCTTTTCGTTCTGTCCTGCTTCGAGCACTCACGCTCCGTGACACCTTCTACCATCATTGGGCTCTATCTGATCGTTTCGTTTCTCTTCGGTGCCGTTCAGATGCGAACATTCTATCTGCTTCCTGGATATGCTGCCAAAAACATTGCCAATCTATTGTCCCTGTCGCTGGCTATAAAGTTCGGAGTGCTGGTTACGGAGGCCGTCGAGAAGCGCGGCATCCTCCTGGATCCATACCGTGATCTTCCACCGGAAGCCACTAGTGGTGTTTACAACAGATCAGTCTTCTGGTGGTTGAACCCTTTGTTGCGGCTGGGGTTTGGCAAGACATTGAAACTCGACGATCTTTACGACTTGGATGACAAGCTAGTATCTGCCAATGTCGCCGCACGCTTTGGACAGGCATGGGCAGAGACAAAGGAACACCACCGGTTCACCCTCGCCTTCGTGTCGGCCTACGTTCTGAGATGGCAACTTCTGGTCTCGGCTTGTCCTCGAATTCTCCTCATAGGTGTCAAATTTGCGCAGCCATTTCTGATCCAGGAAACCATCAACTATGTCGGAAACCGCCAAACCCAGACAGCGGCCGTCGGGTGGGGGCTCACAGGGGCATACTTCCTGGTCTATCTCGGCCAAGCTATTCTTACAGCCGCATATAGTCATCTTCTTAACCGCTGTGTCACGCAATTACGAGGAGGACTGGTTTCTCTACTCTTCCAAAAGACACTTGAGCTCAGCATCGTCACAGTCGACCCATCGGCGTCCTTGACCTTGATGTCATCCGATATACAGAGGATCGTTGACCCAATCGTACTACTGCATAATACCTGGGGCAGTATTATCGAAGTATGCATCGCCATGTATTTGTTGTATCTTAACCTGGGTAGCGCATGCTACGCTCCTGCGATCGTGTATGCGCTCTCGATACTGGGAGATGCCTGCGTGGTCAAAGTCATCGGTCAATATCAAAAGCGATGGCTGAGCGCAGTCCAGACTCGCATCTCATTCACCTCGGCCTTGCTGCATTCTATGAGGAATGTCAAACTCCTCGGCATGTCCTCAATTGTCAAGGATCGAACTCAGGGACTTCGGGAGTTTGAGATCAACCAATGCAAAAGGTATCGCATCGTCAGCAACGTCATCATATTCGTCCAAAATTCACACATGTTTTTCGCACCCTTTGCAACTTTTCTTCTCTACTACATCAGGTCTAGGAACACTGGAGAAGCCCTCGACATAGCCACCGCCTTCGGCATTTTAACTATATTTAGATTGCTCGACACCCCTTTGAACAATCTGCTGTACAGCTGTCCTCAATTGGCAAGTTCCCTCTCATGCTTTGAACGGATTCAGAAATATCTTCTTTCCAACTCCCGTCACGACAATCGCCTCTCTTTATTCAATCCTGACGATTCGGACGGTTCCTGGGCCAGGTCTGCTGTGGGTACAGATTCTGTCGAGATGAGACAACTGGGAAGCGCCAATAGCAGCGTAACGGAGGAGGCTTTGGTTCTGAAGAACTGCTCCTTTGGCTGGAGCGAACAGAGCGCACCGGTCGTGCAGGATGTCGATCTGTCCGTGCGCGCAGGCTGGATCACCATGATCATTGGTCCCGTAGGCTGCGGGAAATCCACTTTGCTCAAGGGCATCTTGAGCGAAACCCCAGTGTCTCGTGGATTTGTTTATATTCAGAATCAGTCCGTCGCCTTTGCTGATCAGGAGCCTTGGATTCAGAATGGCACGATAAAGGACACTATCTGCGGTCCGGACTCAAGAGATATCCCATATGAAGGTGACAGCTGGTATCAAGAAGTCATCGAGTGTTGTGGACTGAGCGAAGATATGTCCGTGTTTCCGAGGGGCGACAAAACTCTGATCGGTTCCAAAGGGATTTCTCTGAGCGGCGGGCAAAAACAACGACTTGCTCTCGCCAGAGCTGTCTATTCCAAGGCTCCAATCCTGGTGCTTGATGATGTCTTCTCAGGCCTTGACAATGATACGGAGGAGCTGATATTCAAGAAACTTTTCAGTCGCTCCGGACCGCTGAGGCGCCAGGGCACGACGGTCATCCTGGTCACCCACGCTGTTCACCGGCTCCCGTACGCAGATTGCATCGTGAGCCTAGACGCGAATGGTCGAGTTTGCGAGCAAGGCAGCTATCTCAATCTGGTAAATCAGGGAGGCTATGTCCACAGCCTTGACGTCCAATTCAAAAAGGAGCACGAATATCCCGCAGAAGAAGAAGTGAAGACCTCGGTTGAAGTCAAAACAACATTCAAGGTATCCACCGGTTCCCAAACAGCGGAAGAGGAGAATGAGAATGCCCAAGATCTCGTGCGAAGGAACGGGGAGTGGTCCACATACAAACACTGGTTCCGCTCATGCGGATACCTCTCAAGTGTGCTCTCCCTTGTCTGGTCATTTCTCTTTGTTATTGCTACCCAGGCACCTGGTGTGCTAGTCAAGGCCTTCCCGGGCGACACTCCCTCGCAAGCGACCACATTCATCATCATCTTTGGGATTGCATGCATCACTGCCGCTGTGTCACTTGTGCTGCTGGTAGTACAAATCCTTCTTCACATGCAACCCAGAAGCTCTAGCACCCTTCATCTGAGCCTTCTGGAAGCCGTCCTCAACGCACCATTATCATTCTTCACCCGCACCGATCTTGGAGCCGCAACGAGCAGATTTGGGCAGGACATGGCACTTGTCGACTCCGACTTGCCATTTTCATACGCGGATTTCGTGCTGTCTTTGATGAACTGCATTGTCGGACTTGGATTCATCACCGCCTCCGGCACGGGATATTTTGCCGCCACCATCCCTGTTGTCCTCGCCGCCCTCTATGGGATCCAGAAATACTATCTGCGAACCAGTCGCCAAATGCGTCTGTTAGACTTGGAGGAGAAGGCTCCACTTTACACGTTGTTCGGCGAGACCGTTGCTGGACTGGCAAGTATTCGTGCCTTTGGATGGGCAGACAAATTCGCGGACCGGAATCTAGAACTCTTGGACCGAAGTCAGCGGCCATTCTACCTGATGTACTGTATTCAACGATGGCTCGCGCTTGTCCTAGATCTCTTGGTTGCGGTTCTTGTGACTATATTGATGGTGATTATCGTGGCGAAGCGGCAGTCTATCGAGCCGGGACTTGTTGGGTTGGGGTTACTGAGCACCGTCAACCTGAGCGGCAACTTAACAAACCTGGTACGGTGTTGGACTATGTTGGAGACCAGCATTGGAGCCATCAGCCGTCTGAGGAGTTTCGTGAGGGACACCAAATCAGAGCACCAGGCGTGGGAAGTCGAAGCGGTGCCGAAACAATGGCCAGAAAACGGAGAGGTGAGCTTCACGGGGTTTGGAGCGAGTTACTCGGCAGACTCTATGCTGGTCCTCAGGGACATCAACTTGGAGGTGCGATATGGCGAGAAGTTAGGTATCTGTGGTAGGTCGGGAAGTGGCAAGAGTTCAATGTTGGCCAGTCTGTTCCATCTCCTCGAGTTTCGCAGTGGACGGATTCAGATCGATGGGGTCGACCTCTCTCGGATTCCACGCGAGACACTCCGTGCAAGGCTCAATGTGATCCCGCAGGAACCCTGGTGGGTGACCACCGAGTCAGTGCGTTTCAACATGGATCCCTGGACGGCCACGAATGCCGACTCAGACTCGGACGATCCCTTGGCACGCAGCGAACGCGACGCCATGTTCATATCCACCCTGACCAAGTGCCAAATCTGGCCCGTCATCCAAGATAAAGGCGGGCTCGACGCCATTATGACGCCCGACTTCCTGAGCCACGGCCAACGGCAGCTTTTCTGCTTGGCCAGGGCGATGGTGCGCCAGAGCAAAGTCGTGGTGCTGGACGAAGTCAGTGCGAGCGTCGACGTCAAGACCGACCAGCTCATGCAGCGGATCATCCGCGAGAGATTCCACGACTGCACCGTCATTGCGGTGGCGCATCGGCTGAACACGATTGACGATTCCGATCGGGTCGCGGTCTTGAGTCAGGGCAGGATGGTGGAGGTGGGTGAGCCGCAAGCTTTGTTGAGAGCGGAAGAGAGTTGGTTCAGGGATCTATATGAATCAGGAGGACGAGGTTGATTGTTACTTCCTCGACTTCCTCTTGTGGATGGGCTGGTGCTTGGAGGATGGGCTCGAAATCAGTGCCCTCCAGGCCGGGATGCCCCGTTAGATTAGATCAGTCGATCAGAAGTGGGACTTGGTATGCATGGCGCAAGGCCAAGAGACGGGTAGAAGATTGATAAAACAAAAGGCTCAGTCGTTACAGGGAGAGTGATAGTCACAGTGAGGTGGCACTGGTCCCTATCTGGGATCATGGTCGTGGGAATCTCTTTGAGGAGTCGCATCCTCCTCGTTCGCAATCATAGAGCAAGACGGGCAATGGGAAGGACATGAGATTAATTAATGGCGGTTTGGGGCCTGCATATATATACCTACAGTACATACGATAGAGATATATCTTATATGTTCCCCTCGGATGATCAATCAACCCTTCGGAAAAGTAATCAGACTTTTATCTCGTTGGGTACTCTTTTGTGACCAAGTATTTTGAAAACGCTCGCCTTTTGCTCTATCCTTTTCTCCTGCCGTAGACCGTGGTGTAGATAGCGGTGGGGATGGAAGGCGGAGGGGGGGGCAGCTAGTTGTTCGGGCGAACCGTGGTGGTTGATTGGCCTGAGACCAGGGAAATTTCATGGAGGCTGAGGCAGAGTCGAGTTACAGATAGCGGAAAAGGTGCTGTGGTGACTGCACGGGCGATGGTCAAACACTTGAAAACGAGGCATAAATCTGAAAAGGAAAGAATTCTCAGTTTCATTTAGCTCTCGCGTTCGTGTCTCTCTGCCACTGGTGAAAAGAATCAATAACAAGACTATTAGATAGTGCAGATAGTGCTATCACTGGGACCTCCAGCAGCTGTGCAGTTGTCCAACCAACGAGGGTCCAGAGTAGTGGTGTTGTAGTAGGCAATAACGCTCTCAATAGTCATAAACACGTCCGTGGTGCTGGGTGTTCCGCTCCACCACTTGTTCCCGTCTGCCCACAGCTTGAGTTGTAGATTGCCGCCCAATTTCGGGACGTTGTGGGTGTTTTTGTGGACGATCTTGCCATCGACGTAGTATGCGATCCCGAGATCCGGGTGGCTGTCAAATCGATATTCGCGAAATACACCTGGGCTGAATGCGGGATCGCTCAAGGACTTCGCCAAGGTCGCGCCTGGGACGGGCGAGCCATCTGGTGCTAGAGAGGGGTGCGAGGTAAAGCTGATCGTGTTGTTCACAAGTGAAGTGCCTTTTGTGACCAGTTCAATGTCAATCTCTGATCGGTCGTCCTGCGCGGGCTGGGGTTAGCTTCCCACCTCCGGTTCGGAAAGCAGGGGCACAAGGATTGCTCACACGATACCAGAAGAATCCCGCACAGGCGCCACCGTTGGAGCCTTCGACTTTGAACACTGATCGATAGGTTCCATAGAGCATGTCAGTCTGTCGACTTTGGATACCAGCAATGCTGACGGTCGCGTAGGCATCCAGATCTGCCCGGCTATATCCGCGCTGCCTCATTACAAGGTGCTTGTCCTTGATCTCGACATTGGTCCAGTCATACTTGGCGTTCAACCGGATGGTTGGATTGTCGGCGCGCTGCTAATAATCGTAGATCATCCAATCTCGGTTGAACCTGGCAGCTTCGCGGCTGTTGAGAAGTGAGTCAATGTCGGGATACTGGGCGAAATCCTCATAAAGTCGGTGCGTGTAAATAGTGTCTTGCTCCTTCAGTAGCCACCCGCAGGGACAGTTGACACTGACGGATTGAGCAATCTGGATGAGTGTAAGACTGCAGATGAAAAAGAGATACATCGTTACGGGATGTCGAGCGCAGAACGGTACGTGATGGTATCTCGAAGCGTGAAAGCAAACACGGTAATGCTTCCAGACAGCGTCATTCAGACACTCTGTCACCGGAAAGGGCGACCCAGTCTCGGTCCATTGACTGCGCCTTCTAGGACGAGGGAGGTGCGAATCGTGATTCTCCTGGATGCACAGAGCGGTAGCTCCCTGCGCCTGGTTCAGTAGGGCCTGTATCTTGTATCGGCGATCTTCTTAGATTTCGTCGCTTTAGTAGGGGTGGTAGCTAGGCCACTGCCTTGTGGACGGAATGCCATGATCCGTCCATCCTCGCCTGCCGTAAAAATTGTACCATCCTGCGCATGATGTTAGCGAGACTACGCACAAAGCAACAAGGCTAGTCGACCCACGGTCTCATCCGCAAATATTGATCGAACAACCTCTCCTCCATGAGCGTTTTCGAGGACGATTCGCTGGTCAAAATTGAGCCCGACCCCTCGGTTCACTCGGATCAAGTCCACACGAGAATTACTGCCCAAAGAGTTAGGTTGAGAGGAGAAGGCAGATGTGGAACGAGGTTATACGAACCTGTGCGAGCCACAAGCCACAATATGGTCCGTGCCGCTATGGAGGATGTCAATCACATATTCGCAGGGGATGGCTGGTCTTAGGTCCCCCAACTGATCCGGCGCTGGCTGATCTGCCTCAGCATCTGCGTCATCAACAGTGAGAGAGTGCAATGAAAGATTCTGGTCCGAACTCAAAGCGTATAGGTCCGTTGGCCCCAAGAAGCCTGCCTTGTGAATTGGACCATGGTTCACGGCCTGAAGCAGACTGTCTTGCTCTTCTTGGATTTGAGTGTCAAACACGCAGACTACACCGTCATCGCCTCCGCTGAGGAGCAGATTATCCCTGGAAGGATGGAAATCTAATGCAGTGATCTCATCGTTGACCTCAGCATTCTGCCATCTTAGCTTCCCCTGTCTCCGATCCCTACCAGGTTGAATCAGTGGTTGACTTGGCTTGGGCCGGAAGGAGGCTACTTGAATGGTACACAAGGCAGATGCGACCTACCAGATGGAGACGACCGCCTCGCAGCCAAGAGCCACATCGTTCAGCCTGGAGGCCAGACAATTGACAGGTTTGGCTTTGCAGCAGAGATGATTCGTCAGCTTAGAGACCACTAGGAGAGGGCTCCTGTCAATGCCTTACCCGACTTGAAGTGGGCAACACTCGATGGAGTTCGAACATCAAACACTGCCACGGTTCCGTCATTTCCAGCACACATGACAGTTGTTCCCTGGTCCTCAACCACTAATGAAGAGAGCCCGTGGGGGACACCTTGGATCCCCACGGGGTTGGATCCAGCCAGGTTGTCCCTATTGAGAAGGAGGAGTTCATCGGCAGAGGTGATAGCGGCAAGGCCACGGCCCGTGACGGGGGCTATTGCAAAAATGTAGACATCTTCCTGCCTGGATGGCGCACGGCTGGCGAGCTCTTGGTAGGTTTGGAGCATGTCGAAGAGAGGATTTCCTATGCAAACTAGGTCGGGCTAGTCGGCTTCGAAGCAGTGGAAGGGGCCCTTTCACCCTTCAGACAAATGCTGGAGACAACTGGCGGTGTGCAGGACGGGCAGTTTGGGAGGGATACAGAGCAAAGACATGGAGTCTTCCTGGGTAAGGATGTCGTTAGTGGTGACAGGCGACGAATCACTTCCCACAGCGATCGGCGCAGTTCCAGTACCGACTTCACCAGTGACCAGTGACCACACTGACCACCGTCACTGGCAACTGCAGCCGCATTTTACTGCTAGTAGGTGTACGGAGGGGTAAAGGCATGGAATGGCATGGCGCAGGTGCTAGAAATACCAGGTGGGCTAGCGACGCCCACTAGCCCGCCAACCCACCACGCCCCTCTCTGACTACGACCCTCTCGTGCCTCTGTCTAAAGGAGTGAACACAGGCCGCTCCCTCCATTTGATTTCGTTGGGAAAAGCCACCTGAGCACCCAGAAGGCGTTGGGCAGAACGAGCAGCAGACGGGGACGAGTGGGAAAAGTCTCACTGGCAGCTAGTTCAAATAAACCGCTAATCTGGATGGCGGATCACGAGTCATGGTCTGGGCGCGGTTCAAGCACGACAAAACATTTCCTGGCAGATCTATTTGTTCTGTAAGTGTAACTAGCCGTGGTAAGCGAACAAACAATGGCACTTCGTAGAGAGACCGAGGACAAGGATTGGAACGAGTGACTTGGGTGTCCGGGCCACTCTCCGGAGCACTCTGTGTTGGGAAGCTCCCTACCGGGTAATTAGGAAATCTTTCGGTCGTGGACCATGAATGGGCACGGGACTTACCATTAGCTACCTTACCCAGCTACCCAGGTATGGAGGGCCTATCCGATATCGAGTTAGTTGAGACGCTTCGGCTCGCTCTGGGATCAAGCATCCCCCTCCTTGCCCAAGCCCCGGCTGTGCCGGCTCTCAGGTATTACTTACAGCACCGGTCCCAGCAGTTTGGAAAGCCCTTGTCAGTTAATTCCCCTTGGATGGCTAGCCCACTCTGGCGGCGGCGGCTGATGTGACACCCAGCTGCATGTAGGTAAACAAATCATTGCTGCGGGGTCTTCCAGCAGCAGGTATGAAAACATTTCTGACTCGGCATGCATCATATCCTACCTCGCTCTTACTCGGTGCTTCGTCCACGCACCTCAGTGCCTAAGAAGCCTTCTCTTTCTGGGTGACTTGCACCTGCTACTACTGCCTAGCGCGCGCAACGACCCGTAGCCTACCTACCAGGTAGGTACCCAACTACTCATGCGAAGGAGCCCTGGCTGGGTGCCTGGAGCTTTCACTTTCACCACAACCTTGAACCCTAGCTCCGTCATCCCAGTTTCGGAGGCTCCAGCGGTCTCTTCCATGAAGATTCTGCACGCCAGCTGGGATTCCCCCCCGCTGCCTGACTTGACTATTGTGTCGTGCATCACTCCACTGCTCTGGTGTCGGCAGTGCGACTTCTCCACCCTAATGCCGATGTCGACCCTTCTTTCTGGGTGCTCGTGCTTGCCTCTCACTACTCGCACCCGCTCGTACTCCCTTCATCTGACGAGATCCGCCCTCCTTCCTGTGAACTGGTGGGATTTTGCCATGCGCCCCTCCCCTCCTTCTCACCCCTCCAGGGTGCATCGCACAACCTCTGACCCGCTGCTTCGCCAAACCTGAACTCCAAGGGTCAAATGCCCGGTGGCCCAGTCTAGTACGCAAGAGGGGAGTACAGCACAATACAAGATACCCACCCTTTCGCATCTGGCTCCTACTGACGGGCAGGCTACGCTGATCGCCTAACCGAAAGTCATCTACGGAGAATAAGAAAGACTGCTCGAAGCCTTCCTCACTCTATCTGCCTACCTAAGGTATTCATCATTCGTTACATTGTAAGGCATTCATTCTGCGCCCCCGATCTCTCAGACGCACACCGACCGCAAAAAGCAAGTAAAATCCTTGATGTATGGTGACACGTTCCCTCTTTTCTGGGTCGGTTGCATTGAGATCGACCGGTTTTCTGGGGGCCCGGTGGTGTAACTATTCCCTCTCCCACTTCCTAGCCGCTCCATCCTCAGGCCCGGGTCGTCAGTGTCACGCATTTTGTGAACCAAAAGCAAAAGCTGTGGGCGGTCATTTCTGGTCCGGGCTGGCCCCTCTTATCGAGGTATATTCTGGTAAAGAATGAGTGAAGGTCAAGCGCAAGCGTCCAACTTCTTCATCCCTCCAAATTTCGAAGTCCACTTACGCCCCTCCACGACTGTATCAATGAATCCCGAGCTTCCTCCCTGGAGGACTACGGTGAAACGATATGGTCGAGAATATGGCGCCTACAGAATGTAAGCACCTCGACTCCTTTCTCTTATAAACGGCTAACACAAGTTTGACCCCAGTGGACAATATTTGTTTCCCCACGACGAGGCAGAGAAGAGAAGGATGGATATGGTGCACACAATGCTCAAGGTTCTCAGACCCAAGCATCGACGAATTACCGAAGTCCCGCACGAACTCCTCCGGATGCAGACAGACCCGTGGGATGGTCGACCTCGTCGGCCTCGGGTCCTTGATCTGGGTTGCGGCACCGGCGTCTGGATCATAGACATGTCACACACCTTCAAGGATGCCGAGTTCAGAGGCGTCGACATACAATTCCAAGGCCCACCCAATCCCAGTGATTCTGTCGACTACACTGTCCCCTGGGATTACGAGGGCCCTTGGGCTCTGGGAGAAGCGTCATGGGACCTGATCCACCTTCAGATGGGCTTGGGCAGTGTGTCGAATTGGGAGGCTCTCTTTCAGAAAATTTTCGCCCATCTTGTGCCCGGAGGTTACTTTGAATGGGTCGAGTTTGACTTTGAGCCCCGATGTGACGATGGTACGCTGCAGCAGGGAAAGCTGACAGAGTGGTGGGAACTCTATATCAAGGCTACATACGAAGCAGCCGGTCGTCGTCTTCACTGGGATCCAACAGTAGACGACACATTGAAGCGCGTGGGGTTCAGGGATGTCCAGCACGTTGTATTCCAGATTCCGTTGAATACATGGGGCAAGAATGAGGACTACATGTATCGCATGTCACAATGGTGGCAGCTCATGATGGGTCCGGATTGGAATGGCGGGGGTGCCTATGGGCTCGAAGCCATCAGTCTTGCGCCTCTATGCAAGTTCTCCAATTGGCCTCCTGATCACGTCAAACGCCTTTGCAACGAAGCACTAGCTCAGGCGGCTGATACCCATGTCCATGTCTACAACCAAATCCATATCATCACGGCCAGAGCCCCTCACCGTAACGAACAATAACCCGTGACGGTCATGCTCTGGGCGACACCCGCGTCTTTTGGCACCATATGCGATGAGTCTCATCATGGACACACAGTACGAGCGAGAATGGTCGCCACGCTCGGAGCACTTGAGGGAGCAAAAAGGAGGTCAAAGTGGTGGGGAACCAATATGACATACTTCTACAGCTTACAAGCCGTTAGGTTTGCGTCTCTGCGCTTCCGGGTGCACATAATCCTGGCAAGAATACCCTTATGCTCGCAATTTCTGATCTGATCGTGCCAAAGACTTGGCCGCTCTGTACGTTGTACAATAACAATACAATTTATGGACAATAGACATGGTTCTATGATCGCTGCTTCTTCTTCACCACTCCCTTCAACGTCGGATTTTCACACGATCTGGCGCGAAAGAATTCGGGTAGAACATTCAAACCTTCCCTTGGGCTATTGCCGGATCCGCCAACTCCAACACATAACAACAACTGGTAAGGCTACACTAAGCACTGTAGGTAGGTAGACGGGCAAACATATCACTTGACAGGGAGGATTGTGAGAAATCAGTCCGTGTGAGGGGACAAGAAGAGATAAGAGAAAGAGAGAGGTACAGAGAGACAGAGGGCACTTTGGGCTGGACGCTCCAGGGAGTTGCCTGGGTAGGTAGGTATCCAGGATGTGAACGCCATGGCCCTCTCTCTTGACTGCATGGTTTCCATGTGTCAATTTGGAATTTCTGGGGGAGGTTTCGCATTTGCCAACGATGGCCTTCTCTGTGACTTGAGTTCATTTGGATGGATTGGATTGATCGATCAATATTCTTTTCCCTTCCCGCGCTGCGTTTGGTCGTCAACCCAGGCAATGCAGGTAAATGAAACCACGCCGCTCGCTCCCACCGTGTCGTCATTGTTTGTTCGAGTCCACACACCATCATCTTCCCTGGATGCAGCCCGAGTAAGTCTAAAACCCCTCCACCTTTCAGTTGCTTCGTATCAAGATGATTCTTAACGACCACAATCCATCCACCCGATCGCAACCACTTTTCCCCGTGCGTTCTCTTCCGGGCAGACCGTGGAAAGAACCCTCGGTTTTTCGCAAGAGCCAGCATCAATCACGCATCGCGACACCGCTCGATCGAGAGAAGGAAACGGTCATCCCTATCCTTAGGCAAATGTGGTAGGTCTCTTGGGGGTGAAGAGCTTCTTGGAACCGCTGCTGCGGTGGGGGAGCGGGAATTTGAGGTTGCGAGAGATCAGTTGCTTGATGTATGGTCGCTTGACGTCGTTGGGGTTTTGGATTTCGACGACTTTGAGGATCTGCGGGGCGCAAGTCAAATGTTTAGTTATGATTTGTCTTCAAACCCCGCTCCGGAGTCTAAAGGGGAAGGGAGAAAAAAAAACGTACGTGGATGCTCCTGAATCGGGCACGATGTCTGGCAGCCATATCCTGGTACAGGGCCTCGACGGCATCGGTGCGGCTCATCTCTCGGTACTCCTTGTACATGTTGTGCGTTCCCGATCGCGAGTCGTATCGGATCCAGATGCCGAAGTTCTTGACCTTGAGGGGCCGCTTCTCGTGGATGACGTTGAGAGAGACGACCTCGCCCGTGGATTTCTTGAGTTTGCGCAGCTTGGACAAGAAGTACCAGAAGCGCGACTTGGCCACCACGGTGTTGGGTGCGAAGATGCGCATGCGGTACAGCTTTGGGGTTGGGTTCGCGTCGGTGGGCAACGACCGCCCGATGACCTGGTATTCCTGAAGGCGACCTATAAAAGATGGACATGTCAGATTTGGTTCTCTCGAGACTGAGCGGTTGCTTTGATCATGAGCTTTGGCGTCAATCAAAGGTCCATTTCCAACGTGTGGAGAAGGTTGCCTTCTCTTTTGACATTTTGCGGCTGAGATCTCGAGACATGCTGTTCCTTTCGCTTCTACCTCTCTTCACAGGCTTTCACATCATGTGCCCTCAAATTCTTTTGCAGAGACCTCCAATTGAAAATTCCTCGCGGGCGCTCTTCGACTCGGCAAAAGTGGTTCGTAGGGGGAAGGAATTGTGTTGCGGAGACTTACCCATCTGCGGCGAGTTAGCTTTGAATTCTCCAGGATCAATTTCCTCTCATACCTTGACTGTGTTTGATCGACCTCAAAACGTGGCTCGTCGTCGATGTGCTTTGATCGCTAAGAGAGTCGCAGCAGCGAGGCTTCGGATTTCAAGTTTGGTTCTGGGGTTCGTGTGCCAAGAGTTACGTTTTTCCTTGGCGCTCCTTCCCAGCTGGTCCGTGATTGGTCCATCGGACTTTCTTCGTCATTTGCGGCAAAGCCCAAACAAACTCCCCCCCAAGCCTCCTCTCATACAACTCGTTCATCATTTGCCTTGTAACTTCACCAAAACTATTTGGTCTAATGGGGAGCATCTTTGCGGACTTCCACGAAGCCCAGCGGGTAGGGTATGGTCCCCTCCTTGCATCATGTCTAGCTCCCATCGACACAGAACGGGACCCCCGTCGACTCGAGTCATTCGCGCAAATATCAAACTATCAGACGGTCTCGGCCGATGTACGCTACCACATCATTCAAGACCGCAATGCTGCCAAACTGCCCAAAGCCGAAGCTAATGCTTGGGTTGACATCTTCGTCGCTCTGTGGAAATGTGTCAAAGAACTTGTCGCGCTACGGCAGGGTGCCGGCACCTGTGACTGGTCCAAGGCGTTTGATGCGTACAGAGAGTTGTGCAATCACCTGGTGAGAGGATACACAAATTTTGGGTTTCAGGCCTGGACGGTTCCGTGCCTCAGCGTTGCCGGAAAATATCTCCGCATCATAGCTATGAGAGCAGACACCGAGACCAAAGCCAAGGAAGGAAATGGAGACGTCTTTGCGAGTGGTTTCTCAGACGACATCGTGGGCGACACAAACAAGAACGAGAAAATGGAACAGGCCGCCTGGACCATCAATCGAATGTTCACGATATGCTTGAGCGACCGAGCCGAGGAGAGTGAGTCACGGAGATGGGGCATCTACAGCACCACCAACTTGCTGTTCAAGACATACTTCAAACTCAATTCGGTCTCACTTACAAAAAATGTCATCCGTGCTCTAGAAGCCGCAGCAGATGACATCCCCAGTCTCTCGCGATTTCCAAAGTCCCACCAATGCACATTCAAGTACTACCGCGGAGTTATTGAATTCCTGCAAGAGAACTACGGCGACGCGGAACAGAATCTAATGGAAGCATTCCAACTGTGTCACAAGGACTCCGTGAAGAACCGAGAGCAAATCCTGACTTACCTAGTCCCGGCACACATCATAAACCAGTCCCAACTGCCTAGCAACGCCCTGTTGGCTCCTTATCCAACTCTGACAAGGATCTTCACACCATTATTCACTGCCATCCGCGCCGGCTCGCTCGCCGCCTTCGACGATGCTCTTTCTGAAGCTGAATCAGAACTAGTCAGACGCCGCATCTATCTCACTCTTGAGCGCACCCGCGGCCTCTGCTTGCGCAACTTGTTCCGGAAGGTCTTCCTGGCAGCAGGCTGGGAGGATACCAAGGATGCAACGACTAGCGAAGTGACAGGCAAAATCCGTCGAACAAGGATCCGCATCGAAGAATTCGAGGCGGCAATGCGTGTGAGTTATAAGGGTGCCACGGACGTGGTGGTTGACAGGGACGAGGTTGAGTGTTTCCTGGCCAATATGATTTACAAGGTGCGTCGCATTGCCTATTTTATGTTCATTTGCCCACACCCTTTCGCTTGAGTCTTCTCCCCAACAAGGGTGTGTTCCTCGCAAAATACGGCTCAAGCCCGCTGTTGCCTTGGTGATTGCCGGATGCCTGGTGCAACATGATGCGTGTGACTCAACAGCCGGAAGTTCTGCTTCGATCCCTCGCCTGAAAAGGAAAATGCTGACTTGGAATCTCTGGTTCTGTTAACCGCTACAGGGCCTGATGAAAGGCTATATTGCTCGCGACCGAGGCATCGTCGTACTAAGTAAGGCTGGCGCCTTTCCTGGTACGGGTGTCTGAACCGGAAGAACACATGCCAGTGCAACACCTATTCGCGGTTTGCAGCTATATGCCGTCGATTCGATGCTTGCATGTCTGACTGACAAGTTTACAATGATTTTATTACAACCGAAATGCTATTGGAGGGCTGAATATCTCGATGTTACACCGACTATCAACTAGGGTGCCCACTTCGACTTACACAGTACACTTATAGCAAACAATCTGCTTTCGAAAAGTCCTGGCTCGATCTAAACACGGCAAGCATGTAACCGGAAATGCAGTCAAAGAGCCACACCCACTCACAATCTAGCCCGCAGCCTCTGCTTCAACCGTTCAAGGCGGCCGCGGCTTCGGCCATCCGATGTCAAGAACGACTGGTCCTCGATGTTCCTCAGGTTTCAAGCCATTTCTTCGGCAAGGAGCATCGAATTCAGCCCGACAGGCGGAGCTGCTCGCGCTAACTGCTTGCGGCAACAACCGCTAGTGGAAATGAAGTGTGCAGTCGACAGTTGCAGAGCACTATTTATCTGAGTATCCACCCCTCCATCTTCCCGGGGGAATACTACGGCTCACGATGGAATCGAAAGAGACGGGCTATAGGGATGGCAAGGGGAGGAAACGGTTGGTCGGCACCTGCGAGCACGCCTGTCTTCTGGCCTATCAAGTCACGCAGATGGAGAGGCTCTCCCATGGAGGCTGAAGGTGGAAGTTGAGTGAGTGGAGGTCTGGAAGTGACCAGACAGAATGGCCACCGAAGGAATGTGATGGAGCGATACGTTCCGACCCACTTTTCACTTTCTCCTCAAGCCCGGGGGAGAAAGAGTCAAAAGTGCCCCGTTATCACTGCACACAAATACCTCACAAGCCCGAGTATGGATTCACCGAACCCTGCACGCAGTCCTAGGGCCTTCAGGGTCCAAGCATCCGACGAACCCAAATTCACCATTCTCCCCTTGTCTACCTCTCGTTGCCTTGAGCTAGGCACCACGGCCTGCATTAGCGAGACCAGGCAGGGATTGAATGGGTGGGGAGGGGGGCTGTTTCGCCGGGAAGAAAAGAGACTCACTGAGTCAGAAACAGCTCGGCCGGTTGCCTTTTTGCTACTACTACGCAGTAGGTGTGCTGCAAGCACTTAATTAAATCAGTACAACCCGACTGGCTGAAAAAAGGACGGGAAAGGGGGGATTGAAACGGATCGCTGTGTCCGGCATTTTTATACTGCTTCAAGAGCAATGAGATAGATATCAAGAGGTGCTCGATGATACGGTTCCCATCCAAAGGTCTGGATTAAAGGTCTCTACAGGGTGGTGAAAATCATGAGTCCCATTGCATATCAAGGTAGTTTTTCTTCCTAGATGAAGCATTTGCACACTTGCGTCCGAGGGAATGATTGAGTTGTTCAAAAGATGACACAAAAACAAGACCGAGCAAATCCTCCCATCACCTCTCGCCCCTTGGTATCTGATACCTTTCCTTTCAGACAGACCCGAAAATGGTAATACAGTCTTTACATTCCCCCCCTCCGGAAATGATGTCGACTCTCGTCCCTTTGTTTCCAATATCAGGAAGAAGGGTAGTCGGTGTTTATTTTTGTTGGATAGTGATACAAAAGAGTAGCAGCAGAAACAGATATCCGACAAGCACAATATTCCAATGAACTCCGCCGGAGGACGCTGGGTATTCAATCCACGGCAAACTGGTACAAATTGTGGTGCTGGGTCAGATGATCCTCACGTAGTTGGCTGGCAATTTAGGTGGAAATGGGACTAGCATGATACAAACGGTGAGATGAGCACATCACTTTTTTTTATCAGTTTACTCTCTAGCGAGTAAATGGTGATGTGAAGGGTGAGCGGAGTGTTTTGAGGTCGTCCTATTGCTCACTCGTCAGTCCATGTCATGGATGAAGCTCAGAAGTGTGCGGGACGTACCATATGGTTGCACATAGCGACGAAAAGATCGAAGAATAGGGTGCCGCCTTGCTCCATTTCGACTTTCATGGTGCCGCTCTTCTTGAAGTTGTTGCGGCTGCGGATGATCAAGGTGAGGTACTGGGCACGAAGCTTCGAGTCTGAGTCGGGCGTGTGGCTGTAAGCGTAACGTGCCGACGCAAGGATTGTAGAGATCTGCATGCCCTGTCGCAGGCCTTGTTTGCGAAGGGCAAGGCGTTTGAGTTCTTCAAGCCCGTACAGTTCGGCAGAACAGCTGAGGGAAGAAGCGCGGTCAGCATCGGTAAACGGGCACAACGGCAGTAGGCACAACGTACTAGATGACCGTATCCCTCATGAGGGTCTGTTTGGCTGCATGGTGATATATGGTCACATTGGACCCGTTGGCTTCGTCTTCCAACTCCCAGGTATCCTTTTTCTTGTTGTGCAACAGCTTTGGATAGTAGTCTCCTCTGTAGAGGTATTCCAGAACAGCAGACAGGATCTCTGGCTGTTCGTCCGGCAAGTTGATCCTTCTGGCGTTGGATTCAAAGAATTGGCCCTTGCAGGCGGCCTCGAAGAAAGGGGAGCGGGCGAGAACCTCTTCGTGGCCGGCAAAGAGTCTCTGCTCGGGACCGACGCAGATGGTGATGATGGCGGAGGTGAGGGTACTATTGCAGGAAGTCAATCAGTGGAATTCGGTGTTGGGAGGGATATCTGTCATTTACCTGCCAACTGGTGGACTGGTATGGGTGCTGTGTTCCCTTCTATGAGACCTCATCGACTCGGAGCGCTGGAGACCCCGGGTGACAGATTGTTCGCGGAATGAAGACTTGGGCTTTGTGGATTTTCCTGTTCCATATCGAGAGGAGAAGCTGTTGGATGGTTGCTGCCTCTTGCTACTGAACATTGTTGTCTGAAGCTCTTGCGCAGGAAGACTTGTGCAGCTTGTGTGGAGCAGTGGGAGGTGAAAAAGAGAGTCAGTAGCAGAAACACTTGTTAGATCAGGGACAGCAAGGAAGCAATGAATGAGAGCATTGGTACATGAAAAAGCAGCAGAGGGCAGAAATACGACGACAGGACTGCCTGGAATTGATGGGATCAGTCAGGATGAGGAAGAAAGGTTGAGAAGAACATTCTGACAGCAGGAGAGGGCAGCTTTTGACGGCTGCACATAGCGACCAGGTTGCTTCCCCCTTCCAAGGGCAGGCTGCTGGGAAGCTTATCAATGCAACGAGGTTCCCAGACCGCATGGAGCCTAGATGAAGCTGTCGGAAGCCCGACACGGTCCCGCGTCGCAGGAGGAACCCACTTTAAACACGAACGAAGAGCGCAGGCATGTGACTCGTATGCAAGCTCTTTACGGCCGTCGTGGGTCTTCTGGGGGCTGAACATCGAGCATGACTGGGCTGGCACTTGGCTGGCTGGGTCAGTGGATGTGACTCGACTCGCCTGGCAGCTTTCGCCCCGCGCCCATGTCTGGTCTGAGTTCCAAGGATACCCGGGGGACCACGGCCTAGTCTGTAGGCGAAGTGGTAGTAGCAAACTGCATGTTGGTAGTGCCTTTTTTCTCGCCACCCGAACCTTTGTCCCCTTGCGTGCCGCATGCGCCCCGGGGCGCACGAGTGACCAGTCAAATTCCCCAGATTCGACCGATCAACTGTGAACAGTCATAATGGCAAACCCTCTTCAGCCGGTGTGGCCGAATCCCAGGCAATCAAAGAGAAGGAACCGGATGTGATGGCAGCAGGACGAGAGCAACGGAGTTCTACCGGGGAGACTAGCATGTTGATAAAAAAGAGGGTGTACAGGCCATGTCCATCAGCGGAGTGAGGCGAAAAACATGAAACATCTAGGCGTCGTCCCTGATATGCAGCTAAGGATCCCAAAACAGAATAGAACCAAGTCTTCGGCTCTGCATTCAAAATGGTGCTTTGATTGTCATTTGTTGATCACTTGCAGTGCTTTTGTGTGCCTGGCATTAGTGTCCTAGAGGCCAGACCTCATCCGTTGTCCTAGATCACACAAGTATGGAGTACAAAGATATGCCAGGTAGACGGAGCAGTGAGAGCAGAGTTATATCTGATTGATCTATCACATTGACATATTGCGAATGCAACTGTAAGCCGATCTCCTAGTTACCACTGGGTAAAGAAGTCCCTTCGACTATATTCGAGAAGGGAGCTTCGCGATGCATGCCATTGCTGGCCCCATCTTCATGTGTTCCAATCCCTCTGGCTGCTCATCAATGGCTGCTCACCTAGACATATGCACATTTCCCCGATGGCTTGCTCTTGGTCAGCGGTTCATGGTCTTTTGCCGACACCGATCTATCCAGAGTCTCCCAAATGTGAGAATAAGCGAAGCGCCGGTCGCAGACCAACGATGGCTTATCACAGACGGTCCCAGCACACAGACTCCGTCACAAAATGACTATCTTTGCCTCCTTTGGATGGCTCTCGACCGGGCAATAGGGACATTTGAATTTGGCGCCTTTGCTGAGCTTCTGCAATGATTCTTGTGCAATGACGTGACAACAAGGTAGCATCATCGGTGGATTCTGATCCGTGGTCTGTTCCTTCGATACGGGGCACACGAAGATTGAGTGGAATTGATAAGAAGGAGGGAGTGGTGTTTCCACAGGAAGTTCGTTTTCGGATGTCCATTCTGTCCTTTTCTGTTTCTGGATCGTCTGCAATTTGAGAAGTATGGGCAGGGCGATTGCTCCCGCAGTAGCTGCTATGTACAACGGTGAATCTGCGGATAGCTCGAGCAGCGAGCAGAACTCTCGTGTGAAAGAGGTCGCGACTTCATCCCACGTGGTAGAATTGTTGAATCTAAGGCTGTAGGGTGATTCTTCCAAATTGGAGCAAAAAGGTATGGCACCCAACAGTTGCTGAATCTCCACGAGATACCGACCACGGAAAGACTGGAATTCTCTTTGCGCGTATTGAAGAGCACGTATCGGTGCTTCGAAATCGTACTGATCTCCATCTCGACGGTCAAGGAACAGGTTGACAAACTGTAACCTGCAAAGTTCAAACTCCAGGTTACTGCCACGAGCTTCCAGTTCTGCCGCCTTGCTTCTAGCCCAGTCGATAGCAGGCTGTAAGTTGTGGTTGTCCTTGAGTTCACCCAAGATGTGGTACATATTGGAAAACTCTGCGTGCATATTCTCTTCCGACTTCTCGTCCAGCCCTAAGGGGTGATCCATTGACACGTCCAACCCCAAATGAGCTGCTATCTCCTGCTGAGCCTGCTGCCTCTCGAGCGCCTCAGCATGAAGGGTCGACGCCACATCGAATAGCCCTTCCCGAAGCAAATGCAAGTATATTGCTCGGTTGATCAACGTAGGGTGCGAGGACAGGGCGTCAATCTCGCTGCTCGGCACCTTCTCCTTGAAGACCTTGTCCAATGCTCTTGCATACTTGTTGTGTAGTCCGTGTGTGTCCTTCAGTCCTGAAAAGATGCCGTCGAATGATGTCTTGACTGGATTCTGCAGTTTTGCCAGAGTAATCTGTCGGGACGTAGGATCTTCGGCGACGGCGTTCCTTGCCCTCTGAAGGGCTTTGATGATGTCGTCAACATGGCCAGTCGTCCTTGACAGCCTGCTGTTGTTCCACACTTTTTCGTGCTCTTTTTGAATGTTGTCCATGGCGGGCCAACGTCATCAGTTGTGTCTGCGTCTTTTGGCTATAACCCTGGCGTGACTTGTACCATGGTCGGCAGTTCGTTCTCAGGATTCTGCAGGGAGCTCGCTGGACAAAAGATCTCGACCGGAGGGCAGATAAGTACAGACCGGAGGTATGGGACGGTGCTTTTATCAAGGAGGTGCAGGTGACAGTACCATATGAACAAGCTTCGATATGGAGTGGGCGTGATCCCGTGAGGTGTGTGAGGTAGATGGCTGATAAGCGGACGTGACGGACAAGGTGGGTTGCCGGCTTGCCCTTTGGGTGGCAACGTCCGCTGCCGACCAACCAGCAACTTGAACCTATTTGTCTTCTCTAAAGGCACTTCATCCTGATGGGTCAACCAACCCAACAATCCCTATGTCAAACGTCGATTTGCAGAGTCTTAACACTCAAACGAGATGAAAGAATTTAAAGCCCATACGTTTGAATAGTGTTACTAGCACAGTGGTTTACGCTGTGCCAGCCACAGGTCGACAATGTCATTCGTGGGAGCTGGGTTTTTGGCCCCATACCATCATCCCAACTCCTTCAACGGATCGCCCAAGGACAAATCTGCTAGACCTAGTCCAAAAGACGAATACAAGACGCAAAAGCCAAATGCCGTTGAGTCGTCCAGTCCCATCTCCGCCGGAGCTACCCAGGGACGAACAAGCCAGAATCGAAAGCGCCTTGTTTTCGCCGATCCCGTCGCTTTTCGCTACCTGGAGGAAGATCCGGCAACGGATGCTATAGAACGATGGAGGCGGCTTGAAGGGTATGAGATGTACGTGGTTGAGCAGTGGGCCTGCTCGAGAAGTCATCCCACCTTTATTATTTGTACCTACACAGGCGACCCTTCGCACTCAATCTTAGTCAACGTCCTTGCTGTGCCCAGTGATGAGAGCACATGGTCTCAAAGGCTGCAGGTCTATTTCCAAGCGGTCTCTCAATATCATGCCAAGGAGAAAGACACTCCTTTGGGCGCCCTCATGGTCACCAACCTCAGTGGGTTTCCATCAGCCCTTACCGTGATTCCTGTTCCGGACGGCGATGTCAGAAAGCATCGAGATGACTTCATTGTCAACGAGGACCTCAAACGTATGGGGTGCTCAGGGAGAGCTGGCATCAACTTGCAGCCGCCTCAGTCCAGTACCGTTGCTAAGTTCCACCACCTCTACCGGACGAGTGAGGCCGTGCCACTATATCAATCCGTCATGGAACTTGTACGAACATGCCAGATCGCTTTGGTCATGTACGACAAACTCCAACCAACATATGCCGACGGCTTGCTTTGCGATGTAACTGAGCGAGCCGTCAACGACTGGTGGACAGATATCGGGACCTATTTCTACAATGTCGAACCGAGCGACGGAATCCTTGGACCAACTACCGTGGCCGCTCTTCTTGGACTTCTAATCGGAGCTTACAATCGCCTCAAAGCCTTCGGATCTCCTGTGGGGAAGGATGTCTTGGACACCGTCTCAATGAAAAGGGCCATCGGCCATTTTCAGAAAGGCCAAAAAATGGAAAAGACTCGACGGCTCGATCGAGAGACTCTCGATCGTCTTCACAGGGCGACGGCGAAAAATGCCAGCGGTGAGGGTTGGACGGTACCAAAGGCAGTCAAGTCCACCGTTGCTGAGCTCAGTGGCAAAGGAGGGGAGATGGTCATGGGTATAGTGGGCGGTCGCGACAAAGCCGGCATTTCGGAAGCTGAAACCATGGACATTGAACGTTTTGCTCAGCTGGTCACTGGTCCGAAGATGAAGTGGCTCTGGCAGGGAAAGCCCATCAAGTCGGGCGATCCGTTCGCGTGGCCAACTGGTGACCTTGATCTACAAGGCAGAGTGTTTAGCACAGATGACCAAGGCAATTTCCTATGGACGGGCAATCAGCATGACTCCACCACGGATGGAAACGCCCTGGAACGGACAGACACGATGTACACGAATCAATCGGACACCAAATCCGGCCGACACCGATTAAGAGGAGCTGTTGGGGGCCTGAGAAGCTATAATCATCGTTATCAGAAAGATATTGACGAGGGCCAGGATTGGGTTGAAAACGCCGTGACCAGAACCCACCTTCGAGAGAACACATCGAGGACGACAACTGGGATCCCGCCTCCATCTGAACCTCGTGCCTTTGATATGGCCCTAGTCCACACTGAGCCGGGTTCGCCTCATGCCGAAAGGCGCCAGCCCCTACGCCGAACTCAGACGACGACTGAGAAGAGAATGCCATCACACAGAGAGCAATTACGCCCCGCCTTGCCAGGCGATTCGCCCAGGAGGAAGAAGGTCGATGCCGAGTTGGCCGATCTACGCAATGAATTTAAAGCAGATATCTATCGCAACTTCTCCGCTGCTATGCCATATAAGGGTCCTAGTAGTCTGGTCCTGCGACGGACGCAGAGCAACATCCAACTAATCGGCCATACTATCGACAGTCCCCGGCAGGATCGTATCAATCGACGCCTTTCCTTCAGCGTGGTAGAAAGCGCGGTTCTGGACACAGGTAAAAATATCGTGGAGGAAGGCGTTGTGAAGGGCAAAATCGAGGGAGACCTTACCAATGCACTAGCTGAACGCGATGCCCTGGTGGCCTCTGCCCAAAAGAAGGCTAAACGTATCCAGCGCATTCAGCAAGGGTTGATCCCATACACTGAAAGCCGGGTCAATCATGTTGAAAGCCTAGACCGAATTGCACATCAACATCTTGAAGAACTCAACGAACTGTACTATCAACGCCTGGAAGAGTATCAGACCCTACAGGCTACCTCGTCCGATCTTGTGTCGCAGGAGAAGACGGCTTTGACAGAAAGTTTCCGACGCATGGAAATGTTGGGTGCGAAAATGGACTATGAATTGGACAGCCTGCAGAGTCGACTGCAGGAGGTGGAGGATGGGGTGGATGACTTTGAGAGGAATGTGTTGTTGATCGAGGCGCGGGCGAGGGAATTGAATGGTGAGGACGAAGGACCTCCGCCAGGTTCATCATGGATTGCACGAATGATCAACTTTTTGGGCACGAAGAAATAATGGAACAATATTGCGAGTTGATGGAGTAGTGATGCTTTCTGCAGATTAGCGAGGCGTTGGGGAGGTATATAAGCTCGCCGAATCTGCTTCAAGTGATCGGCAGAGCGTTGGCAATCTGATCTCGAGTTGTAAGGATTGAGACTTGATGCGCTTCTGCCATTGTGCCATCTCTCCAGTCGCGGGCCAAATCACAAACCAAGCAGACCTGTTCTGTGCCAGTTCGTACATGGAATCTGGCCGAAATACTGTACACAAGTTTTCCAACTCTGTAAACCCAGCATGGAACCTCAATCGAGACTTCCACTTCCATGATGGATGCGATGACAAGGGTATAGATCCCATCCAAAGTCCATCCCATGTGCACTTAGGTGACGGTCATCGACACGATGGAAGGAAGCTGATATCTTCTTCCACGATTACATTCCAAACATACCTCCGCCGCCACCACCACCTCCTTGTCTCATGGCCGCCTCGCCCTGCATCTTTTCCGACACTTTCATATTGACTTCAAAGAATTTGGCCACACAGCGATCGAGGCAGACGCTCTCGGCTTTGTTGAGATCGGCTTCGCGGTAGTCGGCAGGTATGCATTTCTTGAGGCAGGACTGCGTTAACCTGAAAGGGATTAATACAATATCCATCAGAGCGAGGTGGCCCAAAATCTCTCGCAGAGTGTTGGAGAAGACGCGCATATCGGCCACAAGGTCACGATACGTACCTATTGAACATGTCTGAGACCATCTCAACTTCATTTTCCGCCGCTGCGATCTTTTCTGCGGACGTCGGCTGAGGACGGCCGCCACCGAAGAGGAAGGACATGGTGGTGAATGGTGGCTCTTCTCGGAGGAGTTATTTATCAGGGCAAGAGCACACGGTATATTCTGGAGAAACACGCTGTGGATAATGTCAACTGTTTATTGAGACGTAGTATAAAAAGTTGCACAGTTCGTGGACGAGAGAGACGCAAGGCAAAGTTTCCCCGAAGCTTAAGCGGACATTTAATTTTCCCGCGTACATTCTCGCGACCCAGTTTCGACCAGTCCTTTTCCTCAAGGCTTCAGGTCGTTTCCCCTGTTCATGCAGCTTCATGTACGGAAGGTCGACGTGGCGAGCATGGCGTTCGACTCGTTGGCCGGCGCATGGAAGGTATGTCTCCCTCAACCATTCTCCTTCCTCACTCTCCCACCTAAATGACGAGACAACGAGAAGAACCGCTGCGAGTGATGCTAGCTTTGGCTAGTTTGTGATCAAACTTCTCCGGCGATTGTCTGAATATGGTTTAAATGCTCTGGACTCTGCATGCTCTTCATGTTACTATTCAGGAAAGATAGATACTGACACTGCGTCTAGCATCCCTGAAGCTACCAGAGGGAGCCTTCTCCTGCCTAAAATCCTCTGGCGTGACTCTCCTTTGCAGAAGCTACCATGCACCCCGCGAGCATACTTTGCGACGGGAGCTTCAAAGTCAAGCTCCCGAGGCGCGTTGGAAACTGGAAGTCCGCATGCGACTAAAGAGGTGCAAGAGCGGATCGAAGAACTACGATGTTCAACCGTACCACTCTACCCACGGTATCAACGTACGCCTCAAGCGCAAAGCTTCCAATCACTGAAGGAGCAGGTGGATAGCAATGCCGGACAGGATGGCGGCGTGGTTTCTAGCGACCGCATAGAAGGCAAGACTTGGACCTGAGGAGGCGCAAAGACGCAGAGAGTTCTGACGGAAACATCAGTGTTGGGAAGGGTCTCTTCCATCCGGCTGAGCGGCTCCAAGTTGGCATTCGTTGATATTGTCGAGGATCAGATGAAAATACAGGTCATGTTGTCTCACTCGGCATTCGAAAACAGTGGAGTGACATTGACCGACTTCAAGCACTTTTGCCGGCTGCTTAGAAGAGGTGACTATATTTGTAAGTCTTCCAGAGCACACGCCATAAAAATCTGTCCGTTAATTCTCGGTCGAAGCATTGAAGGGCGGTCGACCATATAAGGCCAAGAATGGTCAGCTCTCTATCAGGGCTTCTTCTATGCCCATCATTCTGTCGCCTTGCCTCCAACGATTCCCAGTAGAGCGTCGAGGCCTCGCAACGACTGAACTTGCAGCCTCCAATTTCCAACCTCGACATGTGGAAATGCAGACAGATCCCGAAATCATAGAGACCATCAAGGCCCGGGCGACCCTCATCCGGACGATGAGACAATTCTTCGAGTCGCGCTCTTTCATTGAAGTGAGCACTCCAATCTTGTCTGCCGCGGCGGGCGGTGCAACCGCGAAACCATTCGAGACCAAGGCGACGGAATTTCCTCACCGGAAACTCAGCCTACGCATTGCCCCGGAACTGTGGCTGAAGAGGCTCGTTGTTGGTGGCATGGACAGGATCTTTGAGATTGGACCGTCCTTTCGGAATGAAGGTCTCGACAAAACGCACAATCCAGAATTCACGACTTGCGAGTTCTACGCCGTTGGCCACGATCTGCGCCAACTGATGGACATGACGAAGCAGCTCGTCTCTGACATTGGCTTGGCCATCAAAGCTCTACCTTACCAGTATCCGCACGCACCCTCATACCTCCTCGAGTCTACTCACGGCCCGTACGAAGAACTCGACTTCATCCCTTCTCTCAACTCTGCCTTGGGAGTTGATCTCCCTAACCTCTCCTCCCCCTCCGCGCACTCTGATCTCCTCGAACTTTTCCATTCACACAATCTGCCTCTCCCCAACAATCCCACGGTGCCTCGACTCGTGGACAAGCTTTCCTCGATGTACCTCGAACCACAATCCTTACAAAAACCGCTCTGGATCACAAACATTCCCGAGTGTCTGTCCCCCTTGGCGAAATCGTACATACATCCCACAGCACCCAATGACCAACCAGTCGCCGCACGAGCAGAATTGTTCATCGCGGGCAAGGAAGTCGTGAATTGCTACGAGGAAGAGAATTCGCCTTTTGAACAGAGGAGGAAGTTCGTGGAGCAACAGAAATATGGCACTCTGAAATCCCACCCACTGTCGCCCGACTCAAAATCTGCCAGCGGAGATGCGGAAGAAGATGTCGACGAGGAGGTGATGAAGGTTGACGAAGACTACCTCCAGGCCCTAGAATGGGGCCTTCCGCCCACGGGTGGATGGGGTTGTGGGATTGATCGCTTGGTCATGCTTTTTACAGGGAAGGAGAGGATTGGAGATGTTCTTAGTTTTGGCAATTTGAGGGCCGTCACGAGGGGGGCTGCAGAAGAAGAAAGAGAAAGTCCTGCAGGACTGGGAGCTGAAAACGGCACGTCACAATAGCTAAAGACGTGTCTCCCAGAGCGCTTGCTGGAGAGTCAAATTACAACAGCGGGACTATTTGGTCGCTACAGTAGGTAAGGAGATATCGACCTAGAAGTGAAAGAGGTCATCTCGGAAAAAACAAATACACAGCTAAAAATGCCAGAAATGTTTCCAAAAGCCTGCATCTATCTACCTGGTACCTATGTATAACCTCCGTGCCTTTTCCAGATCTGGTCATGTCGACCACAGCAAAGTCGTCCTTGAGGCAAAGAGAGCGAAAGTCCAGCAGAGACTGTAATCGGCCGAGTTCTCGAGGTACTAGTATTTTGTAATAATACCTAGTCGATATGACAATCCCCGCAACCAAATCTCCTTGGAAAACCGCCCCCCTTTTCCCAACGCAGCCTCGCAGCTCTTGGTAATAAATACCCCCAGCCATCTTCATCAACGGTACGCCCGGCCAACCCGACCGCCCTGCTATCCACAGCCCAGCTAGGCGCTTTCTGTGGATGCGCGTGGAAGACAGCGAGCCAGCTCGAGAAGGGGGGTGAGGATGAAAAAACAAACAAACACAATGTCGCTGTATTCTGTCGCAGCGGACGGAATCATTTGCAGGTGGTGATGGTGAGCGACGGCGGGCGCCTCCTTGGCAAAGCGCATCCATGGGTTGTCGTGGTGACTCTTTCCCGCTCCCCGTTTCTTTCCTACTTTTGTCGTTTGTTTCGTGGGTCGTTTGCAAGCTCCCTAGGCTCGTGTGCGCAGTTGGGCCCAGCTCCTATCTGCCTCGTGTTCGAGAGCAGGTCACACTTGTTCGTCGAAGCTCGATCTCTTTTCTTTTCCTCTCTTTGTTCTTCTACCCAGCTTTTGGACGGGGGAGGAAGGGGTTTCGACTACTGCCCGTCCCGTCGCCGTTTTCGACTGCCTCGAAGACCTTCCGGTTGCAAGGGAGTCTCCCCGCTGTGTCGAAGCGGGCCTTGGCCAGTTGTCATGCGCTCCATCCTGAACCGGTAGATCTGGCGATCGATCTTGACCAGTTCCGGCGCCTTGACGATGTAGAGGCCATCGTACCGAAAGCCCGTGACCGGTCGATGGGGCACAATCTTCGACAACTTCCATGACCGGAAGACCCGGACGGGGCGACCGGTTCTGTACGAGACGAACAACGCCATGGTCGCGTCGGTGGGACCTTGACCTTTGGAGTTCTTTGTGATACGCTCGACTCGGTGGGTGACGGCGTCCTTCAGGTTGGTCGGCTCCGTGTCGCCCGGCGCTCTGGGAAGAGCGGTACCGTAGTAATAGATTGTTTCGCCCTCGTCGATGTCGGCGTAGTATTCCTTTCTGGTATCGTCATGGTATCCCATCACAATGCTCCGTGCCCCTTCAGTCTTGCTGCCAGAAATTCCCGCAATGTACGGCGCATGAGCCCCGTCGCGCATCATCTCGGCGCGGAGAAGCCAGGTCTGACCGTTCACGAGGTGGCCGTGGCCGAAATAGTCCGCGCTGCGCTTCCATTGCCAGTCCGGGTCCGGCCAGAGCGGGCCACCGGGTCTGTGTGCACGGAGTCCGCGACGCACAAGGACCCCGAGATCGCCAAACTCCCACTTGCGGTACAGGATAGTTAGGTCCTCGACGATGTGCTCGGGCACACCCTTCTCTTCGCGGATCGGCCTGTTTTCCTCCGAAAGGAATCTTTTCAGGTGCTCGAACACCCGAGATTCGTCGAGGGCCTCTTGCGTCATGGAGTTGTTTTGCATCAGTCTGATCCAGTCCTGTATTTTGGCAAAGATGTGCCGAATGCCCATCGACATGCGGTTGCGCACACGAATCTGGTCTAGGAGCCTAATAACGGTTCTTGTCTCTTGTGGTGTGACGAAGGACTCATCTTCGGGGTCACGGTCCGGTGGTACTCTGATCAAGCTTTCGGTTAATATGTGTAGTGAGCAAGCTCAGATGTTTGATATCGACTTACTGTTCAGCACGTTGTTTTATTTGATCCCATATCCATCTCTCAAACTCCAGTACCAGCGTGCGACAATCCACTTGATCATCGCCCTTTCTGGGACAGTCACGGCCTACCGGGCACTTGCATCTTGGGCGATCGTCTCCTTGCGCATCTGGGGCTGGCGGAGTTGGTCCTCGGGGAGGAGAGCTGCGTCGCCTAGAACCATCTCCTCCTCCGCTTGACCCCGACTCCGTAGGTTCACTGGGCGGCGAAGTCCTCTTTGAGGTGTTGTCGGTATCTGGGGGTACGTCACTTTGGCGGTCTACAGAGTCCTCTCTCTTGATGCGAATAGATTCAGATGATCTCCTCGCTGACAAGTCGCTCCTCTGATATTGAGGTTGGTCCCTTGCGTAGAAGCGATCCCGCTCCCTGTGGTCCACCTTTTGCTGACTGGCGTTGCCGCTAAGGGCTTCTCGCCGTGTGACTTCGTGGCTGAGTTGGCACCGCCTGCGATCAAAGCTCTCAGCGAGGAACTGCATCGGAGAGTGATATTCCGGTACAAACAGTTCAGAGTCTGCACGGACAGGGTTCTTGTGTTTCTCGTTCGCCGGAGAATTCTCTGGGGTTTCTTCTTTGAAATTCTGGTTGTCATACCTTCTCCTTCGGCGTGGTGGTGTTTGCCGCGTCATGGGCTTGAAAGGGAAGACCGGCGGGGACGGACTGGGAAAAAGCGCTCGCTGCGCCGAGTTGCGCCGGCTTTGCTCACGGCTTGAACCATGTCGCTGAGAAGGCCTTTGAGATTCTCTTCGATCAATGAGACGACCACACGAACGCGGTCCTTTAGGGACCAAGCCGAAGCCAGGTATCTCCGTCATCCGGTCATAATCGAGGTGGCGAGAGTCAGGATGCTGATCTGGAAAGTCCATATTTACTGACGCAAGGGCCAGGTGCAGATATCAGCTCTAGGCTGTATTGAGTCAATTGGAGATGCGAGTGATTGATAAGAAGGTAATAATGAATTGAGATATTGAGATACGGAAGTGCAAGTAACAACGTAGGGTGGAGTCAATGAAACTTAGGATTGAGATAGGCAACAGCAAACGAAACGTGAAAGTTGAGGATCTGTCTGGGCGTAATGCCTGTCGGAAGGCCTTCGATTCAACCGTCAAACTAGAAGAGCCACGCAACAACTTGGGTAGTCAAGGAGAGTTAGAGACAAGGCGGTGCTAGGGATGTGAGAGAAAGTCGATTGGCAAAGCAAAGATGAATCGAGTTGAAAAATGCAAGAAGGGTTAAGTTGAAAGGTCCAAGAAGGGGTCGACTTGAAAGATGCAAAAAGGGATCGAGTTGAGAGAATGATGCTTTATTAAATGAGAAGCGGAGATGATCGTGGTTGCGAAAGCAGGTTTTGATAGTGAAGTGCAGGGGATAGGCACAGTGAAGCGCGGGCAAAATGAGTAAAATAGAGAGGAGGGGCAAAGTAATAAAGTGAAGAGGAAAAGACATTTGAAGCGAAGAGAGAGTACAAGATTGAGGTGAGAACAGAAGCCAGTGTGGTGAGAAGCGCCGATTGAATATGATAAGAGCTTCAGTAGGGGATATATGATCAGATCAAGTGATTGATCAGAGAAGAACAAGAGCCAAACGAGAAGTTACCCACGGTTTGTCGTTGAGGTTGAGAATCGAGCGAGTATCGTTATCCGTGCCGGCTGTGGTCGGAGCAGGTTCATGAGGAAAGCAGCAACTGGGGGAGTTCTTATGGGAAATGCCTTCAAGGGTCGAGATGAGGTGCATTTCCGTCACTGGTCCGTCATATCATGGCACTGATCTCAACATCATTCTGCGACTCGATGCCACCTCGGGCGCAAGGCTGAGCATTCTGTATGGAGAATGGGAGTTGTCCCTCTTCGGTTTAGTGCCTTGGCGGTGAGCGAGCTTGCCAAAACGTCACGATCCAGACATGTCGCGACACTGACTTCAAACTGCTGAAGTTCAGAGCACCCGTATCAATGAGATGCGCTCAAGCATGGCAGCTGTTTTCTTCTGTAAGAGCTGTTCCGATTCGCCATGCGGGCTTTCCATACAAGAGGCTGCACGTCCCATGCACCAATTGCCACCCATCACCGATCGCTAGACGGCATTTTGGCGTGGAATCAGTCCCGGCCTTTCTCTTACCGCCTGTGGTCTTTGGAGGGTTGCTGGTGACATTATGGACGTACAAGTGCTTCATGATGATTGTCTTCCAGAACAAAATCATCTATATGCCTTCAGCCCCACCGTTCTCCAGATCCGAAAAAGTTGGCGATTATGCATTGCATTGTAAGCCTGTGGCATGGGTAGAACATGACCTCAAGGCGGCAGATGGAACTGCGATCAAGATCTTAGAGGGCTCAGTGAAAGCTCCTACCGAAACCGAGGTGAATGATCATATTGTTGTTCTGTATTTTCAGGGGTAAGTAGTCCACACTCTGTGCTTCCGCACCTCTGAAACTCGACAGGAACGCATCGTCGCTACCGCCTCGGCTTCCCTATCTTTCAAGCATCTTGAAAACCTTGTTGCAACAGGAAACCGGAAAGAAGTACACCATTGTGGCTTTGTCTTATCGCGGTTTCTGGAAATCAAAGGGTAGCCCATCCCAAACCGGGATCGAGCTGGATGCCGAGGCGGCGTTGGAGTGGGTGCTCGGTCGCTACGACAGTGATCGAACCAGATTCGTGGTCTGGGGACAGTCCATTGGTGCAGGAGTTGCAACTGTGAGCCTTGCAAATCTATTGAGACACGGCAGCGCAAGCCTGCAACGATTCTCAGGGCTCCTCCTCGAGACACCTTTTGTGGATTTGAGAGCAATCCTCATTGCTCTTTATCCACAAAAATTTCTCCCTTATCGATATCTGGGCCCCTTCCTGCAGTCGACATGGGATAGCAAGACTGCTCTTAATCAGATCGGGAGGAGTAGGTCAAATATGAGGGTGTTGATTTTGGAAGCAGGTAACGACGAGATCGTGCCTTCAGGACAAGCGGCCACCTTGGAGCAGGTCTGTAGAGAAGAAAACCTGGAAGTGGATCGAAAAACAGTTGCTGGGGCTTTGCACACCGAGGTAATGGTCAAAAGCCAGGGCCGCAACCACATTGTGAGGTTTCTTCAATCCATCTAAGCAGGTAACAATAGACCTGCGCCACTCTCTCCAGTGCTCGACTGCGACCGTTGGAAAACGCAGCAAACCTGGTCTAGACGGGGATCATCTTCTGCATGACCTCCCTTTGTAGCGGCAGGGATGGCGGCCAGTAGGGAATCAAACCAGGGTGAAATATTATGGATCATGCCTCGTCTTTCGTCGTCGTCGCTCTTTCGTGCATCCCATCGAGGATCCAGAAGTGCATCAGTCTGGCCACCTTCCTCAAGGACGTAGACTTGGATTTCAGGCAATTCAACCCCATTCAGGGCTGCTCTCAGCTCACGCATGCGCGTCAATTCCCAGTACGATCGACTATGGGTACGATACACATAAATCGTCCGTAACAACGACAGAGTCGGGGCGACTGCGTGCAGATTGAAGGCCGCATTGAGGTCGGCTCTTGCGCCTCGCAACCTCGCTCTCAGGCGTTGAGACAAATGAATGGTCTGCACGGCGGTGTTTTCGACAAGCCAACGGAGGAGCGCTTCATATGCTTCGGCCGAGATGGCATCGTGCTGGCCGCTGTAGATGTGCGATTTGTTGATGCGTTGCAGGTGACGATGCGGGCACGAGGAAAACGCGACATCCAAGCCAAAGGCTAGGTTGATCTTTGGACCGCCGCGGGGCAAAGAATGAGAGAGATAAGAAGCGACGCGCAAGGGGGCGACATTGAGCACGGCGCGAGAATAGAAGACGGCGGCAGCTTCCTCGGAGACGGCTTTGTTGACGAAGAACAGGCCCGGGATGCCGGCCGGTCTCTCAGCATTGTTCCATGCCGGGTCGTAGAAAGCCTGGACTTTGAGTTGCTGTGCCGGGAGACTGAGGTCGTAGATTGTTTGGCGAATTTCAGAGGGGAGGCTGAGGAAGCTGGTCATGTTGGAAAAGAATCAATGACTATGTATGCCTAGGTAGGTGATGGTGAGGTGGCAGGATGGGGCATAGTTCCAATCGACCTGCTCAGCGTCGATGTACCTCGTAGTCGGCTGATCTGGCCACTGAAATGAGGATCAGTAGAGATGGGACTGCGGAGTACGCCATGCATTGAGGACGAGTGGGAGAGTCAAGTGCTACCGGGTCATAGGGCATCAACAGATCTGGAGACTCTTTAGCCTAAGCCTCACAGCTAAGCACCCGCAACACTGCAATGGGAATAGAATCAGGCACCAATTGGGGGAATGCCTGTGACACTGACAAAATGGGGAGAATTGGGCCAATGCTATCCATATCTTTGAGGAATTATCGCAATACCCACCAGTCAGATGGTCGTGATAGTCAATGGGGGCGAATGCCTGGCAGGCAGCAGATCATCAGTCTTGGAGAATCATCTGCACGATGACGGGCACGCACGGGGGAGACCCAGTGCCATGGCAAGATGTACATTTGGACAGATGCTTGACAGGCGAGGCAGCTTCTTGGAACAATCCACCGTCTTGACTAGAGCGACTAGTGACACCAAGGAAGCGGGAAGCTTGAAGGGCTGCGACCTGCGACCCGCGAGCCTGCGACCATATCGCGGGGGGTGACAATTGTGGCACAGTCAAGCGGTGAACAAACCACAACCCGGCAGCTTGCATGACTTCTCATGAGTTTCCCACGATCCTCTCTCTGCATTATTGAATCACATCCATATCCTCCCATCTTCTTGGACTCATTTCAACTGATCACGGACTCCTGCTCCTGCTCCTGCTCCTGCTCCTGCTCCCGCTCCCGCGCCCAAGCCACCCGATCTCCTCTTCTTGGATCAGAGAGACTCGACATCTGCCATCTGCCACTTGCTCCATTGCGACCAGTCCTTACTCCTCTACAAAGTCCCCTACCAGACAGCCTGGTCCTCTTCGCTCCTCCTCCGACGTCTCTACCTATTTAGTGTCCTTGCAACTGTGCGAATGGGCCAACTGACCATGAGAGCAAAGTCAACGCCAAAATCAACCAAGATCCCAGCTGTGATTATCAGCTGCACCTACTGTGCTCCTTCGCAATAATGGAGCCCAACCAGTCTGCGGGTGCCGCTCCTGGATTTTGGAGATATCTGATCAATCCAGACAAAAGCGCAACACTACAGTTCGAACAGCTGTGTCTGGGGTTTGCCAAAGTCATAGTAAGTCTATACCACTGTACATCGACGTCAACCTGCTTACTGGCCAAACAGGCGACCCTGGAGCCCGGACCTGACAACGAACTCACTCCACCACGTCTCGCCGCATTCTACCGAGCCGTCGGCGGCAACTACGACTCGCTCTTCCTCAAATCCTCCGATGGCGCCCTCTCCTTCATGTACCAAACTCTCGGCTGCTTTCACTCTCTGCAGCCTACCCCAAGTCCCTTCGAATCTCCCCGAATCCCATGTCTGACCCCGGCTGGATTTGCTCGTTGGCAAACAATCCAGCTTCTCCTCTGCCCCGAGGAGAATGTGGGTTTCATTCAGAAAGCCGTTCAGCTCTGGAATGTCCCCATGCCCAATGGCGGAACCTACCCAAAATACATCCCCAACGACGTCTTCCCGGCCAGGCCAGATGAAGAGATGGAGAGATGGCACAAGCTGGTGACTGGCAAACTGAACCAGGAAAACTACAATGTGCGGCGCTTAAAAAACTCCCCTTATCAGTCCCCGCACCTTGAGGCCTATGATCGACGAGACGGCTATTTCTCTGGCGCTCAGACAGGCCGTCCAACAAGGCCTCCACGTAGCAGCTCTCGCGACGACCAAGACCATCTGACTGATATCCATCGCAGACGGAGCAGTGTACCCGATTTCCCTTCGCCATCGGGAGAGAGGCCTTGGGATCCACGGAATCAATACGAAGCAAGGAAGACCCGCAGCCACTCAGCTCAAAGGCCATCACCAAAACCTCCGTCGCGCCAGCGGTCGCGCACAACCACGGTCCCTCCCGGTCACCACAAGACCTCGTCAAATAGCCCCTCAAATCGGAGACAAGGGACTGCCCCATCAGAGCAGCCCGGGCGACGTCCTTCGTCCGGGTACAACAATGCGCCGTACCGCTCTCCCGCGCGCAGTCCCTCAACTGTAGACGAAGATACCGGCAGCGAAGGAAGTTCCGAGGCCTCACAGATGGGTCGGCATCATCGCAGGTCTGACGAAGACCGAAAGAGCCGCCGCTCCTCCTTATGGGTACCCTCCTTCATGAAGTCGTCGCACAAACGTCGCCATTCTTCCGACGCAGGTTACCGCGCACCTGGCCCTGCATCCAAATCTTCGCAACCCTTGCGGCCCGAGTACTACCCACCTCGTGCGATCAAGCCCCCACCCCAGCCTCAACAGCCTTACGGGGGAGGCCGTCCACCGCAATGGCGTGAAACAGTCTGGGATAACGACACCCCCAGTACTACTCCCGCCACACCCATTCCAGAAAATGCCCAGGCACAGTTTGACCCACGCGCGCCGTCTATACGTTACCCAGACCAAGCAAACTTCGAACCATTGACGCGAGAAAGCAGCAGTGGAAGTGACCATAGGCAACGGCCCTCAGATTGGGACCGAGGGAATGCGCAGAGGCGACCGCTACAGCCGACTCCAAGGATTGCCACCGTAACGGGCGTGCAAGGGCGAAAATACCCTACCGCCGATCCATTGAGTCCCATCGACCGTCACCGGGCCCAAAATGGGCGTGGCAACTTTACTGCAACGGCTTGAACCCTTGTTTGAGCGAAGTTGCATTGCGAAACGGACCAACAATTGATGGCCACGATATGACGGATACGAACGAAACGACGACTGCTTGGGTCTACGAGGATAAGAAGCGCACGAATTAACGAGATGAAGACGGGATGACCTGCAAGTGAAGGACAGACCCTACTGCAGGCGGGGGGTTCTTGGCTTAGTGAAGAAGATTTTGTTCGGCGGCCTACGAGCATACAAACATGCCTTTCGACTGTGTTCAGTGCCTGGGAGGACAAGACCGCGTAGCAAATGAGCGCGGATTGCTGTGGTCCTTCTCTTCTTTTGCTCTTCTGGAATACAAAACTTTTGGGGGTGACTATTACAGCACGGATGGGTTAGCTTCGCAGCTCGACATGGTTAGTATAGTTACGCTTGCTCATTGTGAACAAGTTCAAAAACTCGGCTTCTAAACCTGTCCTGAAAGTCTCTGCGATTTCTCAATCATTTATTTCAAGGTCCAGATAAATTGTCCCGACTCGGAACCTCTTGTTCTGCTGCCCCCTGGGGTGCCTCCATTATATGCAGTATATATACCTGGATATACTTGGGCGGCCTCTACGTTGGCGCTTTTGATAGACAATACCTAGGTATTCCTCGGCGCGCATATGCATACGGGTGGTGGGACCCATGTATCCAATGTTCTGGACGACACCCAGGCGCTCTGACATGATTTTCCGAGGGCCTCGTTGAGAAATCCACGATGAGGGATTGGGATATCTGGAGTCCCCCTGACCCTGAACCGGACGAGATGAGCGGGGCCGCAGGGCAGGGCAGGGCAGGGCAGGGTAGGGCAAGGGTAACAAGGCTGTGTGTATTGAGCTTCTACACACTCGGGACAAAGTAATACCTAACTAGCTAGCCAGGAAGCTAAAGCGTTGAAACGGAGCATACCTAGATATTGCTTGATGCCAATGTTCGGCATGAAATAAGCCATTGATTTTTCTTTCGTGATATAGTATCTCGACTGGTGGGGCGGGGGGGGGGGGGGGGGGCGACTCAAACCCCACAAAAAGACTCTTGAGCTCATTCACAGCGCGCTTGCTTCTCGAATCCTATCCTCGCCTCCCCTCTCCCTGTCCTACTCCAGCGGATTCTCGGACCAACTACACGGTATTGTGTCACGGTGTGTGTGTCCAAACTCAGTAAACATAATAAGTCTGCCCCAACGGGACCACCTCCGCCGGTGCAGCGGTACAGTGCACGCCGTCAGCCTCGACCCTGTAGCTCTCCGGGTCGACCTTCATCTTCGGCGTGGTGTCATTGAACTTCATGTCCTTTTTGCCGACGTTGCGGCAGTTCTTGACGGCCTCGACGCGTTTCGAGAGGTTGTAGCTCGCCACGACGCCGGATGTCAGAGAGTGTTGGGAGACGAAGGTGATGTTCCGTGAGGGGACGTGCGCGCCGAACATGGGCCGCATGAGGACCGGTTGGACCGTGGGGATCGAGGCGTTGGGGTCGCCCTGTTAGGAAAGGGTTAGAGGGAAGTCGGACGGGAGAAGGCTGGGGGTAGAAAGGCGCACAAGGCTGGGGACACAATAGGGGACGAGGAGGGATGTGAGATGGTTCATGATATGCGCATCGCAAACATAATGCGGCAATGGAGAGTGTGTCGTCTATGCTTTGGAAGGGCGTACGTACCATTTGCGCATAGTTGATCATTCCTCCCTTGACCACCAAACTCGGCTTCGTCCCAAACATGCTCGGCTTCCAAAGCACCAGGTCGGCCACTTTGCCCACCTCGACGCTGCCCACCAAGTGACTCATCCCCTGCGCGATCGCCGGGTTGATCGTATACTTACTCACATACCTCTTGACTCGGAAGTTGTCCGCGTCGGTGCCCTCGTCTTCCTTCAGCGTGCCACGCTGCTGTTTGTTCTTGTGCGCCGTGTTCCACGTCCGAAGGATGACCTCACCGCAGCGACCCATGGCCTGCGAGTCGGACGACATCATGGAGATAGCACCCAAGTCGTGGAGCACGTCTTCGGCGGCGATGGTCTCTGCGCGAATGCGCGATTCCGCAAAGGCGACATCCTCGGGAATGTTTTTGGACAGGTGGTGACAGACCATCAGCATGTCCAGGTGCTCGTCCAACGTGTTCCTCGTGAACGGTCTCGTGGGATTCGTCGACGAAGGAAGGACGTTGGCGTGTTCAACCACGGAAATGATGTCGGGCGCGTGCCCGCCGCCAGCACCCTCGGTGTGGTACGTGTGGATGGTCCGGCCCTTGAACGCGGCGATGGAGGATTCCACGAAGCCAGACTCGTTGAGCGTGTCGGTGTGGATGAGGCATTGGACGTCGTATTCATCACATACTGATAGACAGGTATCGATCGCGGCCGGAGTGGTGCCCCAGTCTTCATGTAATTTGAGACCGCAGGCACCAGCTTCGCACTGCTCGCGGAGGGAAACCGGTGAGCTGTCATTTCCTTTACCTGTGATACCGTAATTGATGGGAAGAGAGTCGATCGCTTGAAGCATCTGTTTCATGTGCCATTTTCCGGGCGTGCAGGTCGTTGCGTTGGTACCTGTGCTAGGTCCGGTGCCACCTCCTAAGTAAGTGGTTATGCCGGCCGCGACAGATTCATAGGCCTGTTGAGGACAGATGAGATGAATGTGCGAGTCGATACCCCCCGCGGTGAGGATGCTGTGCTCGCCTGCGATGACATCGGTGCCATTGCCAACTATCATGTTGGGATGGACGCCCTCCATGACGTCCGGATTGCCAGCCTTGCCAATGCCCACAATGAGACCGTCCTTGATTCCAACATCAGCCTTGTAGATGCCGGACCAGTCGACAATAAGGGCATTTGTGATGACAGTGTCGAGCACATCAGCATCTTTCCGATCAGATGCTTGTCCCATGCCTTCTCGAAGAGTTTTCCCGCCACCGAACTTGCATTCTTCACCGTAGACTGTCAAGTCCTTTTCGACTTTGATCCAGAGGTCTGTCGTCCCCAACCGGACAAGATCGCCAGTCGTGGGACCGAACATGCCGGCATAGTCTGCACGGGTCATGGATGCGACGTCTATATGGGCCAAGTCACCGGCGGGTTCAGTAACATGGGCAAATCCAGCTTGCTGAAGTTTCTGCACGATTTCTTCCGCACGAGATACATCAACAGGACCCGAAGCGAGGTTGTTTCCGCCATGTATCGTCTTGTTGCCTGCAATTTCGACCAGTGTGACTGTCTTTGTGTCTCCAGGTTCGAAACGGACCGAAGTCCCTGCTGGGATGTCCAAACGGAAACCATATGCTCTGCCTCTGTCAAATTCAAGTTGCGGATTTGTTTCAATAAAGTGATAATGAGAGCCAATCTGTAGAACCAAGATAGTCAGCCTTGGGAATAATACCTGACAGAGCCGGGGTTCGTCGATACCTGTATTGGTCTATCGCCCTTGCTAGTGACCTTTAACTGGATTCTCTTCCGTCCCTCGTTCAACGTAATCTTGCCTTCCTTGACCGGAACAACGGCACCTGGCATTTTCTTACTATCATACTCACTTTCGTCTAGCAAGGGAAATGCGTCCTTCGATGGCACAGGAAGGAAGCTTCCATAAAGAGCCTTTTCAAGATCTCCATCGTCGGAACTGATTGGGTGATGGACAGTGACGAGGTAAGTGCCAGTCTTGAAGGTACCCTCGACTTGTAGCTCGGTCAAGGTGGAGAGAACAGAGGGAAGGACATGTCGTCGACCAAGCATGGTCTTCCCAATGGACATGAGGTCGGCAACCGTGTGGTTTCCATCGCGAATCAGCTAGAACAACCCGATCATTAGGAGATGTGGTTCGCGATCGCTGAGCTCTTTGACAATACCTCTTGCAAATTGCTGGCGATAAGCGCCTACAGAGCAGATCAGTCCATTTTTCCGAGGTCCTCTTCCAGAGAGTCTCATACGCAAGCCTCCGAATGGTTCAACTTAACACCTCGAGCAAGTCTTCTTTGTGCTAAAAAGCCGAGCTGGGATATAACAAGCTTATCTAACTGTAACAGGAGTCGAAGAAGTCAGTGACAGGCCTCTTCCAGGTCATAGACTCTCCCAGAACATTCGCACCTCTTTTGGAACGAGCTGCATATTGGACACTGCCCCTAACAGAGGCGCTTGCAGGTAAGAACTTCGGCTTCGAAGAATTTCATCGTTGTCCCATCAGGGAGGCAATGTCTTTTATCTATGTCGATTCAGCCTGTCATGGTCGAGGGGCCATGCGGGGCAACGGAAGAGCTTGAAGTGGCATGAGGGCAGGTCTGGATAAGAAAAGAACCCCATAGTTCGTGCCACTAGGAGGCCTTCAAGTGGTTCTTTCGCAACAAGTCCTCAATGGCTGCAAACTTCGTAAACACATGCGTGGGGGCTTAGTGTGGAGAAGAGATCAAGACAGGAACTTTGTTTTGTCCTGGTGCGTCATCTATCGCGTCCGTTGAGAAGATTATCACAGGAACGCTCAAGCCAGGGCATTGGGAGCAGCTTCAAGGACATTTCAACATTGACGGCGTTGCACAGACTAGTTACTCGGCCCTTTGCATGGCGCTCAATACTATTTCTGCAATGCGCCGAACAGGAACCGCCTTTCATTATGAACACTCCACGACAGGAGAACAACCTCATGGCAGCGAGAGTCGAGTTCTTGAATCAAAAGATTCTCCAGACCGAAAACCGAAACCCATAACGAATGATCATGTGCACGCACCCACAAACAAGCGTCACTCCCCACCAGGATCGTTCGAGTGCATTCATTTCTTAGACTTTTTGGACTTCTCGACCTTGGTTGGGGCAGCAGCTTCCCTCCTGCTCTTCTTCGACTTCCTATCCTTCTCTGGGGACTTGGCTTCGGCCTTGGGAGTTGCTTTGCTGGGAGTAGGTTCGGCGTCTTTGGTCTTGCGTCTCTTGGATTTCGGAGGTGTAGGCTCGGGAGCTGGAGCTGGAGCCTCTTCCTCGTCTTCTTCTTCCTCAACTGGCTCTTCCTCCGTCTCTGCTTCGGCATCGAGACCAGCGATGTGCTCAGGAGCTTTACCCATCTCAACCAGACGCGCTGCAGTTTCGTCGTCAGGGACGGGTTGACCGGCTTTGTAAGCTGCCATCTTGACGCGGTATGCAGCCAGGTTCTTCTGGTACTTGTCATCCCAAATCTGTGCGGAGGTCAGCGAGTGCTAGCAACGACGAACAGATACCGGCAAGAGACGTACGCTCTTCTCAGCAGGGCTCATCTCGGTCCATCTACGCGTTCCTTCATCTGCAACTTCCTTCGGCTTCGCTGAGTCGCCCAATTCCTTCGCAATAGTGGCACGAGCACTTTGCATGTAGAGGAAGTATGGGGTCAGGGCACGCTTTGGTGCGTTAGGATCATGCGGTGTCCGCTTGCGCTTCTTCTTCCCATCGACCTCTGGTTCGGGTGCAGCAGCTGGAGCAGCATCGGCAGGGCGAGCGCTCAAGAGTCCTGATTCGGTAAGGATACTGGTGAGGTTGGCGTCAATGGGGTTCAGGCCGTGTTTGCCAGGGGTGAGGACGGTGTTGGCATGCTGAATGTAGGCGCGAGAGAGGTCTTGGACAGAGGACTGGAGTGTTGCAAGAGCAACAATGACCTGATGGTATGTGTGAGTAAATGCCACTCGATCATTTTGCACTTCGTGAACAAGCTCGCCAAGGCCAGCCAAATCTTCAGTAAGAACATCAACGCATCTGATGGCGGCACGGTTCAACAGGTGCCCGAACTCAATATGTGCGGCACTCAGGTTGACACGACCCGGGCTTGAAGACATGGCGAAAGGCAACAAACCATAGAACCAAGGATGTGTGCTACATAAATTGGAAATTGTGCGAGCGACAGTGAGGTGAGGTGCAGATGGGGAGAGACAGTGAGGTATGTGTTGTGGTTGAATGCGAGTCGGGGTAGAGCCTCGTCGCGGGGTTGAGGGTTTGTCACGGTTGGTCTGACGCGTGTTGTGGGTGGTGAGGCAGGATGAACAACAGGAAGAGGAATATATCCCCAAAAATTGGTCTCACGTACCGAATCTCGAGTTCGCTGGAAATCAGCGATATTGACCTGAGTCGTCGCAGACTCTGGATCGTGTGTCTTCTTCGCCATGGCACCTTACAGGTAGGTATGTGCTAATGGTTTGGGCAATTGACAATGCAGGCGCCTGTAAGCGACAGCGATGGGAGGTTGTAAGGCTGAGCTTTAACTAAAGGATGGGTGGCGGGAAGTTGAAGCCAGAACGCGAGGGCCGTCTGGGATGAAAGCGAGAGGTGGAAGATGCAGAAAGGAAACGGGGGCGAGGGCGAGGGCAGCGGGGGGGCGGCTTGTTTAAGTGGGCGAGCGAGGTGCTTGGGCAGCCGCTGGATCAACCCTGAGGGTGAAGAGCGAGAGAGGGAAAAAAACCAGCAGCAGCGGGAGGATTGATCACGACCACCTCGCAGCTCCCCCCTCTTTTTTTAAACCCCCGTGCCCCCCTCGCCTTCTGTTCGGCCTCTAAGGATGCCGGGATGCTCTCTGTAGGCTGCTTGTTTCGGTGTCCTGCAAACCCCACTGTCGCGCCGCTAAGGGTGCCTTCTCAGGTCTAATTGGCTCCTAACTGGAGCTGCCTCGCTGAAGCTCCTGCACTGTGCCGGCTCTAAACTTGTAGGCTTCAGTATTATTCGCCCCCGAGGGCACAGGTCACCTCTCTCTGCTGCAACACATGGGCTTGTTTACCCCCAAACCCTGCTTCTCCTGCAAGCTAAAACAGCCTAGCCTAGGCTCACTCGCTGGACTTGTACTCTGCATTTGGAACCCAGCCCTCGTTCACTGCCGACCACAGGCATTGCTTGGTGCCGTGAACTGGTTATGCAGGATACGAAGCTTCCCCTCAGAGACATCTCAACGACACCGCATCCTCTCCAACTCCTCGAGCTGCAGGCGCTGTGCCCTGCCCCAGTCCGCACTTTTCGGTGCCAGTCTGACAGATGCAAATCGTTTGCTTATGCTTCTCGCGTTGTTCACCGTCCGGTCTCTTAGAAAGAGTCTGTGAGGACAGAGCTGCCCTGGCATTCACGCTCTCGCGTTGCCCAAAACGAGGACTTCCGCTTGACTAACAAAACATCATAGCGAGCAGCGAAACCAACACCGCTGTTGGGAGCACAATGACGGGAGTTGGGGGAGGGCTGGTAGGCAACACCGAGCAAGCTTAAAGGGCGGCTCTGAAACCCAGCTGGCAGAGCTCAAGCTGGGAAGCTCCGGAATCTCTGGAAGCTGGCAGCACAGCGGGATTGCCAGTCAGACCACCCTGCACGGCCTTGGACTCGCAATTTGGATCATCGGCGCCCCATCAAGCTGCATAAGCGCTTCTGGGCGGTCGCCTACGTCGAGATTTTGGAGCCTGTCTGACGGACATCTTCAGGCTGAAAGCGCCCAGCCCACGGCTTAGTCGACCGTCTTAATTTCAGTTGACAGCCACAGTGGTGACGGCTACGAAGACTGTTGCTCTGGACCCCCAACAGTCCCCGTCGCTCCCGACAAATCAGCGCCTGGCAGCATCTTTGTTGGCTGTCCCTTTTGGGCGTCCCAGGCCCATCACTCCATCCAACGACCCGCCCGAGCCGGATCCTGTCCACCGTGTCTTGTGAAGGCCCTGGCACCCCCGGTCATGCCTGTTATTTCGTGGCCACCACCGTCCGGCAAGCTCTACCCCCGGCAGCTTCCACAGGCGCTCTTGTCCTTCTACTTCTGGCCTTTCGTGGCGTTGCCAAACTAGCTGGGGGTAATTACTCTCCAATCTCGATTAGACGAGACCGACAAAGGGCCTTTCGTCCCCCCTCATCGGCGCCTCTCTTCACGGCGTCCCGCCTTTACCTCATTGCTGAGGTGCGCCTGGTGCTCCTGTTCCGGGGCATCTACGGAGGTCGTTGTAGGCATGCCCCTCTGTACCATGAACTCCGCAACCTGCGACTGGCAGCAAGCATGGCAATAGCGAGGAGCCCATCGGGGCGACCCCGAGCCTTCACTGCGTTCTGTCGCCTGGACCTCAACCATAATCCGCCAGCTACAGCAGATATCTCGCACTCTCCAAGCACTTCTACGTACCCTGTTCTTAGGCGCAGAGGTGCCTTTCCCCGTGCATCTCTCCCTTGCTCCAGAGCATGGCCCGTCTTTTCAGTGGTACCTGCATTGGGGGCAGCCAACTCTCTGCAGCTCTAACTCAACAAGAAGTCCTCGGCTTAACTGGATTGTCATACCAAATAATAACCCTGGACCCGTTTGCAGATAACGCAGAACAGCACGCTCATACAGCATCTTGCCCCCGTTCTTGAGCACCCCCAGCCCTGCCATGCTGCACTGAAGCCCACCAGAAGCATTAACGGAGATCCTGCTCTCAATATCCTTTTTCTCCTCCACCATATGATGTGCACAACTCGTGATTCAACAATGTCGACTTGTGACCATGTATTACCAATACCGTCAATCTTACTGACCCGGTTGACAGACTCATGCAGATTTATTTTTCGATCATCCAAGTGTTTATCAACGCTACTGGAGCACTTGTAACTACCTCGTCACCTGCATCCCAGCATAGAAAGGGAAATACATGGGTGTTATGGTGAGGGTATGCCCTCGCAAACTCCGCTGCGGCGTCGGCATCATTGGCGGATTCGAGGACCAGAGCGGCTAACCCGTACAAGGTACTCGTAGGGTGAGGACCTTCCTGCAAGGCTACCTAGGTAGATTGTAGCCTAGCACGCCTAGTCTGGACCCCGCTCGAGGCTGAGTTTTCAGACCACAGTCCACGCCGCGCCACCCATAAAGGACCTATTCAGTCTCTCTTTTCATGCTCATATCCAAGCTTACGCAGCTGCCAGGGATCACTGCATCAGGGTAGATTTCCGAACGCGAGAACGATAGAAAAGCCATCGGTGTCGAGGACGGGATAAGGCCAGACCGCCTCATGAGTCGACGCTTGAACTTCTGCTTCCTGGATGCCCATTCCTATAGAACGGCCTGAAGACGAATCCAGACTCGACGAGAGAGTCTTGGACGTTCGTCATCGTATAAAAGTCTTATTGCCTATAAGAGAGAGAGAGAAAAGGAGGCCGATCAACCTCGCGCCTCCCTATGAACCTAGGTAGGTTATATTCGACATCCCGCTCGAGAAAGTCCTTTCTGCTCAGTCGCACCCAACAACCACCAACTTGTCCAACCCCCCTTCGAGAGGATCCAATCGACGAATAACACGAGGAGTCTCGGATGTGGTTTGCGATACGAGACCCGAAATTATTTTCCTTCAGTGACCCGTTACACCATGCGAGCCCGAGAAGCAGAACTTTCGCGTAAGAGCACTCATTGTTCTTATTTTTTTGTTCAAAGCTAGTGTCCAAGTGGCTGGCCGGACTCCCCCCTCTCGAGAGAAGATCTGAGAACGAACCAAGCAGGAAGGGGGTGAGAAGGGAGGGCGAAGGCAGCAAGCCACATTGGAATGGTACCGAAAGCTTCCGTATTGACAATCTACTCGATTTTGTCTTTGTATAGGGCGAGTGGATGGTTCACGCGATCGAGCAAGTCTGTCTCTAGGTTCCTCTATATGTACAAAGTTTAGGTGACTGTTGTATACTTTTTTTCCAGTACAGCCTCTTGTTCATTCTTTTTCCGCTAAACATTCTCTTCTCCCCCTCATCTCGTGATCTCCTCTCTCTCTTCCTGGTCTTTTCAGCCTCTTCATTCTTTCCCGGAAATCCATCTCCATTGACGAAAGAATGGGATGCTTCAACACGCCAAAGACTAAAATTTAAACACTTGTTCCTTGGTGTAGCCCAGCTCCTTCAGTATGCCAGTCAACTCGCCTTGATCTTGCGGAGACGTCTTCGCTCCACTGATCGCCTTGTACATGCCCGGGGGCCCACACACAAAGATCTTAATATTCTCGCTCTTCGGATCCGGGATGACCTCCTTCAACAATTCCTTGGTGATGAACCCTTTGCCGTACGGCCAGCTCTCGGGCGGGTTGTCCAGGGTAAAGAAGCACCGGAACCGCTGGGGGAACTCGTTCTCCAGCGACGACAGCTCCTGCTTGAGTAGGATGTCTTCTTCCTTGATGTTTCCAAAGACGAGCGATACTTTGGTCTTGTCCTCCGGGTTCTTGAAGATGGCGCGGATCAACTGGTACATTGGCGTTATACCCGTACCACCGGCGATGAGCGTGATGTGGTCGTGCTTGTTTGGTTGCCAGGGGTATTTTGGGATGGGACCTTTGAACGAGAGGCTGTCACCTGGTTTCATGGAGTGGATGTGTTCGGACATTGGCCCCTTGGGGTAGACTTTGATCAGGAGTTCGAGATAGCCTTTCACGTCTGCAGGAGTCAAGTGAGTTGGGAGAAAGACGGTAGACTGGAAAGGGGACGGTTTACCTTCATCATTGATGGGCGTGTATGGCCTGATGACGGGCTTTTCCTGGTCGTCTGGTTTGAATTTCGTGATGATGGCAGCTTTTTGCAAACAGATCAGTGACCATGACCCAACAACATGTAGTTCAATATCCCTCTGAAAACCTACAAGCGACGTTCAATCCGCTGACGTGCTCCTTCTCCGGCAACTCGAACTTGAACCGCTTGGTGTTGTGGTTGTACGGGATGATCTCGGCCAGCTTTAGATCGACAAACCCTTGCTCGCCGCCCGTGAAGGTCTTTCCGGGCTCACCGCCCTGCTTGTCCATTTTCTGCGCATCGTCCGAGGGCTTGGGGGCGTCGGCTTTGGCAGTCTTGCTGTTGGATCCTAGGAAATTGTAGCCGAGGACGCCTGCGCCGACTGCAACGGCGCCCACGATCCAGGGCGTCGACGAGGAGGACGGCTTCTGAGCTTCGGTTGCGTATGTGCGGAAGTTCTGCGCGCGAGAAGAGGGACGTTGTGAGCTCATTTGTAAGCTGGAAGATTGACCACCAGCGTCCATTGAGGGAGCATGGGTGCTTCTCACAAAGTAGGGGACATGAGGAAGGTGACGTACCTGGCGAAGAGGCCCGCAGGACCTCAGGACCGACCTAGCAAGCATGGTGGAAGAGCTTTGGTGTGGTAGGAGGTGATAAGAACGAGGAGCAGAGAAGATTAAAAAGGCGATTGTGAGACGTCCAGGGAAATGGCGATGGCGTCAACAATGAGATTTGGTGCTTGGAGCACCGAGCTGGAGATGCAGCACAGGCACGCGTAGCCAATTGACAAGCTCCCTCGGCCTTTACAGCATCCGAGCCTTTTAAGGCCGAGCAAGCCTTACAACTTCACAGAAGAGCGGCTTGCATCTAATGAATATCTATATGTATATATACAGAGCACTCTACAGAGTAGACATGCTTGTTATTTATATCAAAGACCCACTTCAGGGCTGTTTTACCAGATCTCCCTCTGATACACCTTGCTCCTCACAGCTCGTTCTCCTCAATATCATGTCCAATGTGGCCTACACTTCTCAAAGGTATTGCATCCCAGTCCGAGCTGTCATTGTGTTCCAGGCATCTTTTTGCAGCCTTATATGCCCAGATCCTCTCTTGCCTCCGTATTAACTTCTCTTTCGCGTCGAGGGACAAGCTGTCCAGCTTGTATAGGCCTTGTAGTCCTCGCTGAGCTCCTGAGAGCCGCGACGACTGCTCTTCGATATCTTCATGAGATAGGACGAGTTGGTCTCCTGGCTGACTGTCGAAGACCGAGGGGGACAAGGGCTCATCGTTCGTATCGTCCTCCAACAAGTCGCAGTCCAGGCTCCTTCGGCGTTGCCGGAATGCTGCACGGGCCTGAGGGACGCCATCGGGGTTTGGCTCATACGCTTTTTGGTTGCAGCTCTCTAGATCTGGCTCTGCATCTCTGAGCCCAGCAGTCTTCTTGAGGGGGCTCAGAATCTCCATTTCTTCACCCACGCTTATATGATCGTCATTGTTGGTATTCTGAGATTCTGTCTCCTGAGTATCGTCGTCGGCTCGTTTCCTTTTGCCACTAGCACTCCTGGGACCATTCCCTTCCCTCAACTTTTCAACTACTTCTCTAGTCTCTTGATCAAAGTAGAATGTTTGCTCTGAACAGAGGTCTCCGAAAAGTGCTTGCATGCTGAGCTCCTCGGTCCAAGTCTCTGGGCAGACGGTACAGGGGCAGATATCCCTGGGTCGGAACAACCCAACAAAATCACGAAGCTCGTTATATGAGGAATGGCGAGAATAAGGAAAGTGTATGGTATCGCTTGTCACGATCCGAGGCCTTGACTCTTGAGTGGAGTGCATCTGCTCTAGAAGTGAAGTCTCTTTCTCGCCGTATCTCTTTGCTAGGAAGGGCACAAAATCCTTCAGCTGGATCTGACCCTTCTCGTCAAGTCCTAAATCGTCTGGTGCTTCGAGGGCGAGAGACAAGTCCCCTGTGGCTCCGAAATGTCCAAGTGCTCGAAGTATATTCAACCTCGACGTGGCGTCGTCCACGGAAGATGCAAAGAGGCTCATAAGCTGCTGGACAGAAGCGTGATCCTCGACCTTCAATTCAGACGTGGGATAGAGGTCTCTCGCGCCTCCTCCGGCCCCAAGCTCCCTGATCTCAGTCCCATCTTTGAGTCTCGAAATTATCGGAGTTATCCACTTGATGTTCTTCATTTTTTTGATTTCAGAGTGGCACTCCAGTCCGGGTTCGCAGCTATGAATCCTTGCGGTGCTGTCCAGGCTGAGGCAACCCGGAAGCTGACTGTTGCCGACAGTGAAGCCTGTCAGTGCAGCACTGTCATTACCGCCAGGATTTTCAATGCCGTCGCCAAATATCCGGAACTGATATTCGTTCACATGGATCCGGGATTGCAAAGTGTTGGATAGAGCGACCCAAACGTTCTCGTAGCCCAGAGTCCACGCCCTAAAGTAGAATATCGTGTCTGGAGGGCATTGTATCACTTTCTCAAGAAGCTCCTTCAGCCCCTCAGCTTTTGTTGGGAAGTTGCTGTATGGTTCATCGCGAGTGGCAAACGTGGTGTCGAGATAGAGGCAGTCAAGCAATTTCAAGCCGCAAGCATACGGAAGTAAGACGGGGTTTTGCACAATCGAATTCACCCACCACGGTTCAGCCCTGATGTCTCCCGTGTAAAGAATGGCCTTGCCATCGCCTTCAATCAGGAACATGACCGCACCAGGACAGTGGTTCGCGTCCAGCAATGTCACCCGAACTGTTAGTTTTGGGCCAAGCTCGATTGCCGTGACCGTGTTCATTGGCAGTGGTCTGAGGACTGTCTTCAGGTGCCGATAGTGCTGTTTGCGGGCCTCAAGGATGCCCTTCGCAAAGTTGATGCGATGGGGATACTTTTCCATGTTCAGCAGGATACGCTTGGTTGTAGCCGAGCAATACACAAAGGGCATTTTGACTGACTCCAGCCCAAGCAAGTGATCGCTATGGACATGGCTGAGAAAATAGGCAGCAGGCGCTGGCCTTCCTGGATGACGCCTGAAGTAGTCGATTCTGATACTGGGAAATTCCTTGACAAGACCATTAAACGTCGACATAATGGTCAATGCCGCCCATAAAACGACCAACCGGTCGAGGCTTTGCGGCGAACAGGTCGACTGCAAGGCTGTAAGATCTGGCACTTACCCCACAGGCTCAGCTCGTAGGGGAATGGGCATATTCGTGGGGTGACATTCGAAAAGGCGACCAGTCAAGAGGCTGCCCGGAACGGATCCTGACCAACAACAACCATGACCTGCAGGGATTTTTCGAGCGAGGTAGGGCCCGTAGGGGGCTGTTGTATCGGAAACACAGGCCAGAAGGGGATTGGCAGTAGAGAAGCCTCAGAGGTAATGGCGCAAAAGCTTGCCGCCTATTTGTCCGGTTGACGAATGCTGCACCCAGGCATCAGGGTCATGCACGGGCTGACCTGGCCACCTGACGAACGGGAAAACCGCCAAAGGCGAAAAGCGGGTATGGTCGTGATAGAGGACGTGACAGTGGTTCGAGGTTCGGAAGAGCAAATCCACTGGTTGGTGATGTGGCAGACCCAGTCGACCTGATCGTCGCTCAAGTGAAAGAAGAGGACAGCAAACAGGAAGTCTGAGGAGTCAGTGCCCATGGGATTGTGCCAACGCAGCGATTGCTGGCAGTCTGGAGCCAATTCACCGTCAATTCTCATTCAAATCCCCATCGTCTTCCCTCTTCTGGCTGCTCTTCACTGTTCGGACCGCAAACGAGGTACCGCTCTTCTGTCGGATATCGAATGTATAATAGGCAGAGCCGGTGACACTTCCCGCAAGTCGAAACCTTCAGGCTGGCGACGGTTGTGTCAGTTGACGCCTAGATTCTTTTCAAGAATAAGCATCGTCAGCGGCGGGCTTCAGGGAGCCTGTTCGCTGTTGGCCTCGCAGTCTCCAGCCAGTCTCCAGTCTGGTGGTACCTGAAGCTAAAAAGCGAGATCCTTGCCGCCCTCAGTGGGTGACGACTGACCAGCAAATCTAGCGGACTCCTTCGAATTCCATCCGGGAGCTGTCAAACCCTCAACGATCCCCCTCATTAATATACGAACCCTACCTGCTCTTCCGCAATACCTCCCTAGCTGCTACCTTCTACCTTCTACCTCCCACCTCCTACCTCATCCTACCGCCTCCCTCCAAATCCTATGATCTCTGTTCCGCCAGTCCTTCCACTGCAGACACCGCCATTCTCCCGCTGTCAGTCAAGTCTGCTCCACCCCTTGTACAGAGCTCCGAAGATCCAGAGATCACCTACGTAGCCCCGGCCGAACGTCGGTAGCCGATCACTTGCACCCACCGAGAGTGCTACCTACCTCTCACACAAGCCTGGTCTGGGTGCAAACGTTGGGGTCACAAGAGTCGTTCTCTGCAAGATACTGAGGAAAAGCCAGCAAAACTGGTGGACTCGCCCGCCCTGGGTAGACTATAGTCCATCATGAGAAAGCCGTGCATTCCAGAGTTGATCTACCAGAGGACGTTCCCGAAACCGAAGCAAGGCGATCCAGTCTCCTTCTACGCTCACATTCAACGTCATATCGTGGGTGAAGTCCGGGTCGAAGTACAGAACTTCTATGGAGCTCTCGACACCCTGGAAGCACAATATCCTGGCCTCGACTACACGTTCGCTCCTCACCGCCGTCGACTCTCAAGATACCCTTGGCATAGACGTCTTTTCCGCGTCCTCGACGAACTGGGGCTGACGGCCGATGAAATTCTGAATCTGTGTCAATGGGAAGGAACAAGGGCGGCCAAGGAAAGATACGAACGTGAAGCAGGCGTCGAGGTCCGAACTACCACAGCCGATGATGTCGTCGCAGCGCTGCCCGGAAATGGTCCCAGAGCAGTCTTTGAAGATCTGTCTCAACCAGAACCCGTCGACCGGGCAGCATCGAGTAGCGAGACACTGGTGGCGACCCCGGAGGAGGAAGAATACGAGGCCAAAGATGTGGACAGTCCCGCGTCAGCACCAGAAGATGAGGTCATGGATTTGCTACGCGATGCTATGCAATCCGGCCTACGTGGAGATTCTGCGGCATGGGAACAGTGGCTCAAAGAAACATTGGAGCGGCACGACGAAATTGACCTTGACCTGGTTATGACCGCTATTCGAGACCTGGAGCCTGAGACACTGAGAGCTATCCAACAGGCGGGCGAGGGTAACGAAACCATGTCACGGTCCCCTACGCCGCAATCCCATGCAGATGCATACCATGAAGCGAATCACCTTGACCGCGTCGAGACTGACAGCACCCACGTGTCTACTGAGAGTACACCCCTATCAATATTCGCGCGGAGGTCACAAACAGAAGCAGCCAGGTGAAGCTATGCTTCTTTCACGAAATTCTTCATATTTTCTCGTCATTGTTCTAGGTGGTATCAAGGTTAAGCTGGAGCCTGATGTCATTGCGGCTGGTTTTGTCTTTTGCCTTTTCAGGTGGTTGTTCAAAAGTACGGCTGAATATGCTTTGATACTTAGATTTTGCGGCAGACACGGGAAACTTATCGATATCATTAGAGCGAGGCGTTTTGACGGATTCTGACGGTTGGACCGGCTTTCCACGTCGGCGGCGTTTGGCGGATTCACCCAACATGACGTTTTCACTGATCATGCAGGGTTCGGGTGCTTGTGGTCTTTGTTTTGGGAGTCGAACTTGTTGAGCAAGCCTGGGAACCTGATTACCACAACAAGACGAGTTAAGGGCAAACATACTAGGCATGGTACGGGCATGAGATTAATCAATCTATGGGGGCAACGCAGAACTACCGAAGCTGAGCAGACAGAAGCACCAAAGGCTAACAAGGTGAAACAAAAGCGGATGTTGAATTTTGCTCGCATTACAGAGAATCATATATCTTGACACAATTTCTACCGTCTCTCACGCTTGAAAAACCTTTCGAAAGCTCAAATAAGCCCATGACAACCTACCTACTAGGTAGGTAGGTAGGTAGGTAGGTAGGCAGGCTAGTGAATCCACGCATCCCCTTGGTAACTAGCACGCATCCCCTTTGTAACTAGGAAGCAGTGTTCCTCTTGACGACCCCCCTCGCGAACTCGCCGAAGGTCAACCCGGTCTCCAAATCCACGGGCTCGTCGAGGTTGGGCTGCGTGAAGACGGCCAAGGTATTGCGGGCGATTTTGGTCATGGCGTTGGCGTTGGGGTCGGCGACGTTGACGCCCCTGACAAAGTGCGGAACGGCCTTGAACCTCCCGCGCGTGATCATCTCGAGCGCCTCGCCGGTCTGGAACGCCAGGGCGTCGCGCGGGATGCTCACCTTGTGGATCTGGCCTGTGCGCGAGAGGATGTAGAGACCCGATTTGGGGTCCGGGGACGAGGGGAGTTCGGTATATTCATCCCCAGAGGTATTGGTATTGGTATTGGACTCGTCGAGGAACATGGCTGATGTCAAGCCCGTGAGACACCCGTGGTCGAGGTGCGTGGTGCACCACGAGTCGTCGATCTCGGGCTCCTCTTTGTCCTCCTTTGCTGCTGCTGAGACAGAGACGGCGTGTCCGTTCGAAGTAGCGGTAGCATCGCCATCGCCGTTCACATTCCCATTCACGCTCTCCCGCGCAGCGGTGGGGAAATAATGCAACAGCCTCGCCTTGGTCGTCTCACTCCCCCTTACCACCTTTTCCAAATAACCCCTTTCATACCCATCCCCGATCTCATGCTCGGCGAAGCGATCGCACGCCCTCGCAACCAATACCGCCGTATCGATGATCAACCTTATCAACTCCTCCGCATCCTGCTTGAACCCCGGAATATCCACCTCGTCAGGCCATACATTGGGAGCCGTGTACTCTTCGAACCCCGGGAACTTGTTCTCCCCATCCTTGACAGACTGCAGAGAGGGATCCTTGTAAAATGCGCAGTTGATGTAGTAACTCCCCTTCGCGGTATCGACCACTCCCGGTCGCAGGGTTTCGACACCGTGACTCCACCCGACGAGATACTTTGCGCTGGGTTTCGTCAGTTTCTCGAGGTGTGCGGGAGGAAGGTGCGCAAGGCGCGAGGAGTTGGAGAGGACTTTTTGGCGCAGCGGTGCAAAGGTGGACGGTAGGTCGGTCACGACGAGGATGCCCAGGCTGTCCGGCCCAAACGCGTTCAGGAGGGTGTTGAAGGGGACGGCGTTGGACTCTAGGTCTCGCAGGGAGACCGTGACGGGTACTGCTTGCTTGTATTTCATTATGGGATCGGGGAGAAAGGATGGAAAGCGGTGTTGAGTGTTGAGCGAGAAGTGGTATATCGACCGAAGCGGCGGGGATGTTGAACGACGAACGAGGACCAAGGTGCCCGGCGTGAAATGGGTTCAGTCTGCGCTGCGAGGATCATGTCCCTCTCTTGCGCTGTGACAGATTCATCGCTTCTAGTCTCCCGCAAACCTGCAACCTCCCAGTCGACTTTTCTTTTCCTGATGGTCACGAAGAATGCAACGCTTCTATCATTTTTTACCCCACAGTCAGAGTGGAGGCAATGGCAATTGCGTTCGCTTATCCATGGAGGAAAATGCATCGGCCAGCTCCGAGCAGAGATCGTCGCCGAGGCTTCACTCCGGGTCAGTGGGTGGCTTGGCTAAGCCTCCATTCCAATAGATGTAACACGAGGACATGGATGCCGCCAAAAGCCAAAGAAGCGTAGACAACGACAGATAACTGGCGACCGATGTATTTTCATTCTTCATTACTACGCCTGCCACTCTTCTCCTCGTAAGTGCTTATGTACAGAGTTCGTCCGATTGACTGCTCGCTTACTTCGACAAGCCGAAAGCATCGAGCAGCTTCGGGAGATACGGGGTTCCCCAGCCAGTCACCGCATCCCACCCAGGGGTCGCGGGGAACCCAGTTGTATTGCAGCCAGCAGACGTGCCGTTGGTGACATCAGTAAACAGGGTATGACCCCATTTGTACAACCAAGGGTTGAGGAAACCCATGGGAGGGCGTCCCTCAGAAATCAATGCATCGTTCAACAGCGTGAAGACAGATGCGCAGATGGGCGAGGAACCCGATGTGCCCACAAGGTTGAGTGTGCTACCGTTCCACGTGATAGGGAAGATTTGTCCAATGCAGGCAATATCAGGGTAGGCGCGTCCTAGATAGAAAATAGAGTGTTAGCTGGCTGGGTCCGTATCGTTTGCATCCTTGATCGCAAGGGCTTACCTGATTTGTTGTAGAGTCCATCGTAGAGCCCACCGAGGCTGTCGACATATGCATTTACAGTCTCGGCCTGGTACGCGGGCATATCGAAATAGTTGCTGAAGCCCGCTCCACTCGTGAAGTAGCCCCCGCCACTCAGCTTCCTCCAGGCCGCCGATTCAGGGAAGCCAGTTGTCGCTCCCACGGTGGTCACGTAGGGGCAATCAGTTGGGAAGGACGGAAGAAACATGGCGGTGGTGTTGTCCACGTTGCTGAAACATAGCCCATCGGATCCAACACCAAAATCACCACTAGAAAAGAACATCGACACGCCTCGTGCTCCCAGTTGTGCAAATTGATTGCAGACCGCTTGAGCATAAGACCGACTGACCGTTTGCTCGTCGTCCCCGTAAGAGGTGGAAATGACTTGAGGCACCTCGTCGTCCGGCAGCCCGGCCATATAATTGGCCCACACCAGGAAAGGCTCGTCACTGTTGGTGGGGGTCACCAAGTCTGGTACAAACGACGGATCTCTCCCGCCCGTGTGGTATGCCGTCAAGGGTGTTGGAAAGCCAATTCCAATCATGTAATCAGCGTCCAGGTCTGCCTCTCGGTCCAGATCCTCCGCGGCGACGTTGGTGCCATTGTCTAGGACGCCACCTGCAATGGAAATGGCCTCAAACTGGTCGGCATATGCAGCCGCCTCGGGTCGATACTTTGACAAGAAGATACCGATATCTGAGCGATTGGTGGCCTCGCTCAAGTAGTTTGTGTGGGCCATCTTATTCTTTCCGGCTGCCTTGACCTCGTAATCAATGGTGCCATAAAGAGTCCGCAGGCAGTCTGGGGTCACCGAGGTGAAATTACATGCAGCATAAACGGTAGAATTTGCGGGCAATGGAACCGAATCGGGGGGTTCATAAGTGTCTGCAGCTTCGAGCACATGAGAGCTACGCTTGTTGATCAACGAGCGCTTGCTGATCTCGTTTCTTTTCTTGTGACCTTCAAGTCGAGCCCACGAGTTTGTTGGCTGGATCGTGCTGATATGTTTGTGAACATAGTGGGGCAGAGAATAGCCTTCAGTGCGAACGACTGTCGATCCGTCAGGATGTTCCCAGATCGAGTAGTCTGTGTTCAGCATGTCCTCAACTGTTGAAACAGGCAGGGAGACGGTAATCCAATCCCTGGCTGGGCTGTAGGTGAGTTGCTCAATGTCAACGTCATATTCCTGTAGCCACTCGTGGATAGCTGCGGACGTCTCGTCTGAAGGTTTCACAAGGTCATGAACTTCTTCAGCTGACAGGTGCTGGCCGTAACGCGCATGTGATGGATCGGAGACTAGCAAGGCATCAGCTCGGTCGATGATGGTCTCCAACACAACGTCTCCTACCTTCATAAAGGTGTCGTTCGAGCTCGTCGAAGCGGCTTTGCGAGAGACCAATGGTCAAGCGGATCAGATGTTCACCCGGCGCAGGCCCTAGATTTGTCCAGGCCCTAGGAGCGGGATGGAAGTCTTTGACAACAAGGTCGGAGCGACGTGAAACGGGACCGGCTGCAACAAGAGGAGCTTGAAAGCAGCTCAGAAGAGACAATGCCGTAGCAAGCATGGTGGATGCTTGAAGAGGGGCCATACTTTTGAACCTGGTTTGGGGAGCGCTGCACGCGACCGACCGAGCGACGAGAAATGAACGACGAGGTAGAACGAGAGAAAGGCAGAGCTTCCTCCAAGAACATCAGCGGTCACTACTTACCTAAATACCTGGGCTTTGGGACAAAAGAAGCAGGCGCGTAGGCAGATTCCTTCTGCACTCTTGCCGGTTCACAGAACAATAGCAACGTCATGTAGCATCGCGTTGATGTGCTATCCTGCCTCTTTGGACGTAGCTCCGAAAGATAAACAAGCATTGAGGTGGCATTGAGACACAAAGCATCCACCATGGTTCTCTAGCCCTTGCATTGGGGCGGAGGAAGGATGAGGAACTGGACGGTAGCTCCTGACCGAGGTATGCCAGCGAGGCGAGGATTGGACGAGTCCTCGGCAGCTTCTAGATTAAGCATAGACATAGAGGGAGTCGTTGGTGGGATCGACGTGGTGGCGGATACGAGCGGCCAGGGGAGGATCGCTGGAGGATGCTTTGGTGGGGAGATAAGCTCTGTCAAGGTGGAGAGAAGTGGCAATGGAAGGTTCTCTGGAGGCATTGATACAAACATTTCTCATCGAGGTGTCACCTTAAGCATTTCGTGGCTCATTGATGCTGCCTGTCATTGGCGGGAGACGGGAGATGTGCGCAATCTTAGCGAATTTAGCGACGATACGGGCTGCATCATGCGACCAAGCCCCCACCAACGGATTCCTGCCGACTTGCAAGTTACACGGTCAAAGATAGAAGAAGTCATCTCGTCTCACACAGCACGGGAATCACACTGTAATTGGTGGCGATGGTGCGAGATGGCAAGTTGAATCGGAGAGAATGTTCAAAGTGAGGTGGAAGGTGGAGGTGAAGCTGAAGGGGAAGGTGAAGAAGTGCACGGCAGGCTGCGTTGAGCCGGAAATCCTCCGGGGGAAATGGTGTAACCTAATATTAATACCTAGGTACCAGGGAGGTAGGTACCTAGGTACCTAGGCACCTACATGGGGAATCGTGAGTGCTCATAACTTGGAAGGGTCGGTTGCTCTCGGCTGCTCCCGGATAGGGCCCGGCACTCGTATTGCGTACAGAGCATCAGGGACTTTTGGTCTGGCATCACTTATTCGCCAAGCGCCTAAGGGTACTCGGCGAGTCGGTACCTACCTCGCTACCTACCTTAGGTACCTAGCGAGCTAGGCACCCACTAGGTAGATGCCTCTTTCTGGCCCCTCCCCCATACTAGGTACTCGAACTACGCGAAGTCCCTACGTCCCCCTCCAAGCCTCAACTCTCCTCTTTGTCTACACTCTTCCTGCTCCTTTCTTCCTCCTTTCTAGCTTCAATACCCTCTCAATCCTCGGACTTTGATTCGTCTCTTCGACTTGCTATGCACGACCCAAAGGCTTGCACAATGTGGCCTTCAAGGGCGTATGTGATCCGACCCTCAATGCCCCAGACCAGCTTTCTCAAGTGAACATGAGGCAACAGTCGCCTGTCACGAGATAGTCCGCCATGCAACGAATGTCTCAGGCTCACAAAAACAACTCATGACACCCAAATGACTCAAAGTCCTCAATGCCCTTTTTCCACGATTAGGCGTCCATCTGCCTTGGCTTGGCTGCTCGGACCAATCATCATATGCTCTGGGACTCGTTCTAAGGCTACAATCGGTCTGCTTTCGGGCACTTTCGTCAGGCTTTTGATCTTTTGACCCTTTCCTTGCGCCTCACCGGTCTGTCGTCTGCCTGCGGCTCAAATAAACATGTAAGTCGACCTCGCCGCCGTTGCTCGTAAGTTAATATCCTCGTTCTGTGCTCTTCCCGTGTCTCTCAATCAAGGCGCTCCAGATATCCAAATCACACCATACCTACCTCAGCCTTGTCTCATCATCAGCTTCTAGCGGCATGTGCAATCTATTGGTTCCTCTTTGCCCCTTCGTGCTCCATTCTATCGCAGCCTCAGACCATTCTTCCCCGCAAGATGCCATCTCAAATCCTTCAGCCGACGCAAAGATTCTCTTCTCCTACCTATCAAAACGGCCGTACAAGTCCTCCCACAAAGAGCAAGGCCAGACACAATCTGAACCAAAGCCTCTAGCCTTACCATCCCTCAAGCTCTACAAACGCACTAGTTGGCACACATGCCCCTGCTTCTTCAGCCGGATCGCCATTCTACATCCTCTGCCTGGTCCCAGTCGACCAACATTCGGGTCTGCACACAAATACTGTGTACGATGTTCCTCAGCAGCCAAGCTCTTGCGGCCGGCGCGACGTGGTGGGCCTGTGGACCACAGCACAAGAAATGACCCATACTGGAATCGTTGTATCTTTCTTGGTGCAAGTGAAGTCTTCGAACCAGGCGTTGCCGTCGACGACAATGATATAGACAACGGAAACCAAGCCAATGCGCAGGCTCAGACCTTGCACGTCAACTATCGAAAAGAGTCGGCCGAAAGTTCAAGCCGTCACCAACGGGACTACACCGACGGACCTAGTACACGAAAGCAAGTCAATGAGGAGGATGTAAAGGGTTGGAGAGAGGGAAGGCAGGCTCCCCAAGAATCAAGCTTGTCAAGAAGGAAAGGCCGTTACGAAACCGACCTGGACTCATACTTGAGTGAGACTTACGGGGCAGAAAAGAAAGTTAAAAACCCTTCATTACCTACCTAGGTGGGTATTGTGATGAATCTGGAGGATACAAGAAGCGGGTATAACGGATATGTACATGTAATACAGCAGAGCGAACATCAATCACTGCATTTGAAATAGGGAATAGATATTCGAAAAGCACTCTTGGGCGACGTTCCACGTGACCGTCAGTGTCACTTCAAAGGATTTCATGGCCATCATTCCAAAAAACCTCATTGCTGCTCTTAGCCTTGTCCATCCTTCATTTGTCTGGCTCGTTTCATGTGAGGATGCTGATAAAGTAAACCATGCCAGAGCCTGAAAATGTATTGCTCCCGCTCCGGTGAGTTTGGATCAGCTGTGTTGACAAAACTCCGCAGACACCAGCACCAACAAGGCGTTTCCTTCCTCCATCTACTTCGAGGTCGTCTACGGCAAAACCAACAACTAGTCTCCCGTCCTCCGTACGTAGAAACCCGTTCCAGAGTTCTTCGCGCTCAACACAGCCACCACCTTCTGCCTCGTCTTCTTCTTTCGCTGCCGGCACGCCACGGTTTCAACGGCCAAACCCCGCGGCGGTCAAGGATGATATTCAAACGAACTTTGACGACGAGGAGATAGAGTCGACGACATTGTCGTCGAAGACCGGCTTGATTAGTGGTGGCAAGGGAGGAGGTATACTCGACGAGCTCGATGACGACGACGAAATTGACCACCAGACACTCTCGCCGCTGTATAGTCGAGGCGGCGCTCAGGCAGCGGCGGGAGGCGTGTACGAACGCGACAACACCAAGAATGATATTAGATCTCCGCTGCAACACCGACTTAGAAAGTCTGCTCCGGAGCAGGTCGCCAAACGACGCAAGGTGTCTCATCACCCTGCATCTAGCAGCGTCAACGAGCCCATTGCCACTCCCTTCTCTCCGGAAGATGATGACCTTGATGGAGCTCATTCCCAGATCGACGCCGGCAGCTCTCCCGCCTCGCAGTCCGATCTGGATGACAACCTAGGTCGCCCTACAGCGCCAGCGACAGTCACTGAATCGAACAGGATCGCCCGCTTCAGGCCCATCACGCAAGGATACAATCCACCCAGCCCTCCTGTCCCAAGAACCGTCTTCAAACAACCCGTCCCGGAAGAGGACCACGCACATGCACATGCATCAGTTGTTGGAAGCGGACCTGTTCTCCCCGACATATTCTCGCCCTCGCGCCGCAAGGGCAAGAGGGACTATATCCCCGGTGGCAGCGCGTCTCTGGTCAGAAGTTGGGTGCTGGATATCGCGACTCAGGAATCCCACACTGAATCGCTTTCGGAGGAGATGCTTCAAATAGAAACGGTCGAAAGGGACGTCAGTGGACGCTTTGTCGTCGTGACTGACGAAAAAGGCCATCGGTGGTTACTCCCAGAACAACATGAGAGACCACCCGGCAGGAGGAGCTCCGGCAGCCTCGACTGTTGGTCTGAACTGCGTCCCGGGTCGCAGGTTCTCATCAAGGGAAAAGCGACTAGGTGGTCTCTCGACCTCGAGTCGCAAGGTCTGGGGAGTGTTGAAGTTGCTGCATACTGGGAGCCCGTCTCCCCAGGTTGAAATGACTTTTTCACACATGGCGGCTTCGCCGTTGGGCAAGAATCTACGAAGCACGTATCGAGATGATATCTTGCAGCAAGCCATACAGTGAGATGCCTGCATTACGCATTTGACCCCAACAGAGGTGTGATTACCCTGGTCTCTCTCGTCTGCTCTTCCCTTTCTAAGCTGCACAGCTATCCATCTCCGAACAATGTCTCACGTTGGCAGAAACGTCAAATACCTTCACGTAGCCGCACCATGCTGAACGGATCGAAGTGTCAATGTCTCGAAAGACACCATCCTACAATATATTACTGGTAGATCAAGGGTTTCGTTCGTATCCTGTTATCTTTCCGTACTGGAGACCTTGCTCAAAAAGGCGTCTCATTAATCACTATGGGCCATTCTGCACAATCCAACGTCGGACATACCTAGGTACATATTAGGGTTTGGAACAGAAAATAGGTGAAGAATTCCGTCGGGTCTCCGATCCTGTTACGACCTGGAAGCTTTCATCCTCGAGTGACGAGCAATCTGTGCACAACACAGCCCCGACTTTTGACGATTTTGCCTCTCTTTGTCTCGACCAACCTCTACGGGCGCCGTGCGGACCAGGAGCCTTTCGCTTCACTTGGTGGCCATGGCGCACTTCCCCAGGTCCATCTTGACGGCCTCCGCGCCAGGAGAGATGTCAAAATTGAAGACATCCATAGGCAGGCCGATGGTCGTGCAAGCGTTGGGAATATCCACGATCCCCGCCACATGCCCTTCGATAGGGATGCAGCTCAGCATCAAGTAGATCTGGTAGTCACTGTATCCGTATCGCTTGAGGTACTCAATGACCCGCAGACAAGATTGCCGGTACGCGACGGTGGCGTCCATGTAATGCTGTTTGCCGTGTTCGTCGACGCTGAATCCCTCGAAATAGATCATTCGCCCCGGCCCGAACTGCGGCTGCACGGGCCCAGGGATGTAGATTGGAGATTTCCCGCCGACCATGCCGAGTTTGCGCTGGCCGTCCTTGATCACGTCGAACTTAATGGTGATGATGCCGGCGATTTCAATGGCGCCGCAAAATGAAATTTCACCGTCGCCCTCTTTAAGATCATACGCGTCAGCGATGTAGACGTCTTTTTTGTAGGAGACAGGGGGAAGTGAGAAGGGAAGAACCCACGGGAGAAGTGCAAGTCTCCCACGGAGAATTTGGCACCCTTGACATGCACGGGCAAGTACACTTTACTTCCCCGCGAAAGATTCTTGATATCACAGTTCCCGCCGTGCTCGGGACGCCCGGGGATCGTCCTGGCTCCCTCCTTGCCAACTCGAGCTTTCGTCTCTTCGTCGGCCGTGCCCGCGTGCACACTCTTGGGCTCGGGAGGCTGTGCCACGATACGCTGGAGGGATGTAGTCGAGATGAGCTCAGCTTCGCGCTTGTTCCATTCTGCGAGGATCTCGTGGGAGGGCGCGCAGCCTAGGATCCCTGGATGGATAAGTCCCGCGAAGCGGACGCCGGGGATATGTCTTGAGGAACAGAAGATGCCCTCGAAGTCCCAGATAGCCTTGGCACTAATCACAAAGTGGTCTTGTTAGACACCGCAGCGCGTGCTGAAGTCGGAGAAACTTCCTTACGCCTCAGGATAGATCTCATCCAAAAACCCACCGCCGTTGTCCTTGTGGAACACGCCTGTGAAACCCCACGGATGGTCCTGGAAGGGCTGCACGTCTTGAATCTCCACGAGGAGAACGTCTCCTGGCTCTGCCGTCTCGATCTCGAAGGGTCCGGAGAGGTAGTGGACCTGAGTGAGGTCGACATTCACAATGTCATCGGCATCGTCGGTGTTTTTGATTTGTCCGCCAGTCCAATCCAAACATTCAATCTTGACTGTCTCCCCGTTCTTGATGGTTCCACAAAAAGGCACTGCGCGTTGAGATTTAGTAATGGACACAATAGAGAGTGACACTAGCGTACCATCAGGGTGCCATCTGTTCTAGAGTGCGCTTGTCAGTCACCGATCTTTTCTCCTGCTGCTTGAGTGCTCACATGTAGATATGGTTGGTCTTTCGCAGGCTTGTCAAGATCAACCTTCAATGCAGTCCTAATTGCTCCAGGCATAATGGCGAAGAACAAGAGTCTAGCGGGGCAGTGATTGGCAAAGCTTTGGACAAGTTGGTGCTTCAGTAAATGATTCCTGAGTTGCACTTGAGCCTGGCTGAAAGAGGAGTCGCAGGTTCTCGTTGGGCGTCTCGTCTCATATCAAAGAATTGTTTACTGCTTTGCGGGGCATGGGCGATCATCAGCAAAGGAGTTACCCCTCACGCGAGTGATAGGCACTTGTCCGTTGGCCTGCATTTGGCCTCCGTCATCGACTTGGTGGAAGTGCATGAAATAACGTTACAGCTTGGGTGGGACTTGATAAGAAGCATCCAGATCCAATAATGGCTTCAACATGGCTTCTTGCTTAATCCAGGATAGGCAGCTATGCTGGACGAACGGACGTTGGCTCCCCCGCGATCCTTGGGTGCTTCAGGTTACGTATGCGATACGCAGGATGCCCTGCTGAATTGCTGTCGAATCACCCAAAGTATGTGTCGTGTTTTATCGCCAGAGGGCGGGCTTCTCCTTTTTGCGCGAGAGCACGTGACTGCCGGGCTTGGACTGCGGCGCGTCAACCAGGGGCGGTGTCTGTTGGTTGAAGGAGAGCGCGCCGAAAGGCACAAGCCACACCTGGATGCTGAAGGGTCGCAGCAAGAAAAGCGGAGGTGGCTGACAAGTTCATATCGGGCACCGAGATCATTGGAGAGTCTCAACCAGTCTCCTGCTGTGTTGGCGTCGACGCTCCGGTGCTGTTTTTGGTGCTGCTCGCTGAATCCTTCTTGGGGGGACTTGTATCAATCTCGATGGTGACCTGGATTGTTTAGCATTGATATACTCACCCATTGACCATACACAATGAAAGCAGATCTTACTGGGCCGTCATTGACAAGACTAACTTGCATCATGGCTTGGAAAACACCATCTTTGACTCTGTCCGAGCCATGCTGGTCACGAACGCGACTCACGAAATAGTCATATAGTTCTTTTGCAACTTCTGGCTTAGCAGCTCCATGGAAATCGGGCTTGGTTCCCTTCCTCGTGTTGGCCAGCAGCGTAAATTGCGACACGCATAAGATTTCTCCCTGGATATCCTGGACGCTCTGCTTCCAGTGGGAGCCATTCTCGTCGGGCCACAACCTCATCTTTACAACCTTGGAAGCCATGGTTTCGGCATCCTTCTTTGTGTCATCGGGGCCAATCGCAGCGAGAACAAGAACCCCTTTACCAATGGCCGAGACTGTTTGGCCATTGACCGTGACGGAGCTCGACAACACTCGCTGCAATATTGCCTTCATATCGCCGACGTGGGACTGACCCCACAAACAAGGCCGGCCTCGAAACTTACTCAGGTGCAGCAGATTAACGAGATGTTTTGAAAATCTTGCGCGACCTAGGGATGATCTGTGCCATTAACTGAGTGAGTCCGTGGTGTCAGTAGCGGCCAGGAAGGATACAGACTAGAGCGTCCTCCTGCGGTCTAAGGATGTCGTCTCCTGGCCAAGAGAGGGAGACTTCTGGGAAATAGGCGCGTGAAATGGTGATGAAAGGTACCTTGCCAGCTTGGTAGAGGAGCCAAATGCTGTGGGTGGTCGAAATCGGCCATGCCAAGACCCACTATTCGCCCTACTAGTAAAGGAGCCCTTCACGTGACCAAGGACCTCCGTTGAACCCTGGCATGCCGCAACAGACGCAGCACGCGGCTGCCACTACCGCAGGCTGGTCCAACTACAAGACACGAGTCCATGCGCCCTCCGTGCACTTAATAGAACCCCCCTCGATCCTGGCATCCTCGCCGCATCTCCCACAACCTCTGTTTATGTCGTATCACCATGGCGTCGCGAAAAACGCAGCAAGAAATCGACAAAACCTTCAAAAAGGTCGACGAGGGTATCCAAGCGTTCGAAGCCATCTATGAGAAGATCTACTCCTCCCAGAATGCGGCACAAAAGGACAAACTGGAGGACAATCTCAAGAAGGAGATCAAGAAGCTGCAAAGATCCCGCGACCAGATAAAGACATGGGCAGCGGGCAATGAGATCAAGGACAAGTCTTCGCTGCTGGAACAGCGCAAGCGAATAGAAAAAGTGAGGCTTCCGCAGAACAAACTGTCTCGGGGTGTGGACTAACGAAGATGCAGTGTATGGAAATATTCAAAGCGGTGGAGAAGGAGATGAAAACAAAGGCGTTCTCGAAGGAAGGGTTGTCGCAGAACATCAAGCAAGATCCCAAAGAGAAGGAGAGAGAAGAGCTCTGCGACTTCCTCTCTGATCAGTTGGACGAGATCAACAGAATCCTGACCGAGGAATTGGAACCCGAAGCCGGCACCCTACAAGCCGCTCTCAAAAAGAAGCAGAAGGATAACTCCAAGGCCGATCGACTTGCCGAGATCGAAACCATGACCGAGACGTACAAATGGCACGAGTCCCGGTTACAACTTCTCCTAAGATCACTACAGAACGGCAATGTTGAAAATGACCTAGTGGCATCAATCAAGTCCGACATTGAAGAGGTTGTCAGGGAAGTGCGGGACCCGGATTTCGATCCCGAAGCCTACGAAGGTATTTACGACGACTGTAATCTGGACAGCGAAGAGGCGCAGTTTGGATTGAACAACGACATAGACCGAATATCGTCCCAAGATGCGCAGTCCATTCAGGAAGACGTCGAGGTGGATGCAAACGCACTCAAGAAAACGAAATCAGAAACGCACACTGCCACACGACGACCATCTACGCAACTCAAGTCTCCCCTGCCAGCCCTGGCTACTCTGAATACCATGCCACCGCCACCGTCAATACCCAAAGACTCGACAATGAAACCCGCACCAATCCCAAACCGACCGCCGGGAGAGACATTGAAATATGCGTCAGCAGCGGCCGCAGCAGCAGCAAGCGACAAAAGTGGAGTGGGTATTGCTCCTCTTCCCCCACCAGTTGGAGCGAACGCTGCACCTACATCACACCCACTGCCCGCCCCGGTCAAGACATCTGCAACGACCTCGCCAGCCTCAGTGCCAGCACAACCGGTGGAGAGAACTGCCTCGCCAGCACCTGCCGCGGTAAGTATGGACGGCTCATCTTCGCAAGAGCAATCCAATCATTCGAAGTCTCCAACTTTAAGCTCCACCAGCGCCCGGGCTCCAAGCATCCGAAGCAGCATTCCTCCTACTCCCGCCATGGAGAAATCCGAGGCTGTCCAAGAGCCTGTGATTGCAGACGAGTTAGCCACCACGAACGGCGACGTGCACGAAGACCCAACCGCGGTGGAATCGATCTATCATCTGCCTCCTGGACTACAAGATCTACTAGACTCGTTCGAGACCACCAAGAGTCGTGCTGCTCAGCCACCATCACAACTAGCCAGACTGCTGCAGGCTTCTCAAGAGACTTGCCCAGAACCTTCGGACAGCGATCGGCCTCAATACTACCGGCCAACGTTCAAGTACAACACGCCGGCGCACTATCCTCAGGATGTTCTCCCCATCTTTGATGATCCAGCGTTGTACGAGAACCAGAGGCTGGAGACGGACACGCTGTTCTACATATTCTACTATCGGCAGAATACCTATCAACAGTGGCTGGCGGCACGTGCTCTCAAGAACCAGAGTTGGCGGTTCCACAAGCAGTATCAAACGTGGTTCCAACGTCACGAAGAGCCCAAGCAGATTACGGAGGAATTTGAGCAGGGCACATACCGCTTCTTTGACTATGAAAGTACATGGTACGTATCATCCCTCCCCTGATCCCAACGGCCTCTCGTTCTAACCTCTTGCAGGATGAATCGGCGGAAGGCAGATTTCAAGTTTGTCTACAAGTTCCTTGAGGACGATCTGTAGGATAGGTCAGTCAGCGGAGTGCTGCCCGTCGGCCCGCTGCATGCACACCACTTGCCCGCTTTTGGGGAAGGGGTTTGATTACCTCTCAAAGAGTCAACGAAGCTCGAATTCTGCAACTTCAACCCTTGTTCTGAGATACCTAGTATGCTCCGGGTGCCACGACTGGGTGCCCGCCACCCGGACCTCCTAGTCAGGCCTTGCCTCGCTTGGGACGGTGGGGGGGTGGGTTCCACTCAAGGCGCTCTGTGGGAATGTGTGCTACTCGTGTTTCGATTGTTTGTCCATGTGGCAGACGGCAGCCTAGCTCTACCACCGCCTCACTCTCGGTGTTACAGAAATTTGCCTTGCCGCGAATGGACCAGAAGCAAACATAAGGCCGTCGCGATGTCACTGAGGCTGTGATAAAAAGGCAACTAACTAAGCTTCTTAGAGTTAGTCTTTGTATGCCTCGCCAATGGGAAGCCGGGCCTTCTCCCTCAGCCTCCCTCCGCCGACCCGCTTTAGTCTTGTTTCCATCCCGCTACTTACCAACCTTGCAACTTACCAAGGTACAGAGCCGCTCAGGTCCGCAGAAGGCAACCATGATGCTACGGAGCAGATCTCGAACGGCCGCTGCCGTGTCAAGCGTGTGTCTGCCCACAACTTTGAACCGCTCAATCTGAAACGTCGCGGATGACAGTCGCTGCCTTGACCAGCTGAACCAAGATACACAGTCCGAGTACCTGGTTGTGTGTCCCAAGTCTACCCGGGTTGGAGCCCGTGGGGCTGTTATATCGTGGTCAATGGTCATTCTTGTTCCCTGCCCCTCGCTTAATGATGCTTCTGTGTCTATGGTTGATTTGACCGGCACTTTCCAAACTGGGTCCGGCGTCAAGGAATTCCAGTATCGAGGCAGTGTTACCCTAGTCGCCGTATGCCCGAGGATGCTTGAACGCTTCACAAATGATGGCAGCAAACTGCAGGTCCAAATCTCGACAGGGGTCCGAAAGCCACTTCGAGCAAGCGAATGGCCGTATTTTGGCAACACACGGGTGAGAAATGCTTCTTGGAGTGATGAGCCCTAGAGCTTAGCCTCACATTTGAAAAGATGGACTTGATTGGGCCTCGTTGGCAATGGAACCCGCTTGCGACATTCACGCCGCGTTTCCATGCTATCCGTGCTGGGAAATCTATCCATACAGCGACTTGATCGCTTCTGGCCGCTAGCTTGTACAAGAGCGTCAGGTGGTTCGCTCTCAGAGCATTCTCTCTCCTACCCGGGAGTACACCCGCGCTAAATTTCCTGCATTGTCCTCTGTCGAGTGGTCCAATCCGAATGTCCTAATGGCCCTTGATGACTACCTCAGCCATCGGTTCAAGGATGGCCGAGTCAGTGTCCTCGCCCTGTCAGTCCTCCCTTTGTGTCTCCATATCGTCAACTGTCCGGTACAGCCTCCCTTCCCAGCATAGTTCGAGTTTGCCTTGTCTCTCGAGGAATTTCGGCTGGCGGATACTTGAGAGAGCACCCCTCCCCTAGCTATCTGAGATCCGAAGCTCTGATACCAGCATAAGGCTGAAGGTCGAGCCCAACTATTTGCGTCCATCTCATGAACAATTGCCTGTTCTTTTCTTTAGGGTCGGTGCTGCTGCTTCTTGTCTGATCAGTATCTGGGAGCTTCCTTCTCTGCGTTTGAGGAGATCTGTGCACCGTCATGGGCAGCTACGACCACGGCGATTTCTTGAGGGATCACTTTGGTCCGGCTGCATTTTTTGCCCAACAACCACTCTCGATGAGTGTGCCAGAGGCTTCATCGGGCCTCTCAATCAGTTTGCCGACTAGCATTTCATGTCAGCTTGGAAGTCCAACCTACAGCCACAGTTTCTGCACTCCTCGCACGATTGCACCTCATCCAGGTTACATGCCCGCTCCCCCAACCCATGGATACCACTCTGAAGAGGCGTATGCCATCACTAGTCACTCGGCTAGTGCAAGAGGTCGAAGCTGGAGCGGAGCGAGCACAGTCAGTGCAGACTACAGTGTTGCAAGCCAACAGGCAACGCCTAGGTCATCCTACTCTTGCATCGATCCCTGCAATCAGTATCGAGTACTAGACGACAACCACACTCATCACACTGGGGGGCCTGCATTGCATTCCCGAGGACAATCACCGCTGCTTCAGGAGGATAAAGAGCTTGCGCCAAAACAAGAAGGCGATGGGATCATTTCGCCGAGTAGCAAGTAAGTATTCAATCGCCCATGCCGCTGAGAAAGTCTTGACAAGTGGCTGGGCTCTGGGAGCGCGCCAAACATAACCCTTTTGGCCCTATCATTCCTCAGCATGCTTTTGACCAACCGTTTCTAACATTCCTCCAGGGCTGTTGCAGATAATCGGACGTTCTGTACCCATCAAGACTGTTTGGGTGAGGACGGAAGCCCCAAAAAATTCTTCAGCCGCAAAGCAGATGTAACCAGACACTACAAGTCTCGACACGACATCAAATACATTGACTGCCCAAAGAAAAACTGCGAGAGAAAGGGCAGCCAAGGCTTCACAAGGCGAGATCATCTGACCGAGCACCTTCGAGGTTTCCACATGGAAAAGATTGCAAAGAGACAGATTGCTAATACCAAGGTCAAGCGAGGTGAGAAACATGCCAGTGAGGACAGCAGCTCTTCCAACAGCTCGTCTGAAGCTGTCACTCCACCCGAGCATGGCGATGAGATCTTTGACTTTTCCTGTGGGAAACATATCTTTGAGGAACACATTGATCAGGCCATCAAACAGGAGTCTCGTCAATCATCCGATGAAGAGGGAGATAATATCTCTCCCTTGTATGAAGATTGTCTTCCTAAGAGGACGAATCGGAAACGAAGCTTTGCAAAACACGTTGACCAAAGCGTCAAACAGGAGTCTCCTCAATCGTCTGATGGAGACGGCGACGATAGCTTCCCAGGGCATGAAGACTGTCTTCCTAAGAGGACGAAGCAGTTCAAGAACGCAACACAGAAGCGCAAGATCAAAATAAGGCAAAGCAATATACTATCTCAACACTCTCGTACAGGTGGCGCGGCTCAACCCAATCCTCATGGAATGAGTTTCCAGCCCGAATTCGCAACGTCTCGAATGATGCCTGACTCCCCAGTGTACACAACGCACCACCAGCACCAACACCAAGTTTACACCACAAGCGGCATGATGGCTTCTCTCTACACTGCAAATTCTAGTATGGACTCATTCTACGGCCCTTCGTCGATGATACAGGCCTATGAGAACCTTCCAACCCAGACAATGGCTCGCTACCGAGTAGAGCCTCATGATGACGAATCTCATTTCCAATCTCTGCAAAGCAACCCATACCGTAGGGGGACGTCCGGCACTGGGAACTACCTTCTAACTTCTCAACCTGAGTGAGTCTGGCGACATATGACGTGCTTTACTGGATACACGACGTTATGGGGTCTCTTTTGGACGTTGGTTTCTTCAACTTCCTTGGCTCGTTGAATGAGGTTGGAAATTGGACGCTTCTATTCTTGTTTGTAATTCTTTCCGATATTCTTTATCATCATGGCGAATCCATTATTACGAGCTACGATGGGAGGAACGATACGATATGATACGATAGATACCCGAATACTACCTAGGTAGTCAATCAAACCATGGGAAACCCCAGTGGGACGAAGCCTATGCAGTAGACCTGATTGATACTTGGTTCTTCCTCTCGCCCTTAAAGGGTTGGAGGCAATTTCTCTCGCTATGCTCCTCGTTGGGTGACACGCCAGGATATATAAACCTCTATACCTAGGTATATGACTGTCCGCTATTTCCTTTTGGCTCTTTCGTCTTTATTCTTTTCGTCGCTGCTAGGCACCTTTTGCTTTCTAGATGTTTCAAACCCGTCCTCCTTTTTTCTCCTCATTCCTTTTCCTTCCTGGCTTTTCGCTTTTCTTCCTCTCCCCATTTCCCCCTCCTCCTCTCTTTTCCTTTGTCAATAACTTAGTCTTATAGGTCCCTCTAATGACTCTTCAGCACTTCACACGCTAGTGTTTTGAAGGTGTCTTCAGGTTTCCTGAACCTTTACAAAGAGTCTAATCTTCACAAACGTCCCGGCCTCTCAAAGTCCTTGTACCCGGCGTCCTTGACGAACGTGTACAGCCAGGGCCCTTGGTCCGTCCGCTCGGCCAGTTTGACGTACTCGACCGCGGCGGCCTCGCCGGAGATGGCGTTGGCCACGGGCATGCCCTCCGGGGTGCGTTCGTCGGCGTAGTAGAACGTGACGCCGTCATGCGCGTAAATCTTCTGCTCGACGAGATGCCGGATCGCGTACGCGGGCGCGGTCTTGCCCAGTCCGAAATTCAACATGCCCTTCAGCGTCATGACGTTCAACATGTTGCCCGTGAAGATGAACGTCTTGGACGGGAGGCCGCCCCCGTCGCCGCTGGTGGCGGGGAGGTTGCGGAACGCCTTGACGGTCTCGTGCAGCGAGACGAGCACCGAGGTGGCGTTGACGGCTTGAGAGTCGTGGTACGTCTGGATGGACTCTGGCGTGAAGAGGGATAGCGGGTCCGCCGGGTCCGGGGCGAATAGGGCCGCTGTGTGTGAAGGGTTGGTCAGTTTTTTTGAAGACTGAACGGGGCAAGAAGGTCTCGAGAAGGAGATCATATCTTGAAAAGGGCTTGATGGAGGGAGGGAGGGAGCAAAGCTGTCGTTGCTTGGGAGTGTCGGCCACTCATCTGGCTGCCTTTCTTTCCCATATACCACCAATAGGCAGAAGATCATATCCGTCTCTTGCCTTTCTGCAAAATCAACAGTGTCTGCCTCGGGTTCCCAGTACCATGGGAGCAATCTTGCTGAACAACGTCTCCGCTCCCTTTCTTGCCAACAGCTCGCGAATAGGCTCCTCCCGCTCCACCAAACAGCGGAATATAAATCGCAAAAGTCCCCCCACAGATCAAGAAAACCGAGGGAGAAAACAAAATAAAGAAAAGTATACAAACGTACCATTATAAACCACCACCCCCGGCTCCCCCCCCAACTCCCTCCTCACCCTCTCAAACACGCCCGGCACCGTCTCCGGCCTGGCCAGATCGACGGGGATATGCAGGACCGCAGCACCATCGTCGCTGCTGGCGGTATATTTGGGCGGCGAGCGCGACGCGCTGGCCACCTTGAACCCTCTTGCGGAAAAGGCTTTGGCCACGGCGGCGCCGACGTTGGGGCCGGCGCCCAGGATGAGGATGATCTTGGGGATCGAGGATGTGGATGACATTGTTTGTTGAGTTGAAACCGGAATTGAGACGTATATATAGGTAGCTGGGAATCTTGCTGGGTACTATACAAGAGGTCTTGTTGGAAAGCTGCGCGGAGGGGACATTGAGTACCTTAGGTAGGTTGTAATCAATATATTGCGATTCATCAATACGTTTTTATATATCCTTAACCATCGTTCTTCCTCTACAGCTGGTGGGCACACACCCATTCCCTACCGGCCGAGTAGATTCTTAGGACCAAAGTCCGTATATCAAAGCATATAGGTCGATTTCAAATCAAATCCATACGCTCGAATTGGGTGCCTGGTCGATGGCGACTTCATTACACCGATGTATGCCGTGGCCGACCCTCCAGCCAGGCTCTTACAGGTAAATCCACCAAGGCTGAAAGTCGATCTCGGCTCAGTCAACTCCGGCTTACATACGCTTAGGCCACGGACGAAAGTTCATACGACTGCAGCCTACTTAGGTAGAATACTCTTCAAAAGTCTCCGTCGACAATACTATCTCTTGCCCATTTGGATGGATTCAATGGTTGTGCAATCGACAGAACGCGTATCGAGCCTTTGGGATTACGCATCAATCAGCTGGATGGGTCAATCAAGCACGTAAGTAAAGCTCTGTTGGACCAGCTACCCTGGCTACGGTTCTTTGGGGAGAATGCGTATGTCGTCCTGTCAGACACTGGCCTGGCCAAGTTCATGATCAACCATTGCTTGTCTCAATGTTCTCGAGTCTCTCCACCAATTTCATGCTTGGAGAAGCTGGCTCCCTTGATCTTCATCACCATATTCAGAACAGCGCCTCTCTCATTTTTGGCTCCTTTCTCTGTTTTCTTCGACAATCCGTCCATGCCATCCCACCGAGTTGTGTTGCGCATGCGCCTCGCTTTCGCTCAGACGGTGCACACATAAATCTGGGCCAAGACCGCACTTCTGAATCTCGAACATCTTTACCAGGCAGATCCACCAGCAGCAGCGAACTCGCCGGTCCCAGGGGTTTCCCAGTCAGCAGGCGCAGAACCAGGATTCGGGGCAGTGTCCCAGCCAGCACCAACGTCGTGAGCACCGTTGGCTTTCCCAGAATCAGACTGTCCAGCGACTTGTCCTGATTGACCCTTAGGACAGCGTGCACGTCCATGACCTTTCTCATTGCTGTTACGGGCGGGTTAGAAAGAAAGCCACCTGAAGGATCAGCAAAGCCACTTACCAGGTGCTGCAAATAACCTTAGCCCAGTCGCGCGGAGGACGTGTACCACCTTCACCTTGCTTGGGACATTCCTGCAGGGCCATGTTAATGGAATGTACATGCATGTGTACCAGATAGAGGCGACTTACGCGAGCCATGTGACCTTCCTCGTTGCAGTTGTTGCAGGTCATCTTTCGGGGCTGAGGACAGTCTCGAGCCAGATGATCTTCGTCACCGCAGTTGCGGCAAGTTCTCTTCTCACGAGTCGGACAATCCCTCGCCATGTGATCCTCCTCTCCACAGTTGCGGCAAGCTCGCTTCTCGCGAGTAGGGCAATCCTTGGCCATGTGGTCCTCTTCACCACAGTTACGACAGGCTCGCTTCTCCCTATCTGGGCAGTCCTACAGCATCATATCAGTTGTGTATGACTACAGGGTGGCAGTGACGGGACGTACCTTGGCCAAGTGCTCCTCGGATTCGCAGATCTTGCAGGCACGACCACCACGCTTGCGCTCCTGGGTACAGTCACGAACACGATGACCCTCCTCACCGCACAAGTAGCAGGTAACAGTGGGCTGAACGCTTGCAACTCTCTCATCAGGGCAACGTTTGGTGGTATGACCGATTTTCCCGCAGTTGCTGCACTTGTCCACTCCACGGTCGAGAGGAATCCCTGCATCAGCGAGGCGAGTGAGGTTTTCTTCTGGAGACGCAGGCCATTTATCGACGAGGGTAGGGCGTTGTGGCTTGTCGGAAGTGAAATAACTGATTGCGTACTTCTTGCCGGTATCTCCTTGCAAGTTGACGTTCGTCCAGGTGTCACCATGATCCTTCTCCTACACAAATGGTCAGCAGGAGGACGATTTACAATCTTGCAGCAAGCCAACATACCATGGCAATCAGGTAGATACTGAAGCCGCGCTTGCGGAACTCTTTCTCGAGCATGGGGTAGGTGTACTCTGGGGCGGCCTTGGACAGGATTTGGAGTGCCTCCTTGAAGTCACCAATATCGCGTTCATCACTGGCTTGCTTGAGCAGCTCCCAAGCCTCGTCCTCGGACTTATCAGCAACACGGGTATTGTCGACGAATTTGGGGTTGGTGCAATCCAAGGCTTCATGGCCCTCCTGTTGACAATTCTTGCATTTGATGACACGAGTAGGGCAGTCGGCAACCATGTGGCCCTCTTGACCGCAGTTGCGACATTCCCCCTTGAACTTGCGAGGATTGGGGCAAGCAGCCTTGGTCTGAGCACAAAGTGAGCGAGGTCAGCGACGGGACAGAGGGCAGGTAACCTACGTGACCTTCTTCTCCCTGAAAAATGTTAGTGAGTGTAGATTGAGTTGGGATGATTCCACTTACACAGTTGAAGCAAGCCCCCATCTTGCATTCGCCATCACCGTTCATTCCGTCGCCGTTGGTGGCAGTTCCAAAGCCATCGTCGAAGCCAGAAGGCATGACCACGGCACCGTCATCATCATTCCAACCTGAATCAACTACCATGGTCAGTAAGCTCACTCAAATCTGAGAGAGGGGATCGAACACGAAGAGGGGATCTCCTCTATCATCCACAGGTCAGGGTACTTGTAGCAGGGCTTCGTTGCTCTCAAGATCCTCTTGCGAAACTTGTACATGTTTGCTAGAGTGTTCCAGAGGCTGTGGAGGGCTTGTAACACGATGAAGGGATGGAGAATGAGAGGAATGAAGGAATAACTGACCTGAAGCGCCTTGCGCGCCGGCATTGTCCCAGCCGCTCATGATGATTAACTTGATGATTTGACGATGATGCGATGGACCGGCAGATGGACAAAGATAGTAGCTTGCCAGCAGGGTGACGCAGAAGAGGGTGACGCAGAAAAGAACTGTGAAAGAAGGAAGGATCAAAATTAAACGAGTTCGTGTGGTAAAAAGGAATGGGAGAAGGAGGGAGGCGCGGAATCGCCAAGGTGAATCGTGTTGAAACGAGGAAGAACGATGCTCCTTTCTCGTGTCTCGACAAAGCAGCAATTCACCCGTGACAGGCCAAACTGCTGTCCTGAGGCCCTTTCTGTGATGATGCGTACGAGTTCATGACAATAGGACTACAGCCTGCGCTGCTTTCGGGCTTATTCTGAGCCAGGAAGCTGCTCAATTCGCAAGGGAATTTGGTATCATCCTTGCCAGTGCATCAAAGGGAGGAGATTTGTCCAACCTCAGTCAGTCCCAGTCTCTTTATACCTGCTCGCGAGCTGACATACACCTACAGGCTAGCAATGGACACATCTGCGTATTTGTGATCTCCAGACGCTTGCGTTGAATGGAGGAAGCAGCCTTCCATCCGCACATGGGACGGTGGAGGCTGTGGCACTGTTCGAGACCAAATTGAGACTGCTGCTGTTCAGACTCCCGCTCCGCATACTCGGAGCAGCATCCACATGCTGACGGAGCACCTCATGCAAGGGGAGATAAGTTTATTATGCATGGCTGCGAGCGATGATATGACAAGAGGTTGAGCGTTGGACATGGAGTTTGTTCTTTTCAGGGGCAGCGGAAGCATCTCGGATTTCTTAGCCGATGACGTGGAGAATGAAGCCATCCAGAGGGTGAGGCTTTGCTATCCATCATTGTCGTCAACAAGCACAACACGACCTTTGTTCTAGCGATTCTATCCTTCTTTGAACTAGGTCTTCTACTTCCTCAGGCAAGGACCTCTCATCGCAACTTGGGCCCGCTCCTCTTCTTAAGCAAGACAGATTTTTCACAACCAGCAGGTCCGCCCGCGAGATTTGCAGCCTCCGATTGTCCCACATTGCTTGCCGTTTTGCCAGTCGTCTGGAGAATTCCAGCGTCGTCAAAGAACATGCTAGGAAAAGAAGACATGTCAGGTATTCGACAGCATCGCATCGCGGCTCTGGAGCCTGGCTTTGTGGATATCCCGCCTAAAGACTTCTGCTTGCACTGCCGTCGAGATATCCAAGCGGAGCATGAGCCAAACGAGTTCGCTCTCGCCAAATCAGAACGCTACAAAGGCCGAAACATCCCCCTATAGCCTAGGTCGAAACTCCGTCTTCGCCATATCCCTCAAATCCTTCCGCAAAATCTTGCCGACCGCGTTTCGGGGGATCTGATCGAGATATACCACACCACCTCGCAGTTGCTTGTACGGCGCCGTCCTGCTCTTCACAAACTCCTTGATCTCTGCCTCCGAGATCTTGTTCTTATCGGCAACGACGTAGGCACGAGGGACTTCTGTCCCTTCTCCGGGCACGCCAATCACAGCCGCATCTTCGATTAAAGGATGCGAGATCAAGAGACCCTCGATCTCAGCTGGCGCCACTTGAATACCCTTGTACTTGATCAACTCCTTCTTTCTATCCGTGACATACCACAATCCGTTGCTTCGTTGCTGAAGAATGTCTCCGGTGCAGTACCAACCGTCGACAAAGGCCGCTTTGGTAGCTTCGGGATTTCTGTAATAACCCTTTGTCACCATGGGGCCTTTCACCCACAATTCGCCAGGTTGTCCCTCAGGCACATCGTTGCCGTCGTCGTCGACAAGCCTGAACATCGTATTTGGATGCATCACCCCAACACTGCCGGTATTATCCGACATTCCTCGAGGAAGGGTGCAAACGGACCCAGTAGTCTCGCTCATGCCGTATGTCCCGCCCATCTGAATCCCTGTTCGCTGACCAGCCGCGTTACAGAGATCGGCATCCATTGGCGCCGCACCACCAAGGCCGCTTTCCAAAGAGTCAAAATGGTCCGTGACGTCGGGGGATTTGGCGATTCGAGCCCAGATGGCAGGCACCGTGAAAAAAGCCGTGATCCTGTGCTGTCTGTTGTACTCGATGAATTTCTTCCACTCGTACTTACGCATCCAATAGCACTCCCCGCCAGCATATAGAGGGGAGACGAAGTAGCCGGCCACACCGGCAATATGGGCAGCCGGCAGATGGGCTATTGTTCGGAGTGGTGTGGGGGTCAACTCGCCCGTTAGGATTCGTGGAATTGCCCATTCTCGAGCTACTTGGGAAGCGATGACGATCTGAGATACCATCATCTTGTGTGAGAGCATCACAGCTTTGCGAGATCAGCTTGGATCGAGAAACCCTCTGGACTAGCCCTACCTTTGGGTACACCAGTCGTGCCGGACGAGTACAGCAAGTTGATGATGCTGTCCTCCAGCTCCTGCGGATCGGTGATTCGTTCCCACGTGAGGCGTTTATCCGTCCAGCAGTCAACCTTGCCGTCGGCCGATTTGAAACTCCAAGCACGGTAGGTAGAGTCTAGGATGAGCACGCGGTCGAGGCCCAAGCCGCAAGCCTTCGCTGCGTCGATGGCGACCGTGGCGAGGTCGGGACTGCAAATCACCAGCTTTGCGTCGCCCTGTTTGATCTGTCTGGCCAGTTCCGCGGGGGTAAAGGCATGGCTGGCACACGAAAAGATGCCCCCAGCGGCGATGGTGCCGTAGAACGCAATCGGTAACAAGATCTGCAGCGTCGAAAAGCCCACGACCACATCCTTGGAGTGGCCCGCGGCCCCGATGCCGTAGATGTGGCGCAAGCTGTGGGCAAAGTTCTCGGTCAAGACCCTGGCGTGCTTTTTGTCGATGTAGTTTGCCGTGTTGGCGGCGTCTATGTGCACCTTTGAATCTTCCTGTGAAAGGGCATATTGATTGGGATCTTCACCACCCGCCGCCACATTAGCATTTGATCTCGCGGGTTATACAGCATCAGTACGACAATGACTACAATCCACCAAGAAAGAAAAGGTCTTGGACGAACCGAAAAGAATCGACAAGAGATCAAGACTGGGGTATGAATAGTATCTTGGAGCATAGTATATCTTGGGAGCCATTCTCGCAGGCGTGACACCGTAGTAGAAGAAGAAGCGGCGGCGGCGAGGAGGTAAGGACAATTCAGTCTCGGTCGACAACCCCGAAGTATACGATGCTGATGATCCGATCTCTCAGGTAGGTCTTGGAAATCTTTTTGTCCCGTATGGAAAAGGTTGTGTGTGTGAGTGTATGTGTGAGAGAGGGTATGTCTACCAAGCTTGGATTCAACGGACACGAAAGCTTTGACTCTTGCAAGATACCAACTCGGTATCAACCATCTACTTGTCCTACCTACCTATCGAATTGACCCCCTACCCGTGTCCCATCCAGTTAGCCTCGCTACACGGTGGGTGACGGGTGTGGGCTCTACCGAGGTCATGACCGAGGCTGTCGTGGGCTGTCCACATTCATCCCGCTCACCTAATGTGCTACTACTATGAGAGCGGAAAACTGAACCTTTGCCGGCGGCAATCCCAAGGCAAAAAAGAGCGGGGTCGGCTGGCCGTGCCATTCCTTTAGAAAAAGTGCCGTCCAGTTCCGGTGGGCTGGGAAAGCGAAATCCCACGACATGTTCACACCAATACACCAATACACCCATGCATGCATTCATTGATTCATTGATTTCACCCCCCTTCATTGATTGCGACATACTGTACCGGCGGGATATAATGTAACGATGCACGCCCATCTTCGCCGACACGAAAATGGCCTTGCGTTTTTCGACTTGGACCCCAGCGCCTGGTGGTTCGAGGTCCCGACTTTCCACGCCAGGTGCGTTCGGGCCGAATCCAGCTGGCCCCGACGCTGTCTGTCCCTTCGACGCTGCAATAGTGCGTAGCCCGAAAAAAAGTGGCTGGAAGGGGGAGCTTCGGTGTGAGTAGTGGGTGTCACGATATCTGGTTCATCTGGTGTCAGGAACTAGAAAGCCTTGTGCCTTGCCGTGCACATCTTGTCGCGTTATATATCAGAATCCCTCTGGAGCCCGTAGCCGCGGACGGAACGGGGCTTGGGTCAAAGCTTTCAACGTCGTTGAACGAGACCGAGACTCTTTTCATAGTGTCGATTTACCGCAAGGCGATTTTGGCCTCAAGAAAGGTATGGTACAGTACATGCTAACCAAATGAACATCAGCTTTGAAAGGCTGAAGAAGGGGGGTGGTGGGAATGATTCTTTGTTCGGCGCTTGTGGGTCGGCATGTGCGGCAAGGGATTCACTATATCTACTCGGTACGGGGTATAGAGAAGAGGGTTTACAATATACAGTAATCTTCAAGGCTGCGCCTCTAAACGGAACACTCAAAGGGCGACTAGTCATCCACATGAAGCATGGACCATGGAGCATTGTTTGTCTGGGTGTTCTTGAAATCTCATTTTCGCTCAAATCGTCTCGAGGGTCTCAAGGCTGTCAATTCCAACTATCTCCTCCCCCCAAGAGCCCTCCCAAAAAGCCACCCTTCTTAGCCTTGGCCGCCACAGCCTTCTTCTTCGCAACCCCAGCTCGCTGCCTCATCTTCTCCTCGCGCATGGTCGGTCTGTAATTGACCGCGTTTCGTCGACTGCCCGATCCTTTCCTGACAAACTCCTTCTCCTCGCTGGCTCTGCCTCGCTCCGTAGTTTTGTTGATGGTCACCACACCCGTGGCAGATACATTCTCATCCGCCCGGCCAGCCATGCCAGCCTTGCTGCCCAAGCTTGAGTTCGTGGTCGCGCGGCGCAATAGGCTGGGGACCTTGTTGAATGAGCCGGTCACAGAGCTGGTCGCGCTGAAGAATGCCATTTTGGTATTATTGCCCGACGACCCCGAAGAAGAAGACGATCCTTGACGGAGCATGCTCAGGCGGTTGACGACATTGGTGGTCCTCTGTGCAGTCCGCCGTTCCGAGAACGGGGCTCGAGGTAAAGCGGGCTTCTTGAATGCTTCTCCCTCGGCATTATTGCCATGCTCACCTGCACCATCGTCAACTATAAAATCACCAAGATCGTCCGCTTCCTCGGCATTCTCATCCGCCGTAGCGGAGTGCAGATGTCGATCGAGATCCACGTATGCCTCGGGCTCGTCCTCCGAATCCGAAAGACCAAGATCGATGATCCCTGCTTGTGAATCGGGCTCCTCGATGAGGAACGATACAGATTCTCGAATCTCTGCCAGATTGCCAGGCCTTCTGTTGTGAAGAGCATTGGAAATTCGACTTGATCGCCCAGCTTGATTCAGCTTCGATAATGCTGTGATGGCGAGCGGTCGGGCACCGCCCATTCCTGGGAGCTGAGCCATCCGTTCTTTACCGTCACCATCCTCATTCTGCTGCGAGCTTTGACTGTCCTTCACCTGAGAATCGCCCTCGCCAGGAGTCTCCGAGGGAAAGAAGTCATCTTCGCCGTCATCGCTGTCTGGCCGATCCTCAATACTTCGTAGGAATGCCTCCTTCTTCTTGTCTTCCGCAATCTTGCCAACGGCTTCGTCCTTCAGTAGTTCTCGACGCATTTTGGCGAACTCTCTTCTTTTTGCCTCTCTTCTTCTAACTGCGGCATCTTCTTCGTCCGAGAGGTCAAGATCGTCGTTACCACGCTTCCGCCGCAGTGCACCCGTCGTGATGTCCTTCAGCAACTTGGAAACGGCTGCTTCGTCCTGCTGACGTTCACGATCTGCAAAGAGCTTCGCCAGTTGGGCTGCATCGCCGACACCGACCTCCGTATCTTCATCAATCATTCTGCGGTCTTCTTCGTTTTCTTCTTCGTTCACCTCATCATCGCTCGCTCCTCCAAGGCCAGCATACTCATCCTCAGATTCTTCTGCAGCTTCGTCAACGGCCTCTCTCGCGCGTGACTTTGCTTTGTCGTAGACTTCGCGAGACCTCTGTTTGGCTGCTCTTTGCATGATGTCAAAAGCCGATGGATCCTTCGCGTCGGTCGACTCCTCATCCGACTCATCAAGATTCACATGCCCACGCATGAGCCTTGCCTTTCTTTGCATAATGGGGCTGTTTTGCACATTGGGGAATACAACGGTATCTACAGTTGAGTGCGGTGCTTGCTGCAGGGGAGTGTCAGTAGCAAAGCGATTTCCCAGGAACGGACTCAGTTCGTAGCCCGCATCCTGTGTCGGTTCGAAATGCGCCTGGGAAGGAGTAAAGTCCACGCCATGCAGCACCGAATGATTCGCTGGCGATTGTGTCACTGCTTGAGACGCGGAGAACGACAGGTTGATATCCAGGGGCTGCGTCTGAGAAGCTGGCTGACTGTCGGTGATCATATCGACCGAATCTAGACGGTAAAGTTTTGGCACCATTGCAATGTTAGGCGACGGCAGGTCCGCGGTCATGGTGAGACTGTCTTGTTCTTGGGTGTTCCCTTTAGCCTGACTTTGGGAATCTGCCATTGTAGCGGCAAACGCCTGCGTTAGCCCGATCGGAAGGTCGTCTGACATCTGCAGACCTGGAATCTGTTTCCTCGCCGAGCGAGATATGGATAAGGGGGTCTTCGCAGGCGCAGGAAGCTGTGGAGATCGTAGTGCTGCAGGGAGGACATCTTCATCCTCGTCGTCGCTGACTATACGGGTAGTTCGGCTTTTTCGTGGCATGGGATCAGCTTGTGAAACGCGTTCTTCTACTCCAACATCCAAATGCTCGTCTTCTTCAACGGAATCGGCGTCTGAGGGCGATGACTCTGCGGAATCCTGTTCTTCAGCTTGATTGTCGAAAAGATTGGCCTGCAGATCTTCAGGTTCTTCATCATCCTCTTTCTCCTCTTCTTCCTTCTCCGCCTCCCCTTCCTCATCGTCATCATGATGCTCCAGATCACTCTCGTCTTCCTCCCCGGAGTCCACGTCCAGGTCACCATCTTCGTCTTCAGCAAAATCTTCGTCGTCACTTTCATCGTCATCGTCCAGGTTGTCCTTGTTGTAAGTACCGTCCTTTTTCGCAAGAGCCTTTTCGCGCTTCTGAATCTCCACAGCTTCTTGCCGCGCTCGCTCCAAAAGATCTTCCACCTCCTGCTGTTCGCGCTCTCTCTCCTCTGCCGTCTGCACCACCACTCCTTTGGCCTTTAATTCTTCGATCCTCTGGTTTCTTTCCTGCCGTGCTTGCACCCGAGCTGCCCTCCTTAATGATGCTTCCATTTCGGCTGCGTTCATGGAATGCTTGAGATCGTCACCTATTAGATTTGCAAGCGAACGCAATGCCAGGTGTGACGGAGCCTCCTTGGCTTTTCGCGAGGGTAAATGCTCGAACGCCGCATATTTGCGCATGTCGCCACGAGACATGACCACTTCGAGATCAGAATCAGTATCATCACTGTCCGACACGGTCGTCGCGGCCAGTGGGATCTTGGATCGGATCGACTTGTCCAAGGGCTTGACAGTAGGTTTCAGTGGCTGCTCATCCATTGTGTCGGCGCGAAGCACCATCAATGTGCGCGCTTCTTGTCCCGTGGGGTCGACAGAAGGTGCTCTTCCCTTGCCCTTGTTAGTTTCTTCGACGGCGACCTCCTTTTGGTGGTTGACTACTTCTCCTGAGACTGGGCTTGTAGGAGGGGTATCGTGGATATTGTCCCCTTCATTATCTGACGCAGCTCTGGAGCTACTGGTAGGACTGTGCTCGCTGCCTCGCGCAAAGGTGGGTCTGGCGACGGCAAAATTAAACCGAGCCAACAAGCTGTCCTTTGTTATTTTCTTCTTTGTCCGCGCTTGATGTGCAAGTTGCATGTTTCGACTCATCCTCTGGGTCTCGCGATTCATTTCTTCAATGGCCTTCTTGCTGGCCTTTCGTGTCGGTCGTGCGTGTCTTGACAGCTTCTTGCCCCCACCTTCCTCAGAGGCATCGCTCTCCTCCGTGTCATCTGCCGGACTCGACCCACGGATCCTACGTTGTTCTGTTTCCTGGGATTTCAGGCTTTCAGCACGGGCAGCTTGCTTGGCTCTTTCTTCTGCTTCTTTTTCAAGCCGCTGCTGTCTGTGCTTCTCGACGAGGGCGAGGAACTTCGACTTATTCTCCTTAGGAGATGGAAAGAACAGAGGAGAAGGTGATCGTTGTGAGGGCGTACCCGTCGGGTTTGTATTTGAAGGGCGCCGTTCTGCGAAGAGGTCATCCTCTTCTGGGTCGTCTGAGTCCTCATCGAGCTGGTCAACATCTAGGCGGGAAAATTGTTGAGGCGTGGCTTGCTCATGATCATGCTGAGAATGAGCAGTTGGATCGGAGTTACTGTTGCTCATAAACCGGGGTCGCCGTGGTGCTAAGATGTCATCGTCATCCGAATCGTCCGAGGCATTCTCCAGCTTGTCCTTGTCGGCCCCAGTGACATCGTCGGGAGCAGGAGCCTGCTGAAGTTGTTGGCCATGGGTAGGAGTAGCCGTATCAGATTCGGAATCGTCGAACTGTGCAAGCAAAGCCCGAACTTTTCGCGTTGGAGTCAAGATATTTGAGGTTACGCTCGTGGGTGAGCCAGCGGCAGAAGGCGAACTTGTTGCTGAAGACATCTCGATCGTACACAAAGCGTATAATTCGTGGCCTAGCTGTCTAACATGCTGAAATATCAATACCTTGTTCGACTTTGGTCGAGTGAGTACAGTCAGTCCATCGCATTGGCGAGGAACGCTTTGGTTAGAACTTAGCTGGGGCGCGTCGCGTGCCAGCCCCAAAGAACGCGTGACGTCAATGCTCGGGGCGGGACTGGAGGGCGTGCTAGGCGTGCTAGGCCCAAAGAGTGCAATGGTGATTCGTATTTCCACATCCGTGCACAAAGCGAGGACCTCGAGTGTCTCGAGTCTGAGATGCACTCACCCAGCACTCGACCCTATCAAGATTCGTAAGCCAGTGCTCGACAAATCCTAACGATATTGTCCGAATAGCAGCCTGACACCTCTTCCCTCACTCGTTTCGTTCAACTGGAAGCGCAGAGTTCCGCATCTCACTGCACTTCTCAGCATCATGCCTGATATCGAAGCTCTGCGGACAGAATGGAGGACATTATATTCTAAGACCCTCCCCCAAATGGCGAAATCTAGAGATCCCGCTCAAACTGTATGGCCTGTGACTCTTGACCACTGCTTTGCCCGCATCATTCTCGACCGCGTAGTAGGCAATGGTCAACAACAATGGGACATGGTAATACAGAAACCAGCTATAAGGAACATGAACGAGCACCAATTACGGGATGCCATCGCACTAGGGGAGAGGATCCGAGCTGGACAAATCAACCTTTCTAGCTTAGACGAGGCGAGCCTACTATGCAGAGGCAAGAACGAAAGGAAATACGCTAAAACAACTGCCAGTGACTCGGAGGCGGAAGCGCAAAGTCCTCACCCAGGCAAGTCAGGGTTAACTAATGCTGGTTGTAAACGAACCATAGGAGAGCTTGATCCTCCTGCCCAATCATCAACAACAAAGAACAGAAAGACGGAGAAACACCAGTCAACTCTCAATTTTTGGCGGGCTGAGGCTTCAACGAAAGTGGGTAGCACTTCGAACCTTGCAGAGGGGAACAGAACGTTAGCAAAGGCGATTCAAGCAGACGAAGACGAGATGAAGCGAACTTTACGTCGTATCCATGCCCATCCCTCACTAAGTGCGTATCGAAAGAAGCTCTATGCTACCCTTCTTTCTGTCCCACGTGGACGCTACACGACCTACGCTGCAATTTCTGATTATCTCAAGTCTTCAGCCCGTGCGGTTGGGAATGGGATGCGCAACAACCCTTTTGCTCCTGCCGTACCATGTCACCGTGTTTTAGCAGCAGATGGGAGTATTGGCGGATTTCAAGGTGACTGGGGAAGGGACGGGAAATACGCCTCCAAGAAGGTTGAACTACTTCGGAGCGAAGGAGTCAAATTCGATGGACGTGGAAAGGTCCTCGGTGAGCCATTTCGGGACTTTGAACAAGTGAGGCAGGTCGAGGACGGCATCATGTGGAACGACAACGGAGAGAGTGTTAGGCCAGGGCAACCACAACCCACTACCAGCTTTTAAAACCCTTGCCTGACACCATTACCTTTACCTACCACCGCACCGTTTATGCAACATCATACACAATATCTTAAAGTCAGTCTCACAACTGCTAACAGACCAGTCTGGCTCTACGCCATGCCATTCGCAACCGACTTTGCCCATCCAGACTGAGTGAAACCCAAAATTCAGGGAAAACTCGTTGTGGCTTGTGCTTGTGTGGGACTGTGGATGGGCCAGAGGACTCTGAAATGATGAGGACCTACAGTGAGACATAAATCTCCTGCCAACATTGTCCAGCACTGTCCACCCTCTCCGAGCATCAGTTACACGTCACCCAATATGACTTCCGGATCGCGGAGCATTCGGACCACTCTCGGCATCTTGACCATGGAAGACATAGTTCGATATACACACTCGATTGTGCGGCCAAGTCAAGACGACTGTTCCAGTCGGGTCGATGTCTTTTCCAAGCTGCCTGATGAGATCCTCGCAATGATTCTGTCCCCGATCATCACGCCGCGCATCTATCTGGACCACCCAACCTGTCGAAACATTCTACGCAGCCCCGCAAATCTTAGACTAGTGTGTCGTCGGTTTCGAACTCTGATCGATGAGCTGATGATCAAGACTCCTCTCCGGGATATCATGGTGACAGGTGGTATTTACGGCGACTTCGCCGACATGTCGACCGTATATCGAGAATATCGGGATAGTCTTTGGATGAGACTTTCCAGAGTGAGCGTCGGTGAAATTCCATTCACGGCGGTCGTGCACTTTCGACCGTGTCTTACTATGATTGATTCTGTGCACTGGTTTCGAAACAACTCGATGGCTGCGCTGTCTTGGGACGATTTGGCCCCGCAAAGAGCCATAACAGCCCACGTTAAGGTAGCACTTATCCTTTCCCGGGTCATTCGCGAGATCATCAACAGACGAAATTTGGGAGACCATGAAGTCACTTTGGCCTTGATTTTTCATGAGATCGATGGGACATGGTTTCAAGGGCAGCAGTATGTGGAGGAGAGGCACCGCCATCCGGCCTTCATGCCTTTTGTGAGTACCCTTTTCCCGCATCAAAGACATCCAGTATAGATTTAAACTGATAGATGCTTCCAGTGGGGCTCAAAAGCCATGCAGTCAATCCTGAGGGAGTGGCGATGGATTTTCAGACGCCCTCCCAAGAATTACGCTCGCAATGTCCAAGTCGTCCTCCCAAATGTCGCCTGGGCGTCAAATTCAAATTCCTTAAGTGAGCAGGAAGCGGCCAATATGTGCGTTCGCGACCTCTGTCAAGCTTGGTCACCAGAAAACGATCCGGCAGATGTCGGGGGCCAACCTGTGAATTCACTTGGAAGTCAGACTCAGGACAGAAATATGATTTGCCTACCTGGGTTCTCGAGTCCCGTCGACTTTCCCGAAGACCCGCTCTATACAAAGTGGCTGGGAATGTTGCCTGAGACTGCAGAAGCTGCGGAGATCTTCTGCTTCACAATTCGTGGGTTAGTGATAGGCACGGAGAGGGATGGCCGAACATCTGTTCTAAAGCGTACGCCGCCCTTGAAGCCCATTGAGTCTTCACAAGACCCAGTTGCCCAGGCTGAAGAGATCGAGAAGGCACGTCAGCACCTTGCGGTGCGATTGAGCAGAAAAGTGGAACCACCCTGGGTGCCACCCGTGTCCACGAATCAATGAAGGTTGTGCCAAATTCTTCGTACAGGGAGCGGCCTTTTTACGAATGTTGGACATGGGCGAGGATAGCGATGGAGGAAAGATAGGATAGAGGAATGGAAACGCCTCAAGATGATTGTCCTGGGGGGATATATGAATCCATCCATAGCGAGAACGGCAAGAGGGTATCATATTCATAGGCCACCAACTTGTAACGTGGCGATAGAGGAGCCCTCGGTAGGTGCACGGCCGTACTCTTCAACAGATACAACATTATCAGTGAGCTGCATTATGTGCCGCGAAGCCAGGCCAGTGAACTGCCCAAACAATCCCCTCTTTTCGCAAAGCCCGGAGGACAGGTGTAACTGGTGATGCTGCCTTTGAGTTGGTGTGATGGGGCCATTCCGGTTTCTGAAACAGGGTCGTGGTTAATGTTCTGCCTAGCTGGACTGACATCGCTTATGTCGATCATACACCGATACCTTCTGTATCACACAGGACACCTCATGGCAAAGATGCCGTCCTCTATGGAAGCGGCTGCAACTCGGAATATCCAACTTTTATTCCGCTGCGGTCACGGTGTCTGAGTGAACTGTGCTGTATGCTCAATCGAACCGATGTGTCAGAGCTTCCTCCATTTTAAGCGACCCTCCAGAGACACAAAATGTAGATATTTCGCCGCTATAGAGGAGCCGCAGCCGCGACGGCACCAGTTCCCTTGAATGCAGCCTTGTTGGTCACGACGATCTCGACCGGGTATTTCCATTCCATGAACTGTTTCCAGCCTGTATTTCTCAATTAGCATCCCTCACGAGAATAACAATCTGTGCGCCCCATGGGCATCCAAAGTGGTATGCCCCGGATACAATATCACATACCCCAGTAGGCGAATTTCCTCCCAAAATATTTCCCGACGTAGGGGACAATCACCATGGACAACAGCAACTCCAGCTGCTGCAAGCTCTCTTTCCACTCTCGCTCTGCGTCCGACTCTGAGTATTCTTCCTCCTCGCTCACAGTGACTTCGTCCGAGTCGGGTTCGGAAGGTAGCGAGTCGACGTCGTTGTTGTCGTCGCCGCTGGAGGGAGGTTCAATGAAGGAAGCAGCTGTACCATCTGTTTCGGACATGTTGGCGACGGAATGGGATGGATTGGGAATGGGTAGTGACGCCTTCAGCCAAGGACAGGCCGCTCGGAAAAGAAGCTTAGGACGAAATCATAGCAGCTGTCGTCCACCAGATGGGATTGAATCAATAAACTGGATTGCCTGCGTGGACAGTGATCAATGACCAACGAAGTGGATGGACGAATGAAAGTCGGCGAGGCTACTAGGAACCAATACGGTTTTGTCTGACAAAATCGCTCCGCGTGTCAAATAGTAGGAGATTTGTCAGACAATAGGGAATTCGTGGCACGTGCCATGCGTCACTACACGTCTGTGACCTGTTTGACTCATTATCGTCCGCATTATTTGGAAGAGAAAATCCCCGAGTTCACACTCCTCGATTCCCACAACTTCCTGAACCTTCTCCCGCAGTTTAGAGAACAGACAAAGACGAACCGAGCATACAGATATCTTCTTCTCATCGACAACACACTCAAGCAACACGAATCATGGCCGAAGTTGTACGTAACGCCACACAAATCCCCACCTCGCACGCAGATGCCTCCTCAGTCGGGGAACCCAATCTGAAACCTCATGCACCTCGCCCCACAAGCAGGAAGAATTCAGATAACATGACTACTACTGACACACCCTCTCCTCCTCTACAGGAACAACAACCTCAACCGATCCCGCATCGAAAACCTCGCAAATCGGTCGCATTCAGCGGCGACAGCACCATCATGGATGAAAATGGCGAGATCTCAGAGGCCCCCCTGTCCGGCGCGGAGGACAAGGTCACGGCAGAGAAACACTCATCACGTATGGACAACACCGCCACAGCAATATCAAGAAAGAGCAAACCAAAACTGACACCTCGTGAATCTATAGCGCCCGATGACCAAGCCGTCGATGAAATGACGGACATGTTCGCCGGTCTCAACAAGAAAAAGAAGAAGTCGACAAAAACGAAAACGGAGGACAAGGAGGATGGCGAGGCGGCCGCCGCTGCTGCTCCTGGGACCGGTGCTGACGGCGACTTCGACGCCTCCGCTCTGAAGAAGAAGAAAAAGAAGACGACCAAACCCAAGACGGAGGGAGAGGACTTTGCCGAGAAGCTCGCCCGCGCTGGCCTAGCGGCGGACGCAACGACTGACGAAAAAGAGGAAGCCGCAGGACAGGAACAGGCAGGAGATATGACCCAGGGAACAGGAATTTGGGCTCACGACGCCACATCCCCGATCTCGTACGAACTTCTCCTGACACGGTTCTTCCACCTCGTCAACGAACACAATCCGGACATTTTGTCGTCTGGAAGCAAATCATACAAGATTCCACCCCCGCAGTGTCTACGAGAAGGCAACAAGAAGACCATCTTCGCCAACATCGCCGAGATCTGTAAGCGAATGAACCGCAACGACGAGCACGTCACGCAGTTCCTGTTCGCCGAATTGGGAACGAGCGGGTCCGTCGACGGCTCCAAGAGATTGGTCATCAAGGGCCGATTCCAGCAGAAACAGATCGAGAACGTCCTGAGACGGTATATCGTCGAATACGTGACTTGCAAGACCTGCCGATCCCCCAACACGGAGCTGAGCAAGGGTGAGAATCGGCTGTACTTTGTCACGTGTAAGTCGTGTGGCAGCAGACGGTCGGTCACGGCCATCAAGAGCGGTTTCACGGCTCAAGTGGGCAAGAGAAAGAGGCTCAATGGTTAAGCCTGGAATTTTGAGAATCTGGGGTAAGGGGGGGAGGAAGCGGATTCAGTTCGTTTCCGCGCAACGGAGGGAATGGGCATGGCGTTGGAGAAAAAAAGATATGACTTCAAGTTGAAAATAGGCGATGAGCAGACCCCGAAAATGGAAAACGAACTTGATATGCATGGAGCACGCAGAGATTACAAGCATAACGCTCACATGAAGACCAACGCCTGATGCGCTACTATTATTCGAAAATGTCCTTTCCCCCCCCCTTTTCATACGTCCTTGTGCGAGCTCCCACTCATGTACGCCGCAAAGGCAGCTTGGTTCCGTGTCTGCATGTAGACCGTCCCGGGACCTGTGAACTTACATATCAAGCCTTCGCCGGAGCTGATGCCGGAGATGATACCTCCGGAGGCGACGCGTTCGAGGACGTACTTGCAGTTCCAGGCGACGAGGTGGCCGTTGTCGATGATGTACTTTTCGCCGTCGACGAGCTAAAAAATCAGATCGCGGGTTAGAATTGGATTACTTTTTTCGTTCCGGGGGGGATTTCTCTCCAGGTATGATGAGTAATTGGGACTCACATCTTTCTTCAGCACCGCTCCAAAGGTCGACATCCACAGGATGCCAATGCCGGAAATCTTGTAGACAAAGAGACCCTCGCCGGAGAACATGGCTTTGCTGATTGACTGACTTTTATACTCTTTCACCACTCCCTGCGTGCAGGCTAGAAACGCATCGCGCCCGACGCTCCACGTCTCGTGCCCCGCGAGTCGCAGGATCGAAATGTCCCCCAGTGTACTCGGCGCGAGTAACACCTCCCCAGGCCCGGTAAATGTCGAATGTGCCATTTCTCCGCCAATCAACAATTTCTTGACGCTGAACTTGATATTTCCTTTCAACATCACTGAAGGGCTCATTGCGATCATGACTCCCGGTTTCGCTGTAATGGGGCACCCCATGGCCAACTGTATGGTCAAGAGGGAATTTGTGTCGCGGTGTGAGATACGGTACGAGCCGCCGTTGAATGTCCCCACGTCGTCCTGTGTCGTAGCTTGGACACCCACGAATTGCCCTCCCTGAGGAACCCCGACAAGTGTGGGCCCTTCCGGCACTTTCATTACGTTGGCCATCTCCTTGGTAAGTTTCTGTAGACGAGGGGACGTGACCTTTTCGTCAGCTTCGTCGATAGAGGTTGTCGGGCCATTGTACGAAGGCTGTCGATTGTGAATTGAGGCATGATCGAAGGTGGTTTTGTAAGCAGGTGCGGAGGCAGGGATAGTAGAGTAGTTGAATGGTCGTTGAGCGGTAGGTTGCTGGATGGGAGGAGGTGAAGGGGTCTGCGCTGCTAGATGGGATGCGGGCGGGGGAGGATATGAGGCATTCTGCATAGACGGCGACGGCAATGATGGAGGCGGAGGGAAGAAACTCGGAGGCGGAGACTGTTGGCTAGGAGGAGGTGGAAATGATGCTAAATCAGGTCAGCCTCGTGAAGGACTCAGGGAGCAGGTATTCTTCAATGCCGTACGATGGCCATTGGAAGGTGGCGCTAGAAGCCCGGTTAGCGATTCTTCAGGTTCGGAGCACAGTGGATGGACTCGTACGAGGAAAATAGCCTCCTTGCGGCTGTCCTGAACCGGGAAGGGGATAGGACATGACGACGATAGTTGTAGGGGGTAAGAACGAAATGCGAAAGCAGCTCGCTGAAATCAATAACACAGCAAAGAACTTTGCAAGCAGACAGTGAATAGGACGCGAAGCTCAACTTTGGCGCAACAACCAAGGAGGTCGATTAAGTGGTGTACAAGTCACTTCATCTGGTGTTGGAAGTCTTTGGTCGATGGCGCAGCGACTTGAGATGCCGACAATGTATATATATAGAGAACATGATCAGCAAAGAAAAACGACGGGAGGTGAGCAGTTAGCCGCCATGGTCCATTCATCGGGCGGCTTCTCCATCTCACCAGCAAGGACATGCTTGGTTGATCTTGGTGTTGCAAAGACGAAGCCATGTGGTTGGTTGGAGGAGGTTTCGTTTGGGCGCCTAGACAGCGAGGGGCATTGGCGCGTCGGGAGCCGATGGCAGAGGCGGGCGAAGGCAAGCATTGCCCCGCAATCGCGAGACCTTCTCGTTATAATTAGGGGGGAACTGAGAGAGAACTTACCTAGCGAGCTAGGTACCCTAACAGCCTGACGCCCAAATAGCACCCACTGGCACCTTAACCACTCCCTCTCGTCAGACCTGCCAGGTATTCGTAGACCCTTGAATCGAACCTACCTAGGTACCTAGCTCGCTAGGTAGGTACTCGTATGTCGCATGTTGCCCAATCCGCCTGCAGGTGGGTACCTACCTAGATAGCTTTGCAAGGTATGAAGGCAGTGAGTATTTCCGCACTGAGCTGTGAGTCGGCATCTTTTTATAAGCCGCAAGGACTCCGTACTGTGTTCATCTTGACAGTGGCCATCGCAACATGTGTGCCCAGGTGTTGATGGACATAAATGACCAGTCAAGTGCCACGAACTGGAAGCCAAGGCAGACAGTTTCTGTGAAGTGAGGGCCATTGTCCACGCGGTGTCCCCAGTGTTCGTATGTGTGAAAGAAGAACGAGATATGGTCTGATCACTGTGATCAGAAATTGTTCAATGAGGATACCGAAGCCCAGAGCAGCCACCAAAGTGGCGTAACGGCGTTGGCCTGGCTCGTATTCTGGGGTGGGAAAGTTGTCGGTCAGATGGAATTCATGCGAAATTGGATGCATGTTAATATACTCTGCCCTCCGAGCTGCGCAAAGCCTCAGCAGCCCCCATGGCTCTAGGTAATCAATACGGTTCTGGGATGGCAGGCCACGCCGTGGGACAACGTGCACACTAAAACCCCACAGTTAATCATTCTTCAGGGGGGCCCCCATTTGCTCTTTAGGGAGAGCCTCCTGGCACATTTCTAGTTAAACATGTTCTGCGGGACGGGCTTCCTGGCCACTAAAGGCACCCCATTCCTTCCTAATCCGGCGTGTGTGGTGAATAACAAGCTTCCATCGTGCGATGTTTGATGTGCACTGCTGTGCAGTGACGCAGTCGGCAAATGTCCCAAGCCTGCGCCCGGATATTCGCCTCGAGTGACTCTGCACCCGCTCTTTTCCCTGAAATCCTCTTTTGGGCCATTTATCTCACCTGCCTTTGTTCCACTGCTCCGATCTTCCCGGCCTGCTATCGGCTCAGGGACGTTTATCATCAACACCTTTCCGTGCAGTGCCTGGCTTGCTGGGCATTTTCGTGAACGCAGGGCCATCGCCGATCACCGCCGTCGATCCAGCCTCGAACCATTCCGCGCCCTTAACCCCCCCTTTATACCATTACGCGACCCAAAGATACAAACAACAGCCTGAATGCGCCTCAAGAAAGTGTCGGAGAAAGACCATACGCTTGGATACCTGTCCATGTCATTATGTTGAGCTTAGGGAAGAGTATACGACGTGCTCGGATAAGAATCCCCGTCCTCTGACGGTCACCTCGACCGGCCACGACAACATACAGAGATGGGTCAGCTTCAGCAAGAGCCGGCGCTCAGCCGACTCGAGGTTCGATGGAATGGAGGTCTCATTGCCGCGTCCATTGCAGTGTCCCTCTTAGGCGCCTTCACTTCCACTCAGATGATGTGTCAAGCACGAACTTCGCGCTACTTCTCAGGCGTCCTGGTTTGGACTATCCTGGGAAGTTTGACCTTCGGTTTCTGTTCTATTTGGTGTCTTCACTTCATCGCGATGTTGGCCTGCGAGCTTCCGCTTCCCATCGGCTTGAACGCTCCTTTGACGGTTCTTAGCGCGGCACTGGCGGTCATATTCACCTTCCTGGCCCTGGCTGCGGACCCTATGCGCGATCGTTATCTGCGGCTGGTCAAGAAGGGCAAAGCGATGGCTCTCAGACGGGAAAGAAGAAAGGAAGCAGCAAGGCAGGATCTCAATGACAGCTCAGATGCTCTCCTCGGAGCACGGGTCTCGGGCGAAGGTGAAGAGGCGCAAGTCATTGCGCAGGAGCATTCTAACGGGTCTGCCGACCGCAGTCCTGCCAGTCGTGACAGCGGTGCAAGTGTGACTCTAGGGCGCTTGGAGGATCATTTCACTAGTGGAGGGCCTGCTACCAGCACCGCCATCGGATCCTCTGGGCCGCCTCAACGTCACCAACTGCCAAGTGAAGCCGGCCGAAAAGCTTTTTCCGCGCAAAATGAGTCCTCTCTGGGGGAGGGTTCTCCTCGAGACACTGAAAGTTACCAAAGAAGCTCGCAAAGGAGCTCGCAATGGAGCTCAGAGGAAGAGGAGCGTTCTCGACGGTCCTCTACGACAAATCATTCGGACAGTAGTAGCCTCGGCCTTCCTGGCTTCATGAGCTTCAGGTTTTCCAAGAGTACCACTACCACCACAGCGAATGTCATCCTCGGGATCGGCGAGCTGTTATACCATGGAGCAACTCTGACCAACTTTTGCAAGGGCTTCATATGGAGCTTGGCAATTACCACTATGCACTATGTTGGTCTCTTGGCCCTGGAGATTCCTAGAGGACACGTTACGCTTCAACCATTCCTCGTCCTCCTCTCGGCATTGTGCGCATGGCTGGTCTGCACTTTAGGATGTATCCTGATGCCCCAGATTGAGGTCAATCTATCCCAGCAGCTCATCTTCTCGGTGGTAGCGGCAGCAGGGGTTGCCGCCATGCATTTTACGGGAATGTGGGCGACCACCTTTTGGTCCCAGGCCTCTCCAACTGCGGAACGTGGATATCCTCCAGATCTGGCTGTTGCCGTCACCAGCATCGCCATTCTAACCTGCTTGCTTGCAAACGGTCTTCTCGCGCACTCAGCGACGGTGGCTCGGAATAAGCTGGCTGAAATCGTCCACACTCGAAGAAAACTCTGGGCCGCTATCGCTCAAAAAGAAAATGCGGAAGCAGCTGCGGCGGTAAGGAGTGAATTTATAGCGAGCGCCAGTCACGAAATCCGGACGCCCTTGCATCAACTACAAGGTTACAGTGACTTACTGTCGCGCATGGAACTGAGTGAAGACGCTCGTCTGCTCCTCCTCGCCATACAGCAAGCTACGAGATCGCTCTCTATGATCACGGCCAACGTCCTTGACTGGTCTCGATTGGAGAAAGGAGAAGCTGTCTGTCGACCAACGAGCCTTGACCTCCGAAAGGTGTGTGAGTCGATCCTGGCGATTTTGCCCAACAAGGAAGAGGATATTGGTACGGAATTGATGATTGTCGTGGCACCCCAGGTACCATCCTCACTTTTCCTGGATGAGACTTATCTACAACGGATCCTGATGAATTTACTTACAAACGCTCTAAAATTTACGCAATCTGGATACGTTCTTCTACTGGTGGAAATCACGGACATGGACTTGGCCATCACTGTTAGAGATTCTGGATTTGGAATACCGGAGTCATTTTTGCCACATCTTTTTGAACCATTCAAGCAGGCACAAACGCGAGGCGCTGAGCGAGGGACTGGTCTCGGGTTGGCTATCATCAGACAACTATTACAGAAAATGGAAGGCACAATTGCAGTGGAGAGCAAGTCCCACCAGGCGGAGAATGTGGGAGCCGAAAACTGCGGCAGCATCTTCACCGTCACCATTCCCATCGATCCCTCGGGTGATGTACCGGACGGTTTGAACTCTCTTGCTACCAATCGGCGGATTGCGTTGCTGCTAGACTGCAATCCTCGATTTGCGGAAGGACTCCAACTAGCTTGGGGAGCTTTTGACTTCGAGTTGATCCGAGCAGATCCAGATGATGAAATATCAGACTCTTTCGGGTATGTCTGGACAGACCTGATGTTTTTGACCAAAAACCCAAAGCTCCTAGGGCGAATACTTGCCCTTCGACACCAACTTGTCATCTTGTCATACGACTCCCAAACATTGCTTGACGAGTCGTTAGGCTCTGTCCCCCCGCCGCATGTCATACCGGTCAAAAGACCATTCGTGTGGCATCGCATGGTCGAGAGTATAGTTTCGGCGGCTCGCACTGGTAGATCATCGGTAGATCGATCTGTCAGATTTGCCCCTGTGGTCGACGTGGTGGATGACAACCAGAACTCGCGGCCAACGCACGAGACCAAGACGCTGAGGGGCGCGACAGTGCTATTGGTGGAAGACAACAAAATCAATCAGAAGCTCGGGGTGAAGATGTTGAATACGCTCGGCTACAGTGTGATCGTGGCAGACGATGGTCAAGAAGCCATTGACAAGCTTGTCGAGCACGACAATGACATCGATATCATCCTGATGGACCAATCGATGCCGCGCATGGATGGCATAACGGCCACAAAGAGAATTCGAGAGATGGAGAGGGAGGCACTAATGGGACCCCTTACTCGCACAAGGCGGCCCATCATTATGGTCACAGCGGTAGTTGGTCCGGATGCCCAAGCCCTTTGCATGTCGGCAGGGACAGACGCATTCCTTCCGAAGCCGCTGGCAATGTCGAAGCTCGAGCACACGTTAAAGAAGTTTCTTGGCTGAATATACCGGGCTTGGGAGACATATTATCACGAATCTTTTGGAATACCCTGCAAACCCCAATTGGAAACCAGGTATCTCCTTTGGCCCTTTATTGGATCACGTCTTCTCGTTCAGCGAGGAGTACAGAGAACCCATCTAAGGGGGCCTTGCACAGAAGAGCGGCTGGAGAGCAGGTGGTCTTCCAGTAACAGGCAGGTAATTGCAGATATCTCTTTCTGGTTTCGCCATGGACGCTTGCAAGATTCCCAAATCTGGCTTTGACTTGAGCAGCAAACCATCGGAAAGCGAAACATAGTGCAAGGAAATCTTGGAGAAAAGAGTTTAGCAGGGAAAAGATACTGGGCTCAACATTGGGCTTCAGGGTCAGCTGGTCAACAGAACAAAGAGACGGACATACAGAGGATATAGAAGCAGAGCGGTCGGGTTTATGTGCCCACTCTGCCCTTGGAGAGATTCCAATTACGAAATCAAAAGCCCTTACTACCACATTTGAAGTTTGCCATGTGTGCCATGTGATGCGAAAACTCTTCGTGACCTGGTCGACGGGGTTTCTGTTAGCAATGGAATATGCCAGCCTCGCCAGGAACTGTACTTAGGGGAAATGGAATGATAAGGCAGGATGGAATATCACTTAACGACTTAGTCTATTCTTTTTAGCTTGCTCGCCGTGTTACATGTGCGGGCACCCGCGGGTAATCCTGCGTTTAGGGGATACACACCCACAGATCATATCATCCCGCTAACCCTTAGCACCCTCGGCGCTGTCAAGGGGCCGTCCAACCCCACGGTGCGGGCATGCTCAAGCCCATATTTGTTCACCGAGACTGAGCGAGGGAGCCAAGGAGCTCAACAGCGAGAGTCTCCGAAACAAGGGGCGGAAAGGGCGGGGGGCAAAGGGCTTTAGTGGCTGTGGGTGGGATGGAGATCATGACGGCGATGTGCTGAATGCGCCGTCGCAAGTGAGCGAGTGAGTGAGTGGCTTCCAACAAAACTTCTAAACTTCTTACGGGCCACATAAGACGTTCCTCGCTCCTTTCCCCCCGGTTCACCACCCACATTCTTTTGTTCTTTCTTATTCTCTCCATTGTGTGTTCTGGTAAGAGGGTCAAAAAAAAGACAGGCTCTGTACATACAGACGGAAAAGCGCTCGTATTTCTTTGGGAATTAATTCTTTGCCCGGGTGGACACGATCCCGTTGACTGTCGAAGGTTACCAAATTCAATACTGGACTTACGAACCACTCATCAGTGTGCTTTGACCACGTTTTTCTGGTTACTCCCTCCCTCCTTACGTTGCGCGGTTCAAACTCTCACCCGCTTTGACCACCAAAGACCACTCTGCCACAATGCATCCTAAAGCCCCCGAGAAGTCTTCCCCCTCGACCACTACCACCAACGGTCACACCAACGGGCAGACGAACGGCTCCGCATCCTCTCACGAGTCCTCTGACAAGTACGATATGAACTCGCCCTCCACGATCCGTCAAAAGTTTCTCCCTTACCCTTCCGACCTGGGCGTGGTCCTCGTTGGCTTTTCTGGCGGCCAATGCAAAGAAGGCGTGGATGCTGCCCCAACGGCGTTGGTCGACGCAGGGTTGCTCAACCAGCTTCGGGATGAGTTGGGATACAAGCTCCACGGGGACAGTGAGGTGCACAATTTCAACGAGATCCGCCCGGTGTCCGATGAGCCGTACAGAGGAATGAAGAACCCCCGCTCAGTCAGTGCCGTTACGGAGCAACTAGCGGGCCAGGTCTACGAACAAGCTCGCCACGGAAGAATGGTCTTGACCCTAGGAGGAGACCACTCCATCGCGATCGGCACCATCGCGGGCACGGCCAAGGCCATTCGTGAACGGTACAATGGACGCAAAGAGATCGCAGTGATCTGGGTCGACGCTCACGCCGACATCAACACACCCGAGACATCCGACTCCGGGAACATCCACGGCATGCCGGTCGCCTTCGCCACGGGTCTCGCGCAGTCCGACGACAAGGACATCTTCGGCTGGTTACAAGAAGACCAAATGCTCTCGACCACAAAGCTTGTCTATATCGGACTGCGGGATGTGGACCGAGGCGAGAAGAAAATCCTGCGCGACCAACGGATCAAGGCTTTCTCCATGCACGACATCGACCGCCATGGTATTGGAAGGGTGGTAGAAATGGCCCTCGCCCATATTGGGACCGACACTCCCATCCACCTGTCTTTCGATGTGGATGCCCTGGACCCCATGTGGGCGCCCAGCACAGGAACCCCGGTCAGAGGAGGCTTGACATTGAGAGAAGGAGATTACATTGCCGAATGCGTCCATGAGACAGGGCAACTGGTGGCCATGGATCTGGTCGAGGTTAACCCTGCCTTGGACGTGGCAGGCGCGACGGAAACGGTGAGGGCCGGCGTGAGTCTGGTGAGGTGTGCACTCGGTGATACCCTGCTGTGAGTTTAGTGCAGAAAACGGTCCTAGAAGAGTTACGATCCCACTCCGCGGTCGACATGCAGTATATCCACAACTCTCTCTCTCTCTATGCTTCGCCTACCTCCTCTTTGAATGATTCAACCCCGAGCCGAGACCTAGGACACGACAGAACAAAAGAAAAGGAAAAAGTAAGGGAGGGCTCTTGCAATCGGGACGAAAAGGGAAAACTAAAAAGCCTACCCATCGAATTACATAAAAGGGATAGATCCATAAAATGGCTTACCTATATATCTACCCAGGTATAACACAGTACATAGACCTATTGGTGCTGTTGATATACCTACAGTATCTTGGATAGTTAAAGTAGTAATAACGTACCGAGTACATCTGGTGATTTTGACCCTCCAAGAATAGAATTCGATGTCACGCATTCCCTATTAGATATACGCAACATGAGACACCAAGGGAGGATGACATGTAGGGCCATGAATTGCAGGTAGTCGGCGGTTGTTGGGACCTCTTTTGTTATTCTATTTCCACCAGCTGTGAGAGGCATTCAATAAAAAAAAAAAAAATGATTACTTTCGCCTGCTCACCCTCCCTGCTCCACCTCTCCTCGTATGATTCCGCGATCGTCATCCCAGGTCCCGCCGAGTCTTGTATCGGTCTCTCAGCATACGTCGTCTCTCAGCATACGCCAGCTGGGTACCGGCCTGTCCTACCCTACACCTTCCTTGGCTCGAAGCAGAGTCGTAAGGGTCCGAGCCCGAGCGTGAAATGGTCCTTTGTCCCCATCAGGAGGCCCTCTCCAGTTTCTCCCTCCGCCAGTCTGACGTCGAACTTGCGGATGATGTTTGTTGTAAGAAGACGGATCTCCATGTAGGCCAGGTTCTTGCCGATGCAGTTGTACGGGCCGGAGGAAAAGGGGCCGAATGCGTCTTTGTGGCGGATGAGGTCGGGGCGGGAGAAGTGGCGCTCAGGGATGAATTCCAGGGGCGAAGGATAGAGGTCCGGGTCTGTGTTGAAGACAAAACTGGTTAGTTTGTGTATATATACACGAAGAGGGCAGGGGCATGGTGTAGGTTTTTGGACATGGACGGGCGTCGAGGCAAAGAAAAGCAGGGCGAGGGCATAAGAAGAAATCCTCAACTCACCTCTCGCCATCACATACTGCGGCATCTGCACGACCGTGTGGCCCGGGATATACACGCCTCCAATTTCCACTCCTTCCTCTGGCGTTTCTCTGAACACTCCACTCGGCACAGCAGGGTGTAGTCTCAGCGCCTCATTGATCGCTCCGTTCAACAGCGGTGCGTCCTGGATTTTCTGCGAGTCAATCTTCTCGTCTGGCTTCACCAAACTATCGAGCTCTTCTCTCAACCGCTCAATGAGACCCTTTTCTGTGGCGATGTAGTAAAACAGATGCACAAGCGTAGCCGCCGTCGTATCCGAACCAGCAACGATAATAAGTCGGCTGTCGGCCTGTAACATGGGTAGCTCAGCCTTCTGCGTCGCTGGGTCTGATTGATTGTAATGCTCGATCAATGTGTGCGAAATGTCCCGATTCTCTAGCTTGCCTTGCATCTCCATCCGCTTATCAAGCTGTTCAGAGCAGTAATTAATAAACCGCCAGTGGTCTGCAGCTGCACCGGGGATGGCGAGCAGAATACGGAAGATCCAGCATGGCAGCCAGAAGCCGAGCAGGTCCATGCCATCACTGAGCAACTTGATGGCCCAGTGCATCTCTCCCGCTTCGAGACACCCGTATGACGCAGCGAAGGCAAGATCGCCCATCACGTCAAAGGAGTATAGATTGAACCACTTCGACATATTCATCGGTTCGCCTGTATGTGGAGTGTCAGCTGTATCCAGATGAAAGGGACACCAAATGCAGAGAAGGAATCAAAAAACAAATTACCTTTGGACTCCTCCACCTTCTGGAGAAACAAGTCATTATACTTCTGCACCCGATTCTCGTAGCCACGAAGTGCCTTGTCACTGAATGCAGGACTCCAGATTCTTCTGCGTCGATCATGCTGCGCTCGATTGCGGCTCGTATGCATGGAAATTCGTGGGAAATCCGCCTCATACCATTCACCTTTGGTGCATTTGGACTTAACGCCACATGTGACTTCCACACCATCAGGGTGCGTGACAGAGATACCATGGGGGTCGAGCCGCACGAATTTGCCATACTTCTTGTGCATGGCGAGCAGGTGGTGATGCAGATTCCTCTTCCCTGCGACGCGGAAGACTAAATCGAATCTTGACAGCCGTGCCCAGTAAGGACCAGGTATCTTGTTCAGCGGATTGAAGAAGAGACGGTAAACGACCAGGCTGGTGTAGAGGCCAGCCAGATAAACTGCGGCGTATTTGGCGGTAAATGTAATGGCATCTATAGTGGGTATATTGCCATAATGTGATCTAGCAACAGTCGTGACAACGCACCCAAGAAGGAACGCTTGAAGATAGCGTGTAGGGTATTTCCAGCGTTCGCCAACTCTGAAGAAGAAAAGGTGAGATGCCACGCCTACTGAGGCGACGACCAATGGCAAGTAGGTTATCGACATTGTGCAAGCAGGCGGTGTCAGACAGAAGAAGAAGTGATGGAGAGAAGGTTGAGATGAAGTGTATTCGCCTAGGTGAACGCAGTACTTAAGAATGCTCCCTCTTACGAAACCTCGAGCAGGTCAGGGTAGTCTGAGGGAGACGGTTTCGAATCGACTGTCTGATCCTACCGATCCTTTTCAGCAGGGGAGTACTTGATCACGTATTCGTACCAATCGAATTAGACATGACCCAAGGCGGAAATATCCCTGTGCGTATTTGCATGACTGCCCGTTTGAGAAAGACCCAGTCGCTTGTGAGTGGACTCTGGTTTATGCGAGATAATACGCAGTGGCACTCCGTACTTGGCCCCCAGATCCTGTGCCGAAATGCGGGGAGGCGTGAATTCTGGCCCGGCTCTTCTGATGTCGAGGTACTCGAGTCAAGCTGACTCGACCACATCGACAGAGGCATCATTCAAGATACATGCTGCCACTGCAACCGCAAAGACACCGTAGCTGGATGTGCAACTGTCTCGATATCCATCCTCTAATCATGTAATCGACAAGAGACATGGGCTTTCGAGACGGTGGGTTTTCAGGTACCGTGCCTCACCAGCCCTTAGTAAGCCTCATTCTCATCCATGTTCCATCGGGAGGATCAAGAAGCCGCGCGTCAGCAAGTTGCTCGACAAGCTGTGCAGTCCTCTGGTAAATGAGGTGACGAGCCTGATGGGAAGGATTCCAGACATAATAATGGTAGGCCTTAAATCCAGAGCGGTCCGCCTTGCCGTAGTGAACGAGGAACACAAAGACAGGCAGGCTAGTATGCGGCAGAGTATCGAGTACAAAACATTCCGTCATCTTGAGTGGATTTGTCGTTGTCTCCCCTTCTTGGATGTCTTGGGCACTCCGTCGATATCTCCCTTGTCTTGACAAACAGACGACCAATTGTTCTACGGCGCCTGGGCGTCATCCACTGTTGCCCAAGATCAGCTGGCGAAGTGTTTTCTCAGCCTCTGGGGCACGCATGTCACCCCTTCGTGGATGTCTCATCATTTGTCCCATGAGGAACTGCAATTTCCCAACTTTACCCTTCTCGACGATGTCTCTGACATGCTGGGGGAACTGGTCGATTATTTCTCGTGCGATTGCTTGATAAGCATCGGCCGACATCTCAGAGAAGGCCAATTCTTCCTGTCTGATGATATTGGGCACGGTCCGTTTGTCACCATTGTAAATGAGCTTGAGAATATGCTTGGCCGAACTCCCTGTAATCTGATTGTTTTTCAAGCGATAGATAATCTCAGCCATCGATTTGGAGGGCACAAGATTGTTACTCCATTGTTGTTCTTCCGTGGAAAGCAGAGCACCCAGTTCATGCAGCACCCAGTTTCCAACGGTCTTTCCATAACTCTTTGGTCCCATCGTATGTCGGCTGCGGTAAATCAATTCATCGACAACGTTCTGGAAATAAATCAATCGTTCGCCGTCATCAAGCGAGACTAGGGTCATGGCATCTGTGAAACTGAGGCCGTACTTTTGAACTAGGATGTCAACCAACTCGCCCGCGGTGGGAGGCAGAGTCTTCGCAATCCATGAAATCAAGTCGCTGCTGATGTAAAGTGGAGGGATGTCGGCATCGGGCATGTATCGGTAATCGACCTCGCCCTCTTTTCCTCGGAGTCTTTTTGTTTCGTTAGGGCTCGTCATAGACCAACCTCGAGTCTCGCCTTCAATCACGCCACCGGATTCGAGAATCTGGATTTGGCGGTCTCTTTCCGCCTTGATTGCATCTTCAATTCCCTTAAAGGTGCTCAGATTTTTGATTTCTGTTCGTTGGCCGAGACCGGTCACGCCGCTGTAAGCAAATGGGCCCTCTTCGGCGCCCCGACGACGAACGGAGACGTTGACATCGGCTCGAAGACCACCTTGTTCCATGCCGGTGGTGACGGCATCAACGGCGTGCAGGATCGACTGGATCTTCTTGACGTAGATGGCTGCATCTCGTGGAGAATGCAGGTCGGGTAACGATATTATCTCGATCAAGGCTTGACCGCACCGGTTGAAGTCGACCAACACCGTGTTGCTATCGTCCTCTTGAGTTCTAGCGGTATCCTGTTCCAATTGCACTTGCTTGATGTTCACCGTGACCGTGCGATTTTCCTCCAGCCCATCTTCGGTGGTCAGTATGACACGACCGTTCTTCGCGAAAGGGTGGTAATACTGAGTGATCTGGTAACCCGCCGGCTGATCGTGGTAGAAATAATGTTTGCGATCAAAATGGCTGACTGGCTCAATCGTGCACCCAAGCGCGGTGGCCGCACGAAGGGCGGGTAGGATCACAGCGGGCTGAAGGACCGGGAGACTCCCAGGCAACGCGATATCGAAGGGAGCGATTTGACTGTTTGGAATCGTACTCGGCGCAGTTATTCCGGCTGTCCAGTATCAGCGTCAGTAGCTAGACAGAGAGGGGGAGATCCTTACGTGAGAACAGCTTGCGAGAGGCATTGAGCTGAGCATGGATTTCAATGCCCACAGTCAGTTCCCAGTCAGGCAGTATATCCGGGCTCTCAGCCGCCGTCGCAGCTGGTGGAAGCGTCCGAACGGCTTTTGCAGCATCTTTCAACTGCTTGCGGAGAGGGTCATGGTCTTGCTGCAACGATGGAGGCTTAGAATGGAAGCCTTGGGAAAGAGGTTGATCGTGGCATCGGACCGGATTCGAGAATGTAGAGTCAGGCAGTCTGCTGGCAGTCAGGGGCAGAACAGGAAGCCGCTGTCGAGTCCATCTCGACAATCTTTGGAGCATAGGCTTTCGGCGCGCAACAACACGAGCAATAGAGAAGGGGTCAACAATGGTCAAGCATATGGTAATTTGCTATCGATCAATGCTGGTGTGACCAGAACAAGATGCGCCGAACTAAATAAAGTGGCGACAATGCTTCTGTGCTCCGCCGTACCGGCCCTCTGCCGGAAATAGTCTTTCCGGAGCTCGAAAAATTCCGATCCCAACCAAACATGAAGTCACCGACTTGTTTCGTTCGCCATTGTTGCACCAGTACAGGTCCACGTGTTTGCCTGGGTGATTCTTTTCCTTCAGGCTACACGAGAATGATGAAACTAAGATGTTCGACAAGAAGAGACAATCTTTCAAGAGGGGAGCATTTCTAGCCTTGCTGTCCACCGGCTAATTGCATTCCTCTCCCACTGCTTGGACTGGGGAGCAAACACTTCCATTCCGACCTTTATGTTCTTGAACCACACAGTCATCACAGGTTGACATTCCTAACATCTACGCTTACTCGCACACTCAAAATGGCCTTTTGAGGTTGAGACCATGAGTCTCAATTATTTCCGGTCGTCGGGCAGCCGACAGCTGCCCCAAGAGTTATGGGGCCGGCCAACAACGAAGCCGTGGATGCTAGCTATCAAAACTGCTGTGGGCCTGTTTTTGGGCGTTGGCTTGCTATATATTGCAAGGTCCTATCTGCCCTCGAGCAAAGCTTCTAAGAAGGAGGAGGAAGAAGCGGTCTCAGCTAACTATGATCATCCTGTGCTCAAAAAGCATTCAAGTGCCCGATCGTACACAACCAAGTACGCCGAATACCCGTCGATCAGGACATTCTATCACCCCCATGCTCACGCGGAAAAACTCCAAGCCATCGCAGACCTGCCTCTACTGGTTTTCATCCACGGGCTAGGTGGCTCTTTACCTCAATTTGCGCCATTGCTGGGGAGTCTGGTCAATGTCGCGCCCTGTTTTGGCATTGATCTACCCGGCCACGGCATGTCCGCCTTCTCGCCCAAGGACTATGATGCCTATACCATTGCAGCTTTCTGTGACCTTTGGCAGACCGCCATTCAAGGTATTTGCGAACAGCACGGGCATAAGAAGGTGGTGTTCATCTGCCACAGCATGGGTTGCTCCATCGCCGCAATGTTAGCAACGTCGCCTTCATTCCCGTTGCGCGTCGAAGGCTTTGTTGGCATTTGTCCCAAAGCCACACCCCCCTCGCCGTCAGAGACGGCGTCGGCGAGGCGATTCTTAGCGCTCCCTGATGTGGCGCTCAATTTATTGAGAGCCCTGGACCGAAGAGGAGGAGTCAATTCCAAAAGTGTGGAGAGGATGGCGGGCAAGGCTGCCGGTATAGACCTTCGTCGCCAGCAGTTGGCGTTCAACAAGAGCTTGAAAACACCGGTGTGGAAACGCTCCGCACTGGGATGCCTGCCACAGTACGACCCTTCAGGCAGAGCCACGGGCGGTCTGCCAGGAAAAGACACATGGGCAAAAATACATGTTCCCCTGTTCCTCATTGCCGGAGAGGCTGACACCGTCACAAAGCCAGCAGAGGTCACAAAGATTGTTTCGTTCCTGAACAAGTTCGGGAAGGAGGTCAAGGGAAGTCCCGGGAGTAAACCTCTTCCTACCGACGCCACAGCACCAGCGGACACGACAGAGGATACCTCGACTGTCGATAAACCCGAACCGACAGCGGATGAACGCAAGTTCGGCACCCTTCCATCAACAAGCGAGATGTCCAGCCACAACTCGAAGATCGTCAAGACAGCAATCCTGCCCTCCCCGGCAGCTCACGCCCTGATGTACGACCACTCGACCTACCGCACGGTCGCCGGCTTGATCGAAGACTTCCTCGCCCGCTACGTCTCCCCAGAACTCTCTCTGGGGTGGCAACTCCAGCAACTCACCACGTCGGGCAAATGGGACGTGAAGAACCTGGAAAAGTGGCAAAAAGTCCTCCCCGTTTCAGGTGCTATCGGCCACCCCCCAGAATCAGGGATATTCCGAGCCATGAAAACCCTTCGAGAGCAGGACGAAATCCACACCCCCTCGGTATTCATCGAGAAGTGGAGCGACAAGATCTTCGCCGTCGTCGACATCTCCCACGACAGCCCCGTCTACGACACCCAATCCCTCGAGCGCGGCGGGATCCAGTACCACAAATTCCCCACCGTCTCCAAAGTCCCGCCCACGGTCGTCGAGGTCGCCGACTTCATCGCCCTGGTCGACCGCCTGCGCCTCGAGGATCCTCACACCGTCGGCGGCAAGGCCATCGGCGTGCATTGCCACTACGGCTACAACCGCACGGGCTTCTTCATCTGCTGCTACTTGATCGAGAAACTGGGCTACAGGCCCCAGGACGCGATCGACGAGTTTGCCGCCCAGAAGCCTCCCGGCATTAAACACGAGCATTTCATCGATACATTGTTCATGCGCTATCATGTGGGCTTGAAGAAGGCGCCCACTTTCGCCGACTACTCCAGACAGGGTTCGGTATCTGAGTCGGTGCAATCTATAGATTCATAGAAACAGAGGGGGCATTTTGGGGGACAATGGGCGGCGGCTCTTTGCTTTTGATCCCTTTTGTTGGGGGGGGGAGGATTTTGCAACTTCCTTTCTGGAATTCCATCCCTTTGTATGGCCTGTTGTACTAGAACCTTCGATTCAGGTGTCCCGGAGCCTGTAGGTAGCGCTCCACCTGCCTTTACTCAAGCGAGCTTTACATGGAATCAATTCCGGACACTGTCATACCTATGCTCTGTGTTCATGAGGTTTCCTCTTCCTTCGTCTGAAGCTAATCCTATGTTGTCTGTTACTCGTCAATCCTAGGCGGCCTTGATGGCTTCCGTCAAGACAAACACAAGCAAGATGGTTCCACAGCGATGTGTAAAGTCCCACGTCGATAGCAGGACACGTCTCTCTGTGAGGCCGTCTGACAGCAGGTCAATAATCCGCGTCATGAGCGATAGGAAACAGTTTTCGAACGTATCAACCAAGTCTCGTGTCCCATCATTTCCAATTGCCCATGGTGATCATTTCCTTACAAGTCCCGCGTGTCACAACAGCTTCAGATTCGCGAAGCTCTTAACAATCGTTTCGTCAATTCGACTCACCCAATGGTGCTGAAAATTCTCCAATCCACCTGTCCTCTCAATCGCCTGCCTCAGGCTCGACCCAATGAATTCGCGTACGTTGATGGTATAGATTGGGTCGTGGTTACTCAAGACCCTCTTGCGCCCATCTTCTGGCGTTGCGTCAGGCCACTCAGGAACATCCCCACCATCACCATGGTGGTTGTGCCACAAGTAATCACCCTCGGATTCGTCTGCTGCTTCTTGACCCAGTTCCGTGCAGATGTCGGTCCAAATTGTGAAAAGTGTCTCGAGGTTTTCGAGCATGATCATGGGGAAGTGCGGAGGAACGGTACAAGCGAGCAAGTTTGTGATGGCAAGGACCTGAAGCTTTTTGCGTAAGATGTCGCCTATGGTGTCGATGTGAAGAAGCCATTCAGTCAGAAGCCATTTGGCTGGTGGTGAAACAGAGGACGGCGTCGATGTTGATGCAGAGACCGTGGACGTAACGTCCGTGGCGGAAACAGCTTGAATGAATTGGTCTGGCGACAGGAGGGCTATGCGTGCCAGAAGACAGAAAAGGCTTGTCTCTCCTGGGCCAATGATGTCTGGTGGTTTGCGGGTTGGACGAGGATCTTGGTGATAGTCGTATGCTTCCTTGAGGAGCTCCATCAAGGATGCCAGATAGCCGGTACTTAGCATCGATTCCAACAGATGTGTAAGGGCTTGTTGAGGATTCACCCTGGACTGGGACTCGATCGAGATTGTAACGACGAGGTTTTCTAGTACATGAGGTGCTAATGAAGCATCCCGCGCCCGGCTAGTTGATAAAGCAGGCAAGAGAGATTTCATTGATGTGAGCAGCGGCGTCAGGAATTGAGGTGACAAAACCGTAGTGGGCGACAATATCGTATATGATTCTGTGAGCTCGAATATCTGCCGCAGGAGTTCACTGCCCATGTCCAACAGTGGAAGGAGACATTGAGAGAGGGATAATAGATCTGAAGAGGCGTGTTCTGTTGGAGTCTGCTGTACGATGGCAGCCCACAGCTCGAGTGCCTCCTCAAGCAGGTACACGATTGCTTCCGACTGTGGTTGTATGGAATCATGAATCAGAGGGAGAATTGGTCCATGGTACGCCAGACTTTTCTGCCCAAGGCTGTTGACAATTGCGGTGATCAAGGTCAGTATTGCTTGTTTCATCAAATGTTCTTCGCCAGATTCTGTCCACAGTGGTGGCAGCATTGACATTATGCCTTGCGCGTACGGTTCTATATGGCCTTCCAGCCTCGTGACCGCCACTCTGACTGTCTCAAGTAATGCCATCTTTGTCTCTGATAGATCTGTCTCGGTGATGAGGGACATGACACCTTCTAGCAGAGGCGTAGCAAATGGACTGAAATCGGAGTAGCTGAATTCAAAGGGTTCTAACACGAGACGCAATTGCCGTCCTGCTGTCACACGAACGACATGATCATTGAGTGGCTCCCGGCTGGAAAGCAAGTGCGTGAATATCTGATACACTGCCACTCGATCGAGTGTTTCTGGTTTGATTGGCACCCATTGGCCTAGTAAAATCGCAGTCCGCCGTCGAAGAAGGTTGTAATTTGGCTGGTTCATCTGTACTTCTTGCACCAAAGTTTCACGGAGGAAAGTATTGAAGTCAAGGACATCTTCAAGGCAGGCGGCTGCTATGCCAATGGCTGAGTAGAGGCTGTCTTTCAGAAGCACATCCGTGTTCGAAGTGGTAGCGTATTGATAGAACACTTGTAGTAACCGTGGAACCAGCAGCTCTTTGAAGTTGATGACGAGGTCGAGGAATAATTTTTCCGAACACGACCGAATGGAGAACTCCCACGCATCTGCAATTTCTTCCTCCCGGCGTTCCCACTCGTCGGGTTCCTGCTCCCAGTCTCGCAAGTCGGAAGGCCGAAGAATGAAGTATTGGGTCACTAAAAGCTCCATTAGTCGAAGGACGAAGTCTTGCGTAAGGACTGTGTTTTTGACGTAGTCGACAGCGTCTTTTCTGTCTTGCTTGTCCTCTGGAGTGACATATTTGAACGTTTGGACGGGGTTGAAGACCATCTTCAGGCAAGCACGAAATAGCAACAGGGCTTTCAAGCAAAGCTTCTCAATCGGTGACTCTTCGACATTGTCTCCACCGCGGTATACTTTCCAATCGAAGTTGCCCTGCAACGTTGACTGCCTGGCCTCACTCTGGCTGATTATTGACCAGGACCGGTTCAAGACGTCCATGCAGCCAAAAAGGACGAAGGAGGCGGGGTGATTCCGAGCCATGTCGAGATACAACTTGGCCAGTTGTAGCAGATGCTTCAATAACATGCTTCGAGCTTCGTCTGGAAGATCCTGACTGTATGCCACCCAGAAAGCCTGTTGGTGCGTCTGCAGGAGGTCCCAAAATTGCTTGACGGCTTCTTCCCGATGAGGATTCTCAAAGCCAACGATCAGCAGTCGCCGCAGTGTTTTCAGCGCTGAATGACTGCTGACTGCGCTAGCAAGATCGGCCTGATCAGCAGTTGACTGCCACCTCGCGACCAGACTGACATAGAGGCGGCCGAGGATCTGCAAAAGTTCCAATGCCACGTTCTGAAGGCTTCTCTTCGTGCGTTGTAGACGTCCGGATGCCAGCTCCTTGATTATTTGCAGAGTAATGGTCAAGATGTTGGAGATATAAAGATTCGCACCCGGGTCTTCACTGGCGGCTCGAAGGTGTTGTATTACGACATTGATGACATCCGGCCAGTCATGGGGAAATTCATACCGGACAATCTTCGCGAGCATGAGGGCATTCTGGAGTGCAAGGGCAGAGCTAGGCTCATGCACGCCCGCTTCGATAGATCTTGATCTGATCTGTTCCTTCTCCGCTTTGCTGATTGGGTTTACAGACGTCTTGCGCCAGTGTTTGTCGATGCCATTCTTGAGTTGAATGATGGCCTGGAAGCGGACTTCTTGGCTGAGTGAGAAATCGGCATACACATCTTGAAGGAGGGCGTAATAGCCGGGTGACTTTTCCCAGTTCCCAATCTGTTGCGTCGCTACTTTCAGGCTCTGAGGTGTGGGATGTGAGGCACTTTTGAGAGTAGATATGACCGCAGACCTGGTGAGAGGATTGGTTTCGCCCTCAGCTTCAATGGTGAAGGAGGGCATATCTGTTCTGTATGGGGCTAAACGTTGGCAAGAGGCATCGTCCTGGTGTTGAAGAGGAGAAGTGTTTGGCAACAGGAGAGATTTGGAAGTGCCAAACACAATCTTTCCAACCTGAGACCAAGCGTGATGGAGAAGGCTCTGATGAAACACATTAAAGGAGCCCCAGCCTTTCGTTGCGGCTTCACACAATGGCAACAACAAAAAGCGCCTAATGACCTGGAAGAGGCTTAAAACAGCAAGAGGCTGCGGCTCAATACGAGTCGGCGAACTCAACTCAGCTCAACGGCCAATCTCTCGCCGAAGCCAGCCTCGGCTGCCACGCTGCTCATTACCTAGTAATTATCGCTCTCACCCTGGCTCTCGACCTGCCCATTCATCTTCTCGCTCTCCTTCTGCCTCCGCCCTGTTCATACTTCGCCTGCAGATGACTGCACCATGTCATCCAACAGCTTTGCCGCTGCTCAGGAACGCATTCTAGCACGGCAGACAGCCAGACAACAGGAAGCCCTCGCCCTCACTCAACAGCCCGAGATTAGCAGTGGCCGCTCCTCCTTGACGCGACTCACTCAATCCCTGCGACCCAAGTTGTCTTCGTTCTGGATAACCCTGTTAGAGTCAGAGGGCACGCGGCCAGCCTTTCGAGTCGGGCAAGTGGATGCCGAACTCCTCGATGAAGAGTTGCTGGGCCTATTGAAGACACAGGTGGCAGATGCTTTGAAATACCTCGGGCCGCATCTTCAGGATGACTGGTCGCAAGAAATTCTGCTTGCTCTCAGGGCGATACTGTTCAAACTATCCATCTGGGACAACGATGCTTCGTATGGCGCGGCTCTGCAGAACCTCCGATACGTCGACGCAAGGAAACCTGGACTGTCTCTTCCGAAACCGACCAGATGGCAAAAGAGTCTCTACGGTCTGCTGACCGTCTTTGGGCGATATGGATGGGATAAATGGGAGGATTGGCTGATTGATCAAGAGCGAGGTTATACATCTCCTTCAGAGACAGTCCAGATGCTGATGCGGTTTACCTCCTTCATCTCTACAACACATTCCATCGCGGCCTTTTGTTCCTTCCTGGTTTTCCTCGTCAATGGACGCTACCGGACTCTTACAGATCGTTTGCTGAGATTGCGACTGATGTCGCCATCCAACCAAGTTAGCCGCGAAGTCTCGTTTGAGTATCTGAATCGTCAATTGGTCTGGCATGCCTTTACCGAATTTTTGTTATTTCTCCTACCGCTGGTGGGCATCAGTCGATGGCGAAGATGGCTCTCCAGAGTGTGGAAGAAAACAAAAGACGCCATGAAGTCACAAACACAAGCAGAAGACGAAACTGAAAAGACAAAAAGCGGGCCACTGGCTTTTCTCCCGGAAAGGACTTGCGCCATCTGTTATCAGGACCAAAACCCAACCTCGACGTCCGAAGCTGAGATCCTAGGAGCAAACACTGCCGCGGGGGGAGGCGTCATTGGCTCGGCTACTACCGACGTGGTAAATCCCTACGAAACCATTCCATGTGGTTGTATCTACTGCTTTACGTGCATAGCTACCAAGATCGAAGCGGAAGAGGGTGGTGGCTGGACATGCTTGCGTTGCGGAGAAACCATATATAAATGCCAACCTTGGAATGGCGATATCGTCTCGGTTGGAAAGAAAGCCAGCAATAAAATCGCAAAATCGGTCGGTTTTTCTGTCGCCAACGACGATTCCGGCGAGAATGACCGAGATGATCCGTCTGCCTCCACGTTGGCCGAGAGCCAGTGGACCATGGCGGATCAGGAGTCCTCTAGCAGTTAAAGATTCACATTACAAGGACAAGATAAAACACTCGATCAGTGTGGTCGTTGTGGCTCGCAGTCCAGTCAACCACCAGCGACAAAGTCACGCTTCCAAATCCGTGACGTTGAAGTGCACTGCACTCTACTCACGTGCAATATGACGAACGGCGGCTGAGCGTGTCTTAAGAGACAGAATGGTGGAGTGCTTCATAACACTTCTCATTTCGAGGGCGCCTAAAGCGCGCGCTGTCCTAAGGCAATAAGCTCTGCTAGAGCTGACCCATCACTCGACTCAGGTATATGATCTTCCGTTGGCGATCAAATTCTCGTATGTTTCTTTGTCATGGCCTGGAACCACCCGGCCCTTGGTCAACCTCTCCAAGTGCTTCAACCGCTGAGTGCTCTGGAACCATGCTGGATGGTCTCTAGCAAGCCACCCTTGAGGGATCCCATCACGCCACTGGAGGAGTAGTCAGTACTGGGCACATCGACGAGGGAAAAGACACTCACATTTTCAATTACGTGGCAGTGGTCACTGATGAAGAAGAACGTACCACTTTCTGGCATGTTGATTTGCATTCCAATCAGTCCTGTACCCAGTCAGCAACTTATTGTTTCAACCGCTCAGTCCAGTTCTCACCATCAGTATGGCCTGGTAAGTGATGCAGGGTGATGCCTTGGCAGAAATCGAGCCTTCGCTCGTCGAACGTTTTCCAATTCCTGCTGACCGTCAGAATACGGACTTCTACGCCTGAATCGGGCGCAACATACAAGCTCAACTTGAGGTAATGGTCTAGGTAGACGCCCACGTCTGCACCCGTGGCAACAGACCAGAAAGCCGCCCGGAGTTCTCTGTCGTGGACCCAAATCTCAACATCCTTTCTGTCAAGGAACTCGTCCAATCCTCCCGCATGGTCAAGATGTAAATGACCGATGATGATTTTCTTGATATCTTCGAGCTTGTTTCCCGTGGCCTCGACCGCAGCCTTCAGCTCATGTTGAGGTTCATAACGCACCCGAGAAAACACGTCAGACACAACAGGGCCCCAGATCTCAGGGTAGTCCTTGCCGCAGCCTGTCTCCCACAGGATGAGACCCTCGTGCGGGTGTTCGATAAGGATGCAGTACATGGGCAGCTCCCTCCGCTTGTTGACAAAGGATTTGTTTTCAGTGCTCTTCAGGCTGGTGTTGCCGCCACGAACCACGAAGGCTTCGTCACATTCGAGCCAGCCTACTTCGAGGACGTGAAACTTGGTTCCTTTGGGACAGACATTGGAAACATGGTCGGGCACGGCGCCCCGATCGATTTGATCTTGGATAGCAGACATTGCTGAAGAGAAGCGACGATGACCCGCGGACTGGAAAGGAGAGCGCAGTTCTGGGAGAGACAGATGGCCGGGAAATGAAATACCGGATTTGAGGGGCTCCTACAGCTGTCGAGCTCGCCCCGCATCTCAAAATGCAGCGGCTCACTCCGCCTGCGGAGTGCGAACGAAGATGAGGCAAGAGTAACCATTTCTGGCGTCTTTCGAGGAGGAGTGGAAGCGGAGTTATCGAAGCAGGGGCATTTTCCGAGACTGCAGCGGCGTCTCGAACCCCGCTAGCTTGCCGACAAGTGGCATTCACAGGCCTCGGATTTTCGCACCAGCGGGAAGATTGGAAGTGGGATTTGCGAGACGGCCAGAGGAAGAGAGGGGAAAGCAATGGATTTGTTGAACGAAGCGCATTTGTGGCAGGCAGTGACGTATTCAGGTATTTGGGCTCCTAGAAAACTCCACGGTCAAGCACCGCAAGGTCTCCAATTGGGTCCTTTTAGAGGGGCACGGAAGGGGGCGAGTCGCGGGGCAGATCTAATTATCGTCTCGCTCGATTCTCTTCTGAATGGGGAAGCATCCGATGCGCCTAAGAATTATTATTACTCCAACCAAGGCCAAGTGGACGGTTTGATATTGGTTGACACTGCGTTTGGTTCCATCCAGCTTCTTCAAACTATCGAAACACGATACATGCAAGCCTTGTACTCGTGTCGGTCTGCTGTGAGTACCGTGTCTGCACTAACAGCTTGCCTTCTCTTTCTTTCAGGACTTTTGTGGGTTGCTGCCATCCTTCTGCCGATGTTTATCCTCCCTCCGTTCAATGACCTTGTGTTCTGGCCCCAACTCCTGCACTGACTTCCTGACTTTGCGTTGCCACTCCCTCAGTCGTCGGGAGAAAAAAGGACAGGTGAAATGACTGCACCATAGGAGGGATCTGTGTGGCAGGCGATAGGGCAAGCGGCGGCGGAAGGGGAAGGCGTTGAGCACAGTCTCGTAATGCCCAAGAGCTGCGTGCTTGGCCTCCTCGGCGTTGGCAACAATGGTGAAGATGGGGTCGTTGAGGATGAAGATCGCCATCGACTTACAAGTCAAGGCAAGCAAGACGAGCTCCCGGTAGGAGAGAGCATTGAAGATCAACAGAAACAGTTCTCGAGGGAGGTTCCTAAGCCGGGAGACGAGGTGGATGGCTTTGCTTGAGGAAGAGCGGCCGTCGTCTGAAACTGTTGAAAGCACCTGGACTCCCATGTCAGAGCATCCCTGCGACGTGAGACAGGATATCAATTACCTCTTGTGGAATGCTGAAAGGCTGGATTGCCTCGGTCGTCGCCTGTGCCATCGTGTATACAATTCGTCGTTGTCGAACGCCAGGTCTATTGGAAACAGCTACGAGAAAGAGGAAAGATAGCCGAGTAGATATTTATGTGCTTGAAAATCTGGAAATTATCACTCATTACATTCACACTTCACCTGACAAGATTCATCCCCTGACAAGCAGAGAAGCGCCCTGTTCACTCGGCGCCGCTCACAGCTACATGAAGTGACACGCCTGGAACATAACAAAGCTACGGAAAGGCAGCCTCACAATCGACGCTGAGCACAAGCAATGTCGGTCGATAGACGGAAGAGAGGTGTACGACACATTATGTCGTTGATCATCACGTCTATCCCAAGAGCTGGGTGTTTTTGGAAGCGGCTTGGGGTTGGGAGACAGTGGCTGCAACCTGATTTGACACAAAGGTACCAACCCTATCCTTCTCAGTGACAGATTCAGGTCCATCTAGGTAAACAGAGTAGATGTTTGATCTCATCACCAAGTTACTTCGTTCTTTGTTTGCCTCTTTGCAGTTCTCATTGCAGAATCACTGGTGAGCCGGAAGTAAAAGCGGCGCGCACATAAGAGACGGGGATGAGGTCGAAGTGAAGCAAACTAGCCCCAAAGTGACTAGCGTCATCTGGCAGGCGGCGTTGCAAAGACGAATGGCCGGCTGAGCACCTTCGAATGAATCACCAGCATCCCACAGCCACATCTACCACCACCACCACCACTCTCTATAACCACCATTTCTCTGTCTCGATTGACAGCCCAACCATCCTGCTTTAACACCAATCATCTTCACCTCTGCTGTATACAAACACGAGAGATATGAAACGCCGTGCGTCTCGCTTGACTTTCCCGACCAGACCTACCTTCCTCTAACCACCATCGTTCCCTCTCGAGACCTGGAGAGTCTGCCTCTCTCGACAGCGCACATGCCGGACGATCAGGATCTCCCGTCATGGGACTTCGATGATGCTATCAGACTCATCAACAGTCTCGCCCTCACAGACAAAGAATCTGCACTCAGTCATGAGCTTGTCAATTATGGCAAAAAAGGAGGTGCCCCCGACACCTGCGGGGGCTCACTTGGGGACTTCTCTACTCTGTGGGATTTCCTAGGCCGCCCTCATGTTGCTGATGAAGAGCAAGCTGCAGAGCTGGTCAAATATGAGGTCAACGATGAACCAGTGGCAGAGGTCGATCTCAACCAACTCAGCAAGGGTGTGCGTTGGCGAGACGAGGTGGATGGCGCTGATCTTGAAGACAACGTGGAACTCCCGAATAACAAGGCCACTGCCGCGTACATTCGCAACCAGAAGCGTGCTGCAAGAAGGGCTAGGGCCAAGGAAAGAGCTGAAAAGCCTGTCGCCCAGGAGAAGCCCATTTCCGACACCACGGACTTGGAATCTGGAGAAGAACTCGAGTCGCTACGCCGCTCCCCAGATCGCAGAGCTGTCATTGACAGCATTCTCGGCCGTAGTCGGCCTGGCCTCCGCGATAACAGTTCGCCTCCGACTTCTCCATCACCTCCGAAAGTTGAAAACAGAACTCCGAAACGCGATTTGCCTGTCTCCAACCCCTTTGTGTGGCCTACCACGCCTGTTACGCCGTCATCAAAGGACACAGTCTTTACTCCTCGGGATGGATTGACTGCCAGAGCCAGAAAACAAGCTCTAATTACCGAGTTGATGCGCCGGCATCCTGAAGAACAAAAGTATCTGAAGAATCCCGGACTCCTCGAACCTGCTTTTACCCCACTGAATACATCTGACATCGGCATCCATGTCTTCGTTGACATTTCCAACATATCGATCGGCTTCCACGACAGCATGAAATTAGCACGTGGTATGCCCCGTGAAACCCGCCTTAAGCGTGTTCCTCTCGCGTTCCACAACTTCTCTCTCATTCTCGAACGCGGTCGCCCATGCGCCAAACGTGTCCTGGTTGGATCCGACAAATATCCGGCGATCCAACAGGCCAAGTCGATCGGCTACGAAACTAATATTCTCGAACGCGTGCACAAAGCCAAAGAGCTAACGCCGCGTCAAAAGAAATACCAGTCCCGATCCGGCGGCGAGACCAGTGGTTCTGAAACGAACATGGGTCTGCCCAGGAATTCGGGTCCGGAGAAATGGGTCGAACAGGCCGTGGACGAAATTCTACACCTGAAGATCCTCGAGTCGATCATTGACACCCAAAAACCCAGCACCATTGTTCTCGCGACTGGCGACGCTGCCGAGGCCGAGTACTCGGACGGGTTTTTGCGCATGGTAGAACGCGCCTTGAAAAACCAATGGAGGGTCGAGCTGGTCAGCTTCAGACTGAACACCAGTAGTTTGTACAAGAGAAGAGAGTTCCGCACGAGATGGGGCCAACTGTTTAAATGCATTGAGGCAGATCCATATGTTGAGTTCTTGATCGATGAAGAGGAGACCGATGGTTAGATGCCTTGGCCAATCCCCCGTGGATCAAATACGAGACCCACGTCCAGATACACCCCAACCCCTGGCATGGTGCCACCAATGTCGAATGCGCACATCCGGGCTCATGCTAAAAAGGCGGTGAGGGATGCAAAAAGACGGCTTGAGGAGGCAAGACTCTACCAAGAACTTGTTCTCGGCGGAAGAGTGAGGTACTGACGATCTGATCGACCCTGTCGTGGTGTTGGTTCGTGGGATTTGCGATCAATGTGGCTGCGAAATTGCTGGCTGAGGTGTGCACCCCAAGTATAGTGTGACCTGGCGACTTGTACAGTGAGGTAGCTGGTTCCAGGATACGAAGTGCCAGATGAATGAAAGAAGATTCTACGAATTGTGCTTATTCTTCTCTGAGCCTCTGAAACTGTCGGCCTGTGACAAAGAGGGTAGACGATCAGAGATACACAACTTCGTTTGTAATTACCACATGTGTCCCAGCATGAACACGAGATGGAAGGCCTGACAAGGCTGACCAAGCAGTTGTATGCCTTGGCTACCTACGATCCACTCTATGATTACCGATGTCGAGCAAACTAACCACCAAGGATATGAATTACCCCGTACCTCGTATCGAACCAGGAATACTGGGTACCTAGGTACGAAGGTATGTACGAGGTACCTACCTAGGTAGGTACTATTGTCCCAGCGTGTCCAGCCAGCGCTTGCCATATTAATTGCATAAATTGGCGCCATTCCCCTGTCAACCTCGTCGAGTCTGTCTCGGACGACTCGCTGTTCCCATATCTCCGAGACGTTGTCCACTCTTCACAGTCACTAGCTGCTCGCGCTTTCGTACATGCGCACACGCATCGGTCGAATTCGTCCGGCTACCTTCCAATGATATTTCGGCCTCTTTCGCACCTCGCGATGGTGCGCCAAACAAACCCAAGTCTTTGGTTCAACGCGTCCGAAAAGGCGAGGACCAAATGTACCTATGGACATAAGGGCCCGAGTCTTCAGTCCAGCCCCGAGCAGTGCTGCCATTGGGCCTCGCGAGCCAGAGCGACACCTGGACTGCTTTGAAACGGCTTGGACCCTTATGATTTCGTCGGCTTTTGTACATCATTATCAATCTCTTTGCTGTAACCGAAAGCTTAGGTCTTCAGCATTGTTTTCTTTGAAATTGTCTACTATGTAATTTTGCAGGCTTCAAGAGTCATAACTGTTCGTCAGTTGCCCCTTGCCCTCCATACATTCAGCGGACATATTAGGCTCTGCTGTTTTCTTTCCGGTCTCAAGTCCCCTTCTATTGAATGGTGAAGGTTTCCAAGGATACCTACAGGCCTTCGCTGAGAAATTTGAAGGGATTCAGTCGATCGCTCAATCCTGAGACAGAACAGCAGCAGCCCAAGCATCATGGAGTCGACAATGGACAAAGACGTTGAGAAAACGCCAGAAATCATGGCCAATCCTACCTCGAATCATGATTCAAGCGTGCAGAGCGAGAAAAAGGTCGAGGCAACAGGTGGTGATGATGTCCCAGTCACTCAAGCTGTTAATCCAATGGACCCATCGCAGTTTCCTGAAGGAGGACTCAAGGCATGGACTGTCGTGTTTGGAGCTGCATGTGGCATCTTTGTCAGTTTCGGCTGGATCAATTGTGAGTTGATAGTCCTCGACGAGACTGCCACGGCTTTGTTCTAACCTCGATCCTCAACCAGGCATCGGTGTCTTTCAAGAATACTACGAAACACACCAACTGAAGGAATACTCATCGCAGGAAATCGCTTGGATTCCGTCCCTTGAGGCATTTATGATGTTCGTCGGCGGCCTCTGGGTCGGCAGAATATATGGTACGGCCCTTTTATTTCGCCCATCCACCCACCATCTCATCTGTAGTATCTCTCTACTTGCGGCAGGTATCAATCTAACAGCTTTTGACAACAGACAACTATGGTCCTCGCATCCTTCTTATCATCGGCACATTCCTGCACGTTTTTGGCCTGATGATGGCCTCCATCTCACACAAATACTACCAATTCTTGCTCTGCCAAGGCGTGTGCTCCGCATTGGGTGCTTCGATGATCTTTTACCCATCCATGTCCTGCGTCGTCACCTGGTTCTTCCGGCGCCGCTCGCTCGCCCTGGGCATTGCCGCCACCGGATCGAGTATCGGCGGTGTCATCTTCCCCGTCATGGTTGAGAAACTGATACCCGAGGTGGGATTCGGCTGGACTATGCGGATCTGCGCCTTCTTGATTTTGGGATTGATGGTGCTGGGAAATCTGACCCTCGTCAGTCGCATTCCACCTATGGCGAGGCCCGTGAAGCCGATGGATTTTGTGAGGCCGTTTCTGGAGGGGAATTTTGCCTTGCTGGCGTTCGGGAGTTTCTTGACCTTCTTGGGTATGTATCGTCCCATTCAGTCTCCTTGGGGATTACTTCTCCTGCAAAATTGCTCCGTGGCTGACTGAATACCGTGCGATTCAAAGGTCTCTTCCTCCCTTTCACCTTCATCATCCTTGCTGCCCGTGCCCACGGCGTGCCCAACTCCCTGGCCAAATATCTGGTTGCGATCCTCAACGCCGCCAGCACATTCGGACGCACAATCCCGCCATTCTTCGCTGATCGGATCGGCCGCTTCACGGTCTTCATCGGTGTAACTCTCTTGTCGTCCCTCATCACCCTCTGCCTCTGGGTCCCTGCTTCCGGCACGGCCGCCACTGTCGTCTTCGTGCTCATCTTTGGGTTCAGCTCCGGGGCAGCAGCCAGTATCCTGCCCAGCTGCGTGGCGCAGATCAGTCATATCAGTCAGATAGGGGTGCGGACGGGGTGTTTGTTCAGTGTGGTTGCGGTGGCGGTGCTGATTGGATCCCCCATCGGTGGGCAGCTGATCACGAACGATGGGTACAAGAGTATGGAAGGATTCAGTGGTGCTATGATGGCAGGAGGCTTTGTGGTTTTTACCCTGCTTTGGCTTAAGTTGGGTGGTTTGAAAGGCAATAAAGTGTAGGTTTCACAGGTTCTGGAAGGACGGCAATACCTAGGTAGTTGGTGTCCAAGAGTGAAAAACAAAGAGATTTGTTCTTTCTTCGTTTCGTACCTCTGTTATAAAATGCTATTCAAAACTTGCCCACCATTCCTAGTCTGCCCGCATCCCCTTTTGTTGAGGCCTGGTATATGGGCTTGCTTGCATACCTACCTAGGTAGATATTTTCTTCGAGTTCCTGCTTTACTTAACTTGCTGGCCCAGAACATAACCTATTCGCCCTGAATCGCCCCAAAGCCTGCGTGGCTACAGGCTGAATCGACCTCGATGGAGAGAGTGTGTAAAGCAGGAGCGCAGTGCCATTGGAAGCCGGTGAAATGACGTAAGCGACCCGGGGACAAACATGAGCGCTGTCAGAAATCTTCTCCAACGCTGGCCACCGGCAGACTCAAGGCGTTGGTGGTCGTGTCGACGATGTGGTGGTACAGATGATTGCTCACCTGCCCCAGGATCTCCAGTGTGCAGAGTGAGTTCCGAAAGACTGCCCTGGTGGCTTTTGTCGACAGAACACGCCGGCAACCCGGGTCCAACAGACTCCTGCCTTTTTGCATCTGTGAGGATGCTGCGGCCTGACTGCATAGCTCCCTCTCTTCGATCTCTGAGATGAGGAGGCTGATACAAGAGGCGCAGCAGACGACAGGGCACAAAAGAGGGGTGTCGAAAACAATAGGTAGTTGATGGCCGACAAGCCATCACCATCACCGGGTGGACAATCAATGGCGCTACAAATGTACAGGAGAAAGCGGCCCCGACGAGAGTCCAGCGATGGCTACTCTGTCGAGGAAGTCTCCGCCGATGATATGGGCTACGACGGGGACATCGAGGTGCTTCTACCGGACCAGTACGAGGAACCGGACTCGGATTTCGAAGATGACAAGAACAAGGCGCTCAGGAGGTTGTGGCCCGATACAGACGACGAGTTGGCCAGCAAACTACGGAGACTGTCCTGTGATCCTCACTCTTCCCTGCGCCACACCGCTCGACAAGAGGATGATGGTGAGCGGGGCCGCAAACGCATGTCAAGGGAAATGGACGACGACGACGATGCTGAGGGTGATATCCCGCTCAAGCGTACCGAGATCGAAGTGTCGGAGATGGTGGACGGACACGCTGAGCAGCCACCACTGAAAAGAAGGAAGAACAGGAACAGCAAGCCGCCACTACTGGGACAACGGGTTGCGAGGAAGCAGGTGGGTGCAGAGGCCTGGTCGGACAGCTCCGAGCGGTCCGAGGAGGCCATGATCGAGTCATCGACGGGGACGCCAGACGGGACCAACACGCCGTTGACGCCGTTGCGGAATGAAGAGGCTGAAGACGAGGGTGTTGATCATGATGCCATGGACCTTGGATGAAGGGATATTGAGATGGATATTGTTGCATACTAGGTATCTGCACTGTACGGGAATAGGGTACTTTTGAGTCTTGGGGCCGGATTGGGGCATTTTGCAGGCATTTGGCGGGCATCTGGCGGGGTTGGTGGCTGGTGGTGTGGTTCCTGACTAGAGGAGCTGCTAGAGGTGCTGCTAGAGCCACTGCTAGAGGCGCTGTTTGATCCCCTCACTGTGGGCGAGTGGGTGACTGGAGTCGCCGCCTCCACCAGCCCAACGTTGTGTGGACGTTTGTGTGGACGTCGCCTTCCGATCTTCCTGTCTCACCACCAGTTCTTTGCTAGAGCTTGTGATAGAAGCTTCCATGCCGCACGGGTCTGGTTCCGATCTTACATCATTGTGCCTCTAGGGCCTCACAGGTAGACTAACTTTAGCTGCACTTCACGTCTTGCTCCCTTGACTTCCTCTCCCGAGCACCATGACAAGGACGAAGCTTGTCGCTGCCGACCCGACCACTCCAATGGCTTCTTGATTTCTATTCATTCTGCCCACCCTTCTCCCCTCATCAACCACATTCTCAGTAGCTCCTTATTCACCCAAGTCTTCACACGTTAACCCATCTCTCTTGTGGCCCCCACGATGACCGGTAGACGCTCTTCTGCTCGCATTGCGGCGCAAAACCAGAGCTCCCAGAGTTCTCAGACTTCATCCCCCCCGCACCCAAAGCCGTCGCCGGCTGGTAAAAAGCGCAAGAACGAGGCGTCTGGCTCTTCACCAAGCGCAAAGCGAGGCAAGAAGGATGCGCAGCTCGAGCAGAAGACGCTGGATGAGACCATGCAGCAGAAGTACTTCTTCTCTTCACTCCACCCGTCGCATTCCTGCTGACACGTAATACCCAGTGGAGCTCATGAGCAACCCGCCCCTGAGAAGGCCGATCAAGAAATGACCGAGCCAGAGCCGGGAAAGCCCGAAGAACCACAGACTGAGAAAGTCAATGGTGAGGCAACCGAGGCGAAGAAGCAAGATGAGAAACCCAAAGAGGAGGAAAGCACCGACAAGGGAAAGGTACCCGAGGCCGAAGACGTCAAGCCTGAAGCCTCGGAGCCCAAGGAGGTAGAGACCAAAGAGGCAGAGTCCAAGGAAGAAACAAAACCCGCCGAGACGAATGGCGACGCTGTCGAGCCCGGTGCGCGTGAAGATGACGTGCCCTCCAGCATCCTCGAAAAGGGCGTCATCTACTTTTTCTTCCGCGCCAGGGTCAACGTGGACCACCCCGAGGATGTCAAAGACGTTGCGCGCTCGTACATGGTCATGCGACCCATTCCTCTCGACGCGAAACTCGGGGATGGCCCAATCGGCGATCAAGGTAATTGCCGTCTCCTCGCTCTACCCAAGAAGGTGCTTCCCAAGAGTGGCAGGGACAGATTCGTCACCTTTGTCGAGAAGTGCAAGACTAGCTTTGCGGAGCTCAAAGAGACCTTCCTGGCCGGCTCAGAATACGAGACCAAGACTGCTGGCACAAGACACACACCTCCAGTCACTCCATTGGCCGAGGGAGTCTATGCAATCACTTCTACAGGACGCGAATCGCATCTGGCCTACATTGTCAATATCCCCGCCGAGATCGGTGAGATGCAGAAGGACTTTGGCCTCAAACAGCGCGGAAGCTTTGTAACCAGTGTCAAGAACCCGGAGCAGCCCCCTCTGGGCAACCAGAATGTGCCCCAGGGACCGGAATACCCGCAAGAGATCATTGACGAATTCCGCGGTCTCCGGTGGAAGCCACTCGAGCCAAAGTACTTGGAGTATGACAATGCGCAATTTCTGATGATCGGAGAGGACTACGACAAGGCCACCGAACAGCGTCCCAAGGATGAGCGGGAAGATAATGCCGCGCCAGAGGAGGAGATGGAGAAGCTGGATGGCGAAGATGAGATCCGGATCAAACATTTGAAAGGTGAGGTGCGAATCAAACCGTGGTTTTGGAGGTTAGCTGACCGCTTTCCAGGCGATGATGCCGTCTTTACGGATCTTGGAATCACATCGAAGGAATTCCCCCAGGTGTCGACGACCTGGTAGATGACGACAATCTAAGAAGCTCGGGTGGTGGATTTGTGTCGTTATCAAACTCAATGCCGCGCACTGTTCTGATCGGGAGGTATAAGTGAGAACAAACACTCCGTAGCCCAGTCGGCGCATCAATTTATACTCCTGCAAGAGCCATTGAGAGGATATTCAACCCTTTTACAGAGATCAATAAAAAAAAAAATTGGTATCGAATCGTCCTTGGGACCGTCGACGTGATGAATGTGACGGACCGAGAAATGATTTTTATGAAGTCATGACTGTTGCTCATTGCTACCTCTCTTCCAGCATCATGCGTTGGGCTTTGCGCAGCTCCTCCCCCAGCAACGCCCTTGAGTCTGCTGAAAGACAAAATACAACGTGCCGCATGAGGGTGTGGATACACACACAACGAGTCTTTTCGCGGCGCTGATCCTGCCCTCTCTCTCTCCCTCTCTCTCTTTCTTCGCCGTCGGCGGGTTTCCTACTAATCACGAATTCCTCCCGACCGCCTCAATCTCCTCCACCTGCTCCCGAACCTGCCACAGCGCCCACTCGAGATATCCCACGTCGCAGGTAGGGGAGAGGCGCTGCTGGTGGTCGAGGCTCCGCACCAGAGCCAGTCCCCCACGAAGATGGACGTGCATCGACTTGGTGAACCCCTGCATCCCCTCGATGTAGATGAAGAGGATGCTGGCGAAGGCGGCGAGTTCGATGCTCGCGACACACCGCGGGTGAAGGTGTAGACGAGCGTTGAGGCGCCGGATCGCCAGCGTGTACTGTGCCAGGCAGTACTCACTGGCGGCGGCGGATGAGGAGGTATGTCCTGGATCGTACCACGACGACGACGACGACGCCGTCGGGCAATAGCTATTTCTACTCATCGAGCTGATCGCCAATGCTGCGTGGAATATACTTTCCTCGGCCAGGGCGTACCGCAGCACGAGCGCCTCCCACAGCGGACTCTCGAAATAGAGCGCAAAGTCCCGCGCGCACACGCTCCGGAAATACTCAAAGTTGGTCGCCTCGCAATCTCCCATGTCGCGCATGTGGCTGGGGAGAGTAGACGGGGGTTGAATCTGCCATTGCCACGATACCGAAACAGTGGTAATACTCTGGTGGACCCTCCCCGCCGCCGCCTCCGCCCACGATTCGGATCTGGGAGCAGCAGCAATTTGCAACGACGAAGAAGTAGAAGAGGAAGAGGAGGGTGGCGGTGTGGCAGGCAAGAGAAAATCGCATTTCCGGCCCGTGCTGGTGCATTGGAGACACGCCGGTCTGGCTTCGTTGCATTTCTTGTGTCGGATTCTACCCCGGGGGAAGGGACGGGGAGTTAGTATCGGCGAAATATGCACATAATAACAATATATACACTCATACATACATGTATTATACATACATACATGTATAAGCGTAATTGTTTGGATGACAAATACCCCCGGTGAAAGAAAAGGCATAGAGAGGTACTGACTTGCATGTCCGACACCCGCTCTTGACCTTGCGTTGACCCCTGGCGCCGACGCGAGGTTTCTTGCCCGTGCCGGTGCCGGTGCCGGTGACTGGAATCATCAGACCGTTCTCGACCGCTTCTTCTGCCGTGATATTATCCCCATCTTTTGATGGCGCATCTGTGGCCATTGCACTGGGTGTCGACCTCCGACCTCCGACCTGGCGGGTTTATTGTTCACAGTACCTCGTATGGGACCCTGGGTGGCATTTTTTCGATCCTCACTTTCGTGAGCTGGAGCAAGAGTGAATAATGGTGGAAGGAATAGTTTCGTATCTTTTGGGCTGGATCCGGGGGAGGAGAGTGGGAAACTTGAGCATCAGGCCGTGTGGATCCCAGAGTATGGCAATGGATTGGCTCCTGCGTAATTTGACGCAGCTGCCCTTTCCGGAATGGTGATGGGCTGGGATATATTGGCATGTTCAGTATACTAGCACTTCCTACCTGAGTATTTTGCTTGTAGCATGGAGGAGACTTGATCCTGAAAGGTCGGGTGCTCCTTGAGCGCCCTGGGGGGATACGTACGTTAGCAGCTTTATATATATCTAGGTATCGAGACATTGCCCGAGACGCTGCTACGTTCTTCACATCAGTCCGCCTTTTGAATACTACTAGTACCCTTCCCCCTGAAACCATGACAACAACACCATTCGAATTCACCGCCCCCATCTCTGATGATGATGAGAACTCGCCCGAGGCCATATCAGCCCGCCGCAAAGAACTGCAAGCCATGGAGCAAGCCGCCATCGAGATCCTCGGTCCGTGTCCGCCCGACTTGCACGAGTCGACGATCGATATCCCTCTTGCGGACCAGGGGTTTGTGAGCCATGCCATCGTCATTCGGCCCGTCTCGAAAGGAAATAATGGTGAGGGCCATGGACATCACCAGAAGAAGGTCAAAAAGTGCCCTCTGATCGTGTACATGCACGGAGGAAGCTTCGCCTTTGGCACGCCCAGATTCGCGCTGTCCCCGGCCCGGGCATTTGCGAGTTATTTTGGAGCCGTGGTCGTCTGTCCGTCGTACAAGCTGGCGCCGGAGAACCCGTTCCCGGCACCGATGCAGAGTGCCTGGGAGGTGGTGGCGTGGTTGTCTGAGCCACGAAACCTCAATCAGGGAGTCCTCGACCGCGACGAAGAAGGCATCGAGTTTGATCCTGCGCTCGGATTCGTGCTGGCGGGATGTAGTGCCGGCGCAAGCATCTCGGCAGTCATAGCTGGGATCGCGGCTGCTGCAAGGGCAGGAGAAGGACACGGGCACGCAGAGCTGGTACGCGGGCTAACACCGAGACTTGTCTCTCCCATCACAGGCCTCTTCATCTCCCTCCCTCATATCGTCCATCGAGACATTGTCCCATCCAAATACGCGTCCACGTTCCGGTCTCGCGAGGAGAATGCCAACGCGCCCATCATCAACGCCGCGTCTCTGGCCAACTCGGTCAAGAGACTCAAGACCGATTTCCATTCACCGTGGTTCTCACCTCTCAACCTGGATCTTTCAGAGATCAAGGAACATCACCCTCAAAGAGTCTATGTGCATGGCGGCGAGTTGGATGTCCTCCGTGACGACGCGGTCATCTATGAACGCGTGTTGAGGGACGGTGGAGTCGCCGAGACGAAGATCGATGTGCTGCACGGCTATGGTCATGTAGGCTGGGTTTCGCTGCCGTTTCCTGAGGCGCACACGCCAGAGATCAAGGAGAAGGCAATGGACGGCATGGCTTGGGTTCTGGGCAAGGATTGGGACAGAAGCAGACCCCTTCCATACTAACTGGCATTCTGGATATCAATGACATCGCCAATGAAGTAAGCAAGAGAAGCTTGGACATGTCTGCTTCAGCCAGCTCATAGCAATGGATCTATTCACAATCCCAATCCCACTGCGAGCCCGTGCAAACTCAATCACGACCAACTCTGTAGAGTCTAATTCGCTGCAAGACCTTGCGTCTGAGTCGGATTTTCTTCGAGAAACCCGCTTTCGTGGTGTGGCGGGTATGTGAATACCAGAGCTCTCACTTCGATACTCTGTCTAGGAATGAATGCGGGAGGGACCGCAGGGTCCAAGAATGATGCATGCGGTGCACCTATCTACCGTTAGGGATGACCAACAAGAGTTGAGAATTCAAGGCTCTCATACATGTGGCCGCTACGCCCTCGGCGGAATCGAAATTCTTGAATATCAGTATCTCGTCCCTGGTCTGCCGGCTCATATAGAAGAACTTCTGTCGTTCATTGTGCTGCAAGTACATGGTCGAGCCTGTGTAATGCCGTCTGACATGATCGGCTTCGACCATATCTGACGGCAAGACGGTGCTGCCATCGCAGATCGCCAAGGGGTAGTCTCTAACACAGTCGATGATTGGCCGCCACAAGCTAGTAGATAGAATGTCAATGTTCAGCAGCCTGAATATGCATGGAATATTTCACTCACTTGACGACACGAATGCGACTCTGTAGTAGATGTTCAGCCTCCGAAGGAAGCTGCATGAGAATTCGTCGTATCACGGCCAAAGGACTCTGATCTGTTCATTTGATGTTAGATTGACCTATTTGGAAGGGTCTCTTTCGCACACACCAACATGGACATGTAATGCGGGTCGCAGCCAGGTCGTGAGGTCATTGAGGTCGATGACAGTGCCTTCGATCTCGGGGGCGTTCATCCGTAGCTGGAAGATGTCAGTATCCAGTTGGGGTCGCGCTTTCACAACTAACGGACCCTCCAGTCAAAGAAGAAGATGCGGTCAACATCCCCCAATTCGGCTTTGAGTAAGGCCTCCATTTCCGGGAGATACAGCTCTTCGACCTTGTCGCGATCTGCAATATGAGCTGCGTCCAATTTCTGTTGGCGATACATGAAGCCGTGCTTGTCTAGAGAAAAGTAATGGGGTGGAAAGTTTCGAACATCTTGGATATGGACCTCGACGCTATGGAAAGCAAGGTTGGTTGTGCGCTGATCTTGAGCATCTTCTGGAATATTAATGAAAACCTGGAAAGGCTTCTCAGTCTCGTAAAGACGTAGCCATTTCAAGAACTTGAGTGGCGCAATGATAGCCCCCTCGTTGTGCGACATTGTGTTGGTACACAGAAGTCACGGCTTCCGCATGATCCAAAGGTGGGAATGTGCCTTGGTTCCGTCCTCTTGAAATATCTGGCGAAGACAACCGAGATTCCTGGTGTCAAGCAGCCAAACTGCTTCCTTGTGTGTTGAAGGGACACGAAGGATCATCAATCCCACCGAAGCCTCGATCAATCCTGACCAAGTCTGCCTCTGAGCCAAAGCTTTGGCCAATGCTTTCTCCAAAGGTCGCCTTCCACGGTTGTTTGCGTGTATCGTGGTCGGCGGCAAGCAGGGCTTTCGTGACCCACGGAGGAAGTAGCGAGGTCTTGAGATTCCAAGAGCTGGCAGTAGTTTCTGAGGCCTCACTCGAGGGTGAGCTGGAACGCGATGGTGTCTCGACTGAGATAGTGATGTCTGTCAGTTTGCTGTCTGGGCGGACAAATTTGACGTACTCACCAGGCATAGATGTAAGGGCTGATGGACATGGAGAGGAATTCATGCTCGCGAGCGGTGTCTACAACTGGAAGGGCAATGTTCTGCACTGGTAGGAATTGAAGGATGTACGTACCTAGCGAGTAGGTGAGGTCGTTAGCCAAATTAGTCGGGCAACTGGGGCCAGTGCAGGCGGGGGTGCAAGTGCCACCACCAGCGAGTTGAAGCCCCTCACCAAGCTCCCACTGCGTGGTCAGTTCCCAAATAACTTTCCTAGCACTAGGAAGTATGAGAAAGAATGAACATGAACTACTGGAATCTCAATTGACTGATGCCATGTGAATACGGAAAGGCATTACGGTACTACATTTGGGGCACTGAGACACCCTGGGCCCGAGCACTGTTTCTCAGAAGCTGATTCTTCCCGCTTTCCACCCTTAGAATGCTGTCACGGCTACTAATGGACCTCCCCATGAGTTGCTGCAAAGATTGTAAAGAGGCTGCACAATGGCTCGAGTCATATCTCTCTCAAAAGACGGGTCCTGGGATTTCAGCTTCTTTGCGCCAAAGCCTCCTGCTCCCTTTACCATTTGGTACAGACAAGCATGGACGACGTTGCTGTAAGCCTGACACTCGTGGTCGACCACGAAACCCGTATCTAGGAGGTGACGAGCAAGTAAGAGATCTTGCAAATCTCGGTCTGAGCTTGTTGGGCCATTTGAATCCTGCAGACTCGCAAGACGTTTGCCGGAGGCCAGTTCTATCAATGCATAGCCAAGGCGAGCGAGAATTGGCTCAGGTAGAGCTATGCCGAGATACTGAGAGGCTGTCTTTCCGCTGGGCACACTTGGTTGATGAGGCCCTCCGAAGGACTGAAACTGTTTCGTAACGAACAGACTGTCATCGATGAGACCTTGCTGTCGATCGGTCATCACGGAAAAGTCACCCCACGTCCAATTTGCGCGAATCCAGGGAGTCTGAAGCAGTTGAGTAATACCGCATGCCAACCGAAGTGCCAGGCCGAGCCGATGTCGACGTGCTAGTTTGGTGTGGTCTCCAGAAAACAAATCTTCCAGCGACAGAATGCACCGTGAGTCTCCCTCGGTGATGGGCTTTGGAGACCGAAGCTCATAACTAACATCATCAGGCGCTCGCAAGTATCCTAGACTCGGCCTTTTGAGGAGACTATCGGATTCCTGCTCAAGCGATCGAAAGGACGAGCATAGGTCCGTGATCTCATCACCCCTCCCTCCTTCACATTCGATCACCGACACGGAATAACATTTGGGACTGAACACCAGCGTAACAGAGCTGTTGAGAGAGTTGTTGCTCCGCACAGATGAAAGCGGATAGTCTCCCTGAGAGTGCTCGTTCTCAGTAGGTTGCGATTTCAAGGAGGAGACGGACGTCTCGCCCGAAAGAGATACGTTGCTAATGGTAGCTGAAATCGACTGAGCACTGTCGTACTTGACGGAAGAGGCGTCGTCGTTGACGGAAAACAAAAGCTGCAGTCCCGCCCTTCGAGCTGGAGCATTTTGATGTTCTTGCTGCCTGATCAAGGGGAGCTGCAATTTCGTGGGATGGGAACGTTGGCAAGAGCAACGAAAATGACTTTCGACTGCTCGAAAAACCCCCGTGGCAAAGGTCGAGCATGAGGCACTCGTCAGGGTGGGCACTGGCAATGGCCCTTGAGGGTATCTTCGCTCGGGGGAGGAATCCATCACCCGGCGTAGCCTCTCATTAAGCTGATGGATCTTTCTCACTCGCCTCTTGAGTCCTGAGCTGTCTAGACCCGACCCCAGCGCAAGGATCTGAGCTTTGAGGTTGGCCATCCTGTCGACCTATTGTTGTCAGCTTCGCTGAGACCTGGCTCCGGGCCTCTTGAGCGGACTCACGCGACCTGGCTTGATCCTCTCCAAATATTGATGAATGTGTTGCAGCTCGGCGTGGATGTCGATCAGAGTTGCGGCAATCGACCTGGTGGATTCCATGTCGCGCGACGCCATCAGGCTCGTCAGAAACCCGTCATTCTTCCATAGCCCGAATGTCTCTGAATTATTGTCCAAGATGCCCTGTAGATCAGTCCCTGAAAGCTGGGAGATACAAAGATGTTGGATCCAGTTACAGAAGATGACTTTCTCGGCGCGAACCTCTTCCAGCAGATCATGGATGACCTCGCCGGATCTGAATCTTCTGCAATAGTCAACGGCATCGACGACGAGCGGATACAACCCTAGTATCAGCCCGACCACTTCGAAGCCGGACATGTTGAAAGGTTACATTCGCCGACTGACTCGCAGGTAGCAAAGACAGATGCTCCAGCAGTGAAAAGGCGAAAACGTGAAGTGCGGCTGAGCGACGACGACCAGTCGCGCCTCCTGCAGGGTCTCGATTCGGTTTTTTTCGCTTCAATTTCACCCCTCAAGCCACGTTCCACTAACCATTGCTCTCCTCTGCCGAAGCTAGCCATCTGCAGGTAGAGCTGCTGTAACCGACATGGGGCTTGCGATAAGCGTGGGGCGATTCAAGCCTGGGCGAGACTTGTCACCCCAGTGCTGGCAACAATAGCTCGACGGCTTCGGAAGTGTTGGGCTTTTCTCTCAGAGAACCCCGCGATTCAGCCTTACTGTGCCGTCAAGGGAGTGAACAACCGGAGCCATCCTCCATCGGCAAGCACTACGTTCATCTGTGTCGTGTCAAATAATGGGCCCCTCGATACGCCGTTCTCGGAAGGAGCTTGGAGGTTATTATCAACATGCACAAATAGCTGCAGCGTACGAAGACTGTCGGCAGACGTTCGACCAGCTTTCTTTGCTTCTTGAGGCGAATCGACCGGTATGGGAGGGCAATGCCGATTTCCTCGAAAGCTTCAAGAACAGCTTGGTACATTGGGCCAACGTCCACCACGCCGAGAATGGCTCTCTTGACCATGCTCTGCGTAAGAGCTCAGATCTGCGTGATCAAGTGGTCGATCTCCTTGAGAACTTAAACCAGAAGCTGCAGAATGGCAAGTCCCATTGATCCTCATCGCCGCAAGGATATCCTATGAGTGTTCTTTCATAAACGGGCAGGCCTTCGATTGAACCGGGCCGTGAGCCTTCAACTGACATATGCCATCCACTTAGTCTTGGAGGATCTCCAGATCACTGCCACGCCTTTACTTAGCCCAGCGCTCCTCGAGGATAATTGGTCCTCGTACTTCGACCGGCAAAGCGACCTCAAGACCATTCCAAAACTGCCAGTATCAGAAGAGTTACTGAAAGAAAGACTTGGTCTGATTTCATCTGTCTTGGAAACATTACAGGGGCTCAATGCCACTCTAAAAAACCCTTTCCCTTCCGATATGTTTTCCAGCGACGTCCTAATCGGCGATGACAAAACTGACATTCAACTGGCCGCCCGTTTGTTTCCGAAGGCCCCTGAACAGCTGAGGCAGAGGCTTGGACATGCAAATTGGCTGCGTAAGTGCCATCTGAGGAGTCTGAGAGCTGACAAATATCCTGGGAGTCAAAAGAGAACGGAGGCAACTACTCCACGTTCTGGCAGAATGCAAGGTGGACGTGTCGAACCTCTTGGTAGCCCTAGTTCTAAGGATGGACGGCTGCCACCGACATTCATGCTCAACGACCAAAGGGCTGCATTGCACCGACTCGCTTCTACGACGGCGAGTGATACAGCTTCAAACAGCGGCACGGTGTTTTCAAAAGCTGATTCAGGATATATTACAAACGTCGCTACGTCAGTAACCGAATTCGATGAGGGTCTTGGATCGGTAGCAATTCCAATCCCATCTCCACCTATTCCGCTACACGCAGGTCGAAGTTTCTTGTGTCCCTATTGTGCATTGCCAATAACTGTGGGAGGGCCGAGGACAGAGGCGGAGCGTCCTGCAATGAGCCAGCGACTCGCTCAAGGACATTCCCCTTATCCGGAGCACCGAAAGCAGGAAGAGCCTACAGTCATGGATGTCTCTACAAGCGCGGAGTGGATTACACATCTTTTCGCCGACCTTGAGCCTTACGTTTGCACCTCCAATCAATGCGTACAAGGCCCGAAGACTTATGCAACGCAGGACGCTTGGATACATCATGAGCTTTATACACATTACATTCAATATGTTTGGTCATGCGAGACGTGTTCAGAGGAATGGCTGGACGAGGGCGCTTTCTGCGAGCATCTCGCATCGACTCACCATATGTCAGAGGAACATATCCCAACCGTGTCGAAGCTTTGTGTAAAGCCATCGGACACTGTACCAAGTCAGATGCAGTGCCCACTCTGCCTGTTTGATTGTTCTTTTGAATCATATTACAAACATCTGGGCGACCATCTGCAACAACTTGCTCTTACCTCGGTTGAGATCGACAGTGTTGAGACGTCACGCACCGTCTCCGTTTCTACTTATGAAGGGGACAAATTCACTCTCCTGCAGGACTTCATCCAGGAGCAGTCTGGGAAGTCACACTTCCAACATCAAAGAATAGATTCATTGGCCACTCAAATTCAAGGCCTTTGGACAGAGAAATCAAATCTGGAGCTTGGAGATGATCCCCCTTCAAAAGCGCTTGCAAGCCGGCCACGGCTGAGCTCAAGGGGCCTCTCCTATACCTATATGCAGAGGGTTCGAGAACTCAAAGTCGAAGAAGCCACGAAGAGCGCGGCCACCACTCCACTTGCTCAATGGAAGAGTGTCGAGCCAACCGTTTCAGCTCATTCGGGTCATGCAACAATCTGCACCCTCCAACCACCCTGGAACCCTGACTTCGTTGGGCGAATTGTTGACCTCGGAACTATCGACGACAGAATGAAAGAGGAGGGCCACGTCGCCGTGATTCGTGGGCCTGGCGGCATCGGGAAGTCTGCAATTGCCACAGCTTATACGTGGAAGTTCAAGAGCTGCTACTCGTACATCTTTTGGGTCCCTGCGGAGACTGCCATGGTTTGTGCCGACTCTTTCTGCCAGATTGCTTTAAATGTGATAGCCAATGCCGAAGAAGTGGCAGAAGAGGAACGACTGGTCAACATGGGTCGTGAATTTCTTGAACGAACTAAGGGCCGATGGCTGCTTGTGTTTGACAATGTGGATGAAGGATTTGACCTTCGCCGATTCCTCCCATCAGACATGTCTAAGACTCACGGGTCAGTTCTCATCACTACACGAAATACTGACCTCGACGTATCGCGGCTGTCCGACAAGACTTCGGCCATCGACTTGAATGCCCTCACTCTAGAAGAAAGTCGCGAGCTGCTCCTCAAATCTGCCAACCGAGGCGAGCCCCTTGAGGATATGAAATCGCATCCGGAGTACAAGTTAGCAGGAGACATAGCGAAGAGAGCGGAGAAACTTCCACTTGCGTTGTCGCTCATCGCTGGCTTCGTCCTGGCTTCAGAATGTACGCTGGCGTACTTCGTGGAGCTCTGGAACGAGAGGCAGATGTCGCGAAACGCACGAGAAGCCTCTTCTGATGCCAATGCCGCTATGGAAATGGTATGGAACATCGGCTTAAGAGAGGTCGAGACGGAGGCACGTCAACTTCTTAACATACTGGCATTCTTTGACAGCGATAATATCCAAAAGGATCTGTTGGTGGGACCACACGAAGATCCACTGCTTGAGATGTTGCATTCACATTCACCAATGCGGTAAGCAATCCTGGTTAGTTTTTGTCGAGGTCTAATAAAAGCAGATGGAATCGGATGACGACCAAGCTATCGAAAAGGCGTCTTATCACAATACGAAATCGTGATGGCGAAGAATTCTTGACCATTCACCGGAAGCTGCAGGCCAAGATTTTAGAGGAGCTCAATCAACCCGACAATGCGGCGGAACGAACGAAAGTTTTTGAAAGGGTTTTCTTGCTCATTCGAGGGCGATTCCCTCACCCTTCGCCAATTCAAGTTCCTGAGCCCGAGAAATGGCCCATCTGCAGACAGTACTTGCCTCATGTCCTGAGTATCAAACGACTGTGGCAGTCTGGCATTATCGAGATCCCACCTTCAGTCAAGCTAGCCCGGCTTATTTCTGACGCCGGCATTGACCTGTGGGAAAGATGCCTGACCGTCGAAGGGCTGGAGCTTCTCAGATCAGCAGAAGCTATTCTCGATCAAGGCGGCTTCCGAGAAGATCTGCTCCGTGCTAACATCCATGTTGTGGTCTCACTCCTACTCCAGGACTCAGGGATAGCCCATCTGGCCGAATGCAGAGACCGCATCGCTAAGGTGCTCGACATTCGCGTCAAGCACCAGGAGAATTGTGACCCATTTGACTACACTAAAAATGATGACATACTGCTTCACAACGCGTGGTCAGATTACGCTTGTGTCCTTTTGCAATACAACCAATACAGAGAAGCGGCTCGCATCTTTGACATGTGCTTCGAGAAATATCAACGCTGGGGACCGCCAGAAGAGATTCCATATGAGTACGCAAAGTATTACCATCACAAAGCCTACTGCCTCATGTACGAAGGAAACTTCGAACAAGCTGTTCCTTTGGCCGAGTATGGATTGCATTGGGTGCAAGTTGCCACGGGACAATCAGCAGCCACTAATAGATGGCGCTTCGACCTTGCGTGTCTGGTTCTTCAAAGTGGTGATAAGCAGCGTGCTCTTAATCTGCACAAGGAGGTGCTGGAGGCCAGGTTAAAGTTGCATGGAAAATTCGGGCTGCTGACTCTCCAAAGCTATTACGCTGTTGGGGCAGCTCATCGGTGGTTGAATGAATTGGCCGAGGCGGAGTAAGTACACGAGTCCCACGAGCTCTTCGAAAGGTGTTAATGGGTCACAGGCTGTATATGCGCAAGATTCTCGACATCGACCAAACTCGACCAGGTATCTGCACGGAAGCCGCTCTGGCACAGGCTCAATTCAATCTTTCGCAGATACTTGCAGGTCGAACAGAAGATTCTGGTGAGGGACACGAGCGGCCTTCCGGACTAGAAGCCGAGGGTTCTTCAGAACTGCAGGAGTCGGCTACCCTGGCGCAGATGGCTCGGAAAGTGCTCCTCAAACCACATCCTCTTGGGCCTTTGGAAACAGATACAGGCCAGGGTCAGGAAGGAGTGCTCGTACAGGGTCCGAATGGAATACCCAAGGACCATGAGCTCGCATTGTTCGACCACCTCCAGCCTGTTTTTGACGGCAGGTTTACAGGGTTGCATCTTTTGAGGTATCTTCGGTACCTAGGTTGAGAGAGGTAAGCAGTTGCTGTAGGGTGATTGATTGGAAACTTGGCTCATCGAATGTTGGCGTTCAGACTGGGCTGTAATACTAGGCTCAGCATAGGACCACCCAGGGGAGATTGGTTCGGCAGTGTTAAAGCCTTGAATTTCAAGTTGAGGCCTGATGCTGAGAGCCGCAATAAACAACGACGCAAAGGCGCGTAGAGAAATATCCCCCTCCAGGACCACTCGCCTGCTCTCTTGAATGCAATATCCAACGTCCCACCCTCGACTACTCCGTCCCAGCTGTTGTGTCACGGAAAGAGCGGCCTTGGCCTCGCTGGGCAAGTAATTTGATAGCATTCGTCGTCCTGAACACACTTAGCTTCTTAGCTCGCTAGGTAAACCATCAACTCAATACTGACGACGCATTCACTTGCCATGTTGACCTTTGAAAACCCGATCATGTGCCGACATCGGTTATCGGCTCAGCATTACTTTCGAGCAGCCCCTCCTACCCAACCTCCTGCATGTGTCTGCCCTGTGTCTGCCTGTGAGTTCCGTGCTGGGCGAGAACGCCCGTGGTGATGGCCGCTGTCTCAAGGTGGGTATGTGGCTGAAACCAAGCCAATCGTGCGACCTTGACGAAGTGCTGGGTACGGAGGATGGACGCTTTGGCGCCCAAAAGTACATGGTACATGGTCGACACAATCTCTCGAGGGTGTGAAGCACTCTGGGGTACGAGTACTCCGTACCTCTCCCACCCCCCGTACGACCACCCTTTATGGACTGCTTGCATATGCAAGCGCTTATTTCTTCTGCTCGAAGGCGCTTATAGAGCCTGGGCGTCAACTAATGCGCATACCACTCCAACATGGCAACATGCGACTCATTATTTGCAACCCTGGTCCATACACCCTGCATCGTTGGGCGATGGCAATGCAGCTGCCCCTATGGCGTGCAGCGGGAGTGAAAGTGGTACAGACACGAGGTAAATCCTATTCTCTGAAGCCCTTGGTTTCCTCGATCTTGACCTCACTCTGGGCTATGGCCATGGAAAATGAACGCTCTCTACATGCACAATGGGCCAGTCTGTCAGCCTCACGCAAGAGACCGAAAGGTTCACCTGGGGGTCGACCTCTTCTCTAGCAAAAGGCGTTTGGTATGCTGCATATCTGCGACATTAGTGCCTATGTTCTGGAATAGCATCCTTCCGCTCCTAGCTCCATGGTGGGGGGTGGATTTGGTCACAGAGCACGACATGGGTGTGCATAATCGTACAGGAAGTCCAAGCTGCCCTTTCGACTTTCTTCAAGTATTCATTTTTCAACACTGGCAGGTTCCCATGTTCTCGATCTAATAACTGACAAACTTCTAACCCCGGAAAGCCCTCAAGCATGGTGAGACGACCTGTAAGTCCGACTGTTCTCCAGAGCTATTGCTCCATCAAGAAGCTAATGACTGTTGTTTAGCTCGAGGCAGATCGCTCTCCTGCCGACTCATCTGCACTCCATAGGACTCGAGCTCAATCTGCGCGGAGTGACAGCGACACAATCAGTCCAAGTCAATTCACGCCCTCTTCAACTAGGAGTCGTTCGGACTCTGCTAGCCTTCCTGGGACGTTGGATTTCGACCCGGATGTGCCAATCCCTTCGATCGAAAGAGAGCCCGATGAGGCATCAAGCCTCTCTACCCACAATAGCTCATCTGCCCGCGCCAGAACGCCTTCCTTTTCTATTACACCGCCTGCCACGGAGGGAATGACAACTCCAATCCCGCCTTCCGGCACCAGCCATGGAACAAGTCCAACACCATCCTATACAGTGCTCAGCCCGGCTACGCGTACCGGATTAGAGCTTTCGGAAAGGGCAGCAGGATCGTCCAGTAGATCTGACTCTCTTCCGGGAGCTGGCCGGCACCATTCCCAATCTTTCCCTACCACTTCCGTCGCTGGTCAACATTCGACTCGAAGTCCCGTGGACAGTGTCACTGTCAGCCACGGCATTGGAAATATCAGATTGGGAAGTCCCGTGGACAGCGTCACCCACGGCATGGGGAATATCAGATTTGATACAGAAGATACACGGCCTGGTACTCCAACTCCGCGCACTTATCTCCATCCACGGTCCCCAAGCCCCAACATATCCATTGATGGGGCGCATCGGAGTATAAGATCTACTTCCCGTCGTCGGTCAGGCTCTTATGTTGACCCTACTCCTCACAATGTTGCCGAAGAGGAACCTCCGCGGGAGCGGTTCCACGAGCCAGAGTTTCAGCGAGAGTTTACCACCGCAAAGAACCTCGTGAATGATCTGGTCAATGTCCTTGCAAGTTCATCGCTACACAATGAAGCCCAGTCCCGTATACGTGCTCTGTACCTACAGGCTGTCGACTTGAGCCGCTTCCAAAAGCCCTCGGCTCGTATTGTGGCCCTGGTAGGAGACGGTGAAGTAGGTACGTGCACCTGAAGTGACTGTTTGATTGCTTTATTTCTTACCGCACGCAGGCAAAAGCAGCCTCCTAAATTCGCTCTTGGATTTTGAGGGCTTCGCTCGATCGGTTAGTTGCTGTTTTCGCCTGTGCCCGAGTCGGACTCTTGCTGATTCCACGGTCAATGACAGGGTAGCAGTGGGAAGGCGTGTACTTGTGTTGCAACTGAGTATCATTACCACGAGAATGACGATTTCGCCATCGAGATCGAATATTTCACCTTGGATGAGCTTCGAGATCAACTAACCGAGCTTCTACAATCATACCGACACTATTACCTCCGCCCTGCGCAGGAAAATGACAAGCCAGAAGGGGAGCAAAACGATCTTGAAAAGAGGGCCGAGGTCGCTCAAGATACATTCCAGGCTGCTTTTTGCAATCACCTGGCACACAACGAAAGATTCCTTCTCGATAACTCCGAGGCGACTGTGCTCCGGACATTGCTGACGTGGACTAGGGCTACCGGCTTACCGATAAGGGAGACGCCCGGCGCCGGCCCAGAAAGAGAATTCTTCAATGAAGCAAACCAATGTTCCGATCGCTTGATCAAGCTCACCTCTGAGTCGACTTCTCCGAATGAAGCCTCCATATGGCCCTTCATTCGAAAGATAAAGTTCGTGAACGCAAGGAAGACCTGTCTTTGTGGCCAGGGCAGTCAGCTGATTGTGACAGAGTTTATCTCAATGCGTATATTTTGAGCAAGGGCCTTATTCTCGCTGACCTCCCAGGTGGGTAGATACCTTCAATCGAAACATTCTTTTCTTAACATTTTCAGGCCTTCGAGACGTCAACTCGGCTCGGCTCAAGATCACCGAGAGATACCTGCTCAACTGCGACGAGATTTTTGTCGTCTGTCGCATCGGCCGCGCAATCACTGATGCTAGTGTCATGGGGGTGATCGAGCTTGCAAGGAGGGCTTCCCTGTCGAGGATTGGGATTGTCTGCACAAGGTCCGAGGTATGTGCTGAATCATTAGGACTATCTTGTTGGCCTAGCTTACATCGCAAACTCCTCGAGGCTGTCCTACTAATGTTTTCCGCAGGAAATTCAAGCAGACGAAGCCCAGCGAGATTTCGGTGGAGATGCCCCAACAACCATCAAGAGGCTGAAAGACAAGATTAAGCAGATGCAGGAATCATTAAAGGCAACTGAGCGTGAAATAAGTGATTTCAGCATCGATAGTGACACCGAAGCCGAGATCGATGAAGAAGAGAGCAAGGAGCTCGTGCGGCTTCACAATGCCGCTAAAAAGTTAAAGTGAGTATGTCTTTCTTCATGGTACATAAAACTGACACTGATATTTCCCCTGCGCAGGAAACAGATCAACAAAGACAAATTTGAGTGAGTAGTTCTATCCTCAGAATCCTGCAGACCAATGATTGTGAAAACCTCAGATTGAAGACGTTTCTTATGACTACACGCAATGAGAAAGTCACAGCCGATCTTCGGACAGCCCACCAGAGTCACATACCCGGTGGGAACTTGCCAGTCTTCTGCGTCAGCAACCGCGATTACTGGGAGCATCGAAGGAACCCGAAAGAGGAGGCCATGCCCCTCCTTCATCTCTCTGGAATCTTGCAACTCCGGAGATATTGCCTCTCCGTTGTCGCTGAGAGCCAACTCCAGGCGGCGCTCGACTACATGTTCGATGCCATTCCAGCACTACTGGGTTCCGTCGAACTCTGGGTTCAATCTGGCGCGGGAAGCCTGAGTGCCGAAAGAAAGCAAGCTATTCGAGACACCATAGAAGAGATAGAAAAGGCATTAGACACCGTGAGTTGCCTTGGTGGGGACTTCTGAGGACCTGGAGATGTCTAATTCGAAGTTCTCCAAAAGTTGAAGCTGCCAGCATCCCCTGTCAATGCCAACGCGCGGTCAATGGAACAGCAATTCAATACCCATATAGCTCGAAGCATGAGTTCGTAAGTCCCGCCACGAAATCTATCGCTAAGCTAATTATTGAGCAGGACAATACTCCAACGATTGGAGCGAAGCTGCATATAATGTTACCATAGAATGGCACGGGGTAAGTACTCTAATATAATACCAAGTGCCTTGTGTCCGAGCTAATGCGAGTAATGGCAGTGGTCTCATGGTAAGCAAAGTCCTTTTCCTTTCATTTTCTCCGGAGAGCACTCGCCGTGTGATCATGTGCAGACTTTTAAATTTTTGTCAGGTACTTACGCCGCCTTCTGTCGAAAATATGGGGATCACAGCACAAAAGCGACAGTAAGGCCCCGCTGCTGGAACCAGGAAGCTATACAGGCGATGGTGGACCAGCTGGCCACCCCATGGCGAACTTTCCGGCAAAATCTCCAAGCCTCGCAGGACAACCTGCTGAACACGATCGATGATTGCTTCGATTGCGCCATAGCTCTATGTACGATATGAGCCACCCCCATTAACCAGGTCAAGGAATGATGTGATCTGATCTATACAGTGCTGACGAAACGTTTTCCAGCCGATTCAACTGATGCCACGGCGCGCTCAATGCGGACATTGACCATGACCATGAGGCACAGACAAGCTCTTCTCATTGCCGCCGTGGAGAACCTAGAGGATGGTTTCCAGAGTGATCTATCGTAAGAGAGAGACGCAAATCCACTCTCCACCACCCCCTTCCTGGTCAGGCACCTAAAGGGCTAATATACAATACAGCGTCCTTCGAACGGATGCTTTTTCGGGCATTCGCAGCTCCTTCATTGGCCAGCTCATGGAATCGGCATACAACAGGACCATCCAGGAAAGCGGTTAGTCTCATGATGATCCATAGGCCCTGAATACATCCTCCCCTTTCCGCTCTCCAAATAGCAGCTGAAGTTTCAGCGATGATGGTGCTGGGCGGATGATGGGTTTTACCGATTCAAAGAGTGTCTGACACCACGCCAGGCACAGGAAGCGACTCGCGGCGTAAGAAAATCATCGGAGACGCGTTTGGCGACGACCAGCTCTTCGAGCGCCACCGTCGGCAATTCAGAAGCAGATTCTCCGCCCTCGCCGGCGGTCTGCAGGACAAGATCCAAGCGGCCATCGCCACGCACCTTGCCGCCGTCCAAACCGACCTGGACACGCTGAGAAACGAGAATGTGGCCCTGGAGAGCGAGCGACATCCCGAGTTCCGCAATCGGGTCGAGGACGCGGTGCGCAATATCAGACAGGAGATGGAAGGCGTTTACGCGGTTGCTTCTCGCTTCAGAGCCCCCACTACCTGAGTGGGGAAACCGCTACTGAATATGTACAAAACAAACAAGATGGTGCTCCAGGTGTTTTGATATTTCGTTTGTGGTAAATACGGAGAAATGAATATGTTACTGACAAACCCCCAGGAGGAGGACGCCCGTCCAGCCTTGTCCGGTAGATGTCGTCGCGGGCTGAAGTCCAGCCAACACAACGACCGTAGATCCATCCCAATAAATGACTTTATCTAAATTTTGTTGAGGAGAACCCCCATCTGCCGGACCGGTGGAGGAGGTACTCGAGAGAGCGAAGATTGTGCCCGCTGTTGAGAAAGACCGGACTAGTTCATCAGCACATTCGCAAGCCAGCATAGCCGTTGACAAGCTTGATAGCCAGCAGCAGGAAGAAGAAGAAGAAGGAGAAAGGGAAGGAGAAGGAGAAGGAGAAGGAGAAGGAGAAGGAGAAGGAGAAGGAGAAG